GGTAAAGTAGTTAAGAAACACTTTCCATCATTACCGTAATATCCACCGTATTAAGCTAATTGACTGGTGAAATCAGAGTTGTATCTACAATCAGAGTTACCATAGGCTCTCCAATATCCGCATCCGTCAGTTAAGACATCATTTTATGAACAAGATGCAATACCAGTGAAATCAGAGGAACATCCTTCACTACCTGCAGTACAGAATTCTCTCAATCCCTTAGCACATTGTCCTTAGGCAATTGGACATCCTTCATCCTTACCCCAATTGAATGGTTCAGATTACTTGTGATCCATATTATACCAACCAGTGGATTCAAGTAAATTGAATGTGAATAAAGTGAACACCGAATCTGGGAATTCGGATCCAGTCATTGCCTCATTACCGAAGGTAGTTCTTTCCCAATGACTGCCTGCTGTTCCTTAACCACCATTGTTCTCCAATGGAGCTCCCCAGGCTGATTAACATCCAAAGTGACTCTTCACTGCATTCACTACTTTTGGCAATATGATCCAATCTCTTCCTCCCTATGTTTTAACTATCTAACTGACTCCCAATTTCTACATTGTATTAGGGTCAATGTAATAGGGGAATAGACCACTACTGAATCCAAGGACATGGGTAACTTCGTGGATTGTTGTTTAGATCCACTTGAACCATTTGCCTTCACTTAATTTGCTGAAATCGAGTTAATTAAAGTATTTAAGGTTGAATTCCAATGAGCCTGCAGTGGGTCTTAGGGTTGTTGGATCCAATCTGCATGCACCTGCTCTTGCCACCCATGTATCTTATGAAGTGGTGGCTGTGACAAATAATACCAAGTCAACGCCTGTTACTCCATTTTTAAATGAGCTTGGGATGGTCACTGAACCACATTATCCACTCAGAAATAGTTTCGATGATGGATACACTTTAATGGCGGCTTTTAAAAATCCGGTTGCTGCTCTTACTAGCTTATTCTCAATGAAATCGGCTTATTGTTATGATGCCTAAAGTCATTATGTCAATATCATACCTAAAATGATGAGTAATCTGTCTTTATTCTTATAGTATCCCAATTTCCTTATTTATGATTTTTAATGAGCATTTGTTCATGTGATAATCTAGCCTCCAAAGGAATTTCAGCTGATCGTTCTGGCTCCTCAATTTCTATGTCCTTTATGAAGTGACCGTGATTGCAAATGTGAACCTCCTCATCATCCATCTTACCATGAAGAAAATGAGTGCTGTGATCGTGATGTCCCTTCAAATTTTTTGTCTCCACCTTACTACTATTATCGTTTTGCCAATAATAATAGGTCGATCCACCAGCCACCAGCAGTATAGTTGTCACTGAGGCAACTTTGATCAATGTTGACAGGAATATCATTTAATTTATTAAAGTTATTCAAATCAAATCTCACTCTTCAATGCACCACCGTTAAGGATCTTTTCTATAAATCTGACTTGCTTGATCTTCTATTTGAAGATTTTGCTCCTTCGTTTATGTTCTGATTCAACTGATTATATTATTCAAGCATCTAATACTGCTTGAATAATAACACTATTATTCCAGTTCTAGCCCTCAAAGGTGAAGAAGTTGGACTGATCAAACACAGAGCATCCTTCTAAGTAGAATCCTAATCCTCCCCTGAGTTTTTTAAAGCATCCTCATCCTCCGATGACGCCTCCTAAATGCTCTCCTTACCCTCACACAATGTACCTATGAATATTCAAAGTAGCTAATACCTTTCAACAGTATTCCACCCTATTCAAATCTGATCAATTAATTTTTTTTTATCTTCTGGAACACTGACTTAGAGACGATTTCTGCAATCTAATTGATTTTTAAATTGCATAAAGGCTTAAGTTGGTCACTGTATATCCTACACAAAAGAGGTATTGAGTTTCTCCATATGGCTTCTTCAAATTCTGGGATTTATTTCATGATCATTTGCAATGTTTGGATCTTGATAAAGGTGGCATTGATGACACAATCAGCCACCAATGATGTCTAATATCTGATAGAAGGAGCAACCAACATATAAATTGGGGTCGCCTCATTCAACGCTCTTCTTTCTCTTATCTTTGATCTATCACTAAACTCGTTACCAGCCCCTCGAGTAATGATGCAAATCTCACTTGCTCTGTCTCCCTCTTTAAAAATCAGTTGATCTCTACCAAAGGAATCCTCTCTAGAACCTTCTAACAATTTAAGTATGTTTGGTTATGTAAGCAATTTAAACAACTCGTGTTGCGTAAGTATGTCAATTAATGAGGGCATTTGCCAAGGGGGGTTTAAATCATTTAAATTTTTAACCTTCTTATCAATATTCCTTTTCATCCTCAAAAATTCCTTATCATTCAGTTAACCGGATTGCAGGTTGTTCTTTAATACAGATTTTTCAAATTCTAAAATTTCAAAGGCAGCCTTCTTCGTGTGTAATTCCCTTGAAATCTCAGGAAATGACACTTCGAGGTATCCTTCCAAATACGAAATTGCAGACTTTTTGTTATCTTCAACTTCATTCAAGATTTCTAACAGTAGATTTTGTGAAAAATGATAATGTGAAGCCTCCTCTTTTAAGATTATAATCGCTTCAATATAGGCTGATACAGCATCGTAGATCGTATAGATGTATGAAAATAAGTGATTTCTAGCTAGGATTCCAATTAGAAACTTATCCTTCATATAGAATAGCAAATTAATGTATCTTTCTGAAAACTAACTCTACAAGAATTCCCAAGAATTCATGTGTTCTTTATCATTGTCAAGATCTAAATTGGCACTTTCCGTCAAGAGAATAATTGTATCAGGACTACATTGATTGGATTCAAATTATTCCATATAAATCCCTTTTAATGCCATAAGAAAGATTCTTCTGATTTCTGTCAATAGATTTTGATCTAATTCTTCTTCTTCCTCGTCTTCCATTAATGGCTGATGGATGTTCTTCATCTGAATTTCTTTTTACACCTTTTCATGCTTAGCCAATTTATCAATAATCTTATTGCAATCTGATTAATAGACCTTATACCCACTAAGAGTTTTGACATATTCGACATCAGCTTCTTTTAAGTATTTCAACTCATTATTTTTTTTGCATTCATTGTCTATCTCTTCATTCAACTTAGTTAAGAAATTAGAATAAATCTTTTCTCTTATATCTGATTAAGTAGACAGACCCAACAATTTGATCAACAAAGAGAGAGTAGTACCATTAACAACTAGAGTGCAAACTGCAATGCCAGACATATGAAATAGGATGATGTCTCTCCATTTAGTCGGTAATGATTCATCCTTTGCAACGATCAAAGCAAAGGCAATACCAATTGATCCTCTCAATCCACCATATGTTAAGACCAGTATCTAGGACCATGACAATCCATATCCCAGTTTATTCAGCCAAGGGTAGAATACTGCAATGGAGATGAATCTGCAACCCATTAAACACCACCAAAGAGCAATCATTTTGTAGAAATCCAATTATGTTATTTCACTTTCATCCTTGAATACTCTGATTCCTGCAATGATTCCACCCAAGATGAAAATGATGACCTCACTTGCAAATACAACGTATTCCCAAAACTCTCTTAATGCGTGGTCAGCCTCATGAGATATACGGGATCTTCCAAACGCAGCCATAAATAAACTCAATGACACCAACCCTAAGACCCCGGATATGTGCACTCCAAAATCAACATTCTCAGATATGAAATACACTAGAAAGGCAGAGACTATTGTTATATTCAATACTAGGATCTCGTCATTTGCTATCTTCTTTATCCAATACACACATGCCATTCCAAATATTAATCCAATCAATGTGCCACCTACGCATAACGTAAAAAATAAAGACCCAACATCAAATGCTGATGCTGATCTTCCCCTCACAATTCCATAGGATATCTAAAACAACATCACGCATGCTCCGTCATTCAATAAACTCTCTCCTTCTATCAAACTCTAAAATCTCTTCTATGCTCCACTCTCTTTCAATAACGCCAACACTGCAACGGTATCAGTACAACTCAACATTGCTCCAAACATGAATGCGCTTTCCCAAGTGAAATAGTCATCCCCATAGTTTAGTAATACTTTTACCGACAATTACAATAATGTAGATAATATTATCACACAGGGAAATGCCAATATTGCAGTCTAAGCAAATAGTCTCTTGAATAAGTGCCAATCGAAGTTGTACCCAGATTCATAAATTAACGTTGGTAGAAAAATCAACAACACTCCGATCTGATAACATACATCCCTAAATTAGTACCGGCTCAATTTCGCTGATCTTTTTGCAACTTTGACCGATGATCCCCAATGAATCCCAATAAAATCCGAAAAACAATCCCAAAACAAACAGCATTGGAGAAAATGGAATCTACGTCATTTGCCATATACTTTACCTTTAATTTCTTATTGATCTCCTTCATGAATGATCCAATCCCCAAAAAAAAGAATATAAAGAACACTGACAATGCTGTTCCACTAATGTCTGAACTGGCTGAAATTGGTTGATCTTCACATTATCCAACTCCGAACATTAACAGCACTATCCCTGCTTTATAGATATACATATATATATAATAATTAATTCATTATTCTCGATATGTATTTTAAATCAAGTATTCGTAAAATTATTTTTCAAAATAATATCACATTATTTTTAAAATGAATAATTATTATACGAGCTTTTAATAATTTAATATTTCACATAATCTCCTCCCTTTTATAGTTTACTCAATGTTGAGTGACGCTCTTAAAACTTATTCAAAAAAATACTATTTAAATATATATAAACCTTTTGTATTAAGATAAAAGCAGATTTATATCTTACAATATTGTTTGAGTAAGTAATTTTAAATATAATTACATTTTAACATATTTCTAATTGGAAAAAACTACTACTTATCATAAAGTAAACATAATAATAATGGATGTGATGTATATATTTTCATATTATATTAGATTTTAGGTTTTGAATGTTTTAGTTTACAAAATCTAAATTTTAATTTCAATTATAATCACTATTCTTAAATCTTTCAGACACTTTTGGCTAAGATATACTACTAAACTCAGACTACACAGTGTTGAGTTAAAAGGTATTCTGCTCATTAGATTGTCTCATCTGTCCTGGATTGGCAGTACTTTGTTTAGCCTGTTGTCTTCCAGATGATGGTGCTTAGAGTTCATTGATGTCGGTATTAAATCTCTCTCCAGATAACTATTAATACTTTTTCATTTATATACTGGCAACTGTTATAATGGAGGAATAGAATTTTATGGCAATTGTTTCTATTATTAATCATTTTTTAATAAGATATTAGTATTTTGATTCGAATTCCCTGTATTGAATAATAGCTTGGACATTTCAACTTAGTGATTTTAATTCTCGATTCCATTTTGATGATAACTTTATAACATATAATCCCTCATTTTTTAAATTTGATGTTCCATTCCAAAGATTTACTCTTAATGCGAATCAATTAGATGAGATATCCTTCTTTCGTAATCCTATATGTGATTATCTTTTTTTTTAATAAGTGCTTCTTTGAAGTTGACCTCATTTTATATTTCTAATATTTGATGTTAAAGTTATTCAATTTTAATGGCTTGTAATTAATTTTTTCCTTCCAAATCTTACACTGTTTTAAGCACCTTAGTATTTTCATTTAATAACTTTTGATATTCCTTTTCTATCAACTCCTATTTTATTTGAGATGAATCATTTTTCCTATTGTCTTATTATTGCAAACTTTATTCGACCAAATTTGATTATCCAATTTGAGCATCTTTTTTCTAGTCGTTATTCATTAATTGTTTCGACAGTTATTCGAGTTGAAAGTGTAACCCTTCTTTTTCTCTTCTTAATGTCATATTATCATTTTATAAGGCAATTAGCTGATGATTAGTAATGCACATTTACTTGAAATCGCAATTCGGATTTTTCGTTATTCGATTTCTCAAGTTGAGAATTAAGCATATTGACCATTTTTACCTATTACTAAGATTTTAATATCAGTATTTAAACAGCTTCCTCGTTATCCATTTTAATATTAAAATATATTATATTTATATTATATTTACTTATTATTAGAAATATTGGAAATGTTAATCTCTACTTCCGAATAAATTGTTTAGACAAATCAGCAAGTCATTTTTAGCGTTGAGATTTTTAATTCAATTAAAGAATGGAACTTATGTTTTAAATTGTGAAATATATAATAATATCTTATTTAATTAAATGGAGAGTGTAAATATCTGATGGAAATTAAATTTAGATTGATTAATTTCATAAGCCTCTTTATATTTATAATTTAAATTTATCATTATATATATAAGTTTGAATTATAAGAATATTATGTGGATTCCATATTATTGAATATTTTTTATAATTTAGATGTCATCAATATACCCTACAAATGCAGGATTGCTTGATAAGAATGCCACAACTATGAAAAGGTAAAATTGGTTTTAATAATTGCTGTTCACTTGGGTTTATCCTTTATTATTCGTAAGATATTTGTTTCAACCATAGATTGGCAAAAATCAACCTTTGAGTTAGTAGGATATATTCAGGATCAACCAAGACGATTCATCAGTAATTTCTTACAAGAGATTTCACAACTATTTCTCTAAATACTTTCGTTCCTTTAATGGATTGTAAAAATCATTATTTTTGGCCTTCATTGGTAATTAATGATCAGATTATCAAAGGTTAGCTATGTGTATGCCTCGTATTTTATTTCATAAGCATTTCACTTTTTCTCTGTTAGCCATTCATAACTGAATAGTCCCAAAAATTCTTTATTTATGAAACAGAAGATGAAAAACCCACACTAACAAACATGCTGGTGTTCTCTTTGTTGTTCTTTGTCTACATGCTTACATTATCCTTGTTAAAGCCGTTTTAGCTTTTTCAATAGGTAAATTGACTTAAAATAAATAGTCGTTATTAAGTATCAAAATATAGGGAGCTTTATAATAATAAATTCTGATTAAGACTTTAAAATTTCCAGTCATCAGATCCCAACATTATTCCAGTGGAGAACTAATCAATCTATTGTAGGTTGATATAACGCAAGCATCAAATTATTATAATGCCTGTTTTCAATTATTTTTATCTCCAATATTTTTAATAGCAACTGTGGCAATATTTTATATTACTTTAAAAAAGGAAGCACTAGTCCTAGTGATAGGAACAGTAGTCCAAACAATCATCGGAGTGATTTTCGGTTATTATTATGGTGTAATATAAAGAAAATACATGATTTGCAAGGATCTCAGAATGAAATCTGTTGATGAGGCTTTGATCTATTCAAAATAGTTGAAGCTAAATTGCCTAGAAGAATATTTTGAAGAGAGAGTAAGAATATTATAATTGCTAGATAAAACACAATCGAGATAAAGAATTGGCTTATTTAAAATATCAAGTCTATTTATAAATATTAATACTTTTCATGTAATCTTCATTAAGTATAGCAACATATGAGCTTTGGTTTTTATTTGCAGATGAATTAAATTTTGGTCTCATAACAATAATGATGCAAAATTATTCAAATATTGCCATGCTCTTTAGTGAGTTACCCAATTAATTAAGAAATTTCCAGACTTCAAGAAATTCTATTAATAGATTATCAAATTATTTTCAGTAAAACGAAGTTCCTACAAATACTCCAGTATATAATACTTCGAGTGAAAATTCAATTGAATTCAACAATGCTCAATTTGATTGGTAGAACAATGATAAATTTGTTGATGATAATAATAAGGACAATTTGAATCAGGAGGAAAATGGAGATATCTTTGGAATCAATATCAATTTAGCCATAGGGAAAGGCAAGTTTATTGCATTTGTAGGAGGGTATCTTTATTGATTGATTTTATTAGGTCAGCATCAGGAAAATCTACAATTTTGAGATCGATTTTGGGGGAGACAAATAATACAGGAGGTTAAATTACATTGAATGGTTCTATTTCAGTTGCTATGCAAGAACCATGGATTATAAGTGGTAGTATAAAGTAGAATATTACTTTTCTTAATGCATATGACAGTGTGAAATACAAAAAGGTTATTTAGATATGCGGACTGGAGAGAGATTTGAAATCTTTTAAGAATGGAGATGAAACCATACTTGGAGAGAAGGGAGACAACCTATCTGGAGGATAACAAAAAAGAATCAATTTAGCAAGGGCTGTGTATAATGATGCAGATATTTATTTGTTAGATGACCCATTAAGTGCTTTAGACATTAAAGTGAAATATCAGATTAATCAATAATGTTTTAATGGATACTTGAAAAATAAGACTAGAATATTATTTACTAATTCAATTTCTAATCTTCAGGGATGTGATATGATTTACATTCTTGAAAATGGGCGTATTGTGAAGTAAGGAACATTTGCTTAAATCAAATATGATATTGCATAATCGGAATCAGAAGAATAGAAAGAATACATGGATATCAAATTTGAAGAATCCCATTATCCAAAAGGATAAGAACAAAAATAAGATTTAAGAGCCAGTCTCATTGTTGCTGAAGATCAATAAAAGGGATCGATTTCCAACGAAGTCTTTAAATAAATATACAAGTATTTGGGGAAGTGTTGGATGTTTATTATCATATTGATATATTTTGTAACAACTGTTTCTGGTCAGATGTTTGGCAATTCCAAATTAGCTCTGGATGGATTGAGCAGTGAAGAATTTCGATCTATTGCTTTAGTGGCATACTTAATTACTTAAATTCCTACATGTGTAGTTATAGTAATTTTGAAGTTATACTATTTGTATAGAGGTTTGAGGACATCTAAATAATTACATGAACAAGTCATAAATAGCTTAGTCAATGCTTCATACACTAAATTTTATAATACCATCCTCATTGGTAGATTAATGAATCGTTTGAGTAAAGACATTTACAATATTGATTTGTTGTTTCCTAATGAAGTATACAACCTAACATGTTGGCTTACAACACTCTTATTGCCTTTAATAGCTTGTTATATTTATTTAAATTTTATTGCTCTTCCAATTTTGGTAGTCTTCTTTATATTCATAATCTATTTAACCATCGTTTATTATAGATGCTTAAGAGAAGTTACAAGAATTGAATCAGTTTCAAAATCTCCAGTTTTCTCTTTATTCTAGCAAATAGTTAGAGGGAGTTCGTATGTGAGAACTAGTGTACCATATGAAAAGGTTATTGTTTAATAATAAGAAAATGTTGATATTGATTTGGGCAATCAAGTTTGTTTGAATGGATTCTAATTTTGGTATCAATCAATAGCGGGAACATTAACGAATGTGTTTTAAACGATATTATTCATTATTTGTGTAAGTGTTTGACTAATACCTAGTTTATATTTCCTGGCAGGACTTAAAAGATGACAAATATGGTATTGTCTCAAATGCAAGTTGTTTCTTAATTGCTCTTGAATGCAACTGTTTCATATGGTAATATTCAAATGTATGGTATCTCTTTTGAAAGATGCCTTCATTTAGCAAAGTATCATAACAATATATTATTTAAGTAAAATCGAATTAGAAGAAAGAAACACAAGTTTTATTACTCCTTCAGATGAGGACAACCATCAAAAGAATCAAAGTATCGTTAATGCTATTGAATTTGACAAATGTTCATTTTAATATCGACCTAATTCCAAATACATTTTATCCAATTTGAGTTTTTCTATTAAACTTGGTGAGAAAGTAATGTTCTTATTAATATTATTTAGATTGGTATAGTAGGAAGAACGGGAGCAGGAAAGAGCTCAATCATCTTAGCTTTGACCTAAATATTAGATCAAACTGATGGATCAATAACCATCCTAGGAAAAAATATGAATGCCTATAAAATTGCTGAACTTAGGAAATAATTTTCAATTATCCCATAAGATCCACTTGTCTTTATGGGAACCCTCAGAAATAATTTGGATCCAGAAAATAAACACGAGGATTCAAGCCTTCTTAAAGTCTGTGAGATTTGCTAACTATTCGATCTTGAATCATTTAAATAGCATTGTATCTAATTTTACTATGACTTAAGAATTATTCAGTGAAATATAGGTTTAGGGTAGCAATCTAAGTCAAGGAGAGAAATAATTGTTGAACATTGCAAGATGCTTATTAGATAATTAAAAAATCATTTTAGTAGATGAAGCTACAGCCAGTATAGATGGTCCAACTGAAGAGAAGATAAAAGATGTAATAAAAATGATACGATTTATTAGATTTTTGAATAACACCTCTCTTAATGTACAATTCTTACAATTGCCCACAAAGTTACCACTATTATGACATCAAACAGAATCATGGTTCTTGATGACGGAAATGTCATTGAATTTGATAGTCCTGAGAATTTACTCTAAAATGAAAATAGTGAATTCAAGCAAATTATTGAACTAATTAAACATTCAGAGAAATTATGATTTTATAGAGAGAAATATTTACACTATTTCTAAAATTATATTATAACTATAAAATTTTAGTAAATTGTGAAGTTACTTTAATAATTCTCAAGATTATTTAGTTTTACCCTTTTTCTTAATTTTCTCATCACTTTTACCTACCAATTATGAGCTTGATATTTTTTAAGAGTGATACAAGGAATGTTGAATAGGTGATTTCACTTTCTTAACAGAAGGCTGCTTTTTTGATTTCTTCTTTTTTTATTAATGTCTAAAATATGTTAGATATTATACTATTAATTAGATTTAAGTTATGGTTCCTCTGTAATGTCATCCTAACTTGAATTTGAAAATTACGGATCAAATTCCAATTCATCAACTCTCCTTCTTGAATTCTCAAATTACTAATCTTGTTATTCCATTTATGCTATAGGTTACTACAATTAAGATTGTGAATTTGTATTATTATTTATTTTTATCTCTTCCATTATCTTCTAAAATTGCTATGGGTTTTAAAGCATATAATCTGAGAATAACTGCATATCCCTTTGAATTTCAGTCGTTCCTGAAAAGTTCTATTATGGCTGCTATCCAATAGGAGGTGTCAAAGGTCGAAATACTTAATTATGAGGCCTTAAAGTCTTCAACACCTAATCTTCCACCTCTCCTTTCCTTTAATCAAAGACCTGTCTATTACCACTTGACCTTCTCTCCTAGTTTTGTTTCCCTATTCCCACGTTGGGAGTTCTGCTACCAATATGAGGGGAAATTGTTTTAATTCTTTCTTTTAATATTGGAATTTTTCTTAGATCATCATACTCATTCCATTCTTCATCATCAACTTCAATAATTCCCAAATCATCCAAATCTATAGGGTCGTCATCCAGAATGTTTTTATTAACATTTTAATTTAAATTATTACTCTATTTCATACTAATCTCCTTATCTAAAATATCTGATTGTTTAATTTTGCTTTCCTATTAAACCTAATACATAAACAGTGTTTATAAGCACTGGGACAATACTTCCTAGTCAACTTTACGTATCCATAAAAAGTCTTCTTAATTTAATTCAAATTCATCCATAGATGTGGATCCAAAAGTATCTGATTGCATCATTAAATCCTTCACAGAATTCTACCTCTGAAATAATTATTATATTATGTTTTCTGATTATCTATTAATTTAATCTCTTTATTTATTTTGTCTATGTCTTAATTGATTGTATTGTTCTGCCATCTATTATATAATTCGAATTGCTATTTGCTCAGGAGTGCATAATTAAATCATGACAATTGACATTAACTGCAACTGCTTATTTTGACTACTCTGCAACTTGCTTGCTTGCTCAAAAAAAGAAGAATTGATAGAAGGAAACACTCTAAAGTTCTTACCAGAATCTAGACCAAAGATGTAGCCACAAAATTTCAAAATATTATATTAATGCCAAGGTTCCTAGCAATCCAATTTTTCTTAAGTCCACACAAATATCTTTTCTATAAAATCATCAAGTTTGTTTGAATTGGGCATTTTATTTAATAGTTATCCCCATTGATTAAGAAGATCAAAGAATAATACATAAATACTATTAAAAGGAGTGTCTATTAAGTCAGATACTTCATTCCAAAGACAGGATACTTCATCTAAGACTTTAGAATATTCACTCTTTTGAAATTTAAGATTGAAAATGTTATTCAAAATAAGCAATGAGTTTAATACACATTTGGAATCAGTTTTATCTTGAAGAGAGTGAGTGAGAATATCTTTAATAAATTTTACAAAAACAATTCTATCTTCAAAGATTTTAATTCGAGTACTTGTTTCTATATTGATATAACAATCCACTAACAATTAAAGTGTTAAATGTCCTTTCTATCTGATTTTTGAATTGAGTGACTTAATTAAATTAATTAAGGAGGAAATAAATTCAGGAGTATTCAAAATCAATTAAGCTACTACTTTAAATTATTATCCCATATCTGAAAACAATTCACAAATAAATTATACTTTTTCATTAAAAATTTCATATTCTTAGGTTAATTACTTATTATCAGATTTAAATTCTTTCTTCTCTTTCTCTCTATCTTGTCGATAATCATTTTTATTCTCAGAGAGTAAATTTGATTAAATTTAAGGTTCCTGATTTTCGATCAGACAAACCTAGATCAAAGAATTGAAATGAGCCTAATATTACACAATCATCTTGATGAAGTTCTGTTTCGATTACTTTTAAGCTTGCCCTTTAACTGTGTATTAATCAATCAAAGCCATCACACATTTCTCAATCAATGCCTAATCCAAAAAGTCCTAACTGAAGGCTATTAAGATGTCAAATATCTTGAATGTTTCATCATGAATGCTATGAGGTACTCTTTAGCAAAAGATCTCGACATATGAATATATTTAGGATTCAAACTTCGATATCAATTAAGGACATTAAAATTATATAGTCTTTAGGATTTTATCCAACACAACTAGGATATCTTAGCCAGGAGATGTAGTTTAGCATATAAGAAATATATTTTATAGAAATGGATGGATGAGTTCATACATTTGATCATATTCATTCCCCTCGATTAAAATTTCTATAAGAATATTCCACACAAGTTCAAAGCAATCAAATTAGATTTTACCTTTAACTGTTTAATCCAATAGTTTGATTAAAATAGGTTTTAAGATAATTAGGTTTTGATTGGCTGTGGTGTAGAGTTACTTAATTTTTATGGTATTTGTTAACTATTTATTGAGAAACTCTTCAAAAAATGGAATCTATGATTCTTCTTTTTGCTATCTAATTATAATAGATATCAATTATAATAGTTTAATTATCTGATACTATTGTGATTGCTATAAATTGTTATAATTAGTGAAGTTCAATTATTCTATCAATTGTTGGTTAACCCATGTTAAAATTTTACTTATTTTTTTTTCATTTTATTTAGGTATAATATTTTACAATACTAGATTCCATATCTTTGATTCTTCTACTTAATTTAACTGCTTCAAGAATAAGATATCTATTCTAAAATGGGCTTAATCTGCTTATAATAAATATTCGCAAATCTTCATAATTAACTTTTACCCTTCAATATTCACATCAAATAATCCTTGTATAATAATTTGATTCCATATATCTTAAATGAGCTTTAAGGTTGCTTAACTTAATTCCTACAATATCATATTGACTATCTTATAGATCATTTCAATTATCAATTATCCTTGCTATTAATTTAGCATTTTCAAAAATAACTTAAAAATCTAGATAATCTGCCCACCTAAACCACAGCCATGCTATTCTATTATAAATTCAAGGCACCTCATATTTGCCATTCTCAAAGCATCGAAGTTTTGGTTATCCTCTAACAGAAGTACTCTGCTTATGATTTTAATTAAATCATCTGAAAGTCTTAATACACACTCATAAGAATCTGTATTTTATAATGTAAAAAGCAGGTGAGTTTTATCATATGAAATATTCATATATTGCACAGCCTATTTTAAGGCTTGTAATTTCTCATTTAGCATGGAAGGTTAATTAATTGAATCGGCTATTAGTATTTAAAGTCCACTTGCTCTAAGAAAGTAGTAATCTTTTTGCTTGACAAGGATTTGAGCTTTTTCAGCATAAAAATTGGCGACTTTCTTGAATATTTCAGCAGCTTGAACAAATCTTCTTGAGGAAAGAAGAGATAAGCCTAAGAGTATGTCTGCTTCTGCTTGATTGATTTCTCTATTATTTTTTTTGAAGATGTGGCTTATGTTTAATAGGGCGACCATTTAATTAGCAGCTGGGGATTAATAGAGTTGATATCCGTACACTTGGATTGACAGTTTAGCCTTGAGCTTATTTTCTAATTATTGGGGAGGTTCGCAAACACTAAAGGAGAGCCTGAGTTTTCGGCCAAATCCAAGACCAACTATTTTGTATTAGCCACTGCATTATTCAGTATTCACAACTTCTTTGCTATTGATCAGACGATTATAATTTTAATCAAAGCAATCCAAACATTCTAAAGATGAAAATGCGAATCCTTTAATTGAAGTATCGCTCCATTTCAAAATTAAATGAGTGATTAAACAATCTTCTTTTAAACTGATTTATAACTTCACATTAGCGTATTTGCTATCTCCTTATCTTTCATTAATTTGAACTTTGATTGCCTCTTGAGTAAGATCGAATGATGCCACACAAACATTACTTTGTACTAGGTGCATATTGATAAATTAAATAAATAAAAGTTTAATATTATTATTCACATTTATAATAATAATTGATAAACATTTCATAATTTACCTTTCTGAATGATTTTATCCTTTGAATTTTTATAATACATAATGTTACTATTAATCAATTATATTTAGTTACATTAATTCTCATCATGAATATTAATAAGCTACCACAAAACTGCAAAGAGAGATTGGCTGATTTGGAAGCCCGTATATTTAAGAAACCAAAAATTGAAATTCTTGAATAATTCTAAAAGGAAAGCACACCATCATTCGAAAGTACGAACTTCATTCATAATTTTAAGTCAAACCCGCCCGAAAGTCTGTTTATGATTAAACACTCCTTAAATAATTACAAATTACTTAGTTTACCAAAAATGCATAAAATAAATAGCATTATAATAAATATAATAAAGAAACCTTAATTGAAGAAAACAACGAAACACATACGATCGATGCATTGAAAAGAAGCTTAAATGAACTGGCTATAAAGGATTCACATGTTAAATAGTTGGAATAGCACATCTCCGACCTAACACAGTAAATTCAAGTATTTCATAATCACTAAATTGTAGAATTTTAAAACGTCGTCTTTTAAATATGATACAGCTATCAAAGCATTTGCTATTGAATTAGATTAACATTAGAGAACAACAAGGAATTAATTAATTGAAAAGAATACAAAAAAATATGGACAATATTAATATACAAGGGAGAAAACAAAAATCATATAAGTTTGGTTTGATAGTAAAGAAATTAAAGATCTTAAGGAGAAATTGGGAAGTATTCGATAACAATTAGATTTATGTGAGAATTAATACAATATATCATTGTCAAGAGAATCATTGAATTATCTGATTCTTCAAAGAGAAGAGGAATAATTGGAGAAATAATTAAATGGCTTAGAAAATGAAAAATAGTTATTTATTAGAGATTTGAAATTAAGATATGATGAATAGCATGCCAAATTCAAACATAGTGATTAATATCCTGTAATCGGTGAGAGATATGTATTATTATCTCTCTTAGGCAAGGGAGGTTTCAGTGAAGTATATAAGGTATATCTAGTTTTGATAACTTAGGGTTATGACTTAAAAGAGATGAAATATGTGGCATGCAAAATTCACTAATTAAATTCTAACTGGACCATCAATTCAAAATCATATTATGTTAAATTAGTAACAAAGGAATTTAGAATACATAAATAACTATAGCATCCAAATATTATATCATTGTTTGATTCCGTTGAGATTGACTCTAACACTTTTTGTACTATTCTAGAATTTTGTAGTGGTTAAGATTTATCTTTTTATATGAAGAAATATGGTATGATTGAGGAGAAGGAAGCAAAATTAATTATCTAATAATTGCTTGAAGCAGTAAAGTATATTCATTCCAATAAAATTATCCATTATGACATTAAGCCATAAAATATCTTATTCAATTAGAATGATGTAAAACTTTGTGATTTTGGATTGTGTAAAGAATTAGAGTAAGAAAATTCTCAGATTGAATTTACAACCTAAGGTGTTGGCACCTTTTGGTATCTACCTCCTGAATGTTTCGCTTAGGCAGATAATCCTTAAGTAATTTCAAACAAAGTAGATATTTGGTCAATTGGAGTTATCTTCTTTGAAATGCTCTATGGATTGAAGCCTTTTGGAAATGGAGAAAGCTAAGAAATTATATTGAAACATAGGGTAAATTTGATTTTTAATTGTAGATAATTGAGACTTCAGAAAAAGTAGTGTTTCCAGAAAAACCAACTTTGTCAAAGGAATGCAAGGAATTCATCGAGGGATGTTTAAATCATAAATAGAAGGATAGATTTGATATTTACTAAGCATGCAATCACCCTTATATGAGAAAATGAGTTTATTATTAAATGAGTTTATTTACAAATTCTTTTCGGAAGCTGTCGCAACAACAATAAGAGAATGATATGGTCAAGGTGTACTATAAAACAGACATGAAGCTCTATGCTAAAGTAAGGTATAACAGAGGAACCACAGTTGGCTAAATTATAGATGAGTTGATCAAAGAGCTGAATTTGAATGGTAAATTTTAAAGATTAACTCAGGGAAGCTATAATACTAAATTTATTTATTGTCACACAAAAAAAATGAGCCATCCTTAGGGGGTATAAGCATAAAACGTAAGTTGCGTAGAAATGAGCAACCATTCAAGATTTTATTTTTAACAAAGGTCTACAAATTTTCTTTTTATCTTGATTATATGCTGAGCTAATTAAGTTAAAATAATTATGATTCACAATCCAATTAGAATGAGAATTATTAATTCACCAAATACGACAAGGAATTCAAAATATATAAGATTACAAAAGAAGGAGGTTAAAAGCAAATGAAGATAAAAATAAATTCCACAGGAGCAGCTTTATGCTAGGAAGGAAGTATTTTGGAATTATTTTAATTAGGTAAGAAATGGAGAAATTTATTGAGTATTCTGATTGCAAATTTGATTTCGAAGAAGATCTTGTATTCACAATCACTTAAGAACAAGTATCCATTTATAGAGCTTCAAATAAAAATGAGTTTTATGCTATGTAATATTGTCTGTAATTGTAGTAATAAGTTGATCTATTAATATACGAAAAACACAGAAATTAAATATAAAATAAGTGCTTTGGATAATAAAATTGAACATTGTACTAAGCAAATTATGGAATAATTAGAATCTAATTGCTATGAATTCATATCGAATAAATAGAGGATGAAGGAAAATCCAAGATTCCACATCTTTTTTGATATATTCAAAGTAACCCAAGTTAATAGGGATATTTCAGCCATTGAGAATGATGATATGAACATCAACTTAGAAGAGTTCAGAGAATCTATTTTAGAAACACTATCGATTTTGCCAACAGAATAATTTAGGAAGGGACTCATAGTATTTAATTCCCAGTATAAATACACAGCTAGTTGCAAGATAGAGGATTAAATTGAAGAACAAAATAATAACAAGTTGCTTTAATCTTTAGATAGTGTTGTAATTAGCGAAGAAGATTTAAGAAGATATAGTTAATTTTTATCATGATATATTCTTTATATTTATTCATCGAAATTAGATATTTGTAATAAAGCTCAGTGTTGGATTTATTTTTCTAATAGACTATAAATTCTTTGGCCTATTATACTCTATTTATATGATACCATGCACAGTCGATTTGATGGCTGTTAACTCTGATTAATTTTAATATAAATGATCTGATATATATTTTTGTACATTGTGGTCACATAAAACTAGAAATTTCTTTATAACATAGTTTGCATATTGATGATTAGCTAAGACAACGAAATTGCTTGAACTAAGGATAGTGGGAAAATGATTTTACTATTAATTTGGACTTCGACAGAGAAGCCATTTCATGACTGCGATCAGTTCTTGCTTGCCTAAGACTTCTAAGGCTCGTTCTACAGTATTACTTGAAATGATATAGGGTAAGATACCTTGCATATTTATTAATGCTAAGCTAGTAAAATTATTATATAACTAATTGAACTAAATATCCTTTTTCCTAGCTTGGTTTCCAATACTATAAAATATGTTATAAGACATAATTTCCATATTCAGTTTAACTCAGTATACTATAATTCTACACAGATAATCTAATTATTCTACTTATTTGTTGTGGAGTATATTATTATATAACTTTATGAATAATTTTGCAGCCATATATTTATTAGCCCATGTAGTTAAACTAAATAGTTGAATGAGTATATTTACAGATTCTTCTACAATGGGAATGAGAAATTCCATTTTCAATTTGTCATAAGTTTCTAACATTTTGAAAATGACATAATTGCCATTTAAATCATAGATCAATGATCTCATATTAGATTGCAATTGCTATAGCACAACTAATTGTAACTCTTCACGATTGTAGGTATATTCAATCAATTTCTGCATTACTCTGCATCCGAAGTTATTCTTAGATAGATCATAGAAATGAGATTTCAATTTATTGAACATCCTTAATTGTATCTTTTGATTAGCTAAAACTTGATATGAAACATACTGCATTCAAAGAGCTTCTACACAACATAATTGCCAAATACGTCTTTCTCAATTTAGGGACTGATGCGTTCCAGTTTCTAGGCGATCAACTCCTTCTGTTCCTAAGTGCCTTGTTCCAACATTTTCTGCAACTTTCGGCTTACAATCTGGTTTCCCCAAAGTTAATCCTATAGATTTAAGCCATGTTTATTACTACTAAAGAGGTCACACAAAGATCCATTTCAATATCTGGTTCAAATTGTACTTAGGGACTTTGAGATTCAAGAAGCGGAGAGTAAATCGGTTAATTGAGGTAACTATATTCATAAGACAGTCCTTGAGGGATGGAATGACCATCTATGATGTCCTGGAAGTACTCAGACTCATTCTTTTCTGAATTCCAGAGTTCTTTGATTAATTATAAAGTTTAAGCATTAAGTGAAGGAGTATCATTCGAGCTAGGAGATTACATTTCCAAAATGGCATCCTAATTCTCTTCAACTCCTTGACTCAGAGGTTCAGTCGGTTGCGGTTAACAAGTTTTGTGTTTTGGAGATTTTCGTTTTTATTCTTTGGGCACTTTAAAACTTTAATGTTTCTAAGCATTAAGTGTCCCAGGTACTTATAATTTGCATATGTTTTCTTCTTATTCATCAATGGTGTCAATATTGAGATAGTTATTTTGATTGATTACACTTTCTTTAGGTGATGTGTCCAATGTCATCTACTCGAAGTCTGTTGTTAATGTGTTGCTCATTGGAGTCATCAAGCCTAAGTTCCCCAGTCTTGTAATAACAAAGAAGCCCTTACTTAACTTTCTGGTATTCAGATAACTGTCCCTCTGCATTTTCGGTTCCCTGAAATTCCTTTAGCAACGAAGGCAGATAATCATCATTTTAGTTGTTCATATGGGGAGATTGGAATGATAAATAAAACAAAAAAAATCTTTTATATATTTTTTCTTTCAAAATCAAACATCATTTAGCCTCGATTTTTTATCATAATAATGCATGTGGCTAAAACAACTAATGATTATATGTATGTATATTTATAAATTTTATTGGAGTGTATATACATATAATATTTTAAATTAGTACAACAATGTTGGATGATGATGATGTTGAGATTATTCATTCAAGTCAATCTATCGAAAGTTCACCTAAATAAGTGATTAACTTTTAAATTATTCCCAACCTCTAATCTGATAATCAAGTAATTCGTTATCTAAAATTTAGAAACTGTAGTAGAGCAATAAGTCTCTGGAGATGGAGATCAAACAATATAAGCAATTATTGGAGTAAACCTTGGAAACTCTGCGATAATCTGAAAGAGATCAAAATACTTTGAGTATGACTATTTGAGCATCTAAATTTTAGAACTTTAACTTTCCTAAAAAGATTTTCAACTCTAAGTCATACAAGCGACTGCAGAAGATCGCTAAAAGAGCCAAAGAATTGATTCTCATAAAAAAATAAAAGACAGCAATTCTAGTAAACCATATAAAATATTATAAGACCGAGATTCATTTGGCAATAAATAAACAAATGTGTCTTCAGTTGGTGGTTTTTTATCATCCACTTAAAGTCCTCGTTGTCGATGTGATAGCGTAATTTTGCTTCATCATTATATAGTTTCATTCCCGTGGATAGACACTTATCGAGACCTTGAGAAAGATTCAATTCTCTTTAAAATAAAATGAACAAGCACCTCATTCCTAAGATCTAGTCAAAGTATTATAAGAGTTCGAGGAAAATTTAAAATACTTTTTAACTCTTCATGATTAATATGCAATAGAAGTATTTCGTTACTTTAATTTCTAAATTTAGATTCACCAAAATAAATTGGATTAAACAGAAAAACCTACTTAACTTAAGCAATCCTCCTAACATTCCATGAGTGATCATTTTCATTCCGTGGAAGACTACAATAACAATTAAAGTCCAAATTAGCAGATATTCAACAATGATGATCTCGACACCAGCCAATTCGAAAGTGAATAACACATAAAATTGTAATTTGAGTGTTTCGAAATGTCATTGGCTAAAGTGAATGAGGAAGAAAAACAATAATGGAAATAAAAAATACTATAATTAATTAACACACTTTGAATAATTTTAAATATTATATATGGAAGAAGAAAAATCAGATTAAGTAAGCATCGAACCTTTATTCTTTCCATCCAAAGAGAATGAATAAAAACTTATTCAATTTCTCTCCTAAGCCAAACAATATATTCGTATCTGTGTTTACACATTTACCAATAAAAATATTGTTGGCAAAATGTTGTAGATGATGAAAGAGAATCCTGAATTGAAGATTCAAGTGATCACCGACGATGCTCAGACCAAGATACCTTCATAAAAAGCCATCTTGGATTAAATATTAGAAGAAGGAAAAGGATAGGTATTTTATTAGCGTTATTTTCCCAGGCAGAAATCAAACTCGATAATTCAACGGTTAGTTTGATGCACAATAAATATTTAGTGATTGATACAGATTACATAGCCACGGGTTCCTTTAACTGGACTAAGTCTGCAGTTACAACCAACAAGGAAAACTTACTTTTAATAAAAAGCAAGAAGCTTGTACAACAATTCGATGAAAACTTCTAATAGCTTTGGAAAGACTTTAAATTCATGAATGACAGAATAATAGAGCAACAACAACAAGAAATAGATAAAGCTGAGAGACAAAGATTAAAGGCAGAGAAACTAGCTGACCAAGCTGCAAAAAAGGCGGAATAAGAAGCAAACGCTGATCCTAATAACCCCAATCCTACTCCTGTAGAAGTCGAGGCTAAACCCAAAAAGGCTCCAAAAGAACCTAAACCACCTAAGGAGCCAAAACCTCCAAAAGAACCCAAGCCTCCTAAAGAACCAAAGCCTCCCAAAGAGCCTAAGCCTCCTAAGGAACCAAAAGCTCCCAAAGAGCCTAAACCCCCTAAAGCTCCTAAGGAACCCAAACCAATTAAATAAAAAATTAAGAAAGTGGCCCAACCTAAGAAAAAGAAGGAGAGTTAAGAAAATGAAGATATCAGTGATGATGAAGAATAATAAGATATTTAAAATGATATTGAAGACGATGACGATTTCGAGGACGAGGAAGATTCAATCGAAGACTTTTTGGCAGAAGACGATGATTCTGAAGTTGATTGATAAATTACATAAATAAGAAATAAACAAAATATACATTAATTATGAAAACTAGCTCTTAAAACGAATATTACCGAGGGAATTCAAGAATACAAAGGGAGAAACCTATTTAGAAGGTACTAGAAACTCATCTATCTTATACAAAATCTCCATCAAAGGAGAAACGTAAATTCAATGATGAGTATGAGGGGACAGCTAACAGTAGTTATCAAATCCAACCAAACCTCTTTGTCAATAGGCCTCGTATAGCTCCTTAACCTATGTTTAAAACCACTGTATAAAAACATGGGGTTATCAAATATGTCCTAAAAAGTACAGAAAGAATACATTCAGGATCTCAAAAGCATAATCAAAATTTAAACAAATAGAGATCTGAAAGGGATATATTTTGTAATAAAATGATTTCAGTTTCGACAAAGAGATCATATAAAAAAATTAAATAAGAATATTTCATATCCAATGAAGAAAGTGACATTTTTCAGAGGGCAGAGATAACTTATTTATAGAATAGTGAAGTCGATGTTAAACCCCTTATTGGTGAAGCATTACATTAAATTAATCATTTTGAAAACAAGTTGATTGGAAAAAATAAATATTAAATAATCTCTTATGCAAAAAAAGAAGAAAAGCTGAATACATTGAATTAAACACAAAACGAAATTTTTGATGACGACATTTCTGAGACAAATGTTCTAGTTTTTAAATCTAAGAAAAAATTTTGATTAAATTAACAGATATAATTATATTCACTTTAAACTGAGCATTTTTATGGTAAAAAACTTTAAATTTATATATATTATATATAATATTTTTAGACTTTTTGTTAATTATTTAAATCTTTTTTCTTATATTAGAAATTTAATATTTAATTTTTATATAAAATAATTAAGAACATTTTTTTATCTCTATGAATTCCTAACAATAGATAATAAGTCTTATCAAGAAAAACCTACTTATTAGTTATAGAAATAGAGAAGTATTCATAGAAGCTTTGCTTCCCATCATTGTTTCCATAATGCTCACTTTCAGAGGTAGAATTAGTTGACTTTATTATAGAGTACCTTTCCGAAATGAAATAGTTAATGCCATTGCTTTATAGTTTAGCAACAGCCTCTACGCAGAGATCAATATTGATTAAGTTGGTGGAAGAGAAAAGTAAACGATACAAGGAACTTCAGAAGGTAGATCTATTTATCTTAGCATTAGATTATGGGCATGTCTGAAAAGTCCTATCTGATAGGCTGGGTTCTAACTGGATACATAAGAGTCATAATAGTAAACAACAGAATTATAATTAGGCAGTAATCATTTTTGAGTTGTCTTGGTATTTGATGTTTCCTATATTTGGAATAAGTTGGGAAGAATAATTTAATGAGAGTTTTATCTCCTTGACTTGGCCATATTTTCTATTTTCTATAGCAGTAATGGAAAATGTATATAATTTTAGTCTATGAATCAAATCTTCCTATTTTCAAGTCTGTTTAATGAAGTCAAAATTGCAGGAGAAATCTAAAGTTTTTTTTAGATCGCTTGTGTCTTCTTTATATATTTCACTTTTGTTGAAAGCGCAGCAAATTCCTTCCCATTCTACTTTTTCCTAAGCATTTTCAGTCCCCAATGTAGTATAGCCTTTACTTATATTGCTTCAATGAAACCTGGTATTCCAGGAGATATTTTATCAGCCAATTTATTTCCATCATAATAGATTATGGATATATACTCACCAACATATGAGGGAACTCAGATGGCTGTTTAAGCTGTTGTCTATTTTCTCCTATTTTTATATTGCGAATAAGTAATTCCAAATGAATATGGAGTAGCCAAGGAACCCTTATTCTTTCTAAAAACGAATAAAGTGTAAATCAAAGAAAATGATTTATTCGCTTAACTAACAACAGATGATAACGATGTGAGTTCTGCTATTTATCATGAAGAAATAAAGTATCCTGCCCCTCCCAGTATAATAATTAAGAATTTATAAAAAAAGTTTGGAACACTCAAAGCAGTTGATAATATCTCACTCTACCTATATGAATCAGAGATATTTTGTTTGTTGGGACATAATGGTGCTGGAAAGACTACTGCTATAAGTGTGTTGACTGGGATGATTTCAAAAACATCAGGGTTGGTTAGCATGTATGGAATGAACTTGGATACTTAATTGGCTAAGATAAGATAATCCTTAGGTCTTTGTACATAGAAGGATTGCTTATATGAAGATTTAACAGTAGAGGAAAACCTAGAGTATATCAGTTCCATAAAGGGGAGAGTTGATAAATAAGAAATACTTGATATATTGAGGAAAACTGATCTAATTGGAGAGAGATCTCTTGAGGTGAAAGTTCTATCTGGAGGATCAAAAAGGAAGTTGTCTTTAGGAATGAGTTTAGTGGGAAATTCAAAGATTATATTTTTGGATGAGCCTACTTCCGGAATGGATGCATATTCAAGGAGATAAATTTGGACTATCCTAGAGAGAATAAGATAGGATCAAAGAACAATAATATTAACGACTCATCATCTTGATGAGGCTGAAGTCTTGGCCAATAGGATAGGAATTATGTCGAAAGGTTAATTATTGGCTGTGGGAACATCCAATTTCATTAAAAAGAAATTTGGAGAAGGTTACAATCTTAAATTAACATTTAATGATGTTTCTTTGAAAAATTAAATTTATGAGAAAGTCAATAAATATGTACCAGAATGTTTTTTGGAGACAGAACATTCCAATGAAAACTAATATGTATTTAATATTCCTTTTACTTCTAAAAATTCTCTTGGGTAATTGTTTTAGGAGTTAGAAGAAATATCTGTCTAAATTGGATTGTCCATGAAAACACTTGAAGACGCTTTTGTCAAAATAGGTATGGAAGAAGAACAGGCTCAACTCTCTTTTAGAAGAAAGAGTGAGATATAAGTTGCTAAATAAAGTTTAGGCATTCCTGCTACTGATGATGAAAATGAACGAGATAACTAGGAGTTCTATTCTTATCCTGTTGAAGTTAAAGATGAAGAGGTTGAAAATGATATAAAATCAATACCTAAATGTTTGTCTAATGATCCTTAGTATTCCTTTTTCAGTTAAATCATGGCAATTTTCTTAAGGAGATACTATACTGTAGTTAGAACAACTACTAATTATTTTTCGATAATCATTCCTATGATTGCTTTTATTAATGGACTTGTTGTTGTTGCCTACGTTAAATTTTAAGACGAAGAGTACAAGTTATTACCTGATTTTGTTTTGGATCACTTTAAAATTAATCTCCTAGCATCTTGTTGCGTGATCGCATTCTGTTTCAATGCTACTATTTATATCACTTAACCTGTCCTTGAAAAAGAATACTTCTTGAAATAATCATTACATGGCATGGGTTTAAGAAACTCAACCTATTGGTTAGGAACATTTTTATTCGATCTAATCATATTCTTTTTAAATTTGCTGCTATTTTTAATAGTTTCAGCCTTATTAGACTTAAATATTGTGTTTGATAATATTATAAGAGCGCTTTCATGCTTTTTATTATTTGGACCAAGTTAAATTTTATTCGCTTATATAATGGGATTTGTATTTAATAAATTGGAGAGTGCATTAAAATTGTTCACTATCTTTTGTTTTTTTATACTCTTTTGTTTACCCAATATCATATTTGCCTTTACTTTCTTCTTTTACTAAGAGTTTGATAAACCTACATTCCTTGAGAATCTCATTTATGTTTTTGAGATTTTGTTTTCAGTATTATTTTAAATTAAAAATAGGTCATCTCGCCATTTTATGCCTTCTTCTCAGCATATTTGTTCACCGCCAATAATTATGATGATGTAGAAGCCTTTTTTGAAGCTCCCTATTTGTTAACAACAACTGAAGGATATTTATTAATTATTTTTGGATAGATAGTTGTTTTTGCTGGGGTTTTGTTCTTCTTAGAAAATAAAAAATCATTTTTGATCCACCATCATACGTAATAAGAAATCCAAGACAATGTAGAAGAGGAAGTTCAAAATGAAAGAGAAAGAGTTCTTAAACCTAATAATAATGATCCCATTAAATCTAAATTTTTGGAAAAATAATATATTAAGGGCAAACCAACTTTGTAGTAACTTACATTCAGTGTGAAAAAGGGGGAGATTCTGGGAATTATTGGTCCAAATGGAGCTGGTAAATCTACATTAATTAATATTTTTTCTGGAATTAACACCCCAACAGCTGGTCAGGCATTGTTAAATGATTATGAACCAAAATAATAGATCATGAGTATTATGTAACATGTTGGAGTTTGTCCACAATTTGATTGTATCTGGGAAAATCTCACTCCTGTAGAGCATCTTTAATTATTTGGTAGAATCAAAGGATTACAAGGGAAAGAATTGTCAACTGCTGTTGCATATTTCATTAAAACTATGCAATTAGATTTGTTTATTAAGACAAAAGCTGGTTAATTGAGTGGTGGTAACAAAAGAAAACTGTGTGTTGCTGATGCCTTAATTGGAGGAAGTGATATAACCTTTTTTGATGAACCGAGTACTGGAGTAGACCCAATTTCTAGAAGATTTTTATTTAATACATTAAAGAGAAATATCCAATTAAGAGCTTGCTCAGCAATTATGACAACTCATACCATCGAAGAAGCTGAAAGTCTTAGTGATAGAATCGGAATATTGATAGCTGGACAATTCAAATGTTTAGGTTCACCTTAGGATTTAAGACAGTATTTATTTCAATTTATTATTAGAAAACACGGAAGTGGTTATCAAATCTAAATTAAATATATCAATCCTTAAGTGACTAGTAACATTTAAAACTAATTTCCCAATGCCTAATAAATAGAAGAAAGGAGGGAGGGTTATTTGATGTACTCTGTTCCAAAAGAAGGATTTAGTTTTTATAAGTCATTTAACTTTTTCTAGAGGTAACAATAAGAAGGCAATATAGAGGATTTCTAAATTGAGGAAAAGTATTTTATTAGTATAATATTTAGCTCTTTGGAATAAGTGTTTATTCATTTTAGTAAAATTCAATAGGAAATAAATGAGAAGGAGGGCATGGCCTTTGATTGATATTAATTATTTTTATTGTTGTAAATTATTATATATTTACATAAAACGCCTAATGAGTTTTGCTAAATAAGCCATCATTTTATGTTTGTTATTATATAATAACGCAGGGTATATTTCCATCTAATTATAGATTTACTACTTTAAATCTATCGAACCATTAATAGGGTAACTTAAAGGAAGTTGAAATGCAATTAAGTAATCAAAAGTAGTTGTCGAGTCTATCATAACTGTAAAATTAAATTCCATATAGAGAAATTTTGCAAATCAATTCTCATATAATCACTCAGTATGAAAAAGAATCTGAGGATTTAATAGAAAGAAATAATAATTAAAGCACATTAATTTAATTAAAAAAATTATAAGATGCGGGATAATCATAAATATTAATAGGGGAAGATTACTAAGTGATTGATTTAACAAATCCCTAAGAAGTAAATACAAAAACATAAGAGGAATCATAAAATTAATCATGCTAAAATGCAAATTCATAAATAATTAAGGATAAAACTGATTCTGATAACAACCAACTTGAACTTAATTCTTAGTATGAAAATACATTATAATAAAATGCATAGAATGAGGAATTCACCTTTAACGAAGAAGCAGGCTACATGAGTGACTCACCTTAAGATTTTGACTTAAATAATGATTCAAAATAGTTGAATAGGAGCCTAAGTAACTAAGAAGACTAAGGAAATTAATCTCTATAGAAATAGGAAGATGATGTTGTTAATAAGGAAGATTAATAATAAAAACCAAACGAATTTTAGGAATTAAATAAGGGGGAAAATGAAGTCGAGTTTAAATAAAATGAAGGCCTAATTGATAAGTAAAGTACAGAGGAAACTTTTAAGGTAAATGAAATAATGAAGAGTTAATTGAATGGTCAAGATGCTACAGATAATTAAGTCAGCCATAATAATGATCAATCAGAGATGTTCCACTCATAAAAAATGAAGGCAGAGTAAAGCGAACAATTATAAGATTCAATACAAGTAGGTTATATTATTGAAAATAATGTTGAAACTGATGATTATTTAGAGGATGTTGAAAATGCTGAAAGAAACTCCCAAAAGTAGTAGGATCTGCAATAGAAATTAGAATAGGAAGAATAATATTTGAAATAGTTAAAAAATAATGAATAAGATGATGAAAATAAATTAAATTAATTAGAAGAACAAAAAAATGAAATACATAATTCAGAATAACATGAATAATAAGAAATTAAGTAGATAAATGAGTAAATTGATATCTACGAGCAGAAGCTATAGGAAATATAATCTAATTCTTAGAATCAAAGCAAAAGTTAAAATACAGAATCTTAACTTGAAGAATAAACATAATTTAGGCCTTATGAAGGTTAAGAATTAATTATTTCTTCAGAAGTAAATTATGATGAAGGGAATATGGAATAATTTGAATATACTGAGAATAATTAGGTTATCTAGGAATATGTTGAGAATAATTAAGATTTTGAACAAAAAGCTGAAACACTAGTACTATAAGATGATGAATAAAATAATAACTTTAATTGGAACTAAAATACATAACATTAGAATACTTTTGGATAAGGCAATTATTTTAGCAATAGTGAAAAAGAAGATAACAATGTTTAAGACTTTGATGAATCAGTTCCAGCTTAGCCATAAGAAGTTTCCATTGATTTAAATTTAAAACCAAGTGATCTTATAACTCAGATCAATTTAAGTGAAGATGTTTTAATGAAAGCAACTAATGAGATGACTTATTTAGATTAAAACACTAGGGATGAAGAGAATTAAATTATAAACTTTGAAGATTATAATTAATAATCAAATAAAGAGGATTAAAATTAAATACTATCCATAAATTCATAAGTAACGTTAGTTCAGTTGAGTAATCCTGAGTTTATTAAACAAGACTAGAGTATTGAGACTGATAATCTATTAGTTTATTAATAATAGAGTTATCATAAGCAATTCAAATAAATTAATAAAGATTTATCTCTTTACTAAATGCAATAATTAATAAAGAGAACTTCAACTAATGCAAATTTAAGAGTAAGAGGACGTATTCAAGATTTAATAGATGCTTAGTAGCCCTCCTTGTTATATTAAAGTATGTAAGCACTATAATTTATATTAACTAGATAATTAGAAATAACCTAACGATTAATATGATTAAGATAGAAATCATTCCTTTTTAATAGATTAAAATATTTAAAGATATACCGAGATTTTAAATTAGAGCAATCAATTGCCCACTAAAAATATAGAAACTCAAAATGAAAAGGAATAATAAGTTAGGGTATCTATGAATAGTAATAAAATTCCTAATAGTATCAATCAATTTTGGGAATATGAAAATTTATAACAGATAAGGATTTGAAATTATTATGTATAATTTATATTATAAATAAAATTGTATATTTTAATGACTTCTTGTTAATTTAGTTAAGATAAATTAATTTGAATTAATGCTGATAAGTTTAGTGAATAATTCATAATCAAAACTATAATTAAATTTTCTATGTAACTCTTGGCTCTTAAGGATATGTAAAATTGTAAGGTAAATTTAGGAGAGTGTAGTCTCAGATGATAGGATTTTTCATAGTATTATAATAAATTTTATATAATATGAATAATGGTCTGGTTATATCCATTTTAATGACAAAAATAAATCATAAATAATATGCAAAAATTTAGGAATATAGCATCATTTTCGACAATCCCATCGTATTTTAGTCTTGACCCAAATTAAATGTAAGAGAGTCTTTTCAATAATTAATATTAGATCTGCTCGCAATCCTCATAAGGCTCAAAACTTTTTGCGTGGAAAATGGATTGATGCTCATAAATATCAAACAATAGTAGATCCATTGAATGGTGAACCATTTATTACAGTGCCTGATGTCTAGGATAGATAAGAGTTATAGAAATTTGTTGATTCAGCCAAAGAATGTCCAATTAGTGGATTACATAATCCATTAAAAAACCCATAAAGATATTAAATTTATGGCGAGGTATGTCATAAAATAGCAGCAGAACTTAAAAAAAAAGAAGTTCATGATTTCTTGGTGAAATTAATTTAAAGAGTTGTACCCAAGCATTTTGCATAAGCATCAGGAGAAGTAGTAGTGACAGAGAGATTTTTTTAAAACTTTAGTGGTGATCAACCTCGTTTTTTAACTAGATCATTCAATGTCGCTGGGGATCGTCCTGGATAATAATCATCAGGATATAGATGGCCTTATGGATCTTGTGCTGTTGTGGCTCCATTTAATTTTCCATTAGAAATACCAAGTTTACAGATATTTGGTGCTTTGATCACAGGAAACAAAGTCTTCTTCAAAGGAGACAGCCGAGTAAATGTTGTAATGGAATAAATGTTGAGATTAGCTCTTCATTGTGGATTACCAGCTACAGATGTAGATATGTTATTTGGAAATGGTGAAGCGACTGAATTTATTTTAAAACAGGGAAATTTCAGAAACACTTAATTTACAGGATCATCAAAGGTTGCAGAACATTTAACAAAAGTATTGAATGGAAAGATAAGAATTGAAGATGCTGGATTTGATTGGAAAATACTTGGGCCAGATGTTCCAGATGTGGATACTCAAAATTATGTTGCATGGCAATCTGATTAGGATGCATATGGAAGCACTGGTTAGAAATGTTCAGCTTAAAGCATTCTTTTTGTTCATGAAAATTGGGTTAAGGCAGGATTTCTTGATAAAATTAAACAACTAGCTAGTACGAGAAAATTATAAGATTTAAGCAATGGTCCTATTATCACATGGAACAATACATAAATTAAATAGCATATTGACAATATTTTGAAGATTCCTTAATCCAAAGTATTATTCGGTGGATAAGAATTGAAAAATCACACTATTCCATCAATTTATGGAGCATTTGAACCCACAGCCTTGTATGTTCCATTAGAATAAATCTAGAAGAATAAAGCAGTGACCACCGAATTGTTTGGACCATTTTAGATAGTCACTACTTATTCTTCTGATTAAATCAATTAGGTTTTGGATGTTATCAATAACCTTGAAAACCACTTGACTGCAGGCATAGTTAGTAATGATGTGAATTTCTTAAGACATGTTTAATCCAATACAACTAATGGAGTGACTTATAGGTAATGCGAGATACAATTATTTTAGTGGTATAAGAGCAAGAACTACAGGTGCTCCACAAAATCATTGGTTCGGACCATGTGGAGATCCAAGAGGGGCAGGTATTGGCACTCCTGAAGCAATATTATCTGTGTGGACATGTCACAGAGAGATTATACATGATACAGATCTAGCTCCTTAAGGATTCAAAGGATAATAAAGTTGATTATTGTTTAATATATAGACAATATAAAATTAATCCAAAATAGTTTCATTATCGTATCCAATCCAATAATTTGATGGTATCTTGCCATCTTTGATCCACCGATCTGCAATTTAGGAGTACTATAATGTAGGAATTTTGGTTGTCCTCAAAATACTCTACAACACATGGGCCAGCCTCTTTTGTTATGCCTGTCTTAACTCCTCTGAATCCCTGATATAGCATTTTATTGGTGTTTTCCCAAAAGATTTCCTTAGACTCTCCAAATTTGTCTTCGATTTCACTAAAATAGATTTTGGTCTTGACAATGCTAGCGAACTGTAGGTTTTACATGGCATTATAAGTTAAGACGCCAATATCATATGCAGAGGAGTAATTGTCTTCGTGATACAAACCTTTTGGATACATGAATAATAATACCATGTGGATTAGAATAGGAGGTCATTTCCATTCCGATGTCTTAGGCACTTTGATTCATTTGTTAAATAAAGTCGCAACCTTTATAAAGTTCAAAATTGTGTTGTAAGGAGATTGCTGCATCATTACCAGATGGTAACATCAACCCATAGAGCAGATCTCTAATGCTGAGTTTATCACCGCTTTAGAGTTGAGCTGTAGTGCCTCCAATCCTTTCTGCCTATATTTAAGCTATGAACTACTTTTTCTGGCACTGTGAAATAGGTGTTATCAAGGTCCAAGTGAAATTGCTGTGTGAGTTTAAGTGCAAGCCAACATGTCATGATTTTAGTGATTGAAGCCATTTGTCTGCTTTTATAGTGATTTTGGCCGCTCATCAATTGTCCATTCTTCCCATTAATGATGCACCAACTTTGCGCAGAAACCAATGGGCCGACACTGTCAATGGGTGAAATGGAGATTTATTAGGGAAGCATGCGTTTAGCCCTTGAAATCGAGGAGGCAGTCTTAGGTTTGATGGGGGATTATTAATATTTTTCTGTGCTCTTCTTGGAATAGAAGGAATTGTTGGCAGTGGAGTTGAGTTGTTTGACCCTGTTGTTTTTAGGGTGGTTGTACATGTGAAATCTTTTGGAGTCCATGATGGTTGTCTTTTGCTTTTTTTGTTCTGGTTCCTTTTCTTTTTATTGTTGTTGAATTGCGGAGACCTTTCTGACTTGGAACTTATCTACGGGTTCAATTGATCCAATAAATACTTTACTTATACTCTCTGAATATTCTTTGGGCCAACATTAAGGTGCTATTGAGATTATCAGTTTGAGGTTGCCAAAGTAATTGATTGCGATAGTTATTTGTGCTTGTGGGTTGGTATTTGAGACTGAGGACTTGCTGTTTGTTTTCGGAGTATTCTTGCTTCATGTAAAATATTAATATTGAAATTGGCAAATATAATTTTATTAGTTTGGAAGTTAATATTTACATTCAATCTAATACTTGGATGTAATGTATTAGAACCAAATATTTATTTGTAGAAGTTACACAGATAAATAAATATATATAAATTATAAATAATAACTGATGGGCAATGAGATTTCGAATGGAAGTCCAGGAGACCTGGAATAAATGAAAAGATTCATGAACATGTCGCCAGGTTAAGTTAAATTGATAAAGTAATCATGATCTTCGAATTGTATTTTAGAGAGAAATTCGAATTGATGGCAGACGAGGATCTCACTATTGATAGAAATGGGTTTATATAGTTGATGAAGTTGAAAGAGACTGAAGTCGACAAGGTGTTTTAATTTTTTGACATCAGCAATGATGGCCGAATTGACAGTCATGAATTTGTATGTGCTTTGAGTCTTTTGAGTTAAGCCACCTTGAAGGTAATTCTAGAATTATTATATCGAAGGAAAAAGCAAACATAATATTTTCCTTATATGACTTTGATCACAACAAAACAATCACTCGAAATGAATTGGTCATTCTGATCAAGACTACTTTGACAGCCTTGGGAGCCATGTCACAGAAGGGAGAATGTACCATCCAAGAGGCAGAGAGAATCTCAGATGAATTGCTAAGGAAGTACGATACAAACAAGGATGCCTCAATATCTTTGTCTGAATTTCATAGGTATGATTATATTTTAATAATTATTTCGCAGTCTTTTGTCAAAAGATTAAGATGTACTCAAGATGCTCCTATCCTATGGCTTATGCTCACTGGAAGACTTGAGATCTGATTTTGGAGGAGCCTAACAGGGTGATGTCCCATATCCAGACTCCGATTTGGAGAGTGAGACTCAGAGAAGACAATTGGCTTATGATTAGAAAAGAGAAATGAGGAAAATTGGCATTGAGGCCAATCTTGAAGAGGACAACACTCGCGTGTAAACAGAGAATAATTAGAAGATGAGCAAATTGACAAACAAAGAGGTTTGGAAAAATTAAGTGAAGAATGGTTACCCATCCTCTTGGAAACCAGGCAAAGGAGATATCAATCCACCAAGTACTTTTATGGAATTGGATTACATATATGGATTCAGAAGTTTTGATACCAGAAACAATATTAAATTTGTTGATTAAGAATTGGTCTATTTTACTGCTGCAGTTGGAGTGGTTTATAATCCATAGACAAATTAATAAAGGTTCTTCTTTGAACACACAGATGACATCACATGCATAGATGTTTATGATAAGTATGTTGCAACTGGTTAGGCAGGGTAGATTCCTCCTATTTATATTTGGGAAGTTAAGGATTAAATAGAACCCTCTAGAGCTGCTTTTAAAGGAATTTTAAGACAGGGAGTGCAATGCTTAGCATTTTCAAATGATGGCAAGAAGTTGGCTGCTGTGAGTATGGATGACGATCACACTTTGGTTGTTTATGATGTAGATAAAGGAATAGATGCAAGATTAAAAGGAGATGTATCATAGGCTTTATTAGCCACCGGTAAAGGGCCTAGGTCATTTGTATTCGATATTAAATTTGATAAAGTTGACAAGTATTTGATTTTGGCATGCAAGAATGAAGTATACTTTTGCAGTTACGATTAAAATCAAATAAGATTGAATCTAGGAATATGGGATACAAAAACGTCACCATTCTCATCAGTGTTATGCATCGCATTATGTGATAACAATGTGATAACAGGTACTTACAGAGGATAACTATTAATCTGGAAGAGCAATAGAGCTACTACAGCAGTGGATGCTCATAAGAGTGCAGTTCTAGCTATTCATACAAAGAGAGGTTAGGAAGGTGGGGTAGTATCAGGCAGTAAAGATGGAACAATCATTGTCTGGGATATAAACATGAAAGCTAAGGAGAAGATAAATGTACTCAACTTGAATTTAAAAATATTCAATTTCAAAGTTTAAAGTGTTACAATCGGACCAAATGATTAAGAGAAATCTGTCCATTTAGTGTTTGGAACAAGAGGATCAGATATGGTAGAGGTTTAAGGATCAAAAAATAAGGTGTTAATGAGAGGACATTCTATTGGAGTCTTAAGAGGATTGGCTATGCATCCAAAATTTCCTACTTTTTACACCATAGGAGAAGACAATATTTTGGCTTGTTGGTTGATCAAGGATAAGAAGATGTCAAGTTGCATGAGATTAGATTATCCTAGCAGTGCTATTCATATAAGCAAAGATTACAAATATCTGGCTGTTGGTAGTACAAATGGAACTGTACTTATAATTGATCCTAAAACTTTGATGCCTACTTTTAATTTTAAAGATAGAGATGCTGAAGTCTCATGTCTCAAGTTCTCTCCCGATACTGAATAATTAGCAGTTGGTCATGATGCTCCAAGTTGTGATGTCATCATATATTCAATTAAGAATCATTTCAAGAAGACTAATGTTTTAAGAGGATCTCCTGCAAGAGTTATTAGTATTGATTTCTCATCGACATGCAGAGTTTTATAAATTAATGATTGGAGTTAGTAAGTACTCTATTATGAATTGGGAGGAGAAAATAACCAAAAAGTATAGCCTGATGGATCTTAGAAATATAAAGATGAAAAGTGGGCAACATATACAGCTATTTATGGATGGCATGTTTTGGGAGTATGGCCACCTTTGTCAGCTGGATGTGATATCAATGCTGTCGACAGATCTAACAAAGGAGACATTATAGTGTCAGCAGATGACTATTCTGGAATCAAGATATTCAGATATCCTGCTGCATAACCAGGTCAAGGATTTTAGAGATATGTGGGACATGCAGCACATGTGACCAATATTAGATTCTCAGCTGATGACGAATACATCATATCATTGGGTGGAGCAGACAAGTCAATTATGCAATGGAAAGTCTCACATGATAAGGATGCTTAGATTGAGTAAGATCAGGCATGCGAATCCATTCAAGACGTTTAGATATCCAAAGATTATTATAGACTCAATTTAAATGAGGAGGAGAATAAATAGGAAGGGTAGAAATAGTATTAAGCCTTTGTTAAAGCCACTTAACCGACCAATTTTAAATTTGATGAGAAGAAATATAATGTATTGCCTTAAGGTAACATAACACTTGATTATGTTTTGGGCATGAAAACAGATTAGTTGGGTTAGGATTACTTTAATGGAGTTAAATTATTGGAAAATGGCAAGATTGCATTCTCTTGTGGTGCTGTTGGTATTGTTATGGATCCTAATATGCCTGTTGGATAATAATATTGTACTTAAACTTATTTCAGATATCATTAGGATGAAATCACTTGCATTGCCATTCATCCAAGAGGAAGAATTGTTGCAACAGGAACTAAGGCTTTTGCTTTGAATGAGAAGCAATTAACAGCTATCTGCATATGGGAAGCTGAATCTAAGAAGGTTTTGTCAATGTTGAATGATTTTCATACTAAAATGATTTATTGCTTAGAGTTCTCATATGATGGTGTCTTTTTATTATCATTTTCTTCAGAATATTCAATTGCAATTCACGATTGGCAAATTGGGCAATTGATTATTACAGTGAAGACTATGAGATCTAATATTTATGGAATTTGCAGTAAGTCATCCACTGAATTCATGTCTTGCGGATAGAGAAATGTCACCTTCTATAAAATGAATGGCAGGAATGTCAAAAGCTATCCAGGTATCTTAAATAGCAATCAATTCGAACCCATGTTGTGCTGTTGTGTTGCATTTAAAGATTCATATGAAATCACAGGATCTGATAATGGAAACATCTTTCTCTGGAAGGAAAACAAAAACATCAAACATTATTAGGCTCATAGATCCAAAGTAAGTTCATTGGTTGCAGTTGGAAAGACTTAATTATATAGTAGTGGTTTGGATGGATAAATTAAGGTTTGGGAAATGAATGGAAATAACTTAAATAATGTTGCAACAGTCATTGATATTACTGAAGCTCTTCATTAGCCTAAGTAAATTGGTATCATATCAATGGACATTAAGAATGACTAGATTATAATAGCAACAAAATAAGCTTAGATGTATCATGCATCACTCAAAAATATCTAGAATATCAAATTGCTACTCGATTGTCATTATGGTGGAGAAGTGTGGGGAGTTGCAGCCAGTCGCAATTCATAAACCATTATTACTTGTGGAGGAGACAGCGTACTACGTTAATGGGATATCAATCAATATACTTTGGTTAAAAGTTCTTCTCCATTTGAAAATGATATACGAGCAGTGGATTGGAGTTCTGATGGCAAATACATAGCAGTTGGAGATGTACGTGGATGCATTTACTTAGTTGAACCAACAAATATGAATATTTTGGATAAGAAGAATTCTAAAGCAGGTTCGCTTAAATAAAGTGCTCAAGGGAAAACATTTTGGATTGAGGACATCAAGTTTTCACCTGATAGCACTAAAATTGCATTTGGTGCTCATGGCACATAATCATAAATAGAGGTATGGGAAATTGAGGGAGGCAAATTTAGTAAATAGAGTTCAATAAACATCTCATTGAATAGCAGTTTGATTAAATTAGATTGGGCTATGGATTCAATTCATATAGTAGTGAATTCATCAACTTATGAGTTGAAATTTGCAAATGTCTAATCTTTGAAGGATGTTCCAGGACCTTAAGTGAAAGAATTGGATTGGTATTCTTGGACTTGTTTATTTGGTTTCAATGTATAAGGAATCTACAAAAAGGATGAATATTCAGTCACTGCAGTTTGTGTTGATAACCAAAGGTAGATCTTGGCAACAGGAGAATATAATGGTATCATAAATCTGTATCAGTATCCTGCTGTTTGCTAGTTCAATTAAATACATAAAGAGTATCCTGGACATGCAAATGCTATAACAAGAATGAGATTCTCATTTGATGATACTAAATTGATTTCAACAAGTGGTATGGATAGGGGAATATTCATTTGGAAAACAGATTGGTCTAAATCATAGTAGTAGTTAATGTTGTAGGATGAAAATGCTTACGGAAAATACGATGAGGATATTGATGATTTGGCTGCTCTAGCAGTTCCACAGGAAAAGATTAGAAGGTTTGGATCTGATAAGTATGGCAAGGTGAGAAGAAGAGATAATCAATTCGAAAAGAATGAAGATCAATAGAATTACAATGACTAGAATGAGAAAGGAGACGAATTCACTATCATTCGACCATGGATGGGAGCTATTAAAGAACCATCCAATTATTATAAAGATCCATTGAACCAAAATAAACAGCCGTTGGTGGAATTGACCTTAGAATATGTTCATGGATATCGTAGCAAGGATTGCAGAAACAATGTGAAATACTTAAAGAGAGGACAGATTGTTTATAATGTTGCTGCATTGGCTGTTGTCTTAGATCCCAATCCCAATGCAAATACCAATTCAAATGCACAAAGATTTTTCAATTAACATACTGAAGATGTAGTTTGTTTGGATGTGTCTAACGATCAACTTAAGGTAGCTACTGGATAATTAGGAGCTAATCCTCTTATCTATATATGGGAAAGTAACACTTAAGCAAGCATCTGTTTGTTAAAAGGCTACTTCACAAAGGGAATTTTACACTTGGCATTTAATGATTCAGGAGATAAATTGGCTGCGATTGGAATGGATGAGTGCCATTAATTATGCATTTTTGATATAATATCTAAGACTTAAACAGGAGGAACTCTGTTGGTCAGAGATCAAATTGGAAAGGATATTGTCACAAGTATTAAATGGAAAAATGACTCTGAATTTGTTACTTGTGGATTAAACCATCTTAAATTCTGGAAATTAGGACATGGAGGTTTGACTTATACTAAAGCTTATCCTTAAAAACCCCTATCTTATAAATATTTATCTGCTGCTGTCAATAATGAAGATTACTTGTTGGGTGGTGTAGATGGATCCTTGTAAATATTCTCTGGTGGCAAATTCACAGCTTATTACTAATATCTGGAGGCCAATCGATCATTAGAAGCTATTAGTGTTTCCAAAGATTTGTAATCATATTTATATTCATCATTAGTATTCTTATTGGAGGAGCTGATTCTAAGATTGTCATTCTAGATTCCAAGACCTACAAATCCATATTATCCTTCAAATTATCAGAATGCATGAGGAATTCATTGGGATTAGAAGTCAAGTCCATTTAGTTAGGATATGATTAGAAGACTTTGCTTGTCTCAACTAATTCTGGAGATATAGTTGAATTAGTTACTAAGGATGCCAAAATCAATATTAATTCCAAGTTTGCTGTTTCTAAAACCTTAATGAAATCTCATTGTTCTCCAAATAAGCGATCTTTGAATGAAATTNATATCCTGGACATGCAAATGCTATAACAAGAATGAGATTCTCATTTGATGATACTAAATTGATTTCAACAAGTGGTATGGATAGGGGAATATTCATTTGGAAAACAGATTGGTCTAAATCATAATAGTAGTTAATGTTGTAGGATGAGAATGCTTACGGAAAATACGATGAGGATATTGATGATTTGGCTGCTCTAGCAGTTCCACAGGAAAAGATTAGGAGGTTTGGATCTGATAAGTATGGCAAGGTGAGAAGAAGAGATAATCAATTCGAAAAGAATGAAGACCAATAGAATTACAATGACTAGAATGAGAAAGGAGATGAATTCACTATTATTCGACCCTGGATGGGAGCTATTAAAGAGCCTTCCAATTATTATAAAGATCCATTGAACCAAAATAAACAGCCTTTGGTGGAATTGACCTTAGAATACGTTCATGGATATCGTAGCAAGGATTGCAGAAACAATGTGAAATACTTAAAGAGAGGACAGATTGTTTATAATGTTGCTGCATTGGCTGTTGTCTTAGATCCCAATCCCAATGCAAATACTAATTCAAATGCACAACGATTTTTCAATCATCATACTGAAGATGTGGTATGTTTGGATGTGTCTAATGATCAATTTAAGGTAGCTACTGGATAATTAGGAGCTAATCCATGTATTTACATATGGGAAAGCAACACTTAAGCCATTATCTGCTCACTTAAAGGTTATTTTACAAAAGGAATCTTGCAATTGGCATTTAATGACTCAGGAGATAAATTGGCTGCTATTGGAATGGATGATTGTCATCAATTATGCATTTTTGACATACAATCTAAATCTTTGACTGGAGGAACATTACTGGTCAAGGATCAAATTGGTAAGTATATTGTCACAGACATTAAATGGAAAAATGATTCTGAATTTGTTACATGTGGCTTAAATCATCTTAAATTCTGGAAATTAGGACATGGAGGTTTGACTTACTCTAAGGCTTATCCTTAAAAACCTCTGTCTTATAAATACTTATGTGCAGCTGTCAATAATGAAGATTATTTGTTGGGTGCTGTTGATGGATCCTTGCAAATCTTCTCTGGTGGCAAATTCACAGCATTTTACCAATATTTAGAGGCTAATCGATCATTAGAAGCTATTAGTTTTTCCAAAGATTTGTATTTATAATTATATTCATCTTTAGTATTCTTATTGGAGGAGCTGATTCTAAGATTGTCATTATAGATTCCAAGACTTACAAATCCATTTTATCTTTTAAATTATCAGAATGCATGAGAAATTCTTTGGGATTAGAGGTCAAGTCCATTTAGTTAGGATATGATCAAAAGACTTTACTTGTCTCAACTAATTCTGGAGATATTGTTGAATTAGTTACTAAAGATGCCAAAATCAATATTAATTCCAAGTTTGCTGTTTCAAAAACCTTAATGAAATCTCATTGTTCTCCAAATAAGCGATCTTTGAATGAAATTTGGGGTTTGGCTATTAACCCATAGGATTCTGATCAATACTATACTTGTGGAGATGATGGAACTCTAAGATCTTGGTCTATCAGTCAAAAGAAAATGCTCAATTGCATCAAAACCAATCTTGATGTTAATGGAGCAGAAATCAAACAAGATGAAGTTGGTGAATTGCCTGATAATACAAAAGGTAGATGTATAGCTGTTTCTTTGGATGGTATTTCGATATGCGTAGGATTTAAGGATGGAACATTTAGAGTATTTTATAATTAATTACGTTAAGATTTATGATAAAGAATTCAAATAAAAATATGTGAATAGATTGGCCAAAGAGTGGATTAGTGATATCAAATTCAGTCATGATCAATCTTGGATTGCAATTGGATCTCATGATAATTCCATATATATCTATAGTTTCCCAGATATGAAACAACGCTACAAACCACTCAAGAAACATTCAAGTTACATTACTCATATTGATTTCTCCATAGATGGAAATCATCTTCATAGCAATTGTGGAGGGTATCTAATTAACATATATATTATTCAGATATGAATTGTTGTTTTGGGAACTTCAATCTGGTAAACAATTGCCCAATGGAGCAAATTAATTAAGAGATGAAAAATGGTTGACTTGGACTACNTCCATGTATTTACATATGGGAAAGCAACACTTAAGCCATTATCTGCTCACTTAAAGGTTATTTTACAAAAGGAATCTTGCAATTGGCATTTAATGACTCAGGAGATAAATTGGCTGCTATTGGAATGGATGATTGTCATCAATTATGCATTTTTGACATACAATCTAAATCTTTGACTGGAGGAACATTACTGGTCAAGGATCAAATTGGTAAGTATATTGTCACAGACATTAAATGGAAAAATGATTCTGAATTTGTTACATGTGGCTTAAATCATCTTAAATTCTGGAAATTAGGACATGGAGGTTTGACTTACTCTAAGGCTTATCCTTAAAAACCTCTGTCTTATAAATACTTATGTGCAGCTGTCAATAATGAAGATTATTTGTTGGGTGCTGTTGATGGATCCTTGCAAATCTTCTCTGGTGGCAAATTCACAGCATTTTACCAATATTTAGAGGCTAATCGATCATTAGAAGCTATTAGTTTTTCCAAAGATTTGTATTTATAATTATATTCATCTTTAGTATTCTTATTGGAGGAGCTGATTCTAAGATTGTCATTATAGATTCCAAGACTTACAAATCCATTTTATCTTTTAAATTATCAGAATGCATGAGAAATTCTTTGGGATTAGAGGTCAAGTCCATTTAGTTAGGATATGATCAAAAGACTTTACTTGTCTCAACTAATTCTGGAGATATTGTTGAATTAGTTACTAAAGATGCCAAAATCAATATTAATTCCAAGTTTGCTGTTTCAAAAACCTTAATGAAATCTCATTGTTCTCCAAATAAGCGATCTTTGAATGAAATTTGGGGTTTGGCTATTAACCCATAGGATTCTGATCAATACTATACTTGTGGAGATGATGGAACTCTAAGATCTTGGTCTATCAGTCAAAAGAAAATGCTCAATTGCATCAAAACCAATCTTGATGTTAATGGAGCAGAAATCAAACAAGATGAAGTTGGTGAATTGCCTGATAATACAAAAGGTAGATGTATAGCTGTTTCTTTGGATGGTATTTCGATATGCGTAGGATTTAAGGATGGAACATTTAGAGTATTTTATAATTAATTACGTTAAGATTTATGATAAAGAATTCAAATAAAAATATGTGAATAGATTGGCCAAAGAGTGGATTAGTGATATCAAATTCAGTCATGATCAATCTTGGATTGCAATTGGATCTCATGATAATTCCATATATATCTATAGTTTCCCAGATATGAAACAACGCTACAAACCACTCAAGAAACATTCAAGTTACATTACTCATATTGATTTCTCCATAGATGGAAATCATCTTCATAGCAATTGTGGAGGGTATCTAATTAACATATATATTATTCAGATATGAATTGTTGTTTTGGGAACTTCAATCTGGTAAACAATTGCCCAATGGAGCAAATTAATTAAGAGATGAAAAATGGTTGACTTGGACTACACCATACGGATGGCCAGTTTAAGGAATATGGCCAGATATGCAAGATGGCAGTGATATCAATGCTGCTGTAAGATCAAATAAGACTTACAATGAAAAGGATAAACCACCTGACAATTATCATTTGATTGCAACTGGTGATGATAACTCTTAAATCAAAGTATTCAGGTATGTGCTACTTATAATAAAATAGATATCCATGTGTTAAGAAAGAATCAGGCTATGTTCTAGGAAAAGGACATTCATCACATATTACCAACATTGCTTGGTCTATGGAAGATCACTACCTATTTAGTATTGGTGGAGAAGACAATTCTATATTCTAATGGAAAATCAGTAAATTGAGATGAAATATTGTTAAAAATTAACAATAATAATTTATTTAAAAGAATTATAATTATATTTATATTGATTACATCTTGTAAAGATTCAGTTATCTTACTCTATTTAACTATCTTATACTTAAGCTATTGTAATTTATTCTATTAAAATGTATTTTAAAACAAATAATAAACCATATTAATTAATGTGCAATTAGAATATTGATGTTATTATTTTAAATATTCAAAATGTAATGCAACAATTATTTCTACCCTTTTCTGGAACTGCTGTTTTTTCCAATTGATAGAGCACTATTAATCCTTCAAATAATCTCTTTGTTACAATAGCTTCTGTCACACCAAATCTTGCTGATGGGGAAATATCAGCTGTTCCCTCTTGATCCATAGATGAGTGTTCTCCACCAGTTCCTCTTGCTTATAATCCAATGGATTTTGCTTTTTCTTTCAAATTGGCTTCGTCTGTTCCTGATTTACTAAGATTTGGGAACTTGCCTAAGATGGATTATCTCTTTCCAGTTCCCATATTTGTTGGACATGTTGTTATGATACCATAGACTGGATGTTCAGCGAATTTGAGACCACTCTTTTCAATTCCAGTTAATAACTCATGAAGAGATTAATCAACCTTACCTAAATCATTACCTTAGACTATTGAAATAATTCTTAATTAATCTTCTTCTCCTACCCAAACCATTTTAGTTTCATCTTGACTTACCCAGATTCCTCTTCCATATGGCCAATCAGATGCTACACCATTTGACATCAAATAATTGTCACTTGTCATATCTATAAATAAGAAATGCTTTTTCCTTAACTCGTCAGCTTCTTGGTCAGATATAAAATTCTTATGACCTGGTGTTAGACTATGATATTTTCCTGGAATTCCAAAGTTTTCAAACACAGTTACCATTTGATTCTCAAATTTTATCCTCTCATCCTTATCCATTGATGATGGCAAATTGTAACCAACAACATTTCTGGCCACTCTGGCTCTCATTGAAACCTTCTCCAAGGCAGGATCAATCTTTGTTAATACATACTCACCAACTGGGATATTCCAATCATGTTCTTGCTTTGTTTCCCCTTCAATCTTATGATATTCTCTGATTAATGGTTCTAGATAAAACAGAAAAACATCATAATCTTCTGGTCTTGTAGCTGAAATGCCAACTGAGCTATCATCATTAGTTAGACCGGCTATCATAATATCTAAAAATCGTTATTAGTCTTCAGCAGACATTGTTTTCACCTTCTCAACAACTGCTTGAGTATAATGTTTGTTGGCTAAGCTTTCCTTAATCTTCTTCAACTCATCCCATCTAGCTTGTATTTTATTAAAATCAACATTCCCTTGTTCATCTAAGTAGAGCTTCCTTACATCCTATTTGGCAAAGATTTTGTGCTAAGACATTGCAATTTATAAATAACTTTATCACTTCATTTATTTAAAAACGTATATAAATTCATAAATTTAATACAACATAATAAGAGCGATTTAACTCACATTTTCACTACTTTTTCCCTTATTGAAAATTACGTACTTCTCTTTAGTAATGTTAATTTATCTTTATTATTAATAACTATTATTAAAATGTCTGTTCATAAAAGTCCTAAAAACTCAATTTTAAGCACTGCTCGCACAAGACCTTAAACAGCATTGACAAGTCCTCGAGTGCCTTAGGTTTAGTAATAAAATTCAATAATCCTAGAATACAAATACCAAATGATGATCAAGATTAACAAACATAGATCAACAAATGTACTGCTACTACAAGTCTTACACCTAAAAGTCTGATTAAACTATAAGAGAGGAAATCTAATGTAGGAGCCAGACCTGAAAATTTATCGTGTAATTTAAGGGTTACAAAAGAGTAAGCAGAAATAGATCCACCTGAAGATTACTTTGAAAAGGAAGTTTAAGTCAATCAAGATGAATATGAACAATTCAAAAAGAACTTTCATAGGATTGTTTTTGATGCTTTTGGAAATTATATTTACACTAAACCAGGACCTATTGATGAAGATTTTAAACTATAAGTTTCAGTAAAATATATTTTTAAATAAAGTCAGCGTTAAATACTCATAAGCAGACTTCAAGTGGCTTAAAACAAAAACTGTAAATCAAGACTCAAAGTTTCTAGCCTAAGAAGACTATTGAGAACTTGGTGAAAAGTACATCAGAAATAGCCAAAATGAACCCAAGAAGAAGAGCAATTTTGGAAATCAAACAAAAAGCAGAGAACTCACTTTATTAGATGATCAACAATCTAGCCAAAGATAAAGTCTTGAGTGAATCAAAATCTTTATTGGAATAAGTTACACAATAAATGCTGGTTTATATTGATAAATTTACAAGAGAGAAGTATCATATTCTCTATATTCAGCTAAGAACTTACCGATCAATTAGAAATGGCTAAAGGAAAAATCTTCGAATTGTAAAGTTCAAATGAAAGCTTAAATTTCAAGAATATCCAATTACTAAAAGAAATAAAGAATTCGAAACAGTAATTGGATGAACTGAAGAGAAGCACTGTTGATATTGAGAAATTCATTCCTCAATACAACATTATGACTAAAAGATTTGAAAACTTTCAGGCTGAAAAATTTATCGACAGGTATGATTATTTTGAAAATTCCAATTTACTCCTTACTAAAAGAGTTTCAGATTTGGAATTGGATAATATATAGCTTGAAAAATAAATTGTACATTTGTAAAAAGACTTAGAAACCAATCAATAAATAAATAAGCATCAATATAATACGAATTTACATTCTACTCCTCATAAACAAGATTTACCTAATTAAGACTATGAATAATACAAGGATATGTATTTGAACTTGTTTAAGAAAATTTTGTAAATCTATAGTAATTGGACTACAAAATCTAAGGCTCTATTACCAGATAAAATGGATGAAGGTCCAAGGGCGAATTTGGTTGAACCTTTAGAAATGCTATAAAATATCGAAAAAATGATATCAATTTCCTCTAATGAAAAACTACAATCATATTTAAGAAAAATAATCGTTAGTGCTAACTAATTGTAAAGAAAATATCTAACTGAAAATGTAAATGAAAAATTTGATCCTGACAAAATTTATGGAAGAATCAGTAAATTAGTCGATAACTTAAAGGCTTAAATTTCTAATCTACAATGTCAAGTGCAGAGCTATAAATAATCTTAAAATGTATGTATCTTATGTTATTGAGTGTTTAACTTAACTACAAACATAGAGGTCTAAATCTTTTTTTCATGAGAAGGAACAAATTTGATGGTGAGTAAATTACAATTTTCTGATATAAAATTATTGGTTTTGATATAATTTAAATAAATTATAACGTTCAAGATAGTCTTTTAGATTAGACAAAATTCATATAGTCTTCCTTAAGTCTCTTTTCTTCACTTGCATCACTTAATTTTAGATTCTTAATAATTGAATCAGCAGATTTATATTTCCAATTAGAAACAACTTTCTCCTTCGATTCAAAATCTCGTCTGACATTCCGAAATGAAGCTTAAATAACTTATTAAATCTATTTGGCCTTTTTTTCTGGATTCTCTGACTTGTATGCTTATTGGTACATCAAAGAGAGGACAAGATTATCTCTTGGAATTCTTGGCAATTTACTAATTGACTCAAAAACCTAATTCAAATCTACTTTTGAACTGGATGATGTATTGGACATCATTGTAGGTAATTTAAGATTCAACTAGCTATTTTTTCTACCTGGACTAGCTCTTTCGGTGGAAAATGTTCTTCATTAAGAAAAAGATACTTACTTTTCTTTTTGACTTCTGATGCAATGATCATCGTTACATTGAGTTTGTTAAGGTTTTTTAAGCAATCTTGCTTAATATTGTTGGAGAGCATTACTATAAACCCTTTATAAAATGGTTTTATTAGGAGAATTTCCAATTGAGTTAACATCTTAAAAATTGCTTTCAGCTAGATTTTAAAAAACCTTGACTTGACTGAGTTTATCACCCTAGACTTCAATGATCTTTTTATTGACAATCTTTTTAGAAGCATCATTCCTTCGATTAGTTAATTGATCTTAAGCTGCTTGATAGATTTCATCCTTTTAGACTATCTGAGACTTGGCAGTTTGATAAATAAGAGTCCAATGTTTAAATATTACTTTAGTTGTGCTTTTGAAATTTTCATAAATGTGTATATTGCCTAAGTTGTCAAAGAATTTAGATTGTCTAATTTTATATACAATGAGTCTAGGAGATATGACTCTCGCTCTTGTAAATCTTGGTATTTTGTGGAAGACTTCGACATCTCCAAAATGCTGATTTTCACCATAAGAGGAGAGAACTAGATGTTTAGAATTCATTTATTTTGACAATTCAACTTATCCATTAATGATGAAATATATATGATTGGATCTTTCATTTTCTTCATAGAGAATTTCTGATGCTTTATACGTGATTTGATGACATTCTAATAGGATTCCCATAATTTCATTTAATTCAAACTCCACTTCCTTGAAAATTGGGGTTTGGGTGAAATACAATATTTTGTCATCCAAAGACTTACTTAAGTAGGGATCAAGAAGAGTAATATAGGCTTGTTCACTCAAAAACAAAAGATGCGAGTTTTCAATGGCAAACACTGTAGAAGATCTTGCTATATCCAATTTGATTGCTGCCTCGCCGAAAGCACTTTAATTAATAAAAACTATACTCTCCATTTATTAAGACTTTAAGAATGATGTAATCTGGGAATGCACTCTTCAAACCATAGGGATCAGGATCATTCCTTCGCATCAACTATATTTAAGCCTTGCCCTCTAATTCCTGCTCTAACTTTTTAGAACCAACCATTTTCTCTCTGGGTTTCATGACCACACATTTACCATCCAAGATGATGTAATATTTTTTATTTTGGTCTCCTTACCTATAAACTGCAGAGTTGGCAGGAACATATAAATATCTAAAATATAAAGCAAAATTACCTCAATTCAGAGTAAACCTTATTCAAAACCTCAGGTGGAACTTGCTCTTTCATCAATCTGATGGCTCTAACCATCTGCAATTATTCTATCAATACTGGAGAAGTAGGAAATATAAAATTAGGCAGACTTTTAGCCATCAATCGAGATGGCTTTTTACCAACCTTGGGAGTATTTTCATAATCTATTTATGGTCTATTGTTTAGCTCTTATTTTATGGCTTCAATATCCAAAAACTTTTTCTGTCTTTTGGTTTCTTTGTAACCATTTTGCAAGAGCAACTATTATTATTGCTATTCTTCTTCTGAATCTGAGTTGTTCTGAGGTTTCTTAAAATCAAAAAGTTAACGATCAGAAACAGCGAATTAGGAAGGCATAATCATTTTTAGATAAAATATAAAATGACTAAAGATTATAATATATTATACACTTTTCATTATGTACATATATACTTCATAATTAGAAACTTTATGGAAACATCAAGGAATTCTAATCCCAAATGCTCTATCAATCAGACTTATTTGGTAATATAAAATATAGTATCTTTTGAGTAAATCATACAAAACAGATAGTCAACTGAGGTATTTGCTATTAAGTGAGACTGGAATGAAAAAGTATTGAAATAAAATTTATAAAATAGTATTATCAAGTTCAATTATACTCTAGCTATGCAAATACTTCTGCAATCATCTCCAATTTAACAGGTTTAGTAATAAAGGCATCAAATCCAACATTTTCGCATCTTTCCTATTCACTTTCATCATCAAATCCTGATATCGCTATAATCTTTACATCCTCAATAAGTTACTTAGCAATCTAAATTAAATTTTAATATTACCATCTCTCTGATCTTCGTTGCTGCTTTCCATCCATTTAAAATTGGCATGAAGAGATCCATTAAAACATATTTTATGTTCTTGCATTTCTGAAATGTTTTTAACTATATATACAATACATAATATACTTTATTAACAGCTTGTTAACCATTATAAGCCTCTAAAAATGAAATATTTTATGAGATATCCTATAACAACAATTTCAAAGCCAAAACGTTAAATGGTTGATCATCAACAATCAGAATTGAGAATGTTTTATGATGTAAAACCCTTTGTAATCTTGACCTAGGATCCATGATTTCTTATGAATCATCTAAATTCTGCTCTTTAATTTTTATTCTGCTTGGAGTTGGCGACCTTAAATTTTATAAAATGTTTATGTTTTGTAATTTCTATTGTCCTTCATCTTCGTATTCTGGATAAAATTCAAACCCTGCTTCTGTATCATTTTTATCTACTGGCCTTGTGTAAACACGTAAAATAGAGGATCTCACAAATTTTTATTGCAACTAATCCTATTCATCAATTACTGATGGACTGTCGATATTAAAATTTTTAGAACTACTCTCCTATTTGAATACGCTAATGTAATTAGGAGATCTTTTCGGATCATCAGGTAATCTAGAATAAATTTGAAATGACATCTTGGTTCCTTTGTTTTATTCGCTCCAAAGGTCGATTTTTTCTGATGGTCCCAATAATTTGATTAGCTTCTTACAAACCATCAATCCAATTCCAGTACCACTTTTATTTTGAACATCCTTACTCGGAAATGTGGCATACATATTGAATAACTTAGGTTTAATAAGATCTGAGATACCACAACCTGTATCTTGAATGGATATGGTATAAACCATCCTACCTTGTCCAGATTAAGACTTAACAGATTTTCCAGATAACTATTTACGCAATTATCCTACTGTTTATTAATTTTATTATTAATTAAGCACATTTTTTGATGAAACTGCCCGAACAATATGATTGGCTTTATCAGTGTGTAGAGATTCGACTGATATTGTTATTGATCCTTATTCAGTAAATTTTAATGAATTAGAAATAAAATTCATAAGAATCTATTTAATACGATTAGGATCACTATATATTTGAAAACATGGTATGTCATAACGTGTTTATATAACAACCCCCTTTTGTTCTGCTTAAATGGCTACTAATTCAATAACCTCTTCTATAACTTCATTCAAATAAAAATCGCTGACACTTAATCTTAATTGATTTTTCTAAATTCTAGCAAAATCTAAAATATCGTATATCATGTATAACATCAAGTATACGTTTTTTCTAATTATTCTCAAATAGTATTTCGAAGCTGCATTAAGATTGTACTTCTCTTCCATTGCCTCCACAATAGTACAGATTCCGTTAATGGGTGTTTTAAAATCATGAAACACTGTTGCCAATATCTAATCTTTATTCTCATTCTATTTTTTGCTTTCTTCGAGTTCTTCAGTTAGGATTTATAATATCTTTTAGTTTTCTAAATCTTTTAAGGAAATCATAAAAGCTTCTTTATTTTTCCATATGCAATGTTAAACAACTATATTTATTTTCTTTTATTTCAACTCATTGATTCCGAATAATTTATATTAGCTATCCTTAAATCGAAATTTGCTTTTTCCGTGTTAGGGAGTATCATCATTAAATTGATTTGAAACTGGAAATTTTAAATTTACGATTTACTCTTTAGGACTATCAAAATTTATCAGGTCTTGCTTTTCTTGATTTATTTCTTCTTGTATTAAAGTAGCTAATTTTTTATTTTATAGAGTTTCAACATAATGATAATCTTCATTTGATATTTCTTTCAATTTGTGATATTGCAATTGAGTCTTTTATGCAATTTATGATTTTTGTTCGTCGAAAATGCTCCTTAAAGTTTTGTTTTAAGAATCCTAAAATGATAAGAGATATTGTATAAAGTAATCTTGATTTATAGAAGTATAATTAAATTATGATTCCATTTGGTTGGAATGGAAGAGGGGTTCTCTGGTTTAGGCATCTAGTATTAGTACTGGATTCGTTAAGGTAGTTTAAAAAAAATCTATAACTGTAGAAGAAAGATTCTCTTGAGATTAACCAACGATAAATAAAAAAGGAATAAATGCTAAACCTAAGTATGGAAACATATTCAAATAAAATTATAATCTAATTCCAAGGTAAAAATAAGTTACCAAAAATAGAATGATTCGAAAAGTGATTTTTTCCAATGAGGTTGTTATAATGAATAATCTGAGACTCAGAAACAAAATGTACTCCTATTTATTAATATAGTTTATACAGAAGATTAAAGAGATCCTAAGTATTCAATCTATAATATTTAGCATAAAAGGTATGAAACGCCTAAAAATGTTTCCCTAATCAGGTCATTTAAAAACCTTTTATATTACAAAATAATAAATGCAATCATCAACATAAACTCTGCTATAAATATGATACTAAAGTTGAAACAACAGCTAGTCTAAATTAAACTGACTATCCCAGCAATTAAACTAATCGCAGCATTGCAGAATCCAAAGTATAGTAATCTATTATTCATATTAAATTAAATTTATTATAAATCAATTCTTAGCATCTAAAAATTAATTATTTTTCAAATTTCAAATCACTGTGAGCAAAAAATAAAAAAATTTTAAATAATTTTATCGACTCTTGTAGCTAATAGCTTTTTAAAAAATAATATAGATTGCTAATTCATTAAGATATAATATATTATAAATCAATAATCAATGGTTGAATTAGTCCCTTGAATTTGGTGAGTAAAATAAAAAATAGTTATTAATTTTTATATCAATAATTTTTAATTAGATCATCTTATGCTTCTCTACATATACTTAATTTCCGGATACATAAATTAATCCAAAATATCTTGAATAAGGTATTTTCAATTCTTCAAAATATATATTAAAATGAATTATAATTTCAATATAAGCATGAAGAATATCTAAACTTATATTGCCAGTTAATATACTAATGAGTTTAAAAAGAAATCAATTCTCACCTTTAAATATTCATTTATAGATGATAAAAGATACATTAGTATTTTATCTTATGGTCGATATTTAAGATATTCTTATAAAATTATTTTTATTTAATGAATAATTACTTGAGTGATTTAAAATAAAAAACTCATGAAAAATATCAAGAACTAATATAAAAAGAAAAAGTCAACTAAAATGCTATTTTAGCCTCCATCTCACTAGTTTAAAATGAAGAAAACGTAATTTTGTGTTCGTTAGGAACAGGATCAAAAGCAGTTGGATTAAATCATATGAATGAATAAAATCATTGTTTGCATTCTTGTCATGCAGAAGTAATTGCCAAAAGAGGATTTTAATTATGGTTGTATGAAGTGCTCTCTAAACCCAATGAAATTGATAAATATTTTGAAAAAAAAGAAACTAAATATTCATTAAAGAAGGAGTATAAAGTTTGCTTTTATGTTACTTAACCGCCTTGCGGATAGGCATAACTATTTCCAGAATCAAAAATATATGGAATGAGTGCAGCAAGACCTTTCTCAGAGTTCTTTTAGGAAGCAGAAAATATTCCCAATTGTGATTCCTAAAGGTTAAGAAGCACTCCAGCAAATTCTAAAACACCAATTCAATAAAAGAATCCAAGTTTTTGTTGTACAGACAAAATTATGATTTGGAATGTAGTAGGAATTCAAGGAGCATTGTTGAATTAATTCATTAATCCAATTTATATTGATAACTTAATCATAGAATTTAGAGAGCATTTTAGTTTGAAAGAAGTATTCGATATAAGAAAAAGATCTGGCAAAAGCAAGGAAGCTGTTTTAAAAATAAATAATAAATTAATTAGCAAAGCATTTAAGATAAAAAAACCAAAAATTATTTATACAAGGAAAAATTTATTTGTTCATAGTCCTTATCATCCTAATAATGATGAATTAAACAAAAGGATTAATAAAGATATCAATTAATAAAGTCTGTAATCATTCAGTTACTTATATGTGGATTCTTTGGGGACGGAAAAGATTAACTCATTAAATGGTTTAAAGTGGGGACTTGCCAAAAAAGACATATCCAAATTATAATTTCTACCAAAAATAGCAAAATATCAGCTGTTTCAAAAGTTTAAACATTTATATGAGCATTTCGAAGGCAAATAGCTTAAATGTAATTATAGAGAAGTAAAAAATAAAAATATTAAATATCTTTGTTTAAAACTAAATATCAAATAATGCTTTTAAGAGTGGAGTCTTAATAAAACATAATATGAGTAATTTCAATGATTGATTATATCATATTTTGTATACTTAAATTATATTATAATATGGTAAACTGCTTTACTAGTTTTCAATCCCCAATTCATAAATATATGAAAGAATTAAAAGAATAATTTTTATAGATAATCATAAATTATCAACAACCGGTCTTAATGATTACAAATACTTTAAATGCTTTTATCTTAGTATTTCTTATCGATAATTTTCAAATTCGGCCACAAAATTATTATAATTTTACCTTATTGAATGATACGCGATTTTACAATAATTATCTAATATTTCTTTCTATATTTTATTTTAGTATGTTATTTTTTTTTATGGTTATTGAAGTATAGATGCAACTTTAATTGCATATATTTAAGTTGGATCACTTATTTGTTTTAAAATGCATTAGAAGTCATTTGGAAGCACAGTTTCTTTAACTTTTTGTCCATAATAATTTAATTTCACAATGTACATATATAACTCTCTTGAGGTTTTATCAATAATATTAAATTCATATATTTTTTCTTAGTTTTTTTCAATTTGATGATTAATCAATTTATTAATTGTTTTTTTTTCCTTTGCTATAATCTATTTAAACTCCTTGTTTAACAATCTCAATTAAAACACCTACTTCAATTCTAAGTAGGGAATGACAAAAATAATAACCTTTTTAAACTTGTTTGTTTGTTTTGGGATCTTATATTGATTTTATGATGTAATTAATTTAAGCATCTCTTATTATTAAGTAAATTCTAACCAGAGTTACTCTAAGTTTTATGAGAGACTAATAGATTTTTACTCTAAAAATTGTAAATCCTTTTAGGCTTAAGAAGTTTCCATCTTTGATTCTCTAAATAAATTATATTTATTATAAGTATTAAAATAATATAAGTATATTTTGCGATTCAGAAAAATTTAAACAAAATAATTAAAATCTTCATAATCCTTCTATAATATTCATAGTTTAGGAGATTACTTGATATTATCTCGCTTTTGTATTTATTGCACTTTAAATAATTACATCTATATTTTTAAATAATAATTCATATGATTACATTTTATTATAGAAATCACAAAATCTGATTAAAATTATAGATTGATAGTCTATTTATTTAATGCAGAAATTCTATTTTAAATATCTTGATGCAAATATGGCAAAAATCAGATAGTTCTTCATAAATAGTAAAACTAGATGACTTTTCAGCATAACAGTGACGATATTTTTTTAAAATAAGTAAATTTAGGATTGAAATTTGTGTATTTTTTGAGAAAATAATTATTTTTAAGTTATAAACTAAAAATTAAAGTTCAATTGTTATACAAACGACCAGATCTCTGTCTTTTTAATTATTTAGGCTATTCATTTTGTCTTCTTATTTCATTATATAAGTCTTCATCTTTTCCATTTTCACAATGATTGCAATTACATTCCACAGTACAAGCCTTCTATCTTATATAGCATTCACAATATCTTTTTAAGCATCTGGTCTTTTTACAATTGCATCCCCATATATCCTTGGTTTCAAATAATTTCTCTTAAGACACTTTTTTATTCCTATGAGCCTTTTTCTTTATGTATTCAACAGCTTTGTCTCTTTAAGGAACATTATTATTAGTGTTCTTACAGTCTTCACATTTGCAGGATTCCACACAGGTTTGACCATTGTGAAAGCACGAACAATACATTTTAAGACAATTAGTTTTAGTACAACTGCATGGTTACCATTTTGCAATTTCATTTTTTGGGCTTTCTACTTTCTTTTCATCAATATCTACTTATTTATTGATCACCATATGTAATTAATCGTTGTATTCAATAGCGGAATTTCTTATTTAGTATTAAAAACATTATACAATTTTCTTAATTTTAGTATTTTTGGGGATTGCTTGTTCTCTAAATCGATCTCACTAAACTCAGAACATTTGCTAAAAACTAACAATAACTTTGGTGGTCTACTCTCTTCTGATAGTTCAGGATTACTCATACAATAATTTTTAAATATTATATAATTAATATAAATTTATAAAAGAAACTTCAATTTCTAATTATTGAGCTTATGTAACTCTTTTTCAATTAATATTTTTAACTTTATTTCATTTCATCATCATTAGAAATCAATTATGGCTTTTTAAATAATATTTTTTATATATTTAAATAATACAAGCTCTTAATTTTGGTGAGAATCTGATTATTAAAAATAGAATTGTGATTTCAATTAGTTTAACTTTATCTCAAGATTGAAAATGATCTCATTAAAAGATATTAACATATATTAAAAGTTCTAATTTGAGCCAAAAAAAGGATGGGAAGTATCTTCAATAAAAATAATATATTATTAATAAAATGATGTTAGGAAAAATTTGGATCAAATAGAATTTAATAATTAAAAAGAACAAAATGAGAAATGCCTGATTCTGCTTTTTGAGATAACATGTTTATTTCAACATTTTTAGGCCTTAAGAAAATCTGATCTGTAAGAATATCCTAAATAAAATTATTTGGGATAGTCTATAAATTAAATATACTTTATATGATGTTAGAAATAAAAAATTCTAATTAATCTGGAATAAAATTAAAAAAAAAAATTTTTTTGATTGAAAACTTTGCTGTTAATTGTGAATTATATTGAAAGATAGAAAAAGTAAGAAGTGGATTCGTATACTCAATAAGTAAGTATTAAATATCTGATTATATAAATTTATTTATTCTCTTAAAAACTATCTTTTTGCTATTGATTTCGCCTGATAGACCCAATATCAAACTGATAATTTAGAAGATAATTTAATTCTATCTGTATTGATTCTTATCCTTAAAAGTCATATCAGCTTCAAATTTAACTTTAATTTAGCAAGATTGAAAGAGAATTAATATAATAAGTAACTAAATTGGATATTTCAAAGTCATAAGAATATTTACGATTCAATAAAATTAATTCATTTTATATATTATTAATCAAATGTTTCGAGTTAACTAAAATGATGATCCCAATTATGATTAATTTGATCCTGATAATTTGGATATAGAGGAAGTTGTGAGGCAAAGATGGAAATAAAGCAAAGGAAATTTAGTAGGGATGCAAAACAATAGATTACCTTCTTTTAGAAAAAGATTTATAGATGTAATAATAAGTTCTTACTTCAGCCTATTGTATCATAAACACGCTAAGTTGAAGAGTTTTTAAAAGAAAATGCAATTTCTTTTAAAACACCAGATGGAAACCTTCCTGTTGATCCTTTTTTAACTTGGGAGAGTATAAAACTTAACCAAAATATAAAAAATGTAATACATGAGCTTAAATTTTGCAAACCTACGCCTATTCAATCAGTTGGTAATTAATAATCCTAATAATATAGTATTCCCACTGATTTTAAGTGGATTTGATGTGATTGGAATTGCAGAGACAGGATCAGGCAAAACCTTTGGGTATTTATTACCAGGTCTTATTTAATTATCTGGTCAAAATTATCCAAATAATTTCAGAAATTAAATAAATGGGCCAGAAATGCTTATTTTAGCACCTACAAGGGAATTAGTTATGCAAATCACTTAATAGGTATAGTTGTTTGTGAGGCCTGGAGATGTTGCGAATGCTTTTGGAGGATAAAATAGAGATTTATAAGCATAATAATTAAGATAAAATCCATCTATCTTGGTAGCTTGTCCAGGTCGATTGAAAGACTTTTTAGATGATGGAATTGTAAATTTATCAAAAGTGACCTATCTTGTTATCGATGAAGCTGATAGACTATTGGATATGGGATTTGAAGATGATGTTAGGGAAATAGTTTCACAGATTAGATAAGATAGACAGACTGTTTTCTTTTCTGCAACTTGGCCTAAGGCTGTAAGAAATTTATCATTTGACTTTTGTGCAGAGAGCCCTGTATATGTTTAAGTGGGTAGATCTAATCTAACCATTAATAAGAATATAGATTAAGAAATCATTTGTCTTTATAATAATGAAAAATTATAAACTTTGCTGGATATTTTGGACTAATTGAAAATTACTGACAAAGTATTGATTTTTGCAGAAACTAGAATAAGTTGTGAAAAATTATCGGTTGATATGACAAGTGAAGGTTATTATGCAGTTGCACTTCATGGGGATAAAACTTAAAAATAACGAGATGAAATTATGTCATACTATAAAAAAGGTGATACTAAGTTGCTTTGTGCCACTGATTTAGCCTAGAGAGGATTAGACGTTTCGGATATTACTGTTGTAATCAACTATGATTTTCCAAAATATATAGATGATTACATTCATAGAATAGGTCGAACTGGAAGGGCAGGCAGAAGAGGAAGAGCGTTTAGTTTTTTTTCATTTGAGAGAGATACACCTCAGATGGCGAGAGAATTACTTAAACTGAATAATATACATTAGATGAAATTTAATTACAAGCTTATGGAAGAGATTGCAAATGGAATAAGTAATAAATTACAATACATTTAGAATAATTTAGAGATCCAAATACATTGAAAGGTTAAATTAAGTATGGTACTTAACTCATGACTCATTAAAATAACTCTAAATTTAGAATGCCCAATTTAACCTAAGAAGAAAGGGAAAATCTTTATATGCAGTCTTACCAATATGATAATCTGTAATTTATTGTGAATTAATTGTAGTTCTAATAGGAATAGACAAAAGTATGATTAAGGCTAAGATTACAAAAAACATCATCACGGATAATATAATAATAATAGGTTTCAGTAAAAAGAGGAGAACTTTTATTAATAATAATTCCGAAATCAGGTATTTCAAGTAAATTTAAACTTAGGGACATCATAATTAAAGAAGGTAATAGTAATAAAATAACAGACCATATTAATAATATTAATAAGGAGAACTAAATGAGTTCCAAAGATAACGTAGAGATGATTATTTAGATCCAGATAGAGGTTATGGTAGATAAGAAAATTATAGAAATCAATAGTCTAGATTTGAAAACCACGGTTATGAGAATTAAAGACCCAATTATGGATAGTAAAATAATTAATACGAAAACCACAGAAAATTTTAGGATGACAGAATGGATTAAAATAGATAACCAACCTTTTAGTATCCTAATAAAGAGTTGCAGTCTTCAAATATGAGAGATTAATAATAAGACACCAGAAATCAATATAGATATGATTAATCAAATAATGATTACAGAGCTGAAACAGATACTTATCCTGGATAATCTAATTAGAATTATAGAAGAGATGTAGAATTTGATTAATAAACTGGTTATTCCAACAATTTTAGAGATCAAAAATAACAATAGAATTATAGAAATTAAAATGATTAATATCCTTATGGTTCAAGATAAGGCTTTAATAATTAAAGGGATAACAATGGCTTTTAGAGAAATCAACACCATAATCAGAGATAGTAAAACCATTGGAATGATAACAATAATAACTAGTAAGGATATCCATAGAGATCTAATGATTAATAATTCATAAGACCATCTTTTTCAGATAATCGCAGAGATAAAAATTTTGATTATCAAAACAGAACAAATTAAAGAAATTAATAAGATGTTGAAAGAACAAATCAAAATTATAGGTAACAACGAAACTATCATCTAGAATAAGAAAATGATAAATTTAACTCTTAATATAATGATTAATAAAGGCAAAACAGCATTAGAAATTTTGTGGATGTTAGCAAACCTTTAATTGATGAATTTTAAATGAAAGCAGATTAATTTCAATAGCCTGAATCAATTATTAATCCTGATTTTAATAACTTCAAATTTAATTAAGCTCAGAGTTGGGATAGTTAAAAAAATGATCATAATCAAAATTTATCTCAAAATATAATTGTTCAACCTAATTAAGAGCAAAATAGAAGATCTAATGCAAATTAAGAGGAACCTGAAAAAAGAGTCAGTCTAAATACTGAATAGCCTACTGTAAATAGATTTTATGACAATTAAAGACCAAATCCCAATATTTAAGTACCCCAAGCAAAACTAGAACAATAGCCTTTTAATCAAGAAATTGAGTAGAAGCAACCTCAAAATAACTTTTTCAATTAAAATTCTCAAAATTAATCAAAATTGTAAATTATAGATTTATGAATATAGTATTGATCAATAGAGTAATTAAAATTAAGTAATTGGGGTAGATTAAAAAATACATTAGTCACCAAAAAATTATGAAAATTAAAGGCAAAATAATGAGAGACCTAATTTCATTTAACAATAATTTCAGAATAATTCCAGACCATCTTAAAATGATTATCAAAGTTTCAATAGAAATGAAAGAATTTAGGATGAATAATCTGATGAGGATGATAATTAAATAGATTTCACGCGATATTCTAGACAAATAGAAAAAGAAGGCCAAATGTATTATATATGTCTAAGTTTAAGATAAAATCAATCCGAAGGAAGCAAGAGTTGGAATAATTCGAATTAAGGACAAATCCAAGATTTAGAAAAAAGCAATTTAGAATCCTAGGCTTAATATTGATCTGAAAAAATATAATAATTTATTATTATTGTGCCAAGTTTATATTAATTATAACGAATTATGAGTCGTCTTTACACATTAGAAGATGAATAATTAGATTATGGTTTGGATTATGAAAGTGTAATACTAGTTAAAGAGATTGATTAAAAAAAGCAGGAGAAGGGAATTGACAAGGATCTATAATAATTTCTAAGTCTTCAATTTTATAGCCGACATCAATAATAGCAAAATTCATCAGTCAATTTAAGGAGCATTTAAAGATTAATAACTGAATAAAAGGAGAACAATAAAAAATTAAAAGAGAATAAGCAAATCAATTACAAAATAAAGACTCCTTCTTTAAAACCGTATTAAGGTTCAATTATTACACCAAAATGTCAAACAAAAACACCTCAACTTGCAAAAACAATAAAATCGACAATTACTATTACGCCGTTAAATTTTAAGGATTCTTTACAAAAAATTAAAATGTTAGTTTCTAAATAACAGTAAAAGCATTAGTTAGACTTCAGTAAATTTAAAAAGTCAATATATTGATTTAATAATTTGTATTAAGATACTTAATTTTAGTTTTTAAGTAAATATTTGATTCAAAACATCATGTTGAACCACATACTTTAGATGATTTTAATAAAAAATATTTTACACTTGATTAATATACATTTTATTATTATCATTATTTTAATCTATTAAGTAGACAAAATGTGTTATATATTTAAGAAAGAATCCAGATTAATTTTGCAATAAGTTTAGATATAACTGACAGGCTCATTATGGTAAATAATTGACATTATATTAGTTATCTTTTTAAACTTTTAAGTCAAAGTGATAAATAATTAAGTAAAAACAAAATAAATTATAATTTTAATGTAAATTAATGTTCGACAATCTTCAAAAAGTAGAATATTACTAAATATGATTGATAACTATTAGAAATCTCCTGATGATGAAGCTCTACTTGAAGCCTCTAAAAATAGTTCAGTTGCTTAGATTGAGAGGAGATTCAAAAAAAGCTAAGTTAATCAAACATATGCATTTCCTAGAACAGAAGAAAATAACAAAAAGATAAATTCAGAATCTCCTATATCAAAATAATTCTCACCTAAAGAACAACTTTAACAGAAAGACAGCTTCAAAGATCTTCTGAAAAAAATATATCTCTCCAACCTAAAAAATAATTCAAGGAACACTTAAATGAACCCAGAGTTTATCAAGTAATAGTACTCAATACTGCAGCAATCTCATCGTAAATCATTTTAGACTGCAAATAAATCAAAACTATAACAATCCTTAAGTTAAAATCGACTTTTAACAGATGTAGGTTATAAATAAAGTTACTCAAGGGGATAATCCCCTGAAAATAAATAATTTTACTCAAATCGTCCAGTCGGAACATAGCTTTCTAAATTTATAAATTAAAATATTAAGGAAAAGCAAAGATCTTAATACATTTTGAATTAACAAAACTCATGCAGAAGCTTTGAACTAAGATATTAATTTAACAAATCACCTTATTCATTAATGTAAAATAAAAGCTTTGATTTAATTAAATAGCTTTAATAATTTTCAAGTCTATAAAAAGTAAAATCTAAAAATAATTGATATTGCTTTAAATTATTGATTAAAAATAAATATAAATTTTCATTTTATCTTCAACATCAAATCCCTTAGTAAATTTTACTCTTAGTTTTACAATCAGTTCTTTATCTTGTAAATCATACCTAACTTATTTAAATTCAAGACTGATGCAAGTACTTTAATATACTTGAAACTGCTACTTAATTATACCTCCAATTTTAGAACCATGAAATTTTAGCAATATAATCAAAGTTATCTTTTAAATTTATTCCAATAAAACAACCAAATTTTACATAAATTTCCTTTATGATTAATTTAGAAAATTATAAAAATAATAATTAACTATTCCATAAAATCCACAGATTTATACATGATCATTTTCGAAACCGAATATATTTTATTTATTATTTCTTCCTTATAAAGGGGTTCTAAATCTTATAATAGAAAGTTGAGTTATTTGGACCGCTAAAATTTATTTCTAATTTAAGACCTATAAAGAAAGGTTTTTTATTCGTAATTTATTTTTCATCACTTGAAATATTATTGTTTTAAATATTCAGAGTTATAAATTCTAAAAATAACAAGAATAGATATAAGTTATTTCTTAAAATTATATTTATTAATATTATCAATTTTCAGATGAAAAAATAAGAATAATCTAAGTCTCTTTCTAGTCGTAAACCTTAAGATAATGCAAAGTCAGTCAAGAGGCAAGAGAAGCTTACTAAAATATAAGAAGCCTTTAATTTCAATAAAGCATCAAAATATATTGTACTGATTAATTATAATAATAGTTTTAATCTGGATTTTAAGAGAGAGCTTGGCTAATCAAAAGGGGCTATTAAGATAGGATTGATTTTAAGGACTCCGAAATTGCTGAGTTGAGAAAATATTTTTCATCATTAGATGGAGATGGATCAGGTGCAATTGGGATAGAGGAACTAGAAGACCCACTCATAGCCTTAGGCTTAGTTAATTCAAGGGAGGAAGTAGAAAAAATTATGAGTGAAGTGGATGAAGATGGAACCAATGAAATTGAATTTAAGGAGTTTCTAACAATAATGAGAGGAGTTTAGAAAGGTGGAAATGTGGATTAAGGAGAAAAAAATCCAATTTATGATTTTTTTAAAAGTAAATTCATTTGTTATCGTTTTAGAAATGAGCAATGGTCAATTAGAAAAAGGAATGGATAAACACATCCCGTTTAAGTTAAATGTTAGTTTATTTAGAAGAAAACAAATATTAAGTATAACTCAACATTATTTTAGATGCAATAACTGGGGATTAAAAAGAATTAAAAGATAAAGGATAGAAGATCTTATAGGCTTATAAGAGATAGTTACTGAATTATAAATAATAAGACAGAATTAATAGAGGAGAAGATCCTAATGGTAATTTATTAGATTTGTATTCTAGATATATCACTAGACTAGTTTCCGAATAAAGATAATGGTCCTAATCCAAGAAATGGATTTCCCAAACTATAAAGAGTCATACAGCCAGAATAAACTATTGGAAATAACCATAAACACTATGATAAATGAGATCTATTCTTTTAAATCATAAATTTAGTATTATTAATTATACATTTTAACTGTGAATAACATCGTTTCAAATTATTAAATTCATAATATAGATTACATTTGAATTTTTAATTCATCAAAATAAATTGAGTTTATTATATTTAATTGGATTTATTCAGTATGAAAATATTTAATTGTAGTTGTATATAATTATTAGTAAAATTGAAGTATAAATTGTAATTTATCAATTTATTTTCTAATTAAATATGATAATCAATATAATCTTGATTAAAATATTTTTAGACATATGAAAATTATCTTAATATTATTTATTTATTATTGCTATTTATTAATCAGTAATAAAATAAAATCCTAAGGATTGATAATACTTTCATTTTCTAATCATGCTGATCTATGCAATATGATAATTATTATTTATAGTATTAATATGTATAAGTTTATTGGTTGAAAAGATAAATAACATCAGAATTTTTTGTTACTTTAAAAAATAAAATTTATTATATATTACTTATAATGAACTTTAAATAATAAAATTTTAGGCAAACAAAAGTGTAGTTTTACTATGAATAAGCATAAGAAAGAAGAAAGAGATATTCAATAAAAAATGTTAAAACTTATTAATTATTTCGATCTCCATTGAAAAGTTCAAGAATAATTAGAAAAAATAAACTTGACATTAGTTCTACAAAATTAGGCAATTCAAGTTGTTGTTGCTCAGAATGTGGGAAGGAGTCAGTTTTTAAGTAGAGGATATTTAAAATTTACACCTTTACAGAAACTTAGCATTCGAAATAAGAGTAATTAAGGTAGTAATAAATAATGGATCGTTACAGAAATTCCAAATATATCAAAGTTTTTAAGAAACTTGTTTATTGCTTGCTTTTTATAATCAGATACAAGATAGTTTAAAATATCAGGTTTAGATAACGACAAAGGATGAAAAAAGCATTTAAAACAAGAATAGATAATCCTAGGATGACTTTGCTTAATGTTTTAGAAATTGCATCAAAGCAGTTTCATGTCAGTCCCAAATTTAAATCAGCCACTAATTTTGATTATGTCTTTAGCTAAAACGCTACAGCAGTAAACTCTCCTTAAGATTCAGATGAGGAATTTTACCATCTTAAACCAAGAAAATCTTTGGTGCGAAAGTTTTCATCAGATGAATAATATATACACAAGAAATTGTCAAAATCTCAATAAAAACTATACTTAATAACTGGATTGAATTCAGTTTTAAATTAATATGTTACAAAGAAATTAAACCAAACTCAATAAAAATCAATTAATTAACAATAATAAAAAATATAACCTCCATTACTTTCTAAACATACTTCTCCGAGATAAAACTAATCAACTCATTTACCTAATATCAGGTTAAAACAAATAAATTGAAATTATTATTGACTTAAATTTTTGGTTATTGATTGTATAATAATAATTAAGTTTTTAAATAAATTCATATTAGTTGAATCTATGTATCTTGTGATTTCAGATTATTTATATTAAATCTATAAATAATAGAATTAACAAAATAATTATTAGTAAATTCATCAGAATAAGAAAGGACAGGAAATTATGAATTCATAACAAGATTTAAGATATGATAATGGAAATTTGATTTTATTTATAGAGTATTACATTAAGCCCTAATAAATAACTAAGTTATTAGTTTATGGAGCCTAAAAATCATAATAGTAGAGTTGCAAAGTTCAATCAATTAATTTTCGTGAATTTAAATAAGAATATTTTATCTTTATCACCAACCCTTTTCTTCATCAGTTAATTTCTCAAATCTAAAATATTACTATGGTACAGTATCTTCTTCATTAATTTTTGGGATGTACGGTAACGATTTTTTCTTTTCTGAAAGTTCTTACCAGTTTAATCCTTAGAACCATTTATGAGATTAGATCTCTTTGAAGTCATGCTCAAATCCTATACGACTTTAGCTATCCTTCTGAAGCAATTTCGTTATAAAATCCTTGCATTCATAAGTTATAGCAGGGGTCTTGGGAAAATACAAATCTCCTTTGCAAATCATCTTAATTGCAATCTCATGATTATGGTGATAAAATGGAGAAATTCCAATCACCAATTCATAAAGTAAAATTCCTAAACTGTACCAATCAGACATTCTAGTTAAATCTCCTTGCAAGAGGTATTCTGGAGCAGCATATTCAACAGTAAAATTAATAGTCTAAACTTTTTTAAATTCTTGATAGACTCTCAATCTGCCGAATCCAAAATCTGTCAATTAAATGTATCCATTTTCATCGATCAATACATTTTCTGGTTTTAGATCTCCATATATAGTTCCGCTTTCATGTAGATAGGATAATCCTAAAGCTATTTATGCAATAATGTATTTAGCTTCAATTTCTGAAAAATAATTTACTTCTTAAAGATGAGTGTATAAGTCTCCGCCTTTTACAAATTTGAAAAAAAAATGAATTTAATCCTGCTATCTTAAGCACAGTTCTAACTGCTCCGTATACTGAGATTAAGCATAATTTTCTAAGTGAAATTGCAATATATTAATATCGATATTGTAAGATTAAATAGTTTTGAGAACTAAGAGTTGTGACTGCTTCTCAATTTTTTAGTTTATTAAGAGCACTTTACTAAAGGAACCTTAAGCAATAGTAGCGAGTTTTGAATAATCATCCAATCTTATCCTTAAGTTCAGAGGATCATGAACATATAGGATGCTGATATATTAATTTTTGACATTTTTATTTTGAGCAAACATCAAATTTATGTATTACAATTGAAAATTCTCAGGATACAATAAAAGTAATTTTGTTTTTGGATGAAGTGCAATTTATTTTTTGCAATCAGCTGTTGCATCATGCAAGCAAAATTGATCCAATTCTTCATTATCTACCATATAGAGCCTTAGGCCATCTTTGTTATTTAATTTAAGGACAATAGATAAGTAATAGAGAATGATATCTCTATATTCTTGTGATTTGAAACGATAATCACTTTCCTAAGGAACATGTAAAACAAATTCATAACTTGACCTAGAAACTGTCACCCCAAATATTTTATGAATTGAAATCTTTCTTTTAATTGATTTCTTATCGATATTATAGATATTTTCACTAGAGATGACTATTGTCCTTTATTATTCTGTATTCCTTTTATTTATTTTTCCTGTCAATCTTGAAATTAAGACTAACTCTGATTCCGATGCCTGCTTTTTGAAATATTTTTCAGTGTTGATATGTAATGCATCACTAATTTACAATCTCAATTATGCAAAATATGACAATACAATTTATTGCTAATGCATATTTAAAGTTTATTATAAAATTAATTAAAACAAATTATAATCAATTCACTAAGGGAAGATAAATTTAGAAAATACCCTTTGAGTCTTCAAATCCTATCATTTTCCTTATGTGATTTTATTAATGTAAATCTGCATTTAACGATTGATGATAAAGTTTCATTGATAAATTGATACAGTAGTAGATAAGAAAATAAATTTAGAGTTTATTACTGTTTAAAAATACTTCAGTTTGTCATTGTTAAGCATTATGAGATGGTTCGAATTTACTTTGAATATTATAAATAATTTGAATAAGTTTTATTTTAATTTATGATTCGTATTTAGTAATTACAGAGTCAAATTGTGGAACCGGCTGGACTCAAAGGGTAGTATTACGAATAAGTAAAAATTGAGGATTATATGTGTATAGAGACCATAAAATAAATTGGAATGGTTCAAGAATAATGGATGGGGATATAAGGATACAAAATTTATCTTAGAATAAGATGGAGCTGTAAGGTTGACAGGAAATAAATACAGATTTTCAAATTAGAAGATGATGAAATTTAAGGAGTGGGCAGAAGCTAAAGTTGGAATCGACTTGAGTCTTAATTGCGAAGCATAAACTGAAATTCCCGCAAATCCACCTATAATCAATGAATAATTTATGAATGCAATTCAAGGGTAGTTCAATGAGGTTTCCTTTGATAATGCTTAGAGAATATTGCATTCTCATGGACATACTATGTAAGAGGTATAAAGTACATTAAATGTAGATCTATGAATTAAGACATGGTAAATTAGCAAGAATAGTGGATTGTGTAGTCTATATAAATTCTCATGCCTAGGCAGAATTGTTAGTCAAATTGGCTGTTGAACATAATGTAATGTTGACAGTTTATGGAGGAGGCACTAATGTTACATGGGCATTGTAATGTCCAAAGGAAGAAACAAGAATGATTGTTTCTGTTGATACTTCAAGGATGAATCATATAAGATGGGTAGACAGAAAGAATATGACAGCTTTGGTTGAAACTGGAGTTACAGGAAAGGATCTAGAGAAGGAACTATCAAGATATGGAGTAGTATGTGGACATGAACCTGATTCAGTAGAATTTTCAACCCTTGGAGGTTGGATTAGTACAAGAGCTTCAGGAATGAAAAAGAATCGTTATGGAAATATCGAGGACATCATCCTTTCTGTTAAAGTTGTTACTCCAACTGGAACCTTGTCTCAGAGTTTAGATTATCCAAGAGTCAGTAGTGGTCCAGATCTCAACTAAATTGTTTTGGGGTCTGAGGGCACTATTGGTATCATAACTGAAGCTGTTATCAAAGTTAAGGCTCAACCTGAAGTAATTTAATACTATTATATCAGGTTTGTAAATATGAATCTATTTTGTTCCATAACTTTGCTTTGGGAACTGAATTTATGTACAAATTATCAAGAAGCAAAGTTTGGCCAGCTTCAGTGAGATTGGTTGATAACAATCAATTTTAATTTGGAATGGCTTTGAAGACTATGCCTCATAGTAAGAGAGAGGAATTTATGGATAAGGTGAAAAAGTATTTCATCACTTAATTCATGCAATACGATCCTGATTAAATGTGTTTAGTAACTGTAGTGTTTGAGGGAACTAAATAAGAAGTGGAGTTCTAAGAGAAGAAAGTTTTTGAGTTGGCTAAATTTTATAAGGGATTTAGAGCTGGAGCTGAAAATGGGGAAAGAGGATATTTCTTAACTTATATGATTGCATATTTGAGAGATTTTGCTATGCAATTTTAGTTTATTGCAGAGTCCTTTGAGACAGCAGTTGGGTGGAAGAATGTTCCTGCTGTGTGTGAAAATGTAATGAGATGATTTGATTTGTAGATTTAAAGAAGAATAGTAGAGGAGTGCTCTAAAAGAGGAGTTGAGAAGGAGCCATTTGTTTCATTTCGAATTTCATAGGTTTATGACACAGGAGCTACTATTTATGTTTATTTTGGATTTGGTTATAAAGGAATATCTGATCCAGTTAAGTGCTATTCTGAAATAGAGGATGCTGCAAGAGAGGAGATTATGAAAAATGGAGGATCCATTTCTCATCATCATGGTAAATGATTTGAATTCATCATTTTAGGTGTTGGCAAGCTCAGAAAATAATTTATGTAAAGGCAGATTGGAGATACTGGAGTTGAAATCTTAAAAAGAATCAAACAGCAGATAGATCCTAAGAATATATTTGGAAATTAGAATTTGATATGAAACATTTATGAGAATAATATTATTTAAAACTAACAGTTAAAAGAATTTAAATTCAATTAATTTAAATATATTTTTTGAGTAAATGAACAAGTCTGATACTATTCACAATTAAGAGAACATTGATCCAAATATTGTTAGAAATTCTGTTTCTCAATAAAAAAAAATCCCAAGAAGTTCAGGTCAAAAAACACCATGGAGTGCAATGTACTTATTCTCTTTAAATTTTGAATAGCACCGGAGAAATAAGCCACTCAACCAATGACGATATTGAGATATCTTGTTTCTAAGTAGGACCCACAAAAATGTCCTCACTTTCAACCAATTAAGCAGTTATTTGTGAAACGAGATTAGAATAATATTTGACTTCAAATAATGTTCCTGATATCCTATCATACTTAGATGAATTTGAGGATCTTGATTGGGTTAAATCAAATTCTATTATTCATACAATTGAATTGATTGTAAAGCAAGATAGAGTGTATTTAAAATAGAGAATTGTTGGATTAACTGCAATATTGACAAGCAAAAATTATTTACTGAATAGATAAATCATCAAAATGATATTTAGTGTGTCATCTAGGATTGGTTCCCAAGAAGGTTTCTATGCTTTACATGAAATCTAACATCTTTTGGAAACAATGATTTTCAAGGCGGAATTAGCGTAATACAATTAGATTCAATATTATCCTCTTATTGTTTATTGTCATACCCATCAATTATTGCATTGGGGATTGGTTGGAGAATGTTGGGAATTATTAAAATCGAAATTAAATAGATAAATTGATGAGTCAATCAAGGATGAATTTGAAAAAACAGCTCAAAAAATCTGTGATATGCTTCTAAGATAATTAATTGAATTAAGTAGTTCCAATGCTTAATGGTATCAATTTTTCAATGAAGTGTTATATGAAGGTGTGATCAATTTGCATCCAACTGATATATTCTTTAATAAACTAATTGATTATGCTTTCAGAAAGTCTTAAGTTGAGATGGCAGAATATCTATTGGTATTCATGAGAGATTAAGCGAAAATTCAACCTACGATTGTTACAATAAACACGATGATCGATTAATACTTTAAAAACAATAAAAAGGAAAAAGCTTGGAAGACTTTCGAAAATCTTAAATTGACCTAAACAAAGCCAGATAATTTTACTTATACAACTCTTATTAATGGCTTAAAAAATTCAGATAATATGGATTTGAAATTGGCATTTTAGTTATTTGATGAATATAAATAAATTAATCAGCCAGATCAAATCATTTATAATTGTCTTCTAGATGCATGTATAAATGCAGGAGACTTGAATCGAGGTTTCTAATTGCTAAATGAGATGAAATAATCCTAGACCATTTAATTAGATGAGATTACCTATAATACATTGATAAAAGGATGTGGAAGAAAGAAGAGATTGAATGATGCTATAAATTTGTTTGAAGAAATGAAATAAATAGGCATCAAACCAAATAGAATCAGTTTCAATTCATTACTTGATTCTTGTGTTAAGTGTAATAAAATGAATATTGCTTGGAGATATTTTGAAGAAATGAGAAAGTAATATGGCATATTCCCTGATAATTTTACTTATAGTATCTTAGTGAATGGAATTAAAACCAATCACTCAAATAGGGATGAACTATTGAGAGCAATAACTCTATTGGAATAGATTCAAGAGACTGGGTAATTCAAACCAGATGAAATACTTTATAATTCATTAATTGATGCTTGCGTTAAATTTAATGAGATCTAAAAAGGAATGGATTTATTTAGAGAAATGAAAAATAAATAAATTGATCCATCATCTGTCACTTATGGAATCTTAATTAAAGCATATGGGAAAATGAATGATTTGAATGGAGCATTTAGAATGTTTGAAGAAATGAAATAAAAAAAGATTCCAATTAACGATGTCACTTATGGATGTTTAGTAGATGCATGTGTTAGGAATGATAGATTAGATCAGGCATTGCAATTCATTGATCAGATGAAAGCATAAAACCTTCCAATCAACACAGTTCTCTATACAACCATCATTAAAGGATGTTGTAAATAAAATTAAATTGACGAAGCTCTCAAATATTTTAATCTTATGAAATAATCACCTAAAACATATCCAAATCTCATAACTTATAATTCATTTTTAGATGGAATGGTAAAGAATGGATAACTCAATTAAGCGGATAAATTATTTTAAGAATTAGTTGAATCTACAATCAAACCAGATCTCATTACTTTTAGTACATTATTAAAGGGACATTGCAGAAAAGGCAATATGAAAAGGCTCAATGAGACAGTTTAAATCATGGCAACTTTTCAAATTAATCCTGATGAATCCTTGTTACAACTCATTTTGGAATCCTGTCTAAATCAATAATAGTATCACATCGGAGTTCAAATATTTGATCAATTCTGTCATTCAATTCCTTAATCCATTCAATTGTTATTGACAATAATCAGACTTTATAGTTTAGATAAACAACTACTCCAGGCAATTCCATTATTGAATAGATTATATCAATTAATGGATGAAAATAGAATTTAACATTAAACCTTAGAATAAACAATTAACTCCTTATTATAATATGAATTGAATGAATAAGTTTATCCAATAGTTACCAATATTGTAATAATGGGTTTAAAAATGGATTTTAACATTTCCAATTTGGATACGTTATTATCTATTTAAAATTCTTAATTAATGACTTTGTTATAAAATACAGTTCAATTACCATGCAATAGGCTATTAAAGATTTTACCAGAATTATCAAATGAGGATTAGAATATATGCAGATAATATATAAAGAAAAATAGCAAGAATGACCTAAAGGAACCCTTAAACGAATAATTTGGGTAGGTATTTTTATAATGCAACAATAACTAAAAGAAGAGTAAAATTTAAGAAAGATCTTCTCCATTTAATAATGAAAACAAGGAGAATGTTTATTATCCAAAGCGTTATTAAAACAATTATTCAAAGAATGATTTGGATGATTTCATGCCAAATAAGCAATATGCAAAGAGAAGATGATTAATTAATTAATATTATAATTTAATAATTATAAATCAATTCACTGTAAAAGAAATAAATTAATGGTTGATTAGGTATGCTAGGATGTTTAAATAATTATATAATTAATTAATTAAAATGTCTGCTCTGGGTATTCGTGGTGAAAGAGATCAAGGTTAAGATGTTCGTACAAGTAATGTAACTGCTGTCATGGCCATTGCGAATATAGTGAAAACAAGTCTTGGACCATAAGGATTGGATAAGATGCTTGTAGATGAAATTGGGGATGTTGTAATCACAAATGATGGAGCTACCATCCTTAAACAATTGGAAGTTGAGCATCCTGCTGCTAAGGTCATTGTTGAATTGAGTTAATTGTAAGATAAGGAAGTTGGCGATGGCACTACATCAGTAGTTATTTTAGCTGCTGAATTGCTTAAGCGAGCTAATGAATTAATCAAAATTAAAGTGCATCCTACCACCATTATATCCGGTTACAAATTAGCTGCTAGGTAAGCAGTCAAATATATTCAATCTCATCTAGTGCACAAAATCACAGAGGATGACACTGAGATTCTATTGAATGCTGCCAAGACTTCGATGAATAGTAAAATTATTGGTTCCGAGAGTCACATTTTTGCTAAATTGGCCGTCGATGCTGTCAGACTTATCAAAACTTAAGGTTAGATAACTGGAAAACCTAAGTATCCCATTTAATCTATAAATGTCGTTAAAAGTCATGGGCAATCCTCCAATTAATCTGAATTGGTTAGAGGATATGTTCTATAATTATAAAGAGCCTCACAACAAATGGTGACCAAAGTTAAGAATGCCAAAGTTGCATGCTTAGATATCAATTTAAATAAATTCAAAATGCAGATGGGTGTTTAAATTTTGGTTGATGATCCTAATAATTTAGAGAAAATAAGAAAGAAGGAAATGGATGTGTTGAAAGAAAGAATCTAATTATTGTTATCAGCAGGTGCCAATGTAATTTTAACTTCAAAGGGAATGGATGACTTAGCTAATAAATATTTAGTAGAAGCAGGAGCTATTGGATTGAGAAGAGTTCCCAAAGAACATTTAAGGAGAATAGCAAGAGCAACTGGGGCGAAGATCATCACTACCTTTGCAAATGAAGAAACTGGAGAGTCGTTTGATGTTTCAAGTCTAGGAGAGGCTGAAGTATAGTAATATTGTAATAATAGGAAGTGTATGAAGAAGCTATAGGAGACAATGATTACATATTTTTCAAGGGAATGAAAAGGGAATAATCAGCCAGCATTATTCTGAGAGGAGCTAATGAAATGATGACTGATGAAATAGAGAGATCAATGCACGATTCATTTTGTGTTGTTAAAAGAACCTTGGAATCTGGTTCAGTTGTAGCTGGTGGTGGAGCTGTTGAAATGGCTTTAAGCATTTATTTAGATGATTTCTCAAGAACTCTAGACACAATTGAACAAATCGCTGTTGCTGAGTTTGCTGAAGCATTGACTGTTATTCCAAAGATATTAGCTACTAATGCAGCCAAAGATTCAATAGAATTAATCAGCAAATTAAGAGTTTTACATAGCAAATCTCAATCAATGAAAATAGATGAAAAGGGATTTAAGTACAGTGGCTTAGATCTAATCAAAGGAGAAGTCAGACATAATTTAAGACATGGAATTCTAGAACCAACTGTTAGTAAAGTGAAAGCAATAAAGTAATATTATAACTATCCTTTTTAGATTTGCCACAGAGGCAGCCATAACAATCTTGAGAATTGATGACATGATTAAATTAGAACCAAAGAAGGAGTAAATGCCAGGAAGACATTGAGTTATGATAAATGATATATATATATAATAATATTTACAATTTTATAAATGAAATTATTTGGTTGAATTTTGGTGCTTAATCTCCTTGACTTTTGTTTTTGCTACCATCAAAATGAGTTACAAGGCTATAAGGAATCAATTTGTTTTCAGAAAGAGAAGAATTAATCAAAATATGGAATCCAACTTATTTATATATTTATTATATTTAATAATGAATCGAATTATTATTACAGAAATTGGAGATTCTATTCGTAAAGATCTCAAAGAAGATTGTACTTCAAATGACTTCAATTTTACTTCGAGCAAAAGATATCTTCGTTTTAAAACCAATGCTAGTGAGTCCACTGTTGAATTAAAAAGATAAAATACAATTAATCCTCTCTTGTGTCCATAAGAACTCGTGTCCATTGCCTAAACTAAGCTATATAACATGGCCAAGCTATCCTTGCAAGGTTAAACTGAACAACTGAAGAATTGCATATAGTAGGATCTCAATCTACCAAAAAAGAGTTCCTATATAAATAAGAATTTAGACAGATTAGTACATCAAATTGTGGATAATCAAGGTATTTACAATATTTCTAAAAGATTGAGATTAATTTACAAAGCGAAAAAGTTAGTTGCTGAAATAACTAATGTTAATAAAACAAAGTGATAGAAGTAAGTCGAATTACACCTTGGCGTTTAAAGACAATGAGAAGGTGTAAACCATTCTTCAAGTTCCCTCCATTATGAATGCTGAAGGCAAATTGGAACAATTGTAGAGGAGATTTCAAAGGCAGAATCAAGCTGATTTGAGAATGAGATAGAGACTGGCTAGTTGTTTGGAATAAAGTTAAGAAAAAAACTCGAATAGATTTAATATCAATTTCTCTGGATTTAACATATCAAAAAAAGAATTAGTAATTAAAAATAACTCTCGAATGAGAATAAGAATCTAATAAAATTGTTGCAATAAATAAATTAATACTGATTGATTATTTATATATATATATATTAAATGAATAGACTATTGATTACAGAATTAGGAGATACAATGAGAACAGAAATGAAAAGAGATATGACTAAAACTATTAAATCTAATAGAACTATGCTTAAAACTTAATTCCCAGAAATAAAGAATAATTTTGGTAGTTCAGCTCTTTTTATGGAGATTGATAAAACTTAGAACCCACTCTATTAAAAAAGTCTTTCTGATTAAGCCCTTCTCAATCTATCTAAGGTTGCCAATCTTTCTTTGTTTGGGCCAAAAAATAGATAGAGTTTAGAAAATCATTTGAGGGAAGATCTACTGATCAAGAAGCAAAAGGACTATTTGAATTTACGTTTGGATAAACATGTTGATAAGATACTTGATGACAAGAGTATTTAAGTACAAATTATAGTTAGATTTGATGAGTAAGAGGAAGAGGTAGTTACTGAATGAATTGAAGAAATTAGAAGCCAAAGAGAAGTTGAAACAGTTTCATCACATTCCTACTGAATAGTCGTAATTTAGTTCAATGGTCGAGGACACTGACAGGGAGAATAAGTTGATGTCAATAGTGAATGCTGAGGGGAAGTTATTGCAGTTGAAGAGAAGATATGAAAAGAAATAATAGGAGGAGTAGAAGATGAAGGAGTAGGTGAAAATGAATTATTGCAAATTCAAAGACAATCAGATTATGCACATAGAAGCTCTTAAAATAATGGAGCATGAAGAGATGGAGAATGACGTGAAGGGGATTTTCATGAACAAGGATATGTCTGAAATCAGATTCATGGAACGACTGAATGAGAAACACTTGAGGGAGCAAGTGTAAGTTTGGAAGCAGCATCACTTTCCTCAACAACATAGGAAATGGCTATCAAAATGATTATATATATAATAAAATTAAATTGATAAAAATGACAAGGGCAATTAATCTAAAATTACAAGACAAATTAATTCTCATCGAGATGCCAAGTAATGCAAATTTGAGTGATCTTTACAAAAGAGTAATAATGAATTAAAGAGATAGATTAAAGAGCATCCCTTGACTCCAAATCCAAATTAACTGATCGGATTAAAGACTGTATCTGGGGCTTTGACTTTAGATTATATTCTATCGAGACCTGAAGACAGGAGTAAGAAATAATAACGATTAGGTTCATTTCCATTAAATAAATTGAAGTAGAATGAGTGGTTGATAGGAATTTACAAGTAATAAACAGGATAGTTAAGTTTGAAAGACTTTGTCTTTGAAAAATGCATAGGCAAAGGAGGAACGTCAGAAGTATATTTGATAAGACATAAAGGGAATGCAAGACTCTATGCGCTGAAAATGATAAAAAAGCATTACATTACAGATTGTAGACGTTTGGAATAGGTATTGAGAGAAAAGAAAATATTATCCAATGTATTAAATTAAAGCCCATTTATTGTGCCATTATATGCAACATTTGCCACAAGAGAACATTTGTGTTTCTTAATGGAATACAGTCCAGGAGGAGAGATGTTCTTCCATCTCTAAAATTATCGATTTACAGAGGACGAAGCCAAGAAGTACTTTTGCGAAGTTATTTGCACATTGGAAGAGTTACATAAACATAAAGTGCTCTATCGAGATTTAAAGGTATTATTAAAATTAATTGTAACAGCCAGAAAATATCTTGATTGATATTCGCGGTCACATATAATTGACAGATTTCGGTCTATCTAAGTTGGACTTGATGAATGAAGACGTAACTCATAGTTTTTGTGGTTCTCCAGAGTACATGCCTCCAGAAATAGTCAGGTAACTCTATTGACTATTTTAGTCGTTAAGGATATTCATATCCTGCAGACTTCTACACATTAGGCTGCCTATTACATGAGTTGCTTTTGGGATTGCCACCACATTACTCTTAAAACACTGACGAGATCTTTTAGAAGATAATTAATGAGGAGTTAGAGTTGCCAGAAGACCTTACAGAAGAAGTTACAGAATTGTTGATTGATTTATTGGAAAAGGATGTAAGCAAACGTATCAAGGATTTCAAAGTTTTAAAGAAGTATTAATGGTTAAGTGATGTGAATTGGGAAGCCATAAAAAATAAGCAAATAGAAATGCCTATTGAGATAGATATCTATGAAACTCATATCCATGGAGAATTCTTAAAAGTAGATGTGGCTGAATTCAATTAGAGAAATGAAACTGGTGATTTGAAACCCTAAGATGATTTGTTTGAGTTCTTCAATTACATTAACCCTTTACATTAGGATTAGTTCTTGTTAGAATCAAAATAACAGAATGTTAAAAATAGAGCATCTAGTGATTTGGTAGTGGAAAAGAAATAAAAACTAGTGTTAAATGAAAAACAATCTAATGTGAATCCAAATTAATTCAAGAAGAGTAACTCAGTTAAGTAATCTCTGAAATCTGCCAGTTCTCCAAGAATCAATAATCAGTTTTTTAATAGTGGCCATCATAGTACTCAAAATTCACCAAAGAAGCATCTACAACTCAATCTATAGGATATTGACAATCAATTAAGTATGAAAACCCCAAAATAACCTAAATCTTTAACTGGAACAACTCCAACAGCTGCTACATTGGCTCTTTTGAGAAAAAGCTTTTAGACTCTTTTAAAGAAAGCTCCTTCATTGAGGAATCAGGATAATCACCCAACGTTGAGAACACTCCTCTCAGAAAGGTCTTTAATGGATAGGAACTATATTAATCATATCAATTATAATTAGATTCAAAAAATAATGCAATTATAACATAGCAGTCCTACAAATAGGGAAATATCATCATAAAGACCACCTCAATAATTGCAGAAAAGAATTTCAAGCACCTCCACTCATCTTAAATCCTAGTTATCATAATTATCACTCTTTACTTTATCTTCGCAAATCACTTAAAGAGGCAGCACCTCGCATAGACCAAAACTTAAATGATGTTGTTATTATTTTATAATTATATATGATAATATATTTGTTTCATCCTACTGCTTCATCAATTTCATCATTTCCAGGATAATCTCCATTTGGAATTCCATTTGGAACACCTCCAATGATACCAATTTCGTTTGCAGTCTTGTTAAATATTGGAATGATGGATAATAATGCTGGATCACCAAATACCATAAATGGAGCACCACTCAAGTAGGACATCATGACTTGGCAAACATCTCCAGTAGCTAATATAATAATACATTAAATTAACCTGCTACATAGTATCCTTATAATAAATTGAAAAAGGGGATTGTCACATTAACAACATTGAATGCAACTGTGATATTTGGGAGGTAAGCTAAAGCGTCAGCAGTTGGTTGGCAAGGACAATAAATACTGCCACTCATGAAACAACCTGAAGGTATCAAGTAATCCTTAAGGAGAACATTATAAAGGTCTTAAGTCACTAGTAATTCTGTAGTTCCTGAATCTAAAATTGCTGATTAAACTGATCCCATCAATGAAGAATAATCTTATCCATTGATAGTAAAGGCATTAATAAATAATTTCCATCTATAGATATCATTAGGAATAACCCATTAAATCTAATTAAGTAAATTAGGATCAATGTCTCCAAAAATCAAAGTAGATGGTAAAGGAGCCTAGTTCAAGATTAAGCCATACAATTCAGTTGGTATCTAACCTGCATTGAAAGCAGCTTAAAAGATATTTGTGAATGTTTGATTGTTTGAAATACCCATAATACCATCCATAACTGTTGGGAATGCAAAGCCTTGTTCCATCGTTGCAAACATCATAGCAAATGTTGTGTTTATGTCTGTATCCTATATACTTACCATATCTGTCGCAACATATCCACTGCATTCTCCACTTCCGTAAGCTTGATAATAAGTACTACCATTTGGAGAAAAATATTCTTATCCATTAGGATTGTATCTAGTTGAAATATCACATCTTGGACAATCTGTGTAAGGAACCCATAAAATATTAGAGCCGGTATCAATTTAGACTGTAAAATCTTGAGCTGGAACTCCAATTGAAATATAAACCAACCATATGGTTTATTCATAGTTCTCAAGAGTTGAATTCGTACTCAAAGTTCCTTGGACTGTATTCCAGTTAGTATAGGCGTAGTTAGTGTTCTCGGCAAAAATTGAAACAACCAATGATGTAATTAGTAATAACTTTTGCATTATTATAATAAATAATAAAATTCTTTATATATTCATTATTCTTATATAATATGATTTAATTATTTATTATCATCTAATGAATGCAACTCAGTTCTATAAGAATTAGATATTATATACATAAATCTCTAATAACATAAGAAAGATCCAAAAGAGAAGGTTTAATTACCTCATATAAATCACTAAAATGAATATGATTAAATTATTCTTTAAAGTATCTATAAATTGTGAATATTATGTAGAAAATGAATGCGCTCTCTAGTTGTTCTGCAAGAAATTCTTAAACTAATCATAAATCTTTAAATTTGTAAAAATAATGATTTAATACATTTAAAGATTGCAAACTTTTATAGGAATTGTAATAATATTAATTATGTATTAATAAAGTTATGAATTCCTGTTGAGGAACTAAATACAAATTATTAATAATCCACCAATAGCATAAAATTCTAATAATAATAATTGATGAAAAATGATGTAATTGTCAATTATTTCGAGTGATTCTCAAAATTGATTTTGTTTGATCTTAAAATATAATTAAATCAAAAACTAGCAAAACACAGTTTAAATAAGTTGTCTCTATTTATTCAATAAAACTAAACTGAAAACTTTGATTTTAAATTTAAGTGAATTATTTGAAGCTACATCATTATTAATTATTTCAGATGTTCAAAAAAAGTATAATATTTAATGTTTATTTAATTGCCAATTTAATAATCTGTGCACATTCTGTTGATTATCTATTTAATGTTTAATTAATGCGATGTATATCTTGAATTATTATTACAAATTATCAATTGATATACATGGGTATTTTTCTAACCTTATTCTATATTAGCTAGGTAAAGTGCTAAGACAAAGAAGGCAGTCTCCAAGACAGTCTCTAAAGCAGTTAAAAAGTAAGTTGTCAAGAAGGCTACAAAAGTGATCTAGAAGAAAGTGCCTAAAAAGATAGTTAAGAAAGAAACCAAAAAGGTTGTACCTGCAAAAAAGAAAGTTGTTTCTAGAAAACCATAAAAAAATATAGTAGTTAAGGCAGCTCCTGTTAAAAAGGTAGTGCCTAAAAAAGCAAAGGCTGTTGCTCCCGCCAAAAAATAAGTTTCAAAAAAATAAAATGTCAAAGAATAGAAGGATGATAAAAAGAAAGTGTTAAAGCCAGTTGCTCCAAAGGCTGATGCTTAACCCAAAGTTCCAGTCAAATTTGCAGCATACACCTTAGATTAATATTAAGCTTATTAAAAGGCAATCAAGGATTGGTCATCAAAGACAAATTAAGAAATAAAGGATAATTTAAGAAAAAACTTATAGAGTATGTCTGGAAACAAAGATGAATTGTTGAATAAAATTGCTGATGGAATAGTTTTAGGGTCAATACCAAGATGTCCACATTGTTATGGTGGAAGACCAAAATACAATTAATCCACAGGAACGTAATAGATTAAAACATAATCATAGTTATTTCTGTGTTGGATATAGAGATGATACTGATTTTAAGTTCTGCAATAAAACCATAGCATCTTTGGATAGAACTCCTTGGGAGCTTTGAATTATCAAATAAAAAAATACAAAACATTATGTTTGCGCTAAGGTACTTCTCAATATATATAATGATTTTATAGTTTCTATCCCCATCCTATTCCATCATATTCCATCCAATTCCACCCTATTCCATCCAATCCATATCCCAATTTACTTTAATTCTATCTTTATATATATGTCTGTTTATATTTATACCATCTATTTTTTAGTATAATAATTTTTATTATTAAATGAAGTAAATTTAAAGTTAATTTAACCATCAACTCATAGGAAGGATTCCAAATCAATTGAGTATAGATTATTTATTATTAAGGTAGTTCATATAGGAAAATGAATGATCGCATACTGGCTTATTAGAATAAAATATAAATCACCAAAGATGACAATCAATATGAAATCAACATAATTACTCCAGGATATTTAAAGTGCAACAAATTACAATATATGTTCAATTGGAAAATCAACTTTATTGAAAGTCGGCTTTGTTAATTTACTAAAGATGAATTTTATTAGATCTATTTATACAATTGCTTCCTATTAGGAGATTGCTACAAGGCCAATAGTCTATCTTATATACAATAAAAATATAGACCTTTTGAATCCTATTTTGATATTAAGAATGAAAACAGAAATAATATCCTGTTGTATGGGGAAAACATGAGTGAATTCAATTAATTTAAACTATCAAATTCAGCTCAAAATGAGTTTACAGATTTTAATCGAATTTATGTGAATAAAAAAAATCCGTTTGTTTCCTTTTCAGTGTATGATATCATAAACAGCAACGACAAGGCAATAACATATTTCCAGAAATTAGTACAATAAAGTGCATTTTAGAATTTGGATGAAGCATTATAATATTATGGAGTAACTCTAAATGAGATCGAAGGGATGAATGTTCATGAATTATTGCATTTAGAAAAACTCATTCCTGGAAATGTGCAATCATATAGATAGAATTATTAGAGTTTCCATGAATATATCGCTTTTAGTGCATATACATTACATATCAATTAATTTCATCGGAATGTTCCAAATATGGCATTTAGTACAAATGAATGTGAATAGTGCAACTCAGGCATTCCCTCAGAGTATTGCACATCACTCAAATCTATCTAACCCTTAAAGTAACCTCAATTAATACCCATCTAATAATTATAAGAATATCCTCTAGATTACAAAACGTATGATATTATTTGCATTCTCTTTCACTCATTAATATGCTAATTCAAGATTTGGAGTCATCAAGACTCAGTCGAAAGCATTCTAAATTATCAAGTGGTTGAAGAAGCTATAGTAACTTCGTCATCCAATTTCAAAAGAAATTATGAAAATCTAGAACTGTTGGGGGATTCTGTCTTGAAATATGTAGTAACTGTAGATATCTTTAAACAATACGAATTGTTAGACGAAGGAGAAATGACATCCTTAAGAAGTCGGTTAATAATGAATACATTTTTAGCCTAATTATTTGAATAATTAGGTCTAGAACACTATATAATTAATTAGGATTTGCATTTCAAATAAATTCGAAATCCTTTAGTCAATGATATGATTTCGAGTGATAACAAACAGTTGCAAATTAGTCAGAAGGCAGATATTTATGAAGCAATTGTCGGCGGTGCTTTTGAAGTTACTCAAAGTCTCTATGAATATATTATTATTTTGAGACGAACAAACTTTCCCATATCTTTCTATTAAGACATCCTCTTTGATTTTGAACCTATTACTGAATATACTCAGCATATCGATATCAAGGACTATAAATTTAATAATCCGCAATTATTTGAAATAGCTATAAATCCATTACAATATGATAGATTAGAGTTTTTAGGGGATGCTGCGATTGAATTGCTAGTTATCTCTTACGTTTTTCGAGCAGCAAGGGAAAAACAATAAAGAAATCCAAATTGGATCTTAAATCCAGGACTATTATCGACTTGGAAATAATAATTATTGGGAAACAAGTTTATGGGAGAACAAACAATTAGGATGGGCTTGAAACCTCATATCAATGAGATTCCTAAACTATATGGTGACATATTTGAAAGCGTTGCTGCTGCCATTCTTCTTGACAGTGGATGGAAAGGATTGAACCAAGTCTACGGAAGTCTTTACAAGAAATATATGAATGAAATTATTGAATAGTGATATAATTATTAAACTAATTATATGAATAAGAAAAATTTAGGATGGGACATTGAAGAACAAGAATACCTAGATAGTTTAATACCTGGCAACTTACCAAGGATCGAGAAAAGACATGTTGAGAGCAAGAGCCATAGGATTAAGTCCATTCTAGATTCAAAAATTATGAAATGTTCTTCTTCTTCTGTCCAACCTACCTAAAATAGTAAATCAACATAAATAAGCACCTAAACTACTCAAACCGCATTCTAAAATACCCTTACTTCATGTTTCTAATCTCCAATGACTCTAACAAGTTATCCTGCATTGAGATATCCTCCATTACTAGATGTTGCTCATAAAGCCAATAAAAAGTCATCAGGACCATTAAAAAGAAGGAAATATAAATGCAGCATAATTAACTTAAGCCAGCCCTAAATTTAAAGTCCACAAGTAACTCATAAGCTCTTCAATATCAATAAATATATTTCATAAAGACATTCATGTATTAACTATTTTTGATACTATTTCTATTATTCACATAACTAAATTATTGTAATTAATTAAGATTCTGAGCTTAGTTTCAAGAATTATAAATTTTGCTAGTTTATTATTATAAATTTATTCTAATCAGGTTTTTTGAGTGTTATATAAAAAAGATGTTTTTTTTCCATTATAAATGTAATAATAACTCAAAAGCGAAGGTAATAAGGATTAGAATATAAAAATGTTTAAGAACCTTGCTTTTGAGTTTATCTTAAAAAATTTATTGTTTCAAATTTTAGTTTTATTATCTAATTAATCTTATTAGCGATATTAAGTAAATAATAAATGAAGTATCTTTTTATATTCAGCATTTTCTATATTTGTTTATCTTTATACATAAAATGTAGAAATTAAATTTTATTCATTTAATTAATTATTCTAGTTGTTCAAGAGTACTCTTTTTTAGTTCTACTTTGGCTTCATTTATTTTTGATATTATTTCATTCATGAGATTGTTAGAAATTTAAATTTTTGTTGGCTTTGCTTTATTTATTGCCAATGAACTCTATTCAAAACATAAGTAATCTTTTTCTTAAGTACAGGTTAAACCTGCAAGTGGGTATTTAAAAGTAACAACACCTCTATTAGGATTGGAGCATGGGATAGTTTAATATACATAACCTTACTCCGTACTTATAATCAGATACTAATGATAAAAAGATATTTTACGGTTCGTTTTTTGTCAATTTGAAAATATTAATCATCTGTTAAATGAGATATCTCTTAATTCAGTACATATTGTGCCTTTGGGGGCTCTTATTTTTAATTCGTAACCAAAAATTTCGAAATCAGATATATGTAAATAAATTTAAATTGGGATAGTTCATTCTCGTGTTCCCAATTTTGTAAATCATTGAATGAAACAGTAAACGAAGATTTCTTGAAGAGATTCAAATCAAAATTTTATAGAATCCCCCAATTTATTATTACAGCTTCTGATAAATAAGCCTTATCCAAACTAATACTAGCTCTCAATTATGCTACATAAATTCCATATTCCAAATAAATATCTTACAGCATATTAGTATCTTCATTTAGGTAGAATAAAAATATAAAATCAATTACTTTTTTTGAATACATAATTTGCTTCTAGGGTTTGGATAATAACTATGTAAGATAAAAACTGATACTTAAATAATTTGTTAGGCAGGCCATGGTTATTATTAATTCTTAATTATTTGCCAAATGGCTAATTAGAGTAATAATATACTGTTATCTCGTGGCTTAAATAATAGCAATAATAACGTACTGTTAGAAGATGTAGCATCTAAGTTTTGTAAGTATTGTGTATGAGATTGTTTTCTTATTAGTTCTCAAAAACATTGAATACGTTTTGATTAAGGTTTTCTTCTAAAAAGACATCTTCAAATTCACACAAGTAATTCTCTGTTTCATAAACCCAAGTTGCAGATGGGATGTAATTATATTTTAGTTCAAGTCCACGATCTTTTGGGATCTTATCTTATGATAAATATTTTAATATGTTATTAAAAGGTAATTTAGATATGATTTGATATATAAGGTAGAATCCTAACTTAAATTCAGTTTTAAAATCAGTGTTTTTATTTAATAGCAAATAGTCCAAGATCGGTAAGATTAATCTATGAAGCATTATTTATTCAAAAAGTGGGATCAGAAAAGGACATTACTTAAGGATATCGCTAAAGAACATGATCAACTCTTCTAATGAGTTATGGAATTCTGATTTAGCAAGATTGGGGAGTATGCATTTAATTTAGTGAACGTATTTCAGGTATGCGAGATAGAATGGACTTAGTGAAAAGTAGTTTTTTAATTTTTTAATGGTTCTATTTTCCTATTCCATGATTGATTAAGTTAGTGTGTCGCTGTCTTGAGATAGATTGAATACTAAATTATGATAGAGAGATACATTTTGATAGGCTAAGGATGATGACTTTAATAGTATTGCTTACTAAGACATCTGGATAATTGATAAATTTTTATGCTTCCCAGAGCAAAGGGAAAGAGGGATAGCGGAAGTTAAAATAGAGAAAGATGTTTTCTCTATCAATTCTAATGGCTATGATTTTTAAAAAATTGACATAATAATCAACCATTTCTTAGTTAGAAAAATCGTATTGATGAATAACGAAATCATTTAGAACAGAGTTACTAAGCAAGTAAGTGATGTTGAGTGGTTGTTTAAGATTTGAACTAAATAATGGAGATGCTTACATAATGAAGGATAATCTGGAAATGATGTAGCAGAGTTGCTGAGTTGACAAGTTGATAATTTTGTCATAGAATAAAGCCAAGATATTATTTTCAGCTAAATAACTAGTTAAAATAGGGAGGGATGTTACTCAAAGATATCTTAATTTTGATGATCTCCAATGACATAAAAATTGGAGAGCTTTTAAATAAGATTTGTGATTTATTGGGAGTCGTTGCTATTAATGAGGGCTTTATGTAAATCCTAAGGGCTATCGTATTACATTAATTTAAATTATTAATATGTCAGCACTTGAGATAGCACGCAAGAAAATATCATTTGATGTAAATAAGCTGTCCCACTTCATTTGGGAAGGAGAAGAGAGATTCAAGAGATTCATGGCATTTTAGAAGCTGTGCAGTTCTGATCCTCTTCTTCGTAATAATCCAAAAGACATTGGAATCGGAAGAGCCGAAACCTATGAACTATATGCAAGGAAAATGAAGAAGTTATTGGAAGTGGCCGACTTGCGTGATATCAAAGAGTTCGCAACCTTGATATATCCAGAGGCAGTAAGATAATGATATTATGTTGAATAGTTGGTGTCATCATTGAATTATGAAATGTTCATGCCCACAATATTGAATTTGGGTACAGATGAATAAGTGAAGCTATTTTATGAGCCAGCATCAAGATGGGAGATCCTGGGTTGTTATTCATAGACAGAATTAGCACATGGTTCAGATATAAATAGAATCGAAACAACAGCCACATATGATAAATAAACAAAATCTTTCATTATTAATACTCCCTCATTGAAAGCCACTAAATGGTGGGGAAGTGACATGGGCATAACAGCTACTCATGTTGTAACCTAAGCTTAATTGTACATTGATGGTAAGAGATGTGGAGTATAGAATTTTGTTGTCTAAATAAGAGACGTGAAAACTCATTAAACACTTCCAGGAGTTTTGGTTGGTGACATTGGTGCTAAATTTGGATACAATTCAAAAGATAATGGATATTTGAGATTCGACAATGTTAGAATTCCCAAAGTCAATATGTTAAGCAAATATGTGAATGTCTCAGATGATGGACAATTCACTAAAACAGGAGATGACAAAGTATGGCATGCTACCATGTAATTGATGAGATAACATTTCTTGGATTCAGTATGGAAATGTCTAGGAATTGGTCTCACTATTGTCATTAGATATTCATTACAAAGAAAACAATTCAAAGATTCCTTAGGACAAGAAATTCCCATCTTTGATTATCAACTCCAATAACACAAATTGATTCCATTGATTGCTGAAATGTATGGATGTATGTTAGGAAGCAAGAAGGTCTTTGCTATGGCATAAGACAATGTTGCTAGAATTAAATAAAAGAATGATTTCTCTAAAATGATGGTATATCTTTGATTCATCTTAGGAAGTTCATGTTGTCTTAAGTGCTTCCAAAGCATACTATACATGGAATTGCTTCTTCGCCTTAGAAAAGGTTAGATAATGTGCTGGTGGACATGGTTATTCCTATTACTCTGGAATCCCACCTCTTATCACTGAGATGAGTCCATGTGTTGTTGCAGAAGGTGATAACACAGTCTTGTCTTTGTCTGTGGGTAAGGTCTTGTTGATGTATCTCAACAAAGGTATAATTATGTTTTACATTCTTAGCCATGCAATCAGGAAAAGCTCCCAACACCACTTGTGATTATTTGGAGGACATTTTCAATTATTTGACTGAACTCAAATAACCATTGGTCTCCAAAGAGTGTACCAGAGATCTCAATAAAGTCTTGGCTGCTTTGAGATACAATGTTGCTTTCAATGTTGCTAATGCAGGATAAAAGTTACAAACTCTCATGGGTGATAAGGGGTTGACATTTAAGGAAGCCACAGACAAGCACTTAGGCATTCTCTTATAAGAAATTGCTCACACACAATCTAATTATTGGACTTATAGAACCTTCCTTGAAGAAGTCAATGCGTTGACTGATCCAAATATTAAGTCTGCCCTCACCCAATTATGCCTATTGTATGGTCTTAATAAGATCTTGGAATAATAGGGATAATTGTTTGAGTATGGAGTCTTAAGTGGTCCTCAATTTGTTTGGATCAGAGAAACCAGAGATGAACTTATTTCTAACTTGAAAGACAATGCTTTGGGCTTAGTTGAGGTATACACATGTTCTCTATTTTATAGGCTATTGCATATGATGATAATAGTGTAAGATCAGCCATTGGAGATTCTTAGGGTAATCCATATGAGAAATTATATCATTGGGCGAAGGATCTCAATCCATTAAATGAGCCAGAATTCCATGAATAAGTTTTTAAGACGATTAAGACAATCAGAACAGCATCTCCACATGCTAAATTATGATTAAGATTAACAAATTATCAGATAACATAATTGTCTTCTTTTTTCCATCTTATAGACAGATTAGTGAAAAACTAATGATAAATGCTATTATATTAATTTTTAATAATTAAAAATGGAAGGATATTTAAAAAAATGGACTAACCTTTTTTCAAGGTGGCAAGATCGTTATTTCATTCTAAATGAAGATGTTCTTCTCTATTGTGATTCTCAAGGAGGGTAGATTAAAGGATAGGTGCATTTGAAAGTTTCCGCTTTGATTTTAGTGCCAGAAGATCCTTTAAGAATAATAATCAATACTGGAACAACTGAAATCCATTTGAGAGCAAACAATATCAATGAGAAGATAGATTGGATAAATGCTTTGAAATCTGCTTAAGACAAGTGTTTGAGTCGATAAAGTGAAATAAGATTTGAGTAAAAGATACAAGAATTGCTTACTGATGTTTGGTAGACTGGAGCTATATGTATGATAGAGAATTATTGTAGTTGATGAAACATTGAGTATGTTGATTCCTAAATTGGAGAAGAACTCACAAATTAAGGAGATGGCTGACAGATTAGAAAGCATAGGGAAAAATCTAAAAACGAAAATCACCTTGTGTGCTCAAATTGTGGAAGAGGAGAAGTAAAAGCTATCAAATATGGAGAATGGAACTGTATATGAGAGTTTTATTCATTAAAATTCAGCATAATCAGTAATGCGAGAAGAACAAATCAATTATTAGCATCAACCATAACATGGTCAATCCTCATAGATGAGTATAACTGAGATCACTTAGCTAATTAGAGAACGTCAACCTATAAAATATGTACTTAAAGAATTAGTTATATTAGTTTTTAGTCGAATCTCATTAACAATCCTGCTTTTCAGAAAATTAAATTTACTAATAGTCCTAAACGAGATCGATTGCCTTATCGAAAAGACCCAAATGAAAAAATAAATGTCTGGTATTTGTGTAAGGAATTGATTGGAAAGGATCTAGGAAGATTTTCAGTGCCAAGTAATTCATTTATAATAATAATAGTTATTTTGAATGAGCCATTGTCTATGTTATAAAGATTGGCTGAATAGATGGAATACTCTGATTCGTTGGAAGAAGCAGATAAAATCGCAGGAGATAGTGCATTAAGAATGTGTTATATTATGGGTTTTGGTGTCTCACCATATTCAGCAAATATAGGAAGGACAAAGAAACCTTTCAATCCTATTCTAGGAGAAACCTATGAAATTTAAACTCAAAATTGTAGGTTTATTAGTGAGTAGGTGTCTCATCATCCTCCTATTTCTGCAGGATATGCAGAATCTAAAGCATTTTAATTTTGGGCTCACACAGATGTCCAAACTAAATTTAATGGTTTATGTTTCTAAGTGAATCCTGTTGGATTATTTAATGTCATGTTGAAATCATCAAATGATCATTATTAATTTAATAGGTGTACAACTAAGGTTCAGAACATTTTATGGGGGTAATAATATTTGGATCATATGGGATAAATGAAGTTTGTAAATCTTACTACTGGTGATAATGGAGTGTTGGAATTAATTGAAAAATCAGGGAAATCGGAGTCGGAGATGAGAGGGTATGTAAAGGATAAAAATGGAATTGAGAAGTATAAATTAAAAGGATTTTGGAATGATCGTCTTATAGCTTATGATTCTTAAAGAGAAATCATTGTGTGGAAGAGACATCAATTGCCATAGGATTCAGACTGGTATTATAATTTTACTGAATTTGCCATGTAACTTAATCATTTGACAATTGATATGATAAAAGTAATTAACATGTGTTTAAATTATTTAGGAATTACCTTGTACGGATTGCAGATTGAGACCAGATTAATTGGCGTTTGAAAATGGATGGATTGACTTGGCTTCAAGTGAGAAACATAGGTTAGAGGAGAAGTAGAGAGCACGGAGAAAAGCTATGGCTGCAGCAAATTAAGTGCATGTGCCAATGTTCTTTGAGGAAATGACTGATCCTAAGACTAATTTGAAATGGTATAAATATAAAGGGAATTACTTTTAATAACAATGGAAATAAGTTGGATAAGAATTGTTGGATTTATTTTGATTAATATGAATAACAATAATTAAGTTACATTTTTAAAAATATTGTTGTTAAATAGCCAATCTTAAATAAATATTTTAAGACATTTTGAAAAATGTTTAAAGACATGTCTTTTATGTTCCCTCTGGCAACAGTCAATTTAACTAATACTAGGATTAGAACACTCACGAACCTGATTGAATCAAATGGAGGACAAATGAAACTCGGTCCAGACACACTAATGATTGTTGGCTCTGATGCAACAGTAGAATTATGTCAGAAATAGTTTGCAAAATTTAATCTTGATTTTGAATAATATCGGTATTAGTTTCTAAATGCCGATTGGGTATCCTAATCGTTATTAAATAAAAAACTGCAAGAACAGAAGAAGTTTCAGTTGTTCCCTGAAGTAGAATTTCAGCCAGTCTTAGAGGAAGTTCCAGAAATCAAAACAAAACTAGTTTATGTAGAAGCTTTGGCTAAGACCGTGCCAGTGAGAGAAGAGGTGGTTGAGTAAGATGATGGAGACATATGCATTTACAATATCAAAGATAATGAGTTAAGAAATAAGTATGAGAAAAGGATGGAAGAATTTAGAAGGGATATTATTAAGGAATATAAGTAAATATTAGATTATGAGTATGATTATGATTTGGATAATTTCCATAATCAGGTGGATGATGGTTATGAGTATTTATTGGAGGATTTATCTATTCTGAAAAAAGAAGAGCCTCAAATACCTGAGTCTGAGAAATTCTATGGTGATGATGATTGCTAGATAACTGAAACTAGAAAAGTTAAATTTGATATTTTGGATGGATTGGATTTAGGAAAATCAGTTGTTAATGTTGAATAACCCATATTGTCTGCTTAATTAAAGGAAACCAAATAATTTAATCCAGGATTAAAAAGAAAATAGTAATTTTGGGAAGCAAAAAAGGGATATTTTGTTTGTGAAGCTGGTGCTGCTCAAAAGTGTCAAAATAATGAGATTATTGAAGAGTTGGAGAAACTGTTGAAAATATATACAAATGACAAAGATAAAGGAAGATGTATAGCTTACAGGAAGGCTATTGGATTCTTAAAAGCACTGCCATATCCAATCAAATCTAGTGATGATTTAAAGGATATGCCTACAATAGGAGATAAAATTAAGAAGAAGATAATCGAAATTATGTAAACTGGTAAATTGACTAAAGTATAAAAATTGGAAGGATAAGAAAAAAATGTTGCCATCAGCGAATTAACGAGAGTTTGGGGTATTGGACCTACCACTGCGGCGACCTTTTATTTCAAAGGAATAAGAACTCTGGAGGATTTGCAAAAGAATCAACATTTACTAAATAGAAATCAATAAGTTGGATTGCAATTAGTGAAAGATTTAGAATAAAGGATTCCAAGAGAGGAAGCTACCTTAATATTTGAGATAGTGAAGAGAGAAATCGATGATTTAAGTGGAGTCCAAGGATTATTTAAGGCCACTGCTTGTGGATCTTATAGAAGAGAAAAGGAAACATGTGGAGATATGGATATTTTAATTACAAGGTGTGATGGTAAAAATACTGAGGATTTCCTATTAAATTTGATCAAAAGATTGGAGGGGAAATTGTTAACTCATCATCTGACAATGCCAAAAAGAACTGAACATGATTGTGAAACTTATATGGGAATTGGAAGAGTATCTAATTAAGCTGTGCATAGAAGGATTGATTTAAAACTATATCCTAAGGAACAGTATGGTTGTGCAGTTTTGTACTTCACTGGCTCTGACCATTATAATAGAAGCATGAGATTGTGGGCTCAGAAAAATGGATATACTTTAAGTGATCATGGACTCTACCCTACTCAGAGAGGTGCTCATAATAAGAAGTTGTGGAAAGGAGAAGTGATACCATGCGAAGAAGAAATGGATGTGTATAAGATTTTAGGATTGAAGTACAAACCCCCGAAGGAGAGATCGGTATGATTTGGTTTATTTTTAATTTTTTTTAAATTATTACTCGAACAAGATAGAAAAATATACATAAAGTCAATCAGATATTCAACTATGCTGCTCTAGTGCGTATTCTATCTATGAATTCAACCGATAAAGGGGGATTGGCAACAATTAGTTGTAGCAATTCTCTGATTCCTCCGAAATTCCAACTCCAAGTTTCTCTTCTTCGAAAAATGTATTAGTATCAATAATGGAGTATGATTTCTCGTAGTTTAAGGGTCTCAATGCACTTTCACTTGACATCTCTTCAATTTTAACGAGAGGAGTTGTTATTGTTTGATGGGCTTCTTTTTAGGAGATTACTGAAAACACGGACACAAGGGTCAAGAGAGCAAGACTTATTTTGCCTAATCTCGATCCACGACCTAATTGCTGTAGAATTGATAGTTGGTCTCTTATTTTCGAACTCTTGTTCGTCAATTTTTGATGTTTCTCTTAAAGTTCTTCTAATTGCTTTCTGAGTTCGGCATTGTAGTCCAGTTCTTTTTGTGCTTGTGATTCTAATTGATGTAAATATTGTTTTTTCCTGTCCCTTGAGTTTTAGGCACTTATCCTATTACGTATCATCTATATAGTTTTCTTATCATTTTCTCTTAATGGATCCTCGTCTTCCTTCTTTCTTTTGATTTTCTTACTACTAGACACAATCTCTGGTTCATCTTTTTGCTTTCTCTATTTTGCCTTCTCTCTTCTCATTGTGCGCTTCATCTTTTCAACTAGTTTTTGGAAATCTTAAAAAATAGTAGATAATTTAGCTTACTTTGAGGATGTTATTTTTGCATCTCTAATAATCCCTTTTCAGATGTTTATAAGGTTTCACTCATATATTCAAACAATTCTTGTTAGCTAGTGCTCATTCTAGAAAGATTTATATTATTTTATTGCATTAAAAAACGATAAATTTTCTTCGCTAAATACAACAACTTTGTGAAATAACTGCAATCTAATATTAATGATTAACACAGTAATTAAATCCATTTATTTATTCATTTAATTACTACAATCTCAATAATCACCCTCAATGACTATTAGGTTCAAAATGAATCATCTTACAAAATATCATTTCTCCAACTCAAATTCGTTTTTAAATTATTATTTTACTAAATTTCAAAATAAAACATAAGAGACACGTTGCTTCTAAAATTCAATATCGTTTTTGTATAAAAATTAATAAACTGAAAAACATGCATTATATAGACAGAGTTCAATGAACTTCGATTTATATGCATCTATTATTTAATACAAGCAACTTTAACATAAACATATTAACAATTCTAATTATAAGAAGTAAAGGGAGAAGAGAATAGAATCTTATGTTATAGTGTGAGATCAGTCAATAAATAGTCATTGTAATGATATAACTGCTGATCTTAGCATCTGGATTGTTATTCTAAATAGAGAGAGTATTTGATCATGCAATTAGAGAAGTTGAATTATAAATTTTTGATCGTTTTTCAATTATTAATATATAATATATTCATGAAGACACTAATTCTCACAGTGCTAATTTGCTTTGGTGCTTCATAAATGTTGAGAGGCTCACCAAAATCCTTGATTGAAGAAGAACAAGGTAAATGAGATAATTTAGAAAAGCAATCTTCGAATCGGAAAAAGAGGATTAAAGTTTTTATGTTGGAAGAGATGATGTCTCAGCTGAAACCCTTTAAGGAGAATAAAATTAGGAGGCTGAAGCTAGTTTGGTAGTGTTTAAGAGCGATGATACTCCAATGGTTTATGTTGAGGAATCAATTGATGCAAGTATTGAATAAAGCTTAATTGAAGCCCAAAAAGATGGTTTTCAGTAGTAGGAATCCTTGTAGATCGAGAAGATTGAAGATTAAGAGCAGTAATAGTTCAACAGATAATAAAGAGTTCAAAACTTATAGGAAGCAACGACTGACTCAGCAAATTATGTTGACAAAGCAATATCTTTAGACGGAGACACTGAAGCAGAATCTGTTTAGAACTCTTCGACGGATGTGGTTTTAAACATTGCCCCAAAGACAGAGTCTCTTAGCAGTTCTGAGAATTCCAAGAAGCATGTTTACGTTTACAATCGTAAATGAATGTCCAGATATTTCATTTAGCTTTGGCCAAGAAACCTTTTGTTGGTATCAAGTTCCCACCAATGCCAGTCACCAAAGATCGTAACTACTTATCCAATTCTGATACTCTAACCATCAAGTTGCCACCATGGTCAGAACAAAGCAACCATAGAGTAGAGGATGATTTAGAGTTCTTCCAGTTCATTAGACGTATTAAGCAATAAATTATGTAGCATCTGATGTATCAGTAAATGAATATTGATCTAATATTATTATATATTTCATTCTTTTTTAAAAGTTAAGCATAACAAAGTTTTAATAATTAAAATGCAACAAGAGGATAAGAAGAAAGCAGACTCTGGGAAACTGGAGATAATTGTAAGAATCCCCCTTTAAGTAGAAAATTATGAATGCATTTTCTGATAAGGAATGGAACAACTTTGACAAAATTGAAAGAATTGAACTTACTCTTGAAGACTTTGGGAGAATGAATGTAGTCTAGGCATTCAAAAATTTGAAATCCCTAACATTAATTAATGTTGGTATCACTGTTATTGAAGTACTCATGCATTTATTTAACTAGGGTTTAGATGACTTAATTAAATTGGAGGAATTGAATTTGAACGAGAATTAGATTGTCAAATTAACTGGCTTGAAAGCAACAACCAATTTAAAAGCCTTGTATATATCTCACAATGCAATCTAAAAATTAGAAGGGTTAGACTCATTAACAAAACTAGAAACATTGTGGCTTTGCGATAATAAAATCGATACTATTTAAAATCTAGATTTCTTAGTGAATCTCAAGTAACTATGGTTAGCAGCCAATTCCATAAGTAATCTGAGAACATCTTTGGATAAATTAAAAAACTTATATGATTTAAATATAAGTGGCAATAAAATTTGCAGTTTCAAGGAAGCCTTAAATTTGAATCGTCTACCCAATCTTAAAGTCTTAGCGTTTTATGATCCTCATTTTGGTGACAACCCTATTTGCAATCTCTGTAACTATCAAACCTATGTGCTTTATCATCTAAGAAACATATCTAAATTGGACACTCTTATGATTTCTGATGATTAAAAATCCTTTGCTGAAGGAACCTTCATGAAAAAAAAGATGTACTATAATATGAGAATTAAAACTATGCAAAGGACATTTTCAACAATATGTAAATTACTTAAGAAAGGCAAGAAAATAAAGATTGATTCATTATGCGAAGACATTTCTAATTTAAATATTAAATTGGCTTAGGAATAATTGGATAAGGAGAGACAGTAACTTTTAGAGAATAAGTATGAGGAATATGAGAATCAAAATGAAATTTATAATAGCATTAAAAAGAAAGTGTATGAGTACTGCGATTAAAGCATTCATAAACTAATGACCGAATTAGAAACTGGAGGCAACATTAGATTAGAAGAAGGAAAAACTAATGAAAAATGGTATGGTTCATGTGTTGATCTTATAAATTCAAGATTCCATGCAGAATAAATGGGGAAGTTCGGCATCAAAGATATTCAAATAAAGAGAGTTGTGAGAATACACAATAAATTCATAAGAAATAAATTCGAAGAAAAAATGGAGTCATTAGTTGACGTCTCCAATCAAAGTCACAAAAAGTCTCTTGAATATCTATTCTATGGAGTCGATCCGAACTTTCCCTCAGAAATCTATAATGTAATAGAGGAAGGATTTAGAAGTTATCAAGTATTCTAATTTAATATCTCAAGGACTCTCAATCCATAGGATTAAGTCCTTATACACCTTTGGTCAATAGTATTTTGGGGGCTGATGCTCCAAGAATCCAGCATCTTTTGAATGGGTAAGAGCATGCCCAAAAATTAAATAAGAGATTTATAAAACGAAGGTAATCATGAAATTAAATTAGATTGTACTATTAAAAATATAATATAATTCCACCTGGAGTAATTCTTATATGCAAAGTTCTAATGATTAAATCAGTATCTGATTCAAAACACCCCTATTTTAATCCAGAGTAACCTTGGAGTGAGATGTTTCAAAAGTTTCCTGTTGATGGCAGATAATATCAAGATGAATACACAGTCTTAAGAGTGATGGAAAATGATCAAAAACATAAATTGTGGTTTGTGTTAGACAATAATCTTATACTGCCTGAATACTTTGCTGAATTTGAATATGTTATGCAATCTCCACTTTAGAATAAAATTGCTGATTTTGGATCTGCATTAGGAGTGCTAGAGTCAGAGGATGATGATTTCATTAATCCTGCTAATTTTAATAAATACAAGGACAATATAAACGACTTATACAATCAATTGGCTGAAGATTTGAATAGTTATCAATTTGAGAATCTCGAAGAGTACCCAACTTATGAGTTGAAAGCCTAAGATTTAGACAGATCGGAATGTGCATCTCTCAAACCTGCTTTGGTGAATTACTTTAAATACTGTTTAAGTAGATCGACCCTTTATGAACTAAATCCCAATTTGGTGGGCACTCCAAATTTGAATGAAATATTGAAGAATCAAACTTAATTCTTGAATTTAAGTAATTGTTCTGTTTAAGATATCACATTTGTCAAAGGATAATTCCACACTCTCATTCTTAGTTACAACAAAATCAACAATATTACGGGTTTGAATGAATTACCAAATCTAATTAGACTTGATTTGTCACATAATGAAATATCCAATCTCAATGGTCTACAAGGTTTGAATCATTTGGAAATGTTGGATTTAACACATAATAATATTCAAGATATGGATTAAGTTGGAATTCTGAAATACAATTAAAATTTGAAATATCTCTCTGTTATTTTCAATCCAATAGGAGAGTACAAGGAAACAAGAAAGGAGATAGTTATGATCCTCAATAACTTGGCATTCTTAGATCATCTCCCTATAACAGAAGAAGATAGGGAACCAACTGTCAATTAAACTTAATATATTACAACTGGGATGCTGTAAACATTCAGCAAAGTCCAACATGATTGGAAACTACACATTTAATCAGTTATGATTACTCACTAAAAACTCAGTAGTATGAAAGGGCTGGAAGATTTGGTACAATTGAGACACTTGAATCTTGGCCATAATAAAATCACCTAAATTACATCTATTTAGGATTCAATCTTACTTGAAGAACTGAACTTAGAAAAGAACTCTATCATTTAAATATAGGGATTGGATAACATGTAATACTTAAAGAAATTAGAATTAGGAGGAAATAAGATATTTTAAATAGATGGTTTATCCAACTTAATTAATCTGATGCAAATATCTCTTGAGGATAATGCCATTCTCAATCTAAAGGAATTCCCAGATTTGAAAAGTTTAATGGAAATATATTTAGGAAATAACAATATAACTAATTAAAAAGAAGTTAATAATATTAAACATTTACAAAAACTAATCATCTTAGATTTATCTGGAAATCCTTTTGCCAGAGATACTAATTATAGATCCTATGTGCTTTACATCATTCCTAAATTGAAGGTTTTGGATGGTATTTCTATAGAGGCATCTGAGTAATAGATGGCTAAAAATTTATATACAGGACGTTTGACTGAAGAAATATTGTTTTCAAGACTCTAAGGTTAGCCTGCAAATAAAATCACTGAACTTTGCTTATAGAATTGTGAATTAAGAGATTTTGAAGATGTTTTTAATGTCTAATCATTCCCATTATTGGTAGAATTGGATTTAAGTCAAAATCTATTTACTTCAACTAAAATGCTAGGATTTTTGCCTCATTTAAAAATTTTAATATTGACTTGTAATAAAATAGAGTCTCTATTGTATCCGACTGATATCAACTAAAAAAAGGGATTGAATGGATGCCAATAATTATAGATTTTGGATATCTCATAAAATAGTTTGAAAGAATTTAATGGGTTGTAATATTGTTAATTAAAAGAATTAAAAATTATAAAATGTGAAAAAAACGAGATTACTAGAGTAGACCAGTTAGAAAACTTAAAGTAATTGAAAGAATTAGATTTAAATTATAATAAAGTAAGATAATTCGATCCTTAATCATTTGCTGCATAAAACCCGATTAAATGTTTGAAGATTGATGGGAATGGTTTAAAGAATTTCTAAAATATCTAAAAATTATTTAAATTGCTTGTAATCAATTAATTTATCTTGTAGCATCTATTCGCTAATTCAAATAGGATTAATGACTTACCTGATATTGAACACCTAGTTGCTCTTACTCAACTCAAAGAATTAGAACTTGTAGGAAATTCTTTGAGTAGAAGACCAGGATATCGATAAATGGTTTTAAGAAAGTTGCCAACTATATTGTATCTCGATGGAAGAGTAAAATGATTATATTATTATAGGAAGTAACACAAGAAGAGAGAGAAAGATTAGAACTTATAGAGAGATAGGCTGTACTACCTCAAATGTAGATTCAACAATAGCAGAATACTAAAGTGCCAGTCAAATTAAGTTCGATAAACTTTGATGGGATTTTTAGCAAATGAAATATAAAATTTATATATGAGGTTATAACGAAAAATAATTATATTTAATGTTATTGAGCATAAAAATTGATTTTATTAAAAATGAAATTCTGACATGACAATATTTAGTATGAATATAAGTTAATCAAAGTTCATATAGAATGGAATAAAACATCTATGGACAAAGGGTGTTTGAGAATTTTTATTTAATAAACAAACTTACAATTACAGTTGTTTTAATTGAATAGTAAAATTTATTGATTATTAAAACAACTTATTTATATTAATACCATATAATTTATAATTTGATTTAGATATCGAACTATTTTGAAATGCAACTTAATTGTTTTATTCATAGTGAGAATTTGAGTTTTATTATTAAATATATATATAAATTCTATATAATATTGTAAGGAAGTGTTCATGTGACAATCAGAGCTTCAAGTAAGGAAAACAATAATATTTAATTATCAATTTAATGATGAATCGAGGTTGAGGCGAAGATTGAAAACCTATTATTTGTTTAAACATATAATATTTGAGAATTCCAAAGGTGAAGACAGCATTCTTATTTTTTCTAATTATTAGTAGATTTTGGTATTGTTCTGTTACTGTGCACCCTTATTTAGTTAGTATGTTATTGAAGATTTCAAAGATAATTATTTTTTATTTTTAACAAGGAAATATCCTCTTACTAAGTGATGTTTTAACAATTCCTTGATGGATTGGGAGACCTAAAGAATAAACCTGTTGCCTTGAAGCAAGTGAAAAAGATTTTAAAGGTTGAAGAAAAAAGTTTACCTAAAAACATATCAAATTACTTTGTAGAATTTACTAAACATACTTCACATAAGTGGTAACGAAAGGATAAAATGATTTTTATTTGGACAACTCTAAAATATTTAGAGAAATAAGGTCGTACAGACTTAAAACCTGTATGAATTTATGTTTAAATTGATTAGAACGACGACGATTGGATAGCACTGTCAGAAATCCTTGGAGCCCCTCCAGAACTGTTGAATTAGAAATGGATAGGGATGTTAAAGACAGATTTGAAACAGTCTCCATGGACTATTGAAGAGGATGAACTCCTGAAAAAAGTGATGACGCAAAAATTTATTTCATGGACTCACATTGCTCTTGAGTATAACCGTATAAGCCCAATGATGAGGCATGCCAAGTAAGTTAGGGAAAGATGGAATAATTATTTGGACCCTGAGCTTAACAAGTGTCCATGGAGTGAATAAGAATAAATTCAATTGTTACAATTAGTGTAAAAGTATGGAAAAAAGTGGTCGGTGATTTCTAAATAAATAAAAGGAAGAACTGAAAACTAAGTCAAAAATGCTTACAATTCTTTGATTAATTCCTACAGAAGAAATCATGTAATCTATTTTTTTAATATCATTATTAGATATAATCCCTTGATTCTGATGAGATCATTATTTCTAAATTATTAACCAAATTAGATCCCCCACTCTAATAAGCCAATGCAAGCACACCTATGATTTAAGCCATACCCACACTTCAATAGCAATTTATAATGCAAGCTTTACTGATTGAGAGATTAAAAAGCATGGCCTTCTTCGCTTAATTCCCAGGTTTTCTTGCAGCCCAATAGTAATTAAGTTGATATCTATTAATTGTATATGCATGTCATCATTAATAAAATTCTTAACTATGCATCAAAATTACAGGAGTTAGCCATAATATCAATAAAAATATCATCTCTTTCTAACATATAATAAACCTTTCTTTTTTGTATAATTTTCAACCTCATTCACAGATACTCTTTTACATAAGGATGCTTCATTGATCATATACATATGAGTTCCTTATACAATTATTTATAACTAATATCTTAAGTGATGTGAGGTAAATGAACAGAAAGGATTGTTAAACATAGTGACACAGCTAAATGTACATTAATCGTGTTAAAACCTATAGTTGATTAACAAATATACTATTGAATTCCGTAATAATATCGAAAAGTTAACATAAGTGATGCTGACATAAATATAGTACAAGATACTAAACACGACATAATTCTAATTTGATTATATAAAAATAAATGCTGCCAAAAAATACAATTAAGAAACTCAATTAAATTTAGAAATACCTAAATTAAAATGTATGATTGTGTGCTTTTAATTAGATAAAAAACCTTTTTTGATGTATAATTTTTGAGTATCTAAATTTACATTACCAATTATTTTATAGGGATTTTGCTAGCAAAATTATTCAATTATCTTCAGATAATTATTTCTAAGACTAACTTTGATATTAAAATATAATGCATTAACAGACTGCCAAATTCGTCGAGGTGTTGCCAAATTATGACTAACTTAGAATAAACGAGCTTAAGCAAATAGAACAAGAATAATACTATATTAGTTAATTGAAAGAGCAGAGGGAGAGGGTACAATTATATTGAATTGAATTCAGATGGAAGTTTTAAAAGAAGAATTCCTAAAGAAAGATCAAACTATCACTGATTTCCAAATCCAAAATCAAAAATTGCGAGAAGAGCTAAATAAGATGAGAGTTGCATTGTCAGAGTAGATTAAGCATCAAGAGAAGGAAAAGCAAAGAATAAAAAAATATACTCAAGAAAGAGACTAATTAATGAATGATAACTAAGAGCTAAGAGATCTTGTGTAGCATTTAAGGGAAGAGAATGAAAATTTGAATGTACATAAAAATATAATTTAGTCGTTACAATTAGAAAAGTAACGATAATTTGAAGAGTATGTTGTTCAATAATAAATTGAAAATGAACAATTGAAAGCTGAAATATCAAAATTGGATGAGTTACTTTTTGGAACTGAGCCTCTGAAAGCTGAAAACATTAAATTAAAGGCAGAAATCAAGGAATACAAAAATGAAAAAAAAAAAATATAACATGAAATGAGATAAAGTAGAATAGAAACTAATTAGCAATTGGATGAATTTAAATTAGTCATTCAAGATTAGCATCAAGAAATTGCTAAATTATAACAATACAAAGAAATGAATAATTAGTTAAAGTAAAATTACGAAGAGTTTGAACATCAATTTAAATTGCTTAAACAAGAAAACATTGATTTAAAATTAGAATTAAAAAGATTTTATGATAAAGAAGAGAGTGAACTCAAAATGAAATCTGAAATTGATAGAGTAAATTGACATTATTAACATTAGGTGAGATAAGATTTGATTTCAGTAAGGAATTAAGAAGTTGAAAAATTAAATGAATTATTTAAGGGAATATTTTAAAGGAATAGTTTAGAATAATCGAGAGAAAAATACATATGAAATTTAATAATTTTATGATTCATCTCTTGAAAATAAGTAATAAATATTATTATTATATGGAATCTACTTATAACATAGATGTTTTACTTGTTAATCTTCTTATGTTCTTTACATGAGATTTTAGGTAAATTAATTTAAAAAAGTTCTAAAGATACTTAATATGTCTTTCCAAATTTTATATAATTTAAAACTATAATTATATTTTGTGGTTATTCAATTTCTCATATCATCCTTGTTAAAAATAAATAATATTAGAATTTGTTATTTCATTTAAATTATAATCTTTAGAAAAATTTGAAAGCCAATCAAAATAAAACGAGAGACAACTTTAAATTAAATGATTTTATATTATAGGTTTAGAATACACTTTCATAATAAGAAAAGTCTTTATTTAAAATTGACTTAGTCTGGTTTAGATTTCACAATTTGACTACATATATTTATATATATATTAAATATTAATGTACGATTTTGTATTCATTTTCAATCAAATAAACCACCCATATCAACATCTTCTTCTGGTTCTTCAGCTTTCTTAACCTCCTTAACAGGCTCAGGCTTCTTTGCTTCTGCTGCAGCTGGTGTGGCTGTAGCTTGTGCTGCTGGTGCACCTCCTGCATTTCCGCTGTTTCCATGTAATAAATCACCAACCTTTTTTCCTTTCAAAGCCTTTTCAAAAACCTTTGTCCAAATTGGTTCAACTCTCAAATTAGCTGCCTTAACGATCTTAGCTAATTTAGTAGCATCGATCTGAATTAGATAGATTCATGTACATCTTGATTATCTTCATACAAGATGAGAGCGGCATAAGTACATGCAGCCTCTGATGTAGCTTAATCTGCAATTGGTCTTGTGTCTTTTGCTGCTTTTGCCATTTGATTTTAAAAAATATTAATTAAAAAGATATAAATTTTATTGCATATACAATTCCTTAATACATAATTTTTGGTATATCAATAACCCTAGAATTCAAGCTCTCTAAAACCTAATGAGTTGATATAATCATATATTTTTAATCATTTCAATTCTGCTTTATTTCTAGAAATGGAAAGGAATTAAAAAAATTCGTATATTATACATATAAAATATTCTGAAATATTTTTGACATCACAATGATTAAATCATAAATATTCTTCTATTAGTCCCATAAAAAGAGAGGATAATTTCAATATCTTTTTCTTAAATCAAATGATTCAAATCGTTAAAAGCAATTTTGATTATATTTTAACAATACAATAACTTCACCCACTTTATACATTTTTATTTTAATAATGAATTCTTCATTTATATAATTAAGAAAGTAAATTTTGAATAATTATGAGAGAATTAATATTTATAACTTTAAATTTTGCATACGTATATGTATGTGTTGATAACTATGATATTTATACATAAATTTATAAGAAGGCTTAGTATATGAAAAAGTTGAAAAGTTGATTTATTTAATGCATCATAATATGGATGATTCAATGAAAGAATTAGTATTCAATTTATTTGTTTTATTTTCATTAAAACATAACAAGTGATGATTAATGAACAAGATAATTGATTAGATAATAGATAATTTATATAATATTTATTATTTGAATATATGAGTGAAATTTTTACACTTCAATAACTGGCTTAGATGCAAAGAAATTTTGTTAGAAGGAAAATCTAAATCAATTTAGAATGTAAAAATTAATTAAAGCAATTAAGAGACTAAGTATAAAGTGATAGATGAGGTAGTGTAAATACTGGATTGGAAGGCAACTCCATCAGAATTTGAATGTCATATCTTCTGGAAGGATACTTATGTAACAGATGAAGAATACCGTCGTTTGTTGCCTTATCAAAGAATCAACCATTTTCCAGGATCATATATGCTTGGAAAAAAAAATGAATTGTGCAGAAATTTGAATAAGATGCGTAAACAATACCCTTAAGATTATGACTTTTATCCAAAAACATGGCATTTGCCTTATTAAAGCGAAGAGTTGAGAAATAAACAAGGAGCAGGAATTTTTATAATAAAACCAGAAGCTAATTGTTAAGGGAGAGGAATATTTTTAACAAAAAAGCTTGATTCATTTTTAGATAAGCATTATGTCGTATAGGAATATATCAGTAACCCTTATTTGATTGATGGACTTAAATTCGATTTAAGGTAAATTTGTTAAATGAATTCTAGAATTTATGTTATGCTTAAATCAATAGCTCCTCTCAAAATCTTCATGTACTAAGAAGGATTAGCAAGATTCTCGACTAAAAAGTATGTAAAACCTTAAAAGAAGAATTTAAGCAGTGTTACTATGCATTTAACAAATTACGCTATTAACAAAAGAAGTAAAGACTTTGTATTTAATAATGACACAAACAAGGATGACGTAGGTCATAAAAGATCTTTGTCTTCAGTGTTCAAAGTAATTAATTTCTGCTATCTCATTAGTATTTGAAAGATTAGGGTCATGATGTGGATTAGTTGATGTCGTAAATTAAATCAGTGATTGTAAAGACAATTCAAAGTGTATAAGCAGATTTAGCACATTTGTATAGATCACAATAGCATAATGTAGATGGAATAGAATAATGCTTTGAATTGTTTGGCTTTGATATTCTCCTGGATTCTAATCTCAAACCATGGTTGCTTGAAGTTAATCATACTCCTTCTTTTTCGACTGATACCCCCTTAGATAAAATCATTAAAAAGAACTTAATCTTAGATACATTAATATTATTGGATATTAGAAACAAACCTAAGAAAAACTATTTAGATTAAAAAAGGGCTCCTACCTTTTAGAGACCTCCAAAAATGAACTAAGAAGAAAAGGAAAAACAAATAAACTAAATTGCCATTTATGAAAATAAACATCTAAATGGCTATATTAGAGTTTACCCTGATGAAGTATATGTGTAACTATATCAGATAGAATTTATAATACTACGAATAGTTTATGCCACCAAAACAAAAAGAGAAAGAAACATTAATTATTCAATAATAATTAGAAATTACTAAACAACCTGATAAAATACAAAAACTCTAAACTGAGTCTAGACCTCCTTTGGCTAAACCTCCTCCAAAACTCTCCAAAAACAAATCTTTTAGTGAACTAGATGACTAACCAAATCAACCTTTAACTCTTAGAACTGTTGCTCCTTAAACTAGAACTCCATCTTAATAAAGACCTTTCAGTAGCATAGCCATTATCAATAGACCTATGAGTGCTCTCAGAAAACCTCTATATGGAAATTAACAATAAAATCTTAATTAGTCATCAAATTAATAGAAATTAGTTTACCCTCCTCCAATTGAATAAGCCCCTAAACCAGTATTCAAAATGTTACAAATAAAGACATTTAGCTTTTAAAAAATTGAAAATACCTAAAAAAATGAATGATTTTATAGTTATTCTCAAACAGAATAAAATAGTTTCAAAAATGCATTTCTCTCTTACTTTTATCCTTAATAGATTGGTTTAATTTTCAGTATTAAAATTAATTTGTATTGCATCACTAATCACATGATTTGATTCAAAATCTATATTCAATAAATAATATCTTCTATATCTATTTTTTTATATTTCTTAAATATCATTGTTTAAGATTTTGATTAATTTTTATGTACATTCAATAATCTAAACTCAAACCTATATTATGAGATATTTGTTTAGTAAAATTTAATTGACTAGAATTAGAACAAATTAGCTTTTCATTCTTATTGAATATGCTTAAATTCTCCAGTCAATATCAGTTATATAAGAATAATAATAGTAAATATATCTTATCATGAATAAAAATGGTTACTCTTAAAAAATATGATCTATTGAATAAGAGATTAGATAATAATGATATATATTACAACAAAGAAACAGAATTTTTATTAAAAATAATTATAAATTAATTGATTGCTTTTGAGATTATTATAATTATTCACATCGATTTCTGCCAAGCTCCAGAATAATTGATTTCTATATTAATTTCTTCGTGTTTATAACAATCGTGAAGAAAGTTCATATAGTCTCCAAAATCAGCTTATCCCAAACTTCTTAATTTGTATTTGATGGAAATCAAATCATTTTTTCTAAAAATAGTTGGATAACAATATTCAATTCCATTGATTTCTGGTTTAAGTAAGAATTCATATTTAAGTACTTTGTTTTTTAAAGGATGCTTAGTATAATAGTCATATTCGTCTTTCAAATTTTCTTACTTAAATACTTTTTAGAACTCTGTTTTATCTTTAATAATTTCGACAAACAGAATTAATTTTTTTGTGAAGCTTTGGGAATAGAGACCTATTTTTAGAGTTTCAAAATCTTCGTTGATATCTGCTATGATCTCATCGAATATCTTAGTGGCAATTCTTGATCCAACTAATAAACTCAGATCACTGAATTCTTCAGTTCCAAATACCCTTTTGTATATTTCTGAGGATTTTATATATTCAAATCCTTGTATTTCTAATAGGTTATGATATGCTACAAAGGCTCCATCCATTCTACCTATTTTTAATTGGATTGCCCATTTTAAGAATGCTCCTCTAATCAAATCATAATATTCCCTTTCAAAGGATTAAAACAATCCTTTATATTGGTTGATTTCATAATCCAAATAATCTCTGTAATTTGGATAATCGTATCTTATAGGACATGCTCCTCTGGCCTTGATTTCAAAAACAATTGGATTTTCAGATCGATTCCTGCAATCAATTTAGGATCTCAAACACATTTCATTATTCAACTCCATAAATCTATGGAAGTCATCTACAAGTGGCATACTGGGATCTAATTTAATATATCTATTTTCGAATTCCTCTTTATCTTAGGTTAATTGTCTCTCCACAATTTTGCCAGTCATTAAGAGTTCGATTAGTTCTTCTTCAAAGATTCCAGGATCCCCATCCAAGGCATACATGTTTTCATCAACCTTATGTAATAATGCAGAAGTTGGTTTTCTTTGGGAGATCATAAACTTTCTTGGTTCATCAGGGAACTATTCGAAAATACTGCTGAAATCAGGACCATGGAAGCCACTAAGTAAGTAGAAGATCTAGCTGAGCACATTGGAAAATGTACTTGTTGAAACACTAATATAGATAAAATGTATGGTACCAATATCTGAGGTTCAAGGCTTTGGCAAATTATTAAAGTGTTACATCTTTAGAGGGGGGAACATAAACATCAAACTTATTCATTTGGGCATCTCTCTATATTTGTTTTAAGTAATTATAATTGTGGTGATTTTTGAATTCAGAGATGGGATAAATTCCTGGGTTTTTAACGATATTTTCTAAGGGTTCAATCAACGTGGGGACAATAGAAATTTTATCATTATTGTCAAAATCGATACGATATAAATCGGATAGATCTAATTTCTGTAAGTTGGATTCTCTGAAGAAGAAATTGGATTATGCTGAGGGATAACTTGATTCACTTTGATTTTCATCAATATTTAATGCTGAAGCCAATCTTTTTGAATGAACATCCTCATCTGCCACTTTGACAACGAAATCCTCTCTTCTAATATTTTAATTTTTTCTTCTAAAGACACCTTTGGTTTAGTATGAAAAAAAAAATCTCGATTTTATCATTTATTTTATTAATAAAAATATGAACCCTCAATTTCAACTTTATATTTATTTTCATATTTGACAGGCACTCCTATTTTTAATATTTGCTACCCTACTTCACTTTTATTTTTAATGCACTAATTAAAAAAAATCTCATACTTCCAAATGATGCTTGGCAGAATCATCATCTTAAACTTTCTTTTTTGTAAATTAAATTATATTAGTAGCAGTAGGTTGTATTACAGTGTTCGGCAGAACTTCGCTTAACTTTGTAAAATTCCCCTATTCATTATCTTTCCCTTGATTAATTTAGGACGCTTAATCCTCATTTTGATATTTAGTGGTCTCTTGCTTGCCGGAAGCTTGCTAAACTTATTATGTAATATCTCCCTCTTGGTCATTTCTTTTTGTAATTTAATTCTATTCTTAATTTTGATTTCCATCATTCTAATTGGCACCTTTTTCTTTCATCTTTTTAGTAAAAGTTAACTTACTTTAGTCATAGTTTTAGTTTTTGATGTTTTCTTTCCTCCACAAGTTCCCATAAAAATATAAAAATTTAAATATTTAGATATTAATTTATTAATGGTGAACCTACGTCTCTAGAAAAGATTGGCATCCACATAGTTGAAAGTTGGTGTTAACAGAGTTTGGTTGGACCCAAATGAAGCAAGTGAAATCAGTCTTGCAAATTCAAGAATGTCAATCAGAAAATTAATAAAGGATGGCCTCATCATGAGAAGATTGAGAACAATCCATTCAAGAGCAAGAGCACGAAGATTCCTTGAAGCCAAAAGAAGAGGTATTTCAATTATCATTCATTTTTTAGGCAGACACACTGGTACTGGTAAAAGAAGAGGTACAAGAGAGGCTAGAATGCCAACTAAAGTACTTTGGATCCGTAGACAAAGAGTCTTAAGAAGATTGTTAAGAAAATACAGAGCTGCCAAAAAGATTGATAGATAATAGTAATAGATTTATACAATATTTTGCTTAGATATCATGAATTCTATTTGGCCTCAAAAGGTAATCAGTATAAAAACAAGAAAGTCCTCATTGAAGCAATTCATGAAACTAAACAAGAAAAAGTTAGAGTTGATAAAATTGAGAAGGAATAAAATGATAGAAGAGAAAAGAATAAAGCCTAAAGAGTCAAGAAAACCTAAAACAAATATGCAGCTGAATGATGTTTTAAGCATTTACATAGTACAATATATATATCTATATAATTACCTACATATTGTGTTTGATTTCTATTTTTTTATATTAAAAAAAGATTTAAAATTTTTTTAGGTGAATGGTATGTTAAGCAATTTAATTTAGGCTGACACTAAAGTTTAACCTGCTGTATAATAAACTAAGGCAAAGAAAGGAAAAAAGAATTAAGGAGAAGATCAACCCTAATAAGTAGTAGCCACATTGGGACCAAATGTTGCTGGAAATGAATTAGTTTTCGGAGTTGCTCACATTCTCTCTACTTGGAATGATACCTTTATCCACATTACAGATTTGACTGGCAGAGAAACACTTGCAAGAGTCACAGGAGGAATGAAAGTCAAATCAGACAGAGAGGAATCTTCACCATATGCAGCTATGCAAGCAGCCAAAGATGTTTATGAGAAGTTGAAAACACTTAAAATTAATGCTTTACATATTAAATTGAGAGCCAGAGGAGGTATTTACATAAATCAATTCAATCAGGTGTCGATACTAGATAACCAGGACCAGGAGCTTAAGCTGCCCTCAGAGCTCTAGCTCGTTTGGGATTAAAAATCGGTAGAATTGAAGATGTCACACCAATCCCAACAGATTCCACTAGAAGACCAGGAGGTAGAAGAGGAAGAAGATTATGAAAAGTAAATTTACATTACATTATTCAAACAAATAAAAAATCTATTCTATTTTCTAGCCATAATTGGTGAAATCTAGAATTCAATTCATCTAACACTTTATGAGAATTTTGATTTTAATTATTAAAATATCACTTGTTATTTTAATTAATGTCAAATTCGAATACTAAAATATAAAGCTAAACTGATATGAAATAGAAACTATTAAATATTTTATCAGAGAAAAACAGTAAGGTCACATCTTAACAAAAGCCATGTTCAAGTTTAGATTATTACTCATTGCAAAGAAAATTGTCATAACGATCACATAAATTACCTGTTGAAATGACTAAATTCGAAAGAGAAAGATGGTTGTTTGAAATGATGAACACCTAAGACTTGGCACAATAAGTATGAATATATTGGTGAAGTTAAGGAATAAGAATTGAAGGAAATATATGTAAGAACAACCAAATTGATAACACGATATCGTAATAAAGAAATCAAATGGAACAAAAAAAAAGAGGCTTTGTAAAATGAGATTGATTTGCTTCGTTCATTATTAGAATAATCTTGAATAAATAATTTATTGCTTCCTTTAAATTAATTACACTACTCTTACTAATATCACTATCCTCTTCAAAAAAGTTACTTTTTTATAGATAAAATCCTTCTTCTATGGGATTCATCACTATTAAATTTGGTTATCGTATTGAATACATAAAGCATAACTATTTTTCAACAATCAGTCCATATATTTAAATATTTCATAATGACTAGATTTAAATGTAATTATAATAAATCAGATTAAAATAAAACAAGGCTTATAAAATCGACCTTCTTTTGTCAGAATTTTATGATTTCTCTTAAACATTAAAATTGCACCTTACTGTTTCAGTCAAGTTCATATGATTAATTCTTAATTTATTATTGAATCTACCTACAAAGTTAAATTTATTGATCCTAATTAACCAATTTAGGTACTTTTTGATGTTCATTTCTATTCTTTTGAGGAGGTATTAATTAATTAATTGTCTTTGATTCTTTTCCGTAATTATTAAAGATATATTAAGTTTCAAGATTTTGTGAAGAAAATTCTTAATTAATTATTCGATAATCAATAAATTGAATAAAAACAATAATATTTTAATGATCGTTTGTTAATTCAAAAATACTTTTATTGTTAGCGTTGAGCAAAATTGCAGATATTTATATATAATTATCATTTTATCGAACTCTGATTTATAAATTAAATATAATCACTCTCGGTTTTAGGCTGCTCATATCTGAATATAAAATTACTATTATTTCCTCATAATTTTAATATATGAAATCAGAAAGAATCTCCTATATGACTTGCAAGGATGAGTAAGATGAATTCCATAGTGTGCTGTAACGTATTTTACTATATATATTATAGAAAATATTGAAAGTCGACCAACTCTATACATACGACCAAAATAAATACATAGGAACACATTACAATTGGGGAGTATTCAAGAATCCAGTATGGAGCCTTTGCTGAATAGCGAAACTTAATTATCCAAAATCGAACCTCGTAAAAGATAGGTGGTTCCAATTGGACAAGTCAAGAGGAATCGAGTAGAAACCTTGCTGTTGAGATCAAGGCCTTAAAGGCAGAAGTCTTAGTTAGAATGTTCTTTGGATACTTCTGCTGCATTGATTAAGTTGATGAACAAGAATAGATGGATTAGATATTTAATGAATCTATACATTTGGTTGAATATCGGGCTAAGAATTGGATATGTGGCTATTGTTATATTTTTTGTGATAAAAAATGATTATAATAACTAAGCTTAGGATGAAAACAGTTAAGAGATAATGACGTAATTTTATTGGTGGATTCCAGGTTCTTTTATTGGAATTAGAGTAATATTTATATTGATAATCTACAAATTACTGTCTGTAGGTGTTTAGACAAGAGATTCAAGGATTAAAATTGTTTATGATACTTATGAAGCTTGGTTTAATAAGACCATTAACGAAAGGGACCAGTTATTGATTAAATGCAATTAGATGGTCATTAGAAATGGATAAGACGAATTGGAATTGAGGTAATTTTAATAGTAAGTGAATTCTTTAAATCGATGGCTTTTGATACTTAAGACATATATTGTTTTAATTCCCCCTGAGTGTCAATTCATATTTTTAAAATAAAAAAGCAATGGTTTTTTTTAGGTGCAAAATTTTATAATGAAATCATTAGAAATCCTTTTCTTTACACCATAATTGATGTATTTTTTATTAATAGAATAACCATTAACAATGGAATGGGATCGCTTGTCTGCTGATGATGTCTATAACATCAGTTTATTAGTACTTTTAGCTGACATCCTCTGCTTTATCTTTATGACACTATTACTAATCTGTTTGGGAAACAATAGAAAATATGTTAACAATTTAGGAACAAATTGATTATAAATAACTATAATATGTTAATACAAATTTATAATAGGTAATAAATCTTTAAGATGGTGTAGGTAGTCAAAATCTATTAATATTATTTATTAAAAATTAATCAACCTTTTATGGGTTTATTTAATAATTTTAATCTTCTTTGATACAATGCAGTTTGATTCTTAAATTTGATTGGCATTCTTTTGGTGTTATGATAGCATCTAATTAATAAAACTGATGTAGTTAAACCCTTCTCTGTTGCATTATATCAAAAATCATAAGAATCAACACATTGAAAATAAAGGATTTCCCTGTGAAAAACCTAAATAAGTTTTTAATATAGAAAAAAAGTGTATTTTCTAATTTTTTAAATTTTAAGTTTCTAGATTATGATCGTATTGTTTTTATAACAGATTGTTATGGCTTATATTTCAAATTTAAAAATAAGATCTATGTTAGTCAAACTGAGAATTAATGTGATTAATAGGAAAGTGAGACCATTGCTGTATAATTTCTTAAAGGATATAGTTTGGGTTGAGTTAGAGATAATTCAACCAGTTATATATGTATGGGAATAAAAATATAAAAATATAATATTAAAATAAATAAGTCCAATCTAATATGCTTACTGGCAAAGAAGAATCGCCTTTATTGCTTTTGAGAGTAATGCACTTAACAAAAAGTCTAGTCCAATCGAGGAAATCAAGAAAGCAAGGAATTACCAAAGTATTTAAGGAGCACCTTCACTGACACCTATTAATTGTAGGAACCAGTCAAAGAGAAAAGAGGCAAAAAGATCTTGCCTTAGTATGCATTTGGGAACTCTTTGGAATCGCCATCCTTTTTCAGAACTCCAAATACATTGATTTGCAAAGAAAGCTATGACAATCCATTTATTAAGGGACAGCAGAAACCAAAGAGCAAATGGGAATCCCTACGCAGCAATACATTGAATAATTACGATTTCTACAATATTTCAGAATAGAAGTTTAGTAATATGCCTGCGGAAGGATTTAATAATGTAAGATTAGTGAAGTAGAAATGTTATTAATATTAAAGTACAGTTACAAACCAGATAAATTTTGTTAAGACACCCAAAGTGAAGACTCAAGATTATACCTTCTAGTAAGCATATAGAACACTGTAGAAGACAAGTCATTTCAGACGTAAACATGGTGAGACATTAACATTGATAAAATGATAGAATTGTTTACAGATTTTATGGAAAAAAATGATAACCAAAATGTTTATGGACATTTAAATGATCGTCAAAGACCAAAAGGACATTTAAGAGATGTTAAGAACTTTAGTTTGGCACCTCAAGAAATGAAGCTACAACACAAATACACCTTTAATTCAATGATTACAAGTCCAAAATTTAAGACTGGCCGAAAGGAGGAGTTTCCGAGGGTCAATAGGGCGGATGAAAAGGTCGAGAAGTATTTAAAAAGGGATTAGAAGTAAAGTTTGATTTATGCTCTTTAAGTTTTCTTAATTCTCTAAGCAATTCGATTATTGTCACTAATATAGACAATAGGATGAAGGGGAAGAAGCAAGATAGATACAAGTACATAAGATGTGATTTTAAGTGCGGATCCTGTGGCTGAAGATTATTAAGAGAACGAGATTGGATTAATCGAAGTTTTTGAAAAGCATCTAGAGTTTGAAAAACAATATGATTGATTAATTAATATTTATAATGAAATTAGCAATATTGCCTGATCCCATACATCGCTAATATTTTGCAAATCATGTGAACTCACTTAAATAGATTAAGAGTAGAAAGAACAAGGTGGAAGAGGATTCTTTGGGTGTGATCCGTTAATGTAACTTATAGGATATATGTAGTATCGACAATTAAGAAAATTAAGGATCAAGTGTCAGCCTTTGAAGCCATTGAGGAGAACAAGAGCATTGCTTATAACAATTAAAAAATATAATAAGCAATAATGAAAATAAGCAATGCAAAGCATAGTTTACCAAAATTATATATAAAACGTAAGGAAAAGACTGAGATCTCAGATGAAATCGCAAAAGAAAATAAAAGACTCAAAAGAAGCATAGAAAATGTACAGAACAGTTTGACATACAGAACAAAGCATCAGAACATAAGAAAGTCTTATCAACAAGTACTGAACGAATATTGTTAATCGAGATTGCAGTAATAAAATGAATAATTATAATAATGATTCCGAAATAGTTCATTCTTCTATTGGCCCTTTGCCTGTCCGTCGTAGTACCCTAAATCTCAGTTTAGTAAGGGAATATGACTTGTCTTCTGAATCATTTGAAAAAGGAATCGAGATTATGTCTAAGAATCTATAACTGAATGAACTGGCTAGTCGAATCTACATGTAGGATATTCTCCGAGAATTTGGGTAAACACAACCATTATTAATATAGCTATTTCAAAGCATTGGAGCAGCAGGCAGAGTATTTTGATTACATTGAAGAAACCATTAATAGCTTGGAATATAAACAAGTGAAGAAGGGGAACATTGTATTTCATTGCGGAGAAAGAGGGGACTATTTCTATTTGATTTTGAAAGGGACAGTGTTAGTATATGTTCCAAAAAAGTAAGATTTGTTAATTTTATATTTTAAAGAGAAGATGAAGTTTAGAAATAAAAACAAATAATGACACAAATGAATCAAATAAAGGAAGATATGACAAATAACACTAAGAAGAAGGACGATGTGAAGTAATTGTAAAAGCAATTGTAAGATCTATAGAATCAATTAAAGGAATTCTAAAACATGGAAGATATTCTCTTATTTCCTTTTAAAAGTCGTTATTACTAGAAACTCCCCAATGGTTAAATGATTTGTCTGTATAAAAAGGTGAATACAATGAAGGATGGCGATTGCTTTGGAGAGGTATCTTTGTTCAGAAACGAACCTAGAGCAGCCACTTTAATTGCCTTAGATACTTTGCATTTGGGAGCTTTGAACAAGTCTAACTATTTAAGGATTTTTGAATCAAAGTTAGAGAAATTGAATTTCACTTTGGGAATGCTTAGTAAGATGTTTCCATAATCATCCAAAGAGGTTGTAATTTAATTAAGCTTTGATTTTCAAAGAAAATTATTCTCCATAAACCAAACGATATTTAAATAAGGAGATGTAGTCGATGGTTTATATTTGATATTTCAAGGCATAGTTGAAATAAGTTCCGATAATGTGAGAGTCAATTAATTTAGTGAATGCCAATTTGTTGGATTGTTTGATCTAAAAAATCCTGGCTTGAGACAATACACTGCTACTTCAGTGTCATATGAAACTATCATTTATTTCCTCCCAAAGAAATAATGTTCTGGACTAGACAGGTTTATGAGAGAAAGGATCAATGATTATAGGATCAGTAGTGATGGATTTAGATAGGATTGGGTCAAGAAATGTCACAAGATGATTGCTAAATAACAACAAGAAAGCAATAAGTAGATTTTAAGAGATATCAACACAAAGGATATATTGTAAAAGTGTATTACTTAGAGAGAGTCAAAGACAACTTCAAATACAATTAGTAAGGATAGAATCAATTAAATTGTTGAGTACAATAATCATCAATGTTCTTTAAAGGAGAAATTAAAGAATGTGAAATTATGTTTGCAAATGAGAGACTTCGATAAGGAAAAGGAAATTGTAGAGAAAATGATGAAATAACAATATACTTAATTGCCAAGACTAAGAGAGAGACCTCGGAATCTACTTGAAACCTACTCAAATTTGATGTCTAAGGTCTCAAGATTTACTTAAAGTCCAACCTTCCATTCTCCTAACAGTAGTGATCATAGCATTAAGAATATACATGTGGAGAAGAAATTATCTTAAAGAATGAAAAAAAGTGAACAAATAATTAATTAAATTATGGGAATATGATTAATGAGCATACTCAAAATTGAGATCTATTGTGCTATCAATATTCCCTAAACAAAATTGTTTTTTACATTCATTATTTTTACATCTAATAATATAATTAATAGGTATACTTAAATCATCTACTGTATACGTTATAGTTCATTTTGAGATACAATCACTGGCTTGAGTTTCTTATCTTTTTGGTTCATTACGCTTGAAAACTGGAAATGTTGTAACAATGCCGATCTACCCTGGATTCTTGCATATCTCAACTAGCAAATCTACAAAATAAGGAGGAGGCAATTACTTTTTCACTGTTAAAATGAGGCCACTTCTAACCGTGAAACTCATTGTGAAAAGAAGTTATCATTCGACTGTCAACAAAATTGATGAATGCATAACCCATATTACATTTATTCTAAAAGGATTGTATACTATATGATACCTTGAAATCAATGGGAAGATAGAGGAAGTCGTAGGAGGCTGAATGATGATAATCAATTAATTCTTTGAGCATTTGAATTGTATATTTATTTGGGATATTTTTAACCATGACAGTTGTTCTTGTATCTCCTTCAATACCATCAATTCGTACAATAAAATTATGGGAATCCTCATCCGATATAGTTTTACGTTTACGTCTATGGTTGTTCTCGTAGAATTAGTCTTTTAAGGATTGATTATTCTCAAGAAATTCGGGTTCAAATATTTCTGTCGAAAGGTATGATTTATAACACGAATCTACAAAAACATGATTGATGTCTTTTATCATTTAGTCTTGCACATCTCTTATGTCTGCTTGTTGCTTCGGCAATATTACTTTTGTATCTGGGAAAGTTTTACAAGTACAATACCTGAAAACATGTCGATTGCTTAATCGATTAGACTGTGTTCTTCCTCACTTGTGGGAAGTGACTCTCCACTCACATTCATATTGCAGGATCTTTCAATATCAGCAAATAGTTCTTCATTAGAGCTATGCAGATTATGTCGATCGTTCTTGAAGCTCGATTACTTATTTCGAAACAGAGAAGTGTCACTTTAAGAGTTGAAACTACGAAGGCCAGGGAGGTTGTAACATTCTCTAAAATTATTGAAGCTATTATTCATTATTTAATTAAATGATAATAGGAATAGTATTAAAATTCAACCATCTAACCTAAATTCATGCTCAAACATAATATCACTGCCCACTCCATGCCATATTATATTAAAAGCCTTTGTGCTCTATTTATAATCTAGATAAAAAAAACTCATTTTAATAATTTACATATTCACATTGTAGAAAAGTATTTAATATAGCAATAAAAATAGGTGGATTTATTAAATGGTGAATAACTCACAAGATGTCAATATTAACAGTTGTTGTCTTCTTGAATATTTTTCTGTTTTGTTTCCAATAAGAATTTTACTACCTTTTTACTAATGTAATCTTTTCAATTTATTGTAATGAATGTGAATGAAGTGCTCAAAGGAAAGAATTGGAACAAATTGGATTCTCTTGAGTTTACTATCAGATATCTTCTAAAATTAGTATTAGTATAAACAAAGATGATATAAAAGTTTCATTAGAATTACTTTATAGGAATCTGAATTAGCTATTCAAAGTAAAACTAACCATCTAGTGGAATACTTGATTTGTTATGATAACAGATTAAATCATAAGAGGTTTTTCGATGATGAACAGTAATTAAGGACATCTAGAGAATTAATTCATTATATTTTTATAATTAAACTACTACTTACTACAAGATGTTGATTCAAACAATAAACATTAAATAATTTTTATTTTAACTTAACATTTCTTTGTAAACTTAGTCTAATCAAATTCAACTTTATTGGATAAAAATATTAAATTATTAATTGAATATATCTAATCAAACGATAAAAGGACTAATAACTTTTAAGAAATTATTCATAAAAGATTGAAAATAAAAGTCAATAAAGTCTGAGTGTTTAAGTCAAAATCAACATCTCAATAAATTAGCAAATGTAATAACTAAAAAATGGAAATTTCATAAGTGAAATTTGATTTGTTGAAATTTTTTGTTTTTGACAATAATTTTTGACTATTGAATTCTACTCTTGCAATCCTTTCTAAGGTCAAACTAAGCTGCTAATCCACCTGAAATGTGAGCTATTAGATTAAGAAAGAGTTTTACAATATTTGTTGATTATTCTCTATATAATATAAAATTAGAATATTTATCAATTAATATACTAATTATATTAGAAGATGAAACTTATTAATATTGTATCTAGATAAATTAAAGAGAAACATATTCAATAATTAGTATTTTTGAATATTTAATCAAAATTTGATGATTTGTTATATTCACAATAAAGAAAAGAAATCGGATGGAAAACCTTTAACATTGTTTATTCTTGGCTTTGCTCTTTGTGGCGGTTCTTTCTCCTTCTGGAAAAAGCCTTTCAATTCTTAAGTGTTCAATAATAGCAAATCTAAGATCTTGTCATTATTAATGCAATCGCTTTTGAACTATTTTTTGTTCCTCTATTCTGTTGAAATTTAGTGTGTTTCTTGTATTTTCATTGTATTATTTCGATCAATCTAACTAGTGCGCACAGTTCTTGTTGTTTAAATTTAAAGAAATTTAGCCTTTTCTACATCATTCGAGATTGTTTATGCTGAAGGCCTCTTACCCTTAAAGTACTAGGGTTCTGTGTCAAGTGAGATTTATTTTGTTATCGGAGTATTTAAATTTTTAAGATCTAAGAATTTTTCCTTATTTTTGATATCGTCCCTGTTGTTGATCTTATTTATAGTAGGATGCTTTGACAGGAGAGGAGTATTTGGTATTGTTTTTTTATTAGAATTGTTGGAGTTTTATTGATGAGAATTTAATGATTTTTGAGATTTGTTTTATGTTGGGAATACCTATTAATTGAAGTTCATCTGTTAATTATATAATAAAATAATAATGATAAACAGTTGTGCTTTTTGAACGATTAATCGCTTATCAGATTGAAAATTAACATTGAGTTCTCAATTAACTGGACTTCTGGTTTAAAGCAAAGTACTGAGATACTATTAAGACAAAATGCTAAATAACCTCATTTTTCAGTATTACACCCCTAAGTAGAATATTAACTTTGATTTTTTATAGACTAATAATAATAATATATATCCATTGTTCTAAATAGTTGAATATCTTAAGCAATTCCTTTTTGTTGCATAAAATCCTATAAAAATAAACTCATCACACAACAACATTTATCCATATACTAATCATACATCAGTTTAGAAAGCATTCTATAAATTAATTCTAGTTCGAGCTTTTACTTCCACAGATTTAATATAACAATTCATATCTCACAGTATTTTCTTATTAAATCCATTTTTATAGATAGATTTTTAAGTTTCAATTATCCTTTCTATCTTACTTAACACAGCTTCCTCTCCTCATACCAATCTCTACCTTAAGCATTAATACCACAATCATAAATCCTTAACCAAACAAATATAAATTATCAATAGCATCTTATTTTCCTATATGATTCTTCTTTTATAACATTTTTTGATGTTTTCAGCATAAGAATATTTTTAAAGACAAAAAATCATCTTTCCATAATTTAGAATCTAAAATCATAATTTTTATCATTCTAACCTTTGTGATTTCATTTTTGTTAATTCCTCATAATTGACATATATTTGTTGATAACTTCAGACATAAAATTGTCTTCTAATTAATTGGAATTTTCATTTCAAATTGCATTGTATAAAGTAAATCAATAGACAATTATGGTTAATTCAAATTCACACAAATGTATATCAGAATTAGGTTGTTTCATATTTCACTTATAACAATTTCTGAAGAAATATTTAAAACTATTTATAATAAATTTTCAATTAATGTCCAAGACACCAAATCGTCTTGTATTGCCCGAGCTGGAAAATAAGAGTTTTAGAGATTCCAAATAGATTCAAGATTTAAGAAGAAAACTAGAACAATAGAAAGACACGATAAAAGAACTTGTTAATCTAGTGAAGGAGTCTAAAACAGAGCAATCTTATAAGCCTCAATTCAATCAGTCTGTTGTATAACCTAACCCAGAGAAGGATGAAGTCACTTTGCAGTTACTTGAGGAAGTAAAAACTCTGAGGAGACAAATAAATAATATTGAATAAGGTCCAAAACAATCTGTTCAACATCCAATTATAATTCCACAATATTTACCTGGTCCTCCACAATAACAATAATAAGTGTAGCCAATGATGCCTCCCTATATGTTTATGAATCCATACTTTCCTATGCCTCCTCCATTTATGTATCCATATCCATAATAACAATAATCCAATCAGGATGATCCTTACAAAAAAATAGTTCTGGAGATGCTTTAGAAAGGTAATAAACACTTAAGAGATCCAATTAGATAGAGGATAGATTCTTACTCAAGTTAATACACTGATGATCAAGATGACAAAAGCAGGTAACATAGACATCATTCAAATTTGGATGGAAGAAGACACTATGATGACAGATAACATTACAAGAGGAATAAGGATAAGAAATAAATAAAGGATAGAAATCATCACAAGACTAGAGACTAAGATTATTCAGATCACCAGAGAACAAATAGTAGAGTCTCTATAAATGATAGTTAGATAAGTTACAATATAAGATAGCAAGGGAAAGGAAAAGGAAAGAATATTTAAAAAAAGATTTTTACAGATGAGGAGAAACTCAAGTTGAGAAGAAAGTTATCTGGTGTATTTTGGTATTTTAGAATTGGTTTAGTGCTTAGAAAATATTTGAAAAGAGTTTGGCTACAACGAAGAGAAGAGTATTACAATACTGAAGCATAGTAATTAATTGATAAATTCGATCATGAATTTGTAATTGATTTATCAAATTAAATAGAACTACAAAGAAGTTTTTGTTTTGTTTGTTGTTGAATGCAATAAAAACAAGTATTTTACTAAAAATTGGAATATTTTCGATACTAAAGAAGTTGATATCAAATCTAAATTAATATTTTCCATAATAACTGTTCTTTTTAAGAAAATACCGTTTATGACTAAGAGTTCTATGACAGACGAACATAAACAGTTTATTAAGAAAATATCAACTCCAGGGGGTTATTTATTGCCTGGCCACCCATAGTTTGTAACTGATAGGGTGGAATTAAGACCAAATGTTACAATAGGGTAAATAGTTTAAATATCAGTTAGTTAAAATAATGTGGAAGTAACAAAGATGATTCAAATGGATTATGTTTATATCTAAATTCTTGTTTAGCGAGTTCTCCTCATTCATGAATGGTATTCCCAATATTCTAAAATCCCCAATTATAAGGAGGCAATGAAAATCTTTGTTACCTTGTTGCATTAGTTGTTCATAGATCATTTTGTTAGTCTTCCTACATACGAAAATCCAGATTCAATCTTTAATGTATATCTTTGATCATTATTTCAATAGCAAAAACAAATTATTTATTGTGATTTCACTCAATAAAACTATATCGATATAGCAGTAAGTATAGATGATAAGCATCCGAAATATCAACCAACCAAACATTGTTGCATTCTTGGCTTGGGTTCCAATGAGGAAATGAGACCACTCTATGAATAGCCTGGCTATAAGGATCTTTAAATTTAATTTAAAGAATATTGTGAATATTTTTATTAATCCTTAAACTTTTGACTAGACTTCATATTATTATTATATTTTCCATAATATTCTATTAGAATATTTAAGATTAAAAAATGATGTTAATAATTATAATTTTATTCATAAATATTACAAGGATAAATGAGCGATGCTAAAACAGACTTTATTAGGTGGCTGTAGAAGGAGAGGAATGATCAATTTACTTAGCTGTTTTCTGAGGATGTTTTAATAAATTTAAAATAAGAACAAGAGATTTCTAGACTTTAAAAAATCTCTTTGAATAATTACTAAAATCTAACACACTGCGGTTCCAATATTCAATTTCACAAAATAATCAAGTCTAATATTTAAGAAATTAATCAAACGAATAAGTTTCAGCAAACAAAAGAAAATGATTTAATAGGTATTCCTATATTTTAATCATACGATACGATTTATTTAGAAACCAACCTACTAGATTAGAATGAACGAATAGATCCGCTTAATTACCAATAGCCACAAATTTATAAGTAACCAAAGTAGGAGTTTGTAAAAGAAGAGATACCTCTAAGAAAACTCATAGCAATATTAAAATGAACTATAAAACCATTATATATTGTTTCTATTGTATTTATTAATAAGTTCTGTTATCATAAGGATTCTCAGTGTTGATATAACAATCTAATTAGTCATAAATAGGATTTTTGAATGTAGTTGATTAGATTATAAATGAATGATCGAATGGTGTTAGCAATTAATTTAATGGTGTTCATTTATATAGTTGATTTTTTAATCCTAATTAATGTTTCAAATCCTTGTAAAATTTTGCCAAATATTACATTGTGAGTTTGATTGATAAATATTAATGTTTAATTCCACAACACAACTTGCGAATCAATTGCCTGTTTTTAAAAGTCAAAACTACTCAGAATTGAAGGATTATTAGGATTTCTTAAAATTAATATAGAAATTTCACATTTAAAAATTCATGTTAAAAAGTAAAGAATAATTATATCACTATTTATCAAATTAGTGTTAAATTTAAAACTATAATTCTTAATCCGATTCAGATGGAGACTCAAGTTATGAAAATTAAGGATCAGGATAATAAACAGAGGATTTGTCTAGGAATAAAATAAAAAACAAATCTGACAAAATGCAAGCCAAATAATAAGATATTCTTGAGAAATAATATCCTCAAATATAAAGTGAAGAGATTAATTTAAAAAACTAATCTTTTGAAATTAAAAAGAGTGATCATCATAAAAAAGAATAAAATGTAAAAAGAGCAAAAGAAAACACAAAAAATAATGAGATTTTGGAGAAATTGAAATCTATTCCTTTGATTTAAGACTTCGACGATGAAGATATTAGATAAATGGTGAATGATTTTCAATAGGAAGACAAAAAATAATCAAAATAAAGCAAGAACTCATAAATTGGTAAGGATACTATGATGCGAGATGATTACCAATATAAATGGCCATAATGTCGAATAAGAATACTGTAAGCTTTGACAATACTCGTTGAAAAAAAGGTAGCAGTCCCAAAGATCCTCCAAGATTTTAAGATACTTTAGAAGACTTACATCTACTCTTTGTACTTAAAAGATTGCGATGACTTGGCTAATCAATTATGGTAAAAAGTTGGTGAGAATGTCAGTGCTGATGATTAAATCAAATACTATAGAACTAATTACAATACAGATTAATTAGAATTGATTTATGAGATGGTTAAACTTGTTTATGAGAAGAGAGAATAACATCGAGAACAAATAATAGCTACATGCTCAGGAATCATCTTTTAAAAGAAATTAAGACAATTAAAGGATAAGGTGACTGCCAAAGCCAAATGTGCAGATAAGAAATGCGAATTAATAATTGCCTTTTTGGAAAGAATAAATAATTATGTGCTGACAGGGCCAATAATTAATAAATATCAACATGGTGGTTGTAGTGAAGCCTAACTTTTACACCAGAAAATCATTAAGAAAGCAGCTAAGACTCTGTTGTTCTCTGCTGTGTAACTTGATGTCCCAGTACCAGAAGTGCTTCAGTACTTGTCTCTGAGAAAGAGCAGATATAATGTATAAGATAGGCCAGAAGAATAGGGGATATACATACTGCCAAGTGTGGAACTAGTGAAATTGATTGTTGACAAATAGGGCATGGAAACTATAGCTCAATAGTTAAAGATGAATGATTTTGACTATTTAGATTTTAAGGGTCTTGACTAATTAAATTTTGAGCATTCAAATAAGAATATTGAAGATAGAGATGAAACAGTATTGTATTCAGTGCTTCAATTGGTATTGGATAAAATAGATGAATTGGATTAATTAAGCTTTGTTATTAACGATAGGAAATTCAAGGCTTTGTAATCGAAACTGAATGAATTATATAAAGACGAGGTTTTTGGAGAACCGAACCAGTAGCAGGATATTCCTTAATATGTTGGGAGTGTTATGAATAAGGTGGAATCCTACATTAAGTAGTCTAAGTCATAAGAAAGGGGTAAGGCTAAGTTGTGTTGTATAAAAACAAAGTTCTTTGATTCAGAAATAATAGTAAAATCAAATAATGAGGATTTAACAACAGAATAATTAGAATTTTGCAAATAGCTATTCATTTTGTTTTTGTCAGAAATATCCAGTAAAGACATAGCATTTCCTGAAATTTTGAGATATTTTAAATTTGTTGATGGTAAATTATTCTTTGATTTCAATTAAAAATTGATAGGAATTATGTTGTTATGTAAGGCTATAAGATAGTATTTCATTTCATGTATGGAAATGGAGAACGAATTTGAGAAGCAAATCACAGATGACAATAAAATTATTATTAATTCAGTTCCATTGTTGAAATTGATAATAAAGGATGAATTCTTGCTTGAAGCATCTGAAATATTCGCTAAGCAGATTTCCATTTTATGCCATCATAAGGAAGATTTGATCTTAGATATAAGGGAGTTGTTCAAGTACTAGCCCATTTGTGAGATGATCAAATTACAGGTCACAGATGATGAATACGAAGATACGATCTTAGATCTGAAGTGTTTATACAAGTTTATTACGGAATAAAATTCTTATCCAGAATGATTGTTGAAATTATACATAATATATATCTGCATATTTTCTATAATTTTTAAAACCAAAATTCAATTTAGGGAATGAACGAATTAGCGCAAATTAATGAATATATCAAGAAGATTGAAGAAATGTACAGCGAATCTTTCTTTGAAAAGAGAATGAATGACACTTCATCGGAAGAAAAAAATAGTAAGATTAATCATTATTCAAAGATGAGATCAAATTTATGATGGAATAAATCAATCAAGACCAGGGGGTCATCGAAAATCTAATTTACATCTCTCTATTTTTAATAGGAACTTTATAAGCTAAACAGGATGATGAATAAGAAAATAATGATTTTCAAGAAAAACAAAGAAAACAACTCTTAAACGAATTGCAATAGGAAAGAGATTAAATACTCCAGTATAAGGTAGAATCTCTGTATATTATTGTAGAACTTGTACCATGAAAAATGTTAAATCATAGATGAATAATTATATGTCATTTCAGATTTGGAGCAATAAGTATCTATTTTAAAGAATCAAAACACTAATCTAGAAAATCAAAACTTAAGAATTCAAAGGAGCCAAATAGATAATGGTAGCATAACAGAAATTATTTAACTTTAAGAATAATAATTAGTGAAAAATCAAAATTTTTAATAAGAATTATAGGCTGTGAATCAAAAATTGAAATCAGATTTGTAAGCTTATTAAATTGAGATCAATGATTATAAAGATTAAATTGAAGAACTAAATATACTATTGAAATAAATGAAGTTTGAGTTTTCATAATTAAAATTACAAAAGTAATAGTAGGATATTCTGATATAATCATTAGAATAAGATCTCAAAATCTAAAATGAAATTGTAATTGATTATGAAATTTAAATAGATCAATTGAAGGAGTAAATTAGATCAATTAACAATACTAAAATGAAGTAAAACGAAAAAGCTATTGAAAAAAAAGGAGATGATTAGGATTACAACTTATAAAATAGTGCCTATACCACTAACTTAGAAGCAACTTAATTCAGCGAAGTCTAATAATCGAATTAGTAATAAACACAACAACCTAATCTTAAATTATAACTCCCTTTACTATCATACAGATAATAATTATATAAATTTCAAATTCCAGAAGTGTCTGAAAGGTAAGAGCAATCAGATTAGACCCAAAAAGGCAACTAAAATGAAGGCGATCTTTATACTGTGGTTTCAACCTTTGAAGTCAATTAGGTTGAGAAAGAGAGCTTAAGAGATAAAATAAAAAGTGTTTAAGAGGATAATCTAGTTGAAAGTGCTCCAAATTCATAATTTGTCTCATAAACGGCAAGATTAGATCTTAATAAAACTTAGATTCCAAAATTTCAATTTTCAGATATCAACAATAGAATAACTGTTGCCAAATAAAGAAAATCAAAAACTATAGAGCAAGTTGGTGTGTAATAATATTTGCAATAGCTTGGAAAGAGGTCTAATTCAAAAATAATTGAAATTTAGAAATCTTACCCAGATCCATATTACATCTTCTTTGAACTTGTAAATATATGTAATTTATACCTTTTTAGCTTGTATAATGTGTGAAAATTAACTCTGATAATTTTGATGAGATTTATAGTGTGAACACAGAAACCCTGTATAAAGAGTGTTAAAAGGAAGGTAAGGCTTATTTCGAATGGTAAGATTGGGTTCAAAAGAGATTGAATATAGAATAAATGTAGAACTAAGGTTGAGTTTATCTTTATGTTAATTATCAAAATAACTGTTTATATAAAATAAGAATTACTCTCTATTTAAAGATTGAAATTCAATGAAATGCAATAAATAAATATATCATAATATTATTCAGGAGTATATAGGAGATGAATTGGAATCTAAAATAGTATCCTAAATCTGTATTGGGTTGATTCTAGATACCCAACTTAAGAGATTGAATCCTCCTAATAACAACGTTCCTCGTTGTTCCAAAAACAATCCTTAAAAATATTATTGTTGTGTTTTATTTTATGGCAATTATTTCATGCACTCTTATATTTTTTTATGTCTCTAAATGTCCCAAATTGTGACATAACCAGAGGTAAAAATAATTAGATATTGATTTTGAGAGTCAAATACAAAAACCCTTAAAATCTTATCATTCATCTAATTAAATTATTAAGATGTGTTGAGAACACTAAATTAATGGATAAACTGTCCTTTTCGAATATCATAAATGCTAACCAATGTACACATGCTGCCAAAGATTACAAATTAGTATTTGCTTGAATAATCAAGACTTGAAACTGATTATTTAAGATCGTTAAATTTAACCTATTTTTGAAGACCCACTGAATAAAATTATTCTTATTGATTTTTCCTTAAATTCTCCTTTATTATACTGAATAATCCATCATATTGACAAATTATAATAATCTTATTTGATAACATTGTATCTGCTTATTAACCAACCTAAATCTTATCTACTAATTTAAAATCAGGCATAGAATAAACTAACATTTGTTTGGATTTCAAGATTAAGCAATGATCCTGCTTAATCCACTTATTCTAAGTTATGGCAATTTAATCAATTTTATCGTTTAATGTGAATTCATGACATTTTTTTAAGGAGTAATCACCATTCTTATAATCATATTCCAATTAATAATATTATAAAACTAAATTTTCTAAGACTAGAATAATATTATTATCTTTGGAACAGATTAATTAAACTTATAAGGAAGAATTCAATTTATAATTCTCTTATTCTAGAACTTAGTATCGTTTAGAATGTTCAGATTGACCTCTTTTTCTAATTAATTGCATTTTAGGATCAGGATTTAAAGGCCTTAATTGTGGATCCCACGGATTCAAATTAACTACTTTTTATAAGTGTTCTATATCTCTTTTGCATTGTAAAATGGGATCCAATCGCTCCTTCATTGAAGAATTTGTGTCCATTCTTTCAAAATGAAAAGAGTTATCTATTGATTTTTTGTAAAAATTAATTTATTTTTTCCAACTGTCCTTAGATTATTATTAATCAAGTCTTTATAAGATACCCATAAAGTCATCTGCCTGCTTTTTCTTTGTTTTTTCAATTGATAAAGCAGAAACCACAAGAATTGGTTTGAAATTATGAATGTTCATAAGAGCTAACGTTTTATTGTTAAAAATTAGAACAGCGAATTCTTATTTCAATTTGACATATGACATATTTTCAATGTAGTAGACAAAGATTTATTTTTCTTATTGGTTTGTTATTTAGAAGTAGGATGGTTTCATTACCCTTAAGAAAATAAAATAATTTACATAAACTTATCTTCGATGAATTAGAAACTTGATTGTTCATAAATTTAATTATCGAATGCTGTTTCCTATTACTAGTTGTAGGTCTCAATTAATTCAAGAATCTAAGGCCACGTTGCCACATTTCTTCGACTTTATCTAGTGACCCATCTTGAAAATATATGAGGTGATGAGTCTATTTATTAAGCCACAATTTGTATAGCTTGCTATAATGTTCAAATATAATACCTCTAAAGTAACTCCAGGAATTTTGCTATTAACGGAATGAATGACAATCCAGTCAAATTTCTTTTTAATTTCCTTGATATCATTTCTGTTTATGTATTTTTAAGGATTATTATTAAACATTTATATTTATCATCAAAATTCATCATGATTGGCAGAAAATCCTTCAAAATTACCTGCTGTTTGACCGACCTAGGATTAAGGAGTCTCAAAGATTTTCTTCGCAACTGGAGCCTCTTTTGCAATTTGTTATTGTAACTTTTGAACTCCTTCTAGAATAGGTGATTTGATCCTTAAATTAGCTACATCATCCCAATTAATTTCTTTAAAGAAACTATGATCCTTAATTTCTTAAATTGATTTATGTCCTAATTTCATTACTCAATTTATTACCTAATCTCTTTGTAGGATCTTTGTTCAAGAACTATATGATTATATCTTTGGATTATTCATTCAAATGATCTGGATATACTATATGACCTTCTTTAATTTGTTATTCTATATTTCTAAAATTATTAGCCTTATCTCTAAAGGGAGTTTTCCCAACTAGCATTTCATATATCAATATTCCCAAACACCACCAATCTACAGTGTAATTGTGGCCAGAATTATTCAAAATCTCTGGTGCCAGATACTCTGGAGTACCGGCTATCTAATCTAGTGAAAAATACAGAGATATACAGTAAAGAACTTCATGTCGAGGGATTCATACTTTTTTGATAATCCAAAATCTGTTAATTTCAAATGTCCTTATTCAGTCACTAAGATATTTTCTGGTTTTAAATCTCTATAGATTACTTTGAGTTTTTCATGCATGTATTCTAAACCTAAAACTACTTCTGCTGCACAAAATTATGCTTAAACGAATGTAAAATGTTTTTAGGGTTATCTTGTCATCACTCTCAGTAATTACCCTCCATTTACTAATCTAATTGTATTTACTATTGTATACTCCATCACTAAATAAAGCTTTTGTTCTGTTTAAAATGAATATTGTAGTCTTATTACAAAAGGATTATTGCTATATTCTAATACATTCTTCTCAAGCATGGTATGATTTACTAAGCCATATTTTATTATGTCTGCCTTTTTGATAACTTTCATCGCATATTCCTTCTGGTTACATTTCATCTTCACCTTCAGAACCTTACCAAACTGACCCTATTTATACTATTAAATATCTAAAACCCTGCCTATTTCACCTTGGCTCAGGAAATCCTTCAAACTTACTTTCCCATTCTCACTTTCATGTGCTGGTTGACTTAATACACTTTCAACTTTTTTCATTGTTTTTAATGAAGAATTTTGAGACTCCTCTTAATTGAAGCAATTCCCCATTTTAATAAAAATTATATCTATTTTTAAAATATGTCACAAAAGTTCAAGGTTAGAAAACTCAGAGATTAAAAGCCAGAGGATCTTCTTAAGGATTTAGAAAAGCTTAAGTCAGAACTCATACAATTGAAAACAGTCAAAGTTTCAGCTGGTAATGCTTAAAAACTCGGCAGAATTGGAGTAATTCTTAGTCCCAATATTTTCAGCTTGTGAGAAAACGAATTGCAAAACACTTAACCGTCATTAATCAATAAAGAAGCGATTAAGTTAAATCAAGCACAAAATCAAGTGGCAAACTCCCTGTTGATCTCAGAGGTAAATAAACTAGAGCAATAAGATAAAGATTAACCAGAAGTGAAAGAGGTTCAACATTTTAATATTATTTAGCTCAAAAAACTCTCAGATAATGGAAAAGATTAAACAATTTTGCATTAAGAAAGTTTGCTTTGAAAGAGTGATTCATTAACAATCAATATAGTACATTATTATTATACTTATATAAACTTGTTAAATAGAATTGGGTTTTAATTTATATTACTTTTCATGTTTAATTAATAAATTTCATAAAAAATGTATTTGATACTTTTACCTTATTCTTTTTTTCATTATTACAATAACGATTTATTTTTATGATAAATTTAATAAATATTTTAATAATTTAAATCTTCTATTATACTAATCTTTAATATATTTCATAAAATCTTCCCTATTTACATCACTATTCTTAATAAATATTTATTTTACGTCTCAAATCCTTCATTTGAATGTGTCTTATGCAAAGTTTGGATAAATAATATATTTAAAAAAAGATGTTTTTCTTAATATTGAGATAAATATTGCAAAAATTCCCCTTGAACCCAGATATTTTTTATATTATTTTAAAAGTCATTAATTTTCAACATGATCTTTCATTCATAATTAACCCTGTACACACTAATCAAAATCGAAAAAATATAGATTATTATTAATTGTGATACATTACGCTTTGTTATACTTGTTATCTACAAAATTTGTAATTATTTCGAGATACGAATCTGATAAATTCTTTGAATGTTTAGAGGCGTTTAGAATATAAAAATTCGGTTTTTTAATCTAGAAATTACATTATGCTAAAGGAGATGAATATCACTTTACCTTACTTCAAAATAAAAAGATTAATTATTTCATAAATAAATCAAATATTTCAATAGAAAGAAATAATCAAAGAAATTCTATAATATAAAATTGAATTCATTAATTATTTGATAAATCATTTGTCTAAACATATTGGTTCAAAATAGTACTTATTATTTTAATGCCCTTATATTAATAAATAAATAATTGAATCAATGAAAATTTATCTCCTTAAACTGATATCTAATATTAGTTTTTTGTCATATTTTAATAGTAATTTATTATGATCACTTGCAACATTTTTTTTATAAAAAACGATTATAAAGTAAGTATCTTGTTTCATCGGCAGAACTCGATAATAATTTATTATACCATATTCTGACCATTCTAAACAAAAATTTGATACAATATAAGTGTACCTATAAGTCATTTTAAAAAAGGAGAGAATTTTTTTCTATACCTATGTAAAAATTTAAAGCCTATTTATTTAATATCAAATTGAATGGAACCCAAGGGCTTATCTAAACTACCAAAAAGAACCTCTAAGGGTATATAACATTAATTTTCTAAAACAATAATAAATTTTATTTTAATGATTAAAAAAAATAATATAAGGTAAAAATTATCTTAATCTTTATTTATTTTAATGTATGCAATTATAATGATCGTTGATCAATTTACCGCTTTGAATCGAAAATTAAATTATAATAATTAATAATATATATTATCAAAAATTCAATGTAAATTTTTGCTCTTCTACGAATAGTTTAAATTTAAAATTTCTTTTGAACTTGAATAAAATTAAAAATAAGTATACAAAAACGTGTTTTATGATGTATTTTATCAAATTCTAGCATCATCTAGTTAGTTCAGATGTAAAATAAAAACTGATTTTTTTAATATATGAATCAAGTATTATATATGTTAATTCATATATAAATTATTTAGAAAGCAGAATAAAAATATCATTAATTTTTCTAGAAAGATCAGTTTTTCCTGTATTTTTGAATTAGATTGTGACTTTAAGAGTATAAATTAAATTTAAACAATATTTTAGCTTGTGTTAGACTTAATTAGTTTATGGATTTTAATAGAAGCAATAGTGAATTTATTCAAATTTAACATTTAAAGTTGTTTGATGACGATTAATAATATTATGAAATTTGAATTATATTCATAAAGTTCCATTTAGCTTAACTAATTTCCTGCCCTTAATCATAATCAGACATTCAATATTACAAAGTTGTTACGAAAACTCAGAAATTTTAAAATTTGAACTCATTATTTATTTCCAGTTAGTATCATCAAGACAATTATGTTAATTTTAATAAACTTTCTCTTAAAGTTCCTTTATAATCTTATTCATCACAAAATATTCCTTCTCATCATTGCTCATTTTGCTCAACTTGAGTTTATTCTGTTCCTACTTGATCAAGTTGTAATATCGGTTTTTAATAGTGTTTTCAGTTCTTCTTAATTAAAATATTTATAATGAGATTTCTGCCCATCTCTTTCCTTTTTTCTTTACTTCTTAAAATAGCATCAATTCCTCTTCTTTGGTCCAAGGATCCCTAAACTTATATTAATTACTCTTTACTTCTTTATATTTGGGTCTAGTTTATTAACCCATCTATCCCGACATTATTTTCCTTGTCTTGCGTAAGGTGTTTGACATTTCTTCATCAATTCAATGGCAATATCACACCATTTGTTTGGATGTTAATTGTATAGTTAGATAAGGGCTTAGTCCTCCTCCAAAGTCCAACTAGCTTTAGCTTATTTTTCTTAAAGCCATCTATTTCTGCATGCCTTCCAATTATGATGAATTATCAATCTAGATATCCTTTCCCAATCTTAAATCATCTATAATAAGTGAATATTTTATACCAAATCATGAGGAAGGATACGATTCTATAAACAGACCCCGAACACAACAACATTTAATAATTTTTCTTAGCAAGGTGTCCAAGCTCCTTTTTTGTTAAAATTACTCTTTTCGAAAGTATTCAAAATAGAACTTAATTCATCAGATGTTGGAATATATTGTAACGGAAAACAGTTTGTGGATAAGAGCTATATTTTAAATTGATTGTCTATGTTTGTGAATAAGTTTTAAATTGCTTGGCGATCAAGGGAATTTTTTTTCATCTACATCTAATTAGAGATGATATTCAAATATAATTAAGAGATATAATAAATTTTCACAAATAGTGAAATAATGATTGAATTTATATATATGTTGTTTATTTTTTTTGTATTAAAATTAATTATTACTTATAATTTATTCTAATTTATTTATTTTTTAATAAAAAGCAGTCGCTTTGCTTAGCATAATAACAAAGCATAACCAACTTTTCATGATTTCAACCTCTCTCTGAAGAACTATCATTATAATTGTGAATTAAAATAACACTTTCTAAATTTAAATTTTAAAACAATATTAAAATCTCTTTATGCCCTTCAATTCTTCTAATTCTAGAAAAGGGGCATAATATCATAGACCTTAGAGTATTGAATTAAAAAATGTTGATTGTTATAAATTATAATTATTCTAGATTAATAAAGAAGAGAAATGAAATTTATAATAAATTTAAATGTTTGTTAAATCGATAAATTACTAATTTTTGAATCTCTGCTAAATTATAAAATACTCAAGTCATTTTATGGCATTTTTCATTATGAAATTACCAGTATGTGATACAAAACTATTGGAAAATATAATAATTTATATCAAAAAGTGAAAAAATTAATTATTTTTTTAAAATTCGTTATATAATTTATATATTTTTGCACCATAATCAAAAATACATGTTTTTATATCATATCTAAATAATCAAACACAATAGAAATATGAATAACCATAATTTCTACTCGCCTGAAAAACAATGGAGCATTTTTATCGAATTTCTGAAACCTATTAGACTGCTTTTAAAATACGATAAAATAAAAATAATCAATTAATTCACCTAATCTCGTTGATAATTCTGTACTCAAATATTAAAACTCTAAAGTAATTATAGCTCTCTAGTAAAAATCGTAATATAATGTTGAATAATCATTTTTAAAGAAGAAAATATAATTCTTTAATGTTAAAATATTGTATTTCTTGGATTCCTCTTATCATTATGGATGATTAACTAATTCAATATTTCTTTCTAATCTCTATATAATTGATATTTTTCATCAAAAAAATTGAAATTTCATTAATCCTGTCCTTTCAACTCAATAGCGTAGCAGTTGAAATTTTCATTGTATTTATTAACCTTTAGTGATTAGTTCACTCTAATATTTAAGTAATTACTTTATACTAATAATATTAATTGCATTAATTGATGAATTAACATGTTTTGTTAAATGGAGGATAAGTAAAATATATAATAAGATATTTGTGAATTATAATTATCAAGGAGCAAATTGAAATGCATTTTATGAATTTGCAAATACCAGAGAGAATAATCATTTAACTGATAATAATGATTATAATATATACCTATTTAACTATGAAGTTGTTCATTAAGATTATATTCTTTGCTGTATGTAAAAAATAATGAGAGATGTTTAGAATTAAAATAAAATTTATCAAATATATTATTGGGTTGATAATAAGCTAAAATTTTAAGGAAATATACTTCCTCAAATTGTATTGAATTTTGTTAATAGACGCCAGCTAATTGGATTATGTTGTTGAGTATTTGGATATTTAGAAATGGAATTAAAATATATTTAAAAATACAATTAATCAGTCTTTAATAAATACAGGAATTATATCAGCATAATTTTTCATATTACTTACATATTTGAATATTATATTTTTAAAATTCTAAGTAAAATTTTTGTTAATTATTAGAAATTATAATAACTCTAGAATAGAACTATTGGAAAAGTATAGGAAGTGATAGTGAATGGTAAGAGACTAACAATCAACAATAGTGAATTATTGAAGGATCCTTATATTGGGGAATAATAAGAAAATAGAAAACCAGTTTAAATTTGTCGTATAAAATTATAAGTGGAGGGTTTTTAAATATATAACGAATCGGTTCTATTTTTGGAATACTTATATAGAGCAATAATCAGAATGAATGGCAGCTTTAAAGGAAAAGTGCTGAAAATAAGGAATAGATTGAATGAGTAATTTGAATTAATATCTTGAGACTTTGGGGTTTATGAATAGAAGCGGAAATAATTACCTAGATGAAGAATAAAATTAAATTATATTAATGATAAATAATTCATTTCGTAAAACACTTCTTGGATATCTCCACCCGTTTGGTTGGCTTTCCACACATTATGGCATATTTACTTCACCTAATTCTGAATCGATTTCTCAAAAAAAAGTAAGGATCATGAGACCATCAAAACAAAAATTTAATATTTCTTATAAAGAGTTTGCAAAGCATTGTGAGCGGCTCGAATCAGATTAAGTGACATAAATCACAAAATAAATCAAGTTGATTCCAACAGCTTCTCCTGATGAAATAAAGGACTTTATTAACTCAAATCAAATAGAAGGGAACATTACCAATATTGCAAAAAATTTTGATTTTCTTCCACCAGAATATTCATAAATTCTAGTTTCCAAAAGCATAACATCTCCTACTCCTATCCAATAAGCAATCATCCCTTTAATATTAGAGGGAAGAGATGTGATTGCAGTAGCTGAGACAGGATCTGGAAAAACATTAGCATATGCATTACCAGGAATAATTCATACTAAAGCATAACCATAAGCACTAGGTCCAAGAATTTTAGTGCTTGCTCCAACAAGAGAATTGGCTTAGTAGATTTAAACTCAATATGAGCCTTTTATTAGAACATGTTGTGTTTACGGAGGAGTGTATAAGAATTTACAATATTGCGAATTATTGGGGATGAAAGAATCCAGAAATAATATCATACTGCCTTCTGTAATAATTGGCACTCCAGGAAGATTGTTAGATTTTATGAAAGATGGTTTGCCTTTGAATTCAATCACTTAAGTTGTGTTGGATGAAGCTGATAGAATGTTAGATATGGGATTTGAAGAATAAATCATATCGATTCTTCAGGGAATCAGAAAAGACAGACAAACTTTGTTTTTCAGTGCTACTTGGCCAAATGAAGTTTAAAGATTGGCTAACTCTTTTTGTAATTAAGATCCTATCCTATTGCAAATAGGAGAGTAAGGATTGTCAGTCAATAAAAATATTTAGTAAGAAGTCATAATTGTTTATGAAAATAAATTTGAGCAATTTGTTGAGTTAGCAGAAAGATTGAAGGGATAAAAATTGCTTATTTTTTGTTAGAAGAAGATTGATACTTAGAAATTGGAATATCGTTTATCCTTACATGGATTGAAAGCCAGGTATTTGCATGGAAATCTTAAACAAGTAGAGAGAGACTACATCATGGAGGATTTTAAGACAGGGGCTATCAATTGTTTGATCACTACTAATTTAGCATCTAGAGGGTTGGATATTTCTGATGTTGATGTTGTAGTAAGTATCGTCATTTGATTTTAGATAAATTATGATTTCCCAGATAAGATCGAAGATTACATTCACAGAATTGGTAGAACAGGCAGGGCTGGCAAAAAAGGATTGGCCATTAGTTTTTTAGAGCCAGGGTTAATAAATAATAGACTTAAAAACGATTTGGTGTAAGTTCTTCAACAATCTAATTAAGTTATACCTTAAGAATTATTTAATATAAGGTTATGATTTTTTATAGTAATTTATGGTCTATATTTTTTTGTCAACTATTCTATATTCTCTTCTTATAACATAAATAAATCAGGAATTTATATCTATTTTATGTACTATAATCAACCTAATCCAGTTTACGTCTTTGTTCCTTGTTATATTCCTTACTAAATCCCTCCTGTTCCTAAATTTGATTCAACAAAAGAAGAATAACATTCGGACAGTGAAAAAGAGCAAACCAAAACAATCGAAGAAGAAGTCCACACCAATGCTAGTGGCATTGTTAGAGGCAAAGGCCAATTGTGGACAGACGAGGAAGTCAATAATTTAGTCTAATATTACAAAAAGTATCATGGGAATTGGAAATTCGTTATCAAACATCTAAAAGGAAGGAATATTTCCCAATGTTCTCAAAAGTACAGAAAGCTAATGGATTAAGAAAAGAGAACGAAAAAGAAATGGACGGTTGATGAAGATAAAATACTTCTAGAGTCCTATGCTGAATTTGGAAGGCAATGGATTAAGATTAGTCAAAGTATTATCTCATATTGAATTCTTAGAATTGCCAGGTCGTACTTCGAAACAAGTGAGAGATAGATATGTCAATTAAATCAATCCTGCCATCAATCATGATCATTGGACCGATGAAGAAGATGAGATTATTCTCGAAGAATTCAAAAAAGGTGGTGCTAGATGGGCAATCATTTCCAAAAAGCTCAATAACAGATCAGTATTATATAATTCTAATTTTAGGAAAATCAAGTAAAAAATCGATTTTATTACACAATCTTGAAAAAATACAAAGGAGAGTAACATCCGTATCTAAAGGTTCAAGAATGATTTGATTTCTCTTAAATTAAAGTATTTTCTTAATGCTTCTTATAATCAATTTTAATACACACAATTAAAAATACTAATTTATTAATTATTGTTCAATTCAATGATTATTGATTGATTAATTTTTAAAAACATATGCAAATCAATTATCAATATTCTAATAGATTACTAAACCAATTTATTTTAAATTCAGTCAATTCAAAATCTTATATAGATTGTTGATTGTTTTAGAAATCAAATAAATGAATAATAGAATTAAAAAGGAGAAAAATTCTTGTAGATCTAAAAATGCAATGCTAATTACTGTTAAATGCTTTAAACTAAAGGTTTTCAATAATTAAATGTAAGAAAAATCACTTAAAATGCTTTTTGATATAAATGAATAATGTTAATACTAAACTTATTTGTTACTTTTATTATTATTATTGTTACAATTATGGCTTAGTCGAGTAATGGTATGATGCCGATCAAAGCACTCATCAATTATAATTTCAATATTAATAATTTTAGATTTTAAGTCATAAACCTTATTAAAATATTTACAAGTTATTTTCCTTACTAACAGAAGTTAAATTTATAAAAAACTGTAAATTTATTGAAATCAACCAAAATAAAAATATTATCTTTGGATAATAATGCTTGGATGTCTTAATTTTTTCATAAATTTATAAATTATTAAATTCAATAATTTCTTCAAATATGATTATCAAGCCTAATTCTTATAGAGCTGTTCAATTTGTTTAGCAAACACCTATTTGGCAATATGTCTTTATAACTTAAAGGTTGATGTCAAACATCCAAATGTTTATAATGGTTGAGGTTCTAAATGTACTAACTTGGCCTAATAACATTTATGATTAATATTTACAATTTCTAATGAATTAAGTTTGTTGGCTCTTCCATAGTCATTGATATTTTTTTAATAATAGCTTATGATTTCTGGATTTTTGCATAGCTGTTCAAAATCTCCTTGGATTGATTTTTCTGCTGCATATTTTTCAACAAAGTCCTTCAAAGGAACTATAATAGCCACAATTTGACTCTAAAGAGAATCACCATAAATGAATGACTCAGAAACACCTTAAACTCTATTGTAAATGGCTTCTATTTTCTCTGGAGCAATATATTCCCCTTATTATAACTTAAATATGTTTTTCTTCCTATCAATAATTTTAACTGCTCCATTTTCAGTAATTAGACCTATATCTCCAGTGTGCAACCATCCAGCTTCATCTATAGCTTCAGCTGTTTTTTCAGGATCTTTGTAATAGCCTAAGAAAACTCCATATCCCCTTAAACAAATTTCCCCTCTTGGTGTCTTAACACCATTCACAACATCTAGAGATGTATAATTCATGTCAGGAACATCCACTAATTTAAACTCTGTATTTGCAGCAGGTCCACCAAGATGAGCAGACTTTGGATCCCATGCACCGGTGGAGAAGGATAAGGCTGTTGATTCTGTTTAGCCATATCCCTCTAGAATTGGACAACATGCAGCAATTTTGAGGAAATCAATAACTTCCTATTGAATAGGAGCAGAGCCTGTGATCATAAGTCTACATCTGCCTCCAAATAAATCTCTGACTCCTTGGAAGGCTTTGTCATATAACCCACTTTTATATTTGGCTTCTGATCTTAGATTTTCTAATTTCACTCTGACCGCTCGTTCTGCAAAGGACTTTTTAACACCTGTGACTTCATTAATCTTAGCTTTGATGCCATCATAGAACTTGTTATATAGTCTAGGAACGGAGGCAAAAATTGTTGGTCTAAGTTTTTAAATGTCTTCCTTCAATAAGTTAGGATCGCCTCGGTAGAATCTAGATGTTATTGAGGATAATACCCTATAGAAGAACCAGTGAAGAGCATAGTAAGCACAATCAATCTCTCCATCACATGAGGTAGAGGTAAATATGATAAATGTACATCCGTTGAAGTGATATTAGCATCGGTTGCTTGTGTACTGGCAATTGCAGAAATGAAATTACCATGAGATAGTATTGCTCCTTTAGGATTGCCTGTTGTTCCAGATGTATAACATAAAGTGTAGACGGAGGATGGCTAAATTTGAGCATGTTGAATTGTCGATTTCTTTCCATTTTCTACTATTTCCTCGAATTTAAACAAGTGATATCCTTTATTTTTTAAGTCAGAAGCTTGATATTCAGAGAGAGGATCTAGCAAAACTAAATTTTTCAATTTATGCTTCTCTTTGCATTGGAGCAATGACTTGGTTGCATCTGCACTAATAAACATGGTTTCAATGTTGGTCTAGTCAAGAATGAAGGGGATTGACTCAGGACCAAGGGTGTCGTAAAAAGGTACCATTGTATAACCATAAATGATATTGGCCCAATCTAAGATCATCCACTCCCTTCTATTTTTTGCAAAGACTCCTATCAATTTTAATTTGTAATGTTGATATTCTTGGACTTCTTTCACCAGATTCAAGTTAGAAATTCTAAACCTCATTTAAAATATTACCCACTTCCTAAATGGATTGCCTCCTCATTTACTTAATTGTATGAGAGGAATTAGAAATTGTCTCCTTCGTATTTGCCAAGACATGGTTGATTGCCAAATTTAGCAACACTATTGTTAACCATCTCTTATAAGGTTGTAATTCCTTGCTGTGGAATCATGAGCAACTGATTTGCATATTTGACATTTCTCCTAACTGTAGTTTATCCTTTGTTATTCTCCAAGGAACCTGGTTCATTCTCGGTAACTTTCTCTTATGAATATCTCATAAATTAGTGAGCATTAGATACGCCACAACCCATAGATTCTCAGATATTTAAATAAATTTTATGTAATTTCAATTGACAATCCATTATAATATTACCATAATATATCATAAATTACACTGTTTTATAGGATTATGAAGTATTAAAATTTTATTCTTTTTTATTTAATTAATAATTTTAAACAAACATATAACATACATCAATCAACTTCTTCCATCTTTGATTTGGTTGCTTCAGTATTGGCATCTTCCTTTTTCTAAGAAAAATATAAATGATTAATAATACCTCTAATTATGGAAGTTTTTCATCTTCTTCTTCAATACCAGCATCATCAATAGATAAACCAAGCTTGATCATCTTGTGGATTCTATTAGCAAAGTGAGTTGGGTCATCAAGACTGAATCCTGAAGTGAGAAGCGCAGTTTCATAGAGCAACCAGATTAGATCTTTGACTGTCTTGTCACTCTTATCCTTGTCTGATTTCTTCTTTAATTCACTCAGGATTGGATGATTGGCATTGATTTCTAAGGTCTTCTTTGACATCATATAGCTGCTCATTGATGGATCTCTTAAGGCTTAAGCTTTCATGATTCTTTCCATATTGGCAGACCATCCATATTCACCAGTGACTAAAACACATGGTGATTAGTCAAGTCTTTATCCTAATTAGACCTTCTCAACCTTGTCTCCCAAGATTTCCTTAATCAATTTGCATAATCCTTCAAATGCTGACTTTTATTCTTCGAATTTCTTCTTTTCATCTTCAGTTTAATCTAAGTCTAAGCCTTCCTTTGTGCAATTCTTCAATTTCTTTCCATCGAATTCTTTCAATTATTAGATGACATATTCATCAATTGGGTCAATCATATAGATGACTTCATAATCCTTCTTCTTCAAGGCTTCAACGAATGGTGATGCAGCAACTGAGGCCTTAGATTCTCCTGTAATGAAGAAGATATCCTTTTATCCTTCCTTCATTTTTCCAACATAGTCCTTCAGTGAAATTTATTCTTCACCACTCTTTGATGTGTGGAATCTGAGGAATTCACTCAATTTTGTTCTGTTGGCTGAGTCTTCGTGAATACCTAATTTGAGATTCTTTGAGAATTGTTCATAGAATTTCTTGTAATCTTCAGCGTTTTCACTAATTTCTTAGAACATTTCAATGCATTTCTTAGTGATGTTCTTCTTGATGACTTTCAAGATCTTGTTGTGTTACAAGAATTCTCTTGAAATGTTCAAGGGTAAGTCTTCAGAATCAACAACTCCCTTAACGAATCCCAAATATTCTGGAATCAGTTCTTCACAGTCATCCATAATGAAAACTCTTCTGACATACAATTTGATATTGTTCTTCTTCTTCTTTGTTTCAAACAAATCGAATGGTGCTCTCTTTGGAATGAAGAGGACAGCCTTGAATTCCAAACCTCCTTCAACTGAGAATTATTTGACAGACAAATGTTCTTCCCAATCGTTGGTCAACTATTTGTAGAAATTAGCATATTCTTCCTTGGTGATTTCTTCTGGCTTCTTCATCCATAATGGCTTGTTCTTATTTACTTGTTCGAATTCAGTACTGACTTCCTTGATCTTCTTCTTCTTCTTTTCAGCCTTGTCCTTCTCTTCTTAGACTTCACCTTCTTCAGCCTTCTTTTCCTTGTTTTCATCTTCGTCATCACTGACTTCCTTTTCAGTAGTCTTTTCAATTTATAATTCTATTGGGAATCCAATGAATTCTGAGTGCTTCTTAACCAAATCCTTGATTCTCTTTTCCTCCAAGAACTCCAAGTTATCTTACTTCATGTGTAAGACGATGCATGAACCTCTTGTCAATTAGACTGGATTTTCAGAATCATCATAGACAAAGAATGTACCACCTGCTTATGATTCCCACCTGTATTATTGGGAACCAACAGCCTTAGAGATGACTACCACCTTATCAGCAACCAAGTAAGCAGAGTAGAAACCAACACCAAATTGTCCAATCATAGAAATATCAGCTCCTGAGCTCAAAGCTTCCATGAAGGCCTTGGTACCTGATTTTGCAATTGTACCCAAGTTATTGATCATTTCATCTCTAGTCATACCAATACCTGTATCCTGAATGGTCAAAGTATTGTTATTCTTATCTGGAATAATCTTAATCTTGAAGTTCGGTTCAATGTTCAAACCAGCACTGTCTGGGTCTGTAATAGACTTGTATCTAATCTTATCTAAGGCATCCGAGGCATTGGATATCAATTCTCTCAAGAAAATTTCTTTGTTTGAATAGAATGTATTGATAATTAAACCCATCAATTATTGGATATCGGCATTGAAGTGGAATTACTCTTCTTTCTTTTACTCTGTTGACATTACTAAATTTTAAACTTAAAAATATGCTTCAATGGAACTCGATTTTAAACTCCAATTCTTATTCTAGAAAATTCTGTTCTAAATTTATATTAAAAAGAAATTCTATAAAATTATTATAATTGCTTTTCAAATCAAAATATATAATTATACTCTATTTTAATTAGAACCATATATCTTTATAAAATTAGTTTAAAAAAAACAGTAAATTTGGACTTTGAGTTTGATTTTTAATCATTTTAATAATGAAATTAAAACATATTAACTTTTTTTGGGTTTAATAAATATCATATCTTAATTTAGGGTTTGTTATTTGAAATTAAATAATTAAATATTTACAATCTTATTAATTTAAGTTATTTATTGTTTTCCTACCCTGAGTCTTCATACAATATCAGACATAAGAAGATGATATTTAAAATATGTAGAAAATGTATTTTGAACTATCATCCCAAAAAAAAATAAAGTGAAAAACAGTAAATTTATTGAGAATTTTAGCTAATAAGTAAATAATATTAAATTTTATAAAATCTAAACAATTATTGAAATATTATTAAGCCTGTTCCTTGTTAACATATAAAATAGCAATAAAACTTATTTCTTGTTAATAAAGACATAAAATTTTTGGAGTTATACTGATGATATCTTTTCCTAAAAGCATACTAAAATGATTATTCTAAGTTACTCTATTTAGGTTAGACTCAAAATGAGATATATGATAGTGAACATGGATATTTAAAATGATATATTACCTTGAATTTGATTAATTAAGAGAATAAAATCAAGATAAATGAGTTTTAATAAGAATGGCATTAATAAAATGAGATATAATATTGAATTGGAATTGATAATTTATTTATTTGATGTAGAGTGACTGGGAATAATTCAATAAGTCACAGATTTGATGCGAGATTGATGAATTATAGATGATAATGAATTGCTAATAAAAATGTGCCTAAATAATTAATAAAAAGATTTAAATAAAAAATCAAATTTTTATCAGGAATGGCAGCAAATAAGTTCTGGAAAAAAAGTGAAGTAAGAGTATATGTTCAATAATGAGTTAACAAATTTGGAATAATAAGTTGGTGTTGCATTGACCTAAATCGAGCAATCAGTCACAGAAGCCAAGAATCTTAAGGTTTCATCAGTTGTTGATTATACAGCAAAAATCAATGCTAAGAAGCAAGTTTATTTAGTATTCATCCCCCATCCATGCTTATCAATCTACAATAAAGTGAGGTATCCCATTGTGTAAATTGCTTAGCTCAAAATTATTACCAGAATTAGAAAAGAGATTGAAGGCAACAATATTGGTTGTTGCAAAGAGAACAATTGAAAGCAAGTGGGTTAAAAGTCACAGATCATAAACAAGACCAAACTCAAGAACACTCACATCTGTCTATGATGGACTTCTTGATGATCTTGTTGCCCCATCTACCATCTTGGGAAGAAGAACAAGAGTTAGAGTCGATGGCACTAAATTCTATAGAATGTACTATTCAATATTCACAATTAGCTTTTTGGATGAATAAGATAAAAATGAAGTCGAACCAAGACTTGATGCAATCAGAGCTGTCTATAAATTATTAACAACAAGAGAATTAGAATTTGAATTCAGAAGAGATGATGTCTTCTACTCAAAAAGAGGTGGAGCCAAGAAAACAACAAAAAAATGATGAGCATTAATATTTTAGTACAATATAATAAATACACCAAATATAACATTAATCTGTTCTTTTAACATTACCATCATAATTTTATTTTAGAATATATTAAGAATAAGTAAATAATCATTCTTATAAATTTGTTTTAGAATATAATACTCTTCTTAGAGTCTCTGTTGTCATTCCCCTCCTCCTAGTGTTGTTTTAATTCTAATGAAAGTCAATTAGTTTAGATAATTTAAAGATAGTTTATACTTCAGCACCCAATTTGCGAATTATTTATTTACTCAGATTGCTGCAAGTAGAAGATTCTTGATCATTCTCAGCTTCTTGTAAGACATCATCATAAGCCTATTAATAGTTTCTCTGATTACCGAATATATTTTGCCATACATCTTTGCATCAGCTTATAGATTGTAATGCATTTTATTTTACAATTCAGAGTTTGAGGAGGTTTCATCCCTAAAAATGATGATATACTTTACTATTTTGTATTATTGTTTCTTGTCCTCTCCTCAACTATTGTCCTGTTGAATACTTCGGTTGTATTATCTAAGGATATCAATGGTTTTGGAGTGAAATTGAACATCAATAATTACTATGGAGAGAAAATCACTTCTTTAAGTTTCTCAAGGTCATTCAACTTTGTTAGTATATTGAATAGATCTATTTATTANGGAATTGCTAATAAAAATGTGCCTAAATAATTAATAAAAAGATTTAAATAAAAAATCAAATTTTTATCAGGAATGGCAGCAAATAAGTTCTGGAAAAAAAGTGAAGTAAGAGTATATGTTCAATAATGAGTTAACAAATTTGGAATAATAAGTTGGTGTTGCATTGACCTAAATCGAGCAATCAGTCACAGAAGCCAAGAATCTTAAGGTTTCATCAGTTGTTGATTATACAGCAAAAATCAATGCTAAGAAGCAAGTTTATTTAGTATTCATCCCCCATCCATGCTTATCAATCTACAATAAAGTGAGGTATCCCATTGTGTAAATTGCTTAGCTCAAAATTATTACCAGAATTAGAAAAGAGATTGAAGGCAACAATATTGGTTGTTGCAAAGAGAACAATTGAAAGCAAGTGGGTTAAAAGTCACAGATCATAAACAAGACCAAACTCAAGAACACTCACATCTGTCTATGATGGACTTCTTGATGATCTTGTTGCCCCATCTACCATCTTGGGAAGAAGAACAAGAGTTAGAGTCGATGGCACTAAATTCTATAGAATGTACTATTCAATATTCACAATTAGCTTTTTGGATGAATAAGATAAAAATGAAGTCGAACCAAGACTTGATGCAATCAGAGCTGTCTATAAATTATTAACAACAAGAGAATTAGAATTTGAATTCAGAAGAGATGATGTCTTCTACTCAAAAAGAGGTGGAGCCAAGAAAACAACAAAAAAATGATGAGCATTAATATTTTAGTACAATATAATAAATACACCAAATATAACATTNTTTAAAATATGTAGAAAATGTATTTTGAACTATCATCCCAAAAAAAAATAAAGTGAAAAACAGTAAATTTATTGAGAATTTTAGCTAATAAGTAAATAATATTAAATTTTATAAAATCTAAACAATTATTGAAATATTATTAAGCCTGTTCCTTGTTAACATATAAAATAGCAATAAAACTTATTTCTTGTTAATAAAGACATAAAATTTTTGGAGTTATACTGATGATATCTTTTCCTAAAAGCATACTAAAATGATTATTCTAAGTTACTCTATTTAGGTTAGACTCAAAATGAGATATATGATAGTGAACATGGATATTTAAAATGATATATTACCTTGAATTTGATTAATTAAGAGAATAAAATCAAGATAAATGAGTTTTAATAAGAATGGCATTAATAAAATGAGATATAATATTGAATTGGAATTGATAATTTATTTATTTGATGTAGAGTGACTGGGAATAATTCAATAAGTCACAGATTTGATGCGAGATTGATGAATTATAGATGATAATGAATTGCTAATAAAAATGTGCCTAAATAATTAATAAAAAGATTTAAATAAAAAATCAAATTTTTATCAGGAATGGCAGCAAATAAGTTCTGGAAAAAAAGTGAAGTAAGAGTATATGTTCAATAATGAGTTAACAAATTTGGAATAATAAGTTGGTGTTGCATTGACCTAAATCGAGCAATCAGTCACAGAAGCCAAGAATCTTAAGGTTTCATCAGTTGTTGATTATACAGCAAAAATCAATGCTAAGAAGCAAGTTTATTTAGTATTCATCCCCCATCCATGCTTATCAATCTACAATAAAGTGAGGTATCCCATTGTGTAAATTGCTTAGCTCAAAATTATTACCAGAATTAGAAAAGAGATTGAAGGCAACAATATTGGTTGTTGCAAAGAGAACAATTGAAAGCAAGTGGGTTAAAAGTCACAGATCATAAACAAGACCAAACTCAAGAACACTCACATCTGTCTATGATGGACTTCTTGATGATCTTGTTGCCCCATCTACCATCTTGGGAAGAAGAACAAGAGTTAGAGTCGATGGCACTAAATTCTATAGAATGTACTATTCAATATTCACAATTAGCTTTTTGGATGAATAAGATAAAAATGAAGTCGAACCAAGACTTGATGCAATCAGAGCTGTCTATAAATTATTAACAACAAGAGAATTAGAATTTGAATTCAGAAGAGATGATGTCTTCTACTCAAAAAGAGGTGGAGCCAAGAAAACAACAAAAAAATGATGAGCATTAATATTTTAGTACAATATAATAAATACACCAAATATAACATTAATCTGTTCTTTTAACATTACCATCATAATTTTATTTTAGAATATATTAAGAATAAGTAAATAATCATTCTTATAAATTTGTTTTAGAATATAATACTCTTCTTAGAGTCTCTGTTGTCATTCCCCTCCTCCTAGTGTTGTTTTAATTCTAATGAAAGTCAATTAGTTTAGATAATTTAAAGATAGTTTATACTTCAGCACCCAATTTGCGAATTATTTATTTACTCAGATTGCTGCAAGTAGAAGATTCTTGATCATTCTCAGCTTCTTGTAAGACATCATCATAAGCCTATTAATAGTTTCTCTGATTACCGAATATATTTTGCCATACATCTTTGCATCAGCTTATAGATTGTAATGCATTTTATTTTACAATTCAGAGTTTGAGGAGGTTTCATCCCTAAAAATGATGATATACTTTACTATTTTGTATTATTGTTTCTTGTCCTCTCCTCAACTATTGTCCTGTTGAATACTTCGGTTGTATTATCTAAGGATATCAATGGTTTTGGAGTGAAATTGAACATCAATAATTACTATGGAGAGAAAATCACTTCTTTAAGTTTCTCAAGGTCATTCAACTTTGTTAGTATATTGAATAGATCTATTTATTATGTGATTTTATCACTAATCATCAAATATAAAATAAATTACATTGCTTGATTCATCAATTAGATATGTTTCTTATTATTAAATACTTTTTAACAAGTTAAAAAATTAATCAACATTTGAAACGTCATTAAGATTGGTTTTGATCTTTAAATTAATTATTAAATTTGTAATTAGAAATATTCTAATCCATTCTAACAATTTAATTTTGATGCCATAGCTTCTTATTCATAGATAAACTTATTTTTTTTTAAGGCAAATTCAGTTTATTTCTTAAGTGGATTCCGCTGTTATTAGGATGAGGGACTCATTTATTCACTGAATTTCAGCAACTCATTTTTTGATTTTTAATTTATGGTACTCTGATGCAAAGGCTGTATTTCTAGATCTACATCTGAATTTCGAGGCTTTTCTTAAAATGGCATTTTCTCTTGTTTATTATAAATCATTTAATTAACCAAATCTAAATTGTCTTAGTAATATTTTTCCTTTTGAAAAGATACTAATGTAAATTCATATAATTTATTCGCTAATTCAACCAGAACTATTAAATAAAATTATTAATTACGTTGGAATCTATTGTAAATAGTTAGAATTGTTCCAACAAAAAAAATAAATATTTATTATATGCCTCCCAAATTAGATAATAATTCATCTATTTTCAAATATTTCCTAAATATTTTTATTTTATATGGACTTTTTCTGATCTATATTTGTACAAAGGATGATTGATTATTTTATAGTTCTGTTCTCTCTTTAATTTCTGATTGATCTAATGTGTAAAACTATGATTATTCCAATTGACTAAATGGTAAGAGACTTTGATCATTAGTAACTTCGTATTCTTTGATAAATAAATCTACAGACTTATAAATGTTTGAGGGAAGAAATCGAAAGAAAAAAGAATCATCTAAAAATGTTTGTAAATAGTTATCTTCTGGTTTGTAAGGGTTCAATATCTATAATCTATATCATTTAATCTTTTACTTTGTTTATAGGAAACAATTTTATTTTAAATGCTCCATTTTTATCAACCTCTTATTGTAATTCCTCTTTTGAAGCACAATTAGTTTTATTACTACATTCTTACACTTATATTTTCAAAAATTCAAATTCCAAATCTAGAAGAGTTATTTATTTATTATACTTGAATACGTTCCTTAGATTGAAAAAGATTGGTTGTAGCTACAAATATATATAGAACCACTTACTCAAAGCACAAAAAATCATATAATTTAAACTGGTTGAATTAGTCTGTCATATCTCTTCCAAATTAAGAGAATATTTTATTAAAACGATCTAAAGTGCAAGGTATCAACTAAACTTCCTTTTAAGTTTAAATTGAAGATCCGTTCAAAAACTTTTGGATACGGAACTAATCTATTTTGATATCGTAAAAAGGTTTCTTTAAAAAATCATCTTAATCTATTTGAACAGCGAATAAAAAAAATGAATCATCTATAATTGATAAGGATGGAATTTCTTCAAATTCAGTTAAAACAGTTGCACTCAAACTTTCTTTGTTGAAAAAGGATGTTATGTTTGATGAGAATATCAGAATTAAAATTGCTAGCAAAATTAAAGAGGAGCAGCCTCCAAAAACAGTTTTATATGAGCTTTGCTTATTCATTCTTAATGTGATTGATTATCCAAATATATCCATTCTCGAGATCCCTAGAATTATCTTTAGATATTACAATGACCAATCTTATGCATATTTCAAAATTCCGAAGCTTTCAATACTTTAATTAATAAACATTCTTATTTTGGTGATTGCATAATTACTGTAAATTCATAAATATATTAAAAAGTATTAAATTATAGAAATCAATCTTTTCCATTGTGTCTAAAAATTGATAATCTGATTTTCAAAAGTTTGCCTTTAATTGTTTTGTCAAAATCAATCCATGTTAGTAACTTTAAATTTACAAGTATAATCATTAAATTTTAATTGATTCACAGTAATTAAGACTAATATTTTGTCTATTACTTATAAATATTCTTTCATTTAAGTAATTAAAACATAATTGATACATAAAAGTAGATATTTGTTATAATAAATGGTAATATTGATACATAATAACAAGAGAGATTTGTCTATAGATCATTTTTTCCGATTTGTATAAAGATACATGACAGCTTAATATAATTCAACCAATCCGATGAAATTCATTTTAATTAAAATACTCCAACAAAAAATTTATATTATTATGAAATTAGAGTATGTTAATAATAATAATTATTATTTTTTAAACATTTGTTCTATTATAGGTTCCTTTTCTACATGATTGCCATTCTAGAAGTCTTCAAAAGTCTTTTTTTAATTTGCTTTTCATAACTATTTCTTCAACAAAATTTTATATAATCATTTTATATTATTAAAATTATTAATGAGAGCTAGGGGTCCTACAAAAGAACAAGAATCAATAGGAAAATCTGTAGACAACAACTCAGTTCATAAAAGAAGATAAGAATTATGGGAAAAGTAGATGGGATCCAATTAGGTTTGCTAGGGGTATATTTCTAATACTCAGGGAAGTGCTGAGTCTGGAATAAAATAGTTTTTGTCTTCAATGAGGAAAAATGGCAGTTTCCAATAAATAGAAAGTCAATTTAGACCTAATATCACCGAAAATGAAACTGAATCACCAAATAAATCATAACTGAAGGTCACAGACACCCAATTACTGACTCCATTGCAAAAACATACTTAAAAGAACTAGACAACATATGACATTTTGTCTCAGATCTATGAATTACAAAATAGGAAGAGCAGAAATCAATCTTTATTGGAAGAATTAATGAGAAAAACTAAATAAGCAAATGATAATCTAACGTTTCAAAGAATACTCTAAAGAAAAAAGTACTATAAAAGATCATAGAGATGTTAATCAGTGGCTCAAAAAGAATATGAATTAGAATAACTAAAAGGCCAATTGATTTAAGTGAAATAAGTCTAAGTTTTACAAATACAAAAGGATCAAACACCTAAGTAACAAGAAAAATTAGTACCGCTTTTAATTAGAAAGGAAAAAACTAAAAGTCCACCTTCTAAAGATAATGAGAGAAAGAAGGTGCAAGTTCCACTTTGCAAAGCAAAAAAGATAGTGATTGACGATACTAGATTTTGGGACTTAGGGTTTACTAAATTTATACAGAATCCAAGCTATTAAGAAATCAATCAATTAATTAATTTTTGTAATGGAATTCAGGTAATTCCAGCGTTGCATTAAAAATATTATAAGTTGTTTGTAGGTAGAGGCAATAACCATATGATGATAAAAGGAATATTTAACTTAAGGCCATAATGGAGTATTGCAAATTCAATAGATGATGATGCTGAAATTAATTTTGTATGGACTCAAAAATTCATTGATTTACAACCTTCAGAAATTAAACCAATTCCTCAAACTATCATATCTGAGGAAATTAATAGTTGGATTGACTCTTAGTAAATGAGTGTGATAAAATAAGCTTGGGATAAGGTTGAAGGGAAGTCGAAAAAGAAATTAAATGAATATAATATAGACAGTCCACCAATCTTGAATAATGTAGATATTTTATATATGAATTAAAGTTACACAATTACAAAGAGTTAACCCAATTAAATCATTAGACAATGAACATTCGTATTCATAACCATCTCAAGGGTGGCCATCAATTGGGTGACAAGAAATGGCTATTCCATAATCTGTCTGAATATTGTTCAGAATAGAGTATTGATGTCTGGAATTACATTCCATTGACTTATCATATTCATGGTCCAACCGATAGAGAATTCATTAGTTTCTAATAAACATTCTAACATCTGGCTTTAGATAAAGACATTAAGAATATTTGGATCATTAAACCAGGAGAGGATAGTAATAGGGGCAATGGAATTAAAGGTATTCAAATTAAACTTATAATCTAAAGTCTCAAATTAAATGTCAGAAATAGTCCAACACATCTCTCAATAGGGCCATACATTTATTCTGTAAAAATACATCGAAAATCCATTTTTATATCAAAAGAGAAAATTTGACATAAGAGGATATTGTTTAATCACAATTATGAATGGAGTTAAAAGAGGTATCCTAATCTGATAGAAATAGTTTATTAGTTTATTGGTACAAAAAAGGCTATTTGAGAACATCAAGTAGTTTCTTTACTTTGGAGTCTTTAGACAATCAGAAGATTCATTTAACCAATGATGCAATATAGAATAAATTAAATGGATATGGAAAATTTGAAAAAGGAAACAAAGTCTCTTATGATTAATTCTAAGCTTATTTAATAGAGCATAACAAGTAAAACAATAGCTCATACAGTTTCGATGAATTATATGCTGATATGAAGGTATTTAATTAAGAAATAAGCTAGGCTCTTACTAAATTGGCCACGCAATCAGCAATTGATAAGATCACAAATGAAGAGCAAATTTTAGGATTCGAATTATATGGTTTAGATTTTATGATTTCCAACAGTTTCAAACCAATACTCATAGAATTCAATACTAATCCTTGTATAGAAACTGGATGTCCAGTTCTGACTAAGATAATTACAGGACTTTTAGAAAATCTTATGCGATTCATCATTGATCCTTTATTTCCAGCTAAAAGAATGGGTAATGATGATTTTATGAATAAAAATGATTTTGAATTATTATTGTCATGTTGAAATATCATGTTTAAATAAATAAAATTATTTGTCTTACAAGAGTAGTTCTAAGCTTGGTTGTAATGTATATAAATTTATTGTTATATTAATTTAAATTTGAAATAAATGAATTTCGATAAAAGTCTAAAAAATAGACAGACTCTATCATTTACAGGATTTTCTCCAGCAAAATCAAATATTAATATCGAGGCTTCTCGAAAGAATCTGCAAAGTTCATCCTTTGGATCGCCACATCATGCATAATCTCTTGAGGTTTAATTGAAATAGGAATTCGAAACTTAATATAACGAAAGAATTTTAACAATGCGAAGCTTTTATGATATGAAATATCAAACACTCTTTGAAACTGTCAAAGAAGCACTCGATAAGGTAGATATTTAAATGTACAAATTTAGATTATGAATGATGAATTAATTGACACTATGAGACAAGACATTACCTCACAAGAATTTGTTTATCAAAGAGTTAAAGAGATGTTCGAGGAAATAATACTTAGTGAAAGAGAAGTCCTCATAGAAAAGCTCTCCTCTTAATATGCATATCTCAAAATGGAATTTGGAAAAATTGAATAAGATAAAAGAAAAGTATCATTATGGTCAAATATGTAGTTAGCAATAGAATTATAAATGATATAGGATGAGTAAGCTGACAAGGAAGCCTAGGTTTAAAATTAGGTTTAATAGGCTTAAGAACAAATTTCTTATTTATAACAGAATAATGATTAACTGTAATGATTTAATATTTAAGTTAAGGAATAACAAGGTTTCACAATTAGAATAAAAATTGTCATCTGCAAGTTAAACTGCCAAGGAGATTTAACAACTCTAGACAACTGCTAAAGAGTATAATATCCTAAAGGAAGAATATGAATAGTTAGTTTAGACGAATGAAAAATTATAATAAATTAATAAATAGCAAGTTTAAGAGATAGAATAATTACATAAGATAAGTGAAAATTTGTAGTAAAAAGTATAGTAATTGAATAAAATTTATTAAGAATTAGAGGGTGAGGTGATTTCATATAAAAAAAAGTCAACTGATTCAGAAGCTAAGACATAATTTACTATTTCTAATTTGTAAAATTAATTAGAAGCAGTAACTTTACAATTCAATTAATAAAAAGCAGATTATGAAAAAAGATTGGAAAAGGACGCTTAGACCTTTTAGAATGAAATCAATAAATTAAGTTAAAAATTACAAAGGAAAAAGGAGAAATCAACATTTCACAAATAAAATGCCAAATAATTATAAATTAGATTAGATTAGCTCATCAGAGACCATGCTGAATAGTTGTAAAATGAAACTTAATAGTTTCAAAGAAAGATTAATGAATTGTAATAATAGAATCAATTGCAATTACAATAAGCTCAAAAGTCAATTGATGATTTGAAAGAATCTCATGATAAAAATATTTATAGTTTAAGAAACTAATTCGAATAAATAAACAAAAAGTAGTGTGATGATTCAGATAAACAAAAAATCAATTTGTTGAATGAATTGGATAGGGTTTAAAGTGAACTTGAATCCGTGGTGTTATAATAACAATAATAAATTGAAAGCAATTATATTCCTAAAATCCAATATGAGCAGTAAGTCAAAGAACTATAAAAGAAAATAACAGAGTTGAATCAAAAACTTAGGGAGTAGGATGCTCTTATGAGAAAATAACAAGATGAATTTGAAAACTATAAGGAACTATGGAACAGACAATAAAATAAACTACATTTGGATGTTAAGGATAGAAATGAAATTTAAGAATAACTTTTATCAAGAGAAGAAACCATTAATAATCAAAATAAATAGATATCTTAATTAACTTAATAAGTTAAGATGTTGGAATCTGATTATTAAAGGTTATAAGACAGATCCAAATAACAATTAGAATATATTGAAGAATTAAAAAATGATGTAAGTAATCGTTAAAGTGAAGTTCTTAAAATCTAAAAATAATTGAAGTAATAAAAGGATGAACTTATGGAATAATACAGATAATTGGAGGGAGAAAACAAAACCAAAAATGATAAAGTTCAACTATTAAATTCTTAATTAGAAAAATTATTGAATGAATCATCTGAAAATGAAAAATTGCTAAATTACAAAAGTAAGGAACTCCAACAATTAGAAGAGGAACTTATGCAATATCAAAATTATAAGCGAAATGCCTAACAATTATCAGAAGAAAATGAATAATTAAGAATCTAAATTGATAAACTAATTAATATTTAAGAGTTATAAGAATAAAAATAGGAAGAAATTAAAAAGCAATTAGATACCGAGTAAAAGTAAAAGAATTAATTGATTCTTAACAATGAATCACTCATGTAAAGACATTAAAAGTATGTAAAAACTATCAAAGTAAAATATTAATAATAAATTAGGAATAAAGAAAATACATTAAAAGACGAATAGTTAGTGAGCTCTAAAAAATAAAATAAGAACATGCCAGTTTAGAATAATACTTAAGATAAATCATTAGGATGAAAAACAATGAAGACAATTTGTTGATTGCATCAATTGTTACTAAAGTGAAAGATTTATGGAATCGAAAGGAAATTTAACATGAAAATGAAATTGTATGAATATAAAATCTATTATAAGCTAAAAATAAGGAATGAAATATTTGATTAATATAGTGGAAGTGCATCACATTTAAGAACTGCATATGAGTAAACTTTAGATGAGACATAAAAATAATTTGAATAGCAAATAGAGAATTTAAGAGATGCAAAAGAAAAGATGGAGGATGAAAATAAAGAGTTATTGCATGAATTATAAAAAGTGCAAGTCATCTTAGAAGATTAATCAGCTTTGATTACAAATTTGAAGAATGAAAATAAAACATTGAAAAGCAATGGAATGCTCATTGAAAATGAGTTATCGACTACTTTGAAAAATATGAATGATGTAATTTATTATGATTATTAATTATAGATGAAGGATTCATTTGAGGATCAAATTTAAGAATTAACAAAACAATTAAAGAAGTATGAGAGAAAGCAATAACATTAATAAGATCTGAAAGGCTAAATAGATAATTTATAAAATGAATTAGAAAAATTAAGAACTCTTAATAGGTCCAATACTTAGGAGACAGAAAATAGAATTGCAAAATTAGTAAAGCAACAATAATCGGAAGTTCAATTGTTGGTCAATCAATTCTAAAGAGAACAAATAAAACTTAGATAGGAATAATCAGATCTTAAGGATTAGGTATCTTAAAATGAAGAGGTTATTCACAAATTATATCAATCACTTGATGATGTCAACTAAATTGTGAATTAAAAAGATAAATAATTGTAAAATTTAATTGAAGACATTGAATAAGAAAGAGCTTCTGATTAATAAAAAATAACTGATCTTTAGAATAAGTACCTATTTTAATTTATTACTCATAGATTGAGAAAGGAAGAGGATGAGATAAAAGTCGCTCGATAAAAAGGGTAAAGAGATATTGAAAAGATTCAACTGCAAATTGCTTCAGCTGAATCAGAGATTAGTTAGTTTAAGATAGAGAACAAATAACTAAGGATATAATGTGAATAATTAGCAGAAGAACTAGAAAAGAAAACAAAGTAATTTGATTAATTGAATCGAGAATATGAAGACTAGAAAATTATTTAAAATTAAGAGATTGCTGACTTACACAGGTATAAATAGATATTTAAAATAAGATTGCTCAAAATACAAGTTTAAAATGATGACATGTCAAATTATTATAGTGAAAGTAAGGAATTGGCTTAAAGAGTAAAAGAATTATAAAAAATTAATTCATAATTCTCTGATAACAATTATCTTAAAAGATAAGAATCATCTGTATAAAAATTTGACAGCACAAAGAAATTAAATTCAAGTAACAACTTGAAACCTCGCCTTGCAAATTATACTCCTATGACTAAAAAATGAGATTTCAGAGGTGATAATTAAATATATATAATAAACATTAACAACTCAAATTCAAACTTTGATTAAATTTAGATTCTTAAAAATTTGTAATTTTTTAGATTTAACCAATATTTCTAATCTCCAAATTGAGTAGTTTGAGATTAACAATCTTCTCAGATATATTTTATGATATTTTTGATGTATAATGTGTATTAAATGAATAACATATTATTGTATGAAAAAATTGAAACAGTTTCCAAAAAGACTAATTTGTAAGATTATATATTAATTACTAATTTGTAAATGCTTCTGATAAAAAAATGATTTTTTGAAATGGGTTTTATAAAAGTGATATATAAAAGGATAGTAAATTACAGGGGGATAGAAGGAGACTTAAAAGAACTGTACTTTGAAATGCCAATACTTTTATTTAATAAATTAGAAAGTGCTATTGATGTTGAATCTAACAAAATTTTCTAAGAGTTTTTGATTACAAATTGAAAAATAATTTATTACCTTTTTATAGCTCAGTAAATTTAAACTAATAAAGTACTCATAAGATAATTAGGATTATGATTTAAATTGACAAATATTTGTTTGTATATTAAGTACTGAAATTACTTGAATTTGTATCAAATAATTCGTTTGTAAAATGAATAATAGATTCATATAAAAATTCCTGATTCTATTTATTTAAACAAATAATAGTTTCTAATAGGTGAATTTGTTAAGAATCTGAGAAAAAAGGTTTAAAATAGAATTTAAGATTACAACTATTAAATTCAATTTCTTATTCATAATTAAAACAGTCTTTAATTATAATGTTCTCATAAATTAATTTAAAAATATATTATTATTGTTTGCTACAATGTAATATATCTTGATTGAAATCATAATAATCTATATTAATTTATAAAAGCATAAATGGGGTGTGCAGCAGGATTTTCACTTTAATAAGACTTAGATTTGTCTATTTCTCACAAAGATTCTTAGATGTTGTTACTAAATATTCCAATACAAAACATATATCAACCGAAAACAATAGAATCAACTTTTTTGTGTAATTCTCTGAAGTGGTGCGATGAAGATGACAATTTAGAGAATCTTTTTGAAGAGTGTTGTAAATTGGAAGAAGACTTAGTAATTGCAAATACAAGAATTCTTAAGAGTGATGAAAATGAAGTCAAAGAACTATACCAACTTTAGTAATCAAAAAACTTCTCTTAAACCTCGATATGTGTGTAGAAAAGGAGAAATCGTTTAAAAAGTAATAACAAACTTCCAGATAAAATCCCAAATAGCATTTTGAAAAGAAAACGTTTAAAAGATGATTAAGTATTTTCAGGAAAGATCCAAAGTAAAATAAAAGTGTAAAAAATGGTGAGATTCAATAAATGTTATGTAAAATTCCTACCAGACACTTTAATGTGATCCTAAAAAATTAGTCTGGAGATGATTTAATCAATAATGTAATTTAATAATGAATTCTGTATATTAAAATTAAATTCTTGTTAAAAGGAAGAGGAGGAAAGAAATTCTAAAAGATATGATGGAACACAATTCTTACATCAGGTTTCGTTCTTTATTTGGTTGAAGATACGCAAGAAAGATTATAATATAAATTTTATTATGACTTATAAATCGACATAATAAATACATTCATTATACAATTATTTTTATGTACACTGATCCTGTGGCAGAATTATTACGGCCAAAACAATCAAATCTAATTAAATCAAGCGACTCTGTAGGATCCTATCGTCCAAAAAGTATACAATCAAATCGCAGCAACAAAAATATAATATCCCAATAATAATAACGCCCTCCTTCTTAGTAGTCTTAAGTTGGAAGCAATGGTGCAAAACGAATAGTTCATATTGGTAGGAATGGGAAGAAAATCGAATAATTGTCAAGCATTGCACCTGCTAAGACAACAAATGATCTTTGCTATGAATTCGACCCATTTGTTTTAGATCAGATAAGTCCCGAAGATCCCATTTGGAGATAGATATTGCCAGATAATATGCCATTAGATGAGTAAACTTTAGAGAAATTATTGGAAGATAACCCAGATTATTTTTATCATCATCTTGGATTTTGTGCATGCTATCGATGCAAATGTGGCAGATGCAGATGTGATGTCTCGAATTAAGTTAAATTAAAGATAAATGGATCGTTTCTAACTGTTTATGATAAGGATTTCATTCCTCATAAATCAAGCTATAATAATCTAACACCCTTGAATTCTAAGACATATGCTACAAAGTTTCTCGATTAAAAGACAATTGATTTTACTACCTCTCATCAGCAAGACTATAAGGAAATGCCAATTCAATCCACTGAGAGCTTCAAGCCTCCCTATAGACCATAATTGGGATCCATGTCCAACTTGACTAGCTACAGAGTATGATCTTCCTCTATATTTAGTCTAATTATAGTAATTGGGGCAACAACTATTAGAGATTTAGTAGATATCCTCATATAAGTACAAGCACGGACATCAAATTCATTGGTAAAACTTAATATTAGGATTCCTTTGTTCCCCCAAATAGCTGGAAAGTGGAAAGTCAAAATTACTTTAAAAGTGAACTGTAACAATATCTTATTATCAAAGTTCTCCGATGCCAACAGGTCCTTTTGTGGGAATGACTACAAGTCAATAAAACTTTTAACCTTTCAAAGTAGCAAGAAGTCCTCAAAAGCCAACACATCATGTACTATTTACCTAATACATTTGATTAGAAATATGAAACTACTCCATCTTTTGATGGATAATTCACATCTACAGGAATGAAGGACTTTACCCAATAATAGGATGATTATTGTCCTGCTAAACAATTTTAGAAAATATTTAGAAAGAAATTGGCATAAAAAGTGGAGAAGAAAAAGGAAAATTTTATAGAACGTAGAATCAATAATGCAATGAAAAATTGATTGTTTTTATCTAAGTTCATTTCATCACATAATCACACATCTTATATAAAAATATCATTTAATTAAAAGAATTAAAATTATTATAAAATAATATCAAACCGAAAAATGTAAGTCTTAACTAATGAAACTTACAACATATGCATTTTCCATCAGTCTGTCAAATGGAAATAGGGTTAGCAATTACTTACTTTGTTTGTATTGCTCTTTTACTTTTTCTATTGTCTTAATTGTTATCAACAGCGCACAACTCATGATAATACTTGCAAATCCAAGCATTATCGAATTTATTACAAGGGTAGAAGTGACCAATGTCTTGATTTTGTTAGTCAACATTTCAATAATCACATGAAATGCATACTAAGCATATAATCTCTAGACTTAGGGCTAAGAATTCTTAATGAACTCTTAATATGAATAGATGGATTAATTATTAATTTACAGTAACTACAAAAACTCGAATTGATAGGAGTATAATTCTTAAACAACAAAAGTTAAGCCTTTCTCGAGATTGGAATAAGATTGACACTATTCAAAACTAAATAGATTGGAATACTCCTCATAGCTGTACTGACTAATAAATTAGAATATGAGATCATACTAGGAATTGAAGAGTAATTGACAAATGCTATTAGACAGAATATCATAGATCTCAGTATTCCAACTTTCCTAATATTGAGATAAATTCGTTGTAAGTTATTTCAAGACTTCAACTGTCTTATTTTATCTATCTATTCCATCCTATTAGATGGTCTAATTCAATATAATAGCTTATTAAGCATAACTCAAAGCAAGATAATTGTTGGTAATCTCAAATTGGGTTTTTTCATTGTATCTTGCAGAGACAGTCGATAGAGTCTCTTTTTATAATATATAACTCCCAATGAAGTAAAATGAACACATAAATGCATAAATAAAGATAAATAAAAAGAAGAAAATCTAAGCAGAATTAGTTTCTATTTAAATATATAAAACAATACATACATTTATAGGAGATCTGCTTTCCTACTCTATTATGTTTATCCAACATGTTGGAAGTGACTGTTTTTTGGTATTAACGCATCATTGTTGTTTCAAATTACTCCTCATCAGTTTCGTGATTCTTAAACTTTGAATTGTTTAATTAGTTGTATAAGGAACTAAATTGTAGAAACTACTCTTAAATGACTTCCTTTGAGAAAGTGCAAAATAATTTAAATATCTTAGTTTTCATCTAAATTATTTTCACACATAGATAAATATATCTAGTTAGAAATAATATTAGCACTATCTCTTCAATCAGAACACTAAATATATAATTATTAGAATTTACTATATTCCTAGATCATTCGATTAATTGATGGATTGAGCATTCTATATGATCTCTAATTGAATATTAAACTAATCTGTGTTATTCACAAAATCCGAATAAAGTATTTTTTCATTCATTCTTTACACTTTCGATAGTTGCGATAAAATAATTATCATCCTACTTTTCATTGTTAAATTGTTAATTATATTAATATGGGGCAATCTTGTTATTGTTTAATCAATATCTTTAATGTGATTCACAAAAAACCCTAAGGTTACTTCACTTAGCTTGTCAAATTGGAAATCGTCAACATTTACATATGACTAAGTTATAACGAATTCATTATAAAAGTAAGAAAATTGAAATGGTAGATTCTCATAATTCTAGTCTTAATTGATTCTTTCAAACTAGAAGTACAATATCAAATAATTCACAAAATATCCCACAATAACTAAAATGTATATAGATAATAAAAATAATTTGGTTTGAACATTCAAACCTCTATTATCTGATAAGCAATCCTTCATTTATCTTTTCAAAGCCGTAGTATTATTTTAAGACGATCTACTCCCAACTGACCCAGAATTATACTATAGATTTTATTCTTAAACCCTCTATTTGAATTCAGATTCACTATCACTCAAATCATTGCTTTTCTCTGATATATTTATATTTTGTCTAAGTTCTATAACCCTTTCTTCAAAAAAATGATCACTATTCTAAATTAGTCTTTTAGTCGAGTTTTGATTATGAGCTGTATTAATCATATTAATTTATGCCAATTGATTTCTTAAATCCTCAACCATTTTTATTTCTTCAATAGCATTTTCATATTCTAAGTCACATTCATCAATATCTCGTTTAAATAATATATCGTTTGCTGAAGCCAATAGATCAGCCTTCTATGTAAATACTTCATTTTAAGTTGAATAATTTAACAATTGCGAAGATCTATGTCTTAATTAAATTAATTATCGACTAGTCACTTTTTAGTTTTGTATCTGTCTATATTCTGGCATTTCTAAAATGACTAATCTAATGATAATCATAAATATAACCTTAAATTGATGGTAGTAAGACTCATGAGATGTAATGATACTTAATATATGACATTATCTTATGGATAATTTTCAAGTTATCGAATTATATTTTATTGCAATAATGATTTGCTTACTACAGTAGTCCTAGAACTTTGTAAACTTTTAGAGTTATATCTAAATAACTAAGGGAGTATTAAATGGCATTCTAATCTCTTGTCTAGTTTTTCAAAGGTTTCATTAAATAGACTATCCCAAATTTTGGCTAATTCTGGAATAAAAATTAAACAGTCTAATCCTCTAACTTATTCAAGTTCTACTCCTAAATATTTCTCGAATACATCATCAAATAAATTCTTTGTCAATTCTTCAATTTAGCCCTGTTCATTCAACATCATGTATCCGTATGTGAAATTGACTGGTGTTATTAGAGCAGTTGCACCAAATTCAGTAGTGCTGGCTTCGAGTCTCAATCTTGTATTGATTGGAACTACAAATTGTGATTTGGTTTTCCCTAGAATAACTCTAACTGCATTTCGAACAACGTTAATTCTACCTCTCTCCACGAAGTTATCTAAATATAAATCATGGTCATTAGCAATAATTTAGGGCATAAATCTATTGATATTTTGATCTTAAATTTCTTCATCCTTGTATCCTATTGCCTTTTGAAAAGTTCTGGTGTATCTGATAACATTTCCCCTAGGTTGGAGCAATGTAATTTATATTACACAGCTACCTGGATCATAGATTATTCTTTCACTCGATTATAAGAATTGCAACATCATTTAGCCATCTCTCCTATATAATTTTGGTCTCAATTTATTGTAATGAATGTATTTGTGAAATATATTGTAGATTGTATCACACTCGTTACTTTACGGGTTAGTTTTGTATAATAATTGCAATTACTTTTCAAGTACCTTAATATTCTCAAGAAGCTTAAAACCAATATTTACTATTAGATCTATATCAATCACCTAAGTGAGAATACAGGCATAGAAGTCCTAAATTATATTGAGTATATACTTTTTCTTATTTAACAATAGTCTAAAGATTGCTTTTTAACACATTCAAAGATTCTTCATATTGATATACTTTTTTAAATACAAACTTTTAATTTACTAAGTCATTCTTTCTAACTAATTCAGAGAATTTATCAAGTGCATCATGTTTCAATTTCCTTATTATTGCTTATTATTTTAATGTTTATTCCTAATTTAATCATAATAAATCATTACTTTTTACATCATTGACAATCTGATAACTTCATATATTGCTTAAGTTGGCACTTTCTTTATTTAAACCAAGAAATAAATATAAATTAAGATTAAGTTAATGTCTTAGTTTTCAATTATTTCATCTTCTAATGTCTACCCAATTAATTCCTTAGCAAATTGCTTCATCTACTCTAAACTTTAAAAGGTATCGTCATCTTTAAAAAAATCTGTACAAAAACATTTATATTTTAACTTAATATTTTTTTAAACCTTTCTATCCCTTTATAATTTACATTCTCTTAGATGACTTGAAATAAATGTGTATATTTATAAGGATTGTTTTGGATCCAACAATCTCTATTACTTTTTTAAATCAACCTACTCTTTGAATATTATATACAATCTTCTTATTTGTTTCTCAAGATGAGTGCGTTTAAAGTTGGCATTCTTGAGATCCTGCTTCATTATTAATTCATTTGCAATAAAATATATTAAAGGATAGAAGATTAGCAATAACAAAACGACACTTATTTTTAATTATGGCTATCCATATTGGCACAAAATCAAAATCAATTAATAGATCAAACAGAATGTTGTAATTTAGAAACTGATTCTAGATATTCTATAATCTACAAAAATTTATTAATTGTAACTATATATTATCCTTATTAATTAACAAATGACTCCAAATATTTATATTACTAATGATTGTAGCTGTATTCCAGATAATAGTATTATTCTAATATTCTATCTATCTAAAATATGTACAATAATTAAAATCCCTGCAAGAAATTCATTTTCTGCGCTTGAAATTTCCCCAAAAAGTCATAGGACTTCATTCTGTACTCAAATTAATGTAAGTGAATGAATAATCCAATTAATATTTATTATGTTATCAATAATATACTGAATATTAAACCTACAGATTCTAATGAATTTAAACTTTCTGTATAATTACAAATTAATACAAGATTCAAAAATATGTGTTAGTAAATTAATCCCACAAAACAGAAATGGAATGTGCAGCACTTTTAGGTTAATTTAAAAGTAAAATGAAATGATCCAATTCAACAAATGTCTGCTGGAATTGTTAGATTCATCTGACTAATCAATCAATTATTATAATACCTATTCTAAAGTTAAAAATTTGAGTTATTGTTTCTTTTGTATAAATATTCTGATGTTCAAAAGAGGATACAATATCAATATAAGAAATACGCTTTGCAACACAAAACCAAAAATTACAAAAATTGATCTGATTAGGATCGAATCTCCAAAAATAGTGTAGAATCTAATGAATATTTGATATAAGTTCACCTACAGAAGTCAATAATGCCTCTGATATGTATCAAAAATTAGTCATATTCAAATTGAATTATATCGCTTGTGTATATTGAAACCAGTTGTAAATTTTCAATCAATAGCAAGACAATAGCAATTAAATAACTTTTTCTCCATGTTTCCTTAACATTCAGGAAATCTTGAATGTAAAATGCCTTTGTCTAAAGAACAATTTTATTCATAATTATAAGTGGGTAATTAATTAAATATAATTCAATCCTAAAGGTTATTAAAATCCTATAATATAATCATAATTGATTTTGTATTATCTAAAAAAATTTAATACAATTAAAAGTGCCTCTTCTTACATTAATTAGGTCCATCATCTGCGATTATAGAAGTAAAAAAATCTATGGGAAAAAGAAACCAATTTCAATCTTTAAATAATTAAATTTAATTTTAAAAGGAGGTCCTTGGATATAAATAATCCTCCATACTCAGAGAGATTCTCCTTGAGATTGGGATTCAAATGAATTTGATATTAATTTCAAAATGAATATATTTGCTAAAATTTTTAAGCAATCATTTCATCCTTCTCTTTGCAAGTCAAGAAATTGAACTTATCGAGATAGTCCTCAACTTTCTGGTTTAATAACTATAAATAAAAAAAGGAATGCCTTACTTATCTTTTAACATCTTTATCAAATAATATTGTATCTAAAACATAAATAGACAAATTATTTATAGCATTGTCTTAATCGTCATTTATTCCCTTTTCATCCTATAATTGCATATAATAATTGATCAAGATATCTCGATAATTCTCTTCAAATTATCCTGAAGGTGCAGGTTATAATTCTGATATATATTTTTCATTGGCTTAATTTTGCATTTGCTAAAGGATAATTCTAAATATATGAAATAAAATACTGTAATTGTTATTGTATCACATTATAATGAGCCATCTGAATTTAGTAATCCTCTTCGCATAACTTAATAAAGGCATTAAATTAAGGGAAAGTGTAAAGTTCAAAGAAATATGCACAGTTATAGATATTTCTCTATGTTTTAAGTACCTCCAAGAAGCGATTCATTTCAATAATTAATTTCTTTGAAATAATGAAGGCAGGAAGAAACACCTAAAATATTCAAAGTAATTACATTAGTGTTTTGGGTATGTTTCCTCTAATGAATTTCATGGAGAACAGTGCCTAAAAATACAAGTGTATTTCTTTCATTAAGATATTTCTCAAACACGTTGTTCAGATCATTCGTCTTCTATTGTTACATTTGCTTTTATTTAAGAGCCTCCTATAATAGTTTCTCATCATTAGAATTATCCTAAACTTATTTGTGCTCTAACTTTGGAACATCAGATTATAGTTTCTTTATCATATCCTAGTTATTGATGTTGTCAAATTTTTATTAGTTTTGCTAATAGACTTACTTATTCATTTTCAAATCTACTTATTTAGCAACTACTTATTCAACTGTTAATTAACATAAGGCTATAAACAGTCAATTTTAAATTAGTACCTGGATTTATCACTTGATTGGAAAATAATGGAGACTCATACAATTAATTCCATTACAATCTTAATTTAGGTTCTGGATTTAGCATTCTAATTAATAATTCCTATGATTCCTTAGATATTTTGATGTTATTTCTTGCAAAGTTAGGCTAATCTTAAAGAATAATACTATAGAATATACTTGATTTGACATCCCTCAAGAAATCATTGTAGCTTTTAATACTGAAGGGGAGTACTCCAAAGAGCATTTGATAGTAAATTGCTCCAATGGAAAACATGTCAGCAAGAATCCCATATGGCTTAAACTCTATGATTTCAGGTGCCATAGTGCCTAAAGTACCTAATGCTTCTTTGACAACTCCGTCTAAGCTCTCCATTCTTTTAGCAAAACCCAAATCTCCTATTTTTAGAACATTATTAGAGATTAGTATATTTGGCAATTTTAAATCTCGATGAATTACATTCATTTCGTGCAATCTATAATTTTTTAATTGTCTTACCCTCTCATGCCATTTAATATCTATTTGATATACTAGATAGCTTCTACTTCTGGGATTATTCTATTCTTTTTCTTCCACAATTATTCAAGATCTCCTTCTATATTGGCATTAATGAATTAGATTACAATTGCAATATTCCATTACTAAATAGCAATTATTCTCGCTTTCCAGATACTTATTCATCTTAACCACATTAATATTGCTGCATTAAGCAAGTACTTAAACTTCTGTCTTTAGTAATTATCCAACTAAGCCATTATGTTCTTTCCTAATAACTATCAAATCAAAATGATTACAATTTAGCTTTAGACACAGACTTGATGGCCACGGACTCCTTAGTAATGATATTCTAAGCAGAGAAAACCTTAATTAATCTAAATTGAAGAATTACTTAACCGAAGGCTCCTGTGCCTAATACATCTACAAGTATATAATCATCAATCTTCTTTCCGACAAAGTTCCTACTCTATTAATTATTCATAATTTAATTATTTAGCTTTCTATCTTAACATCAAAAATAAACGCAGAATATTAATATATTTTATCGATATAAATGAATACTATTATTATGATGAATCACATCTGAAACTTTCCAGTGCCATCTGACATCGGCCTGATTTGAGACAACTTTAAGTTTCTAAAACTCTTTTTAAGCATACGACTCCGCTTCAAAGTTTGTTCGGTATCTTAATCTGATCCTCTTCTTGATTCTTCTATTTCAAATTTTGGGATTATCACCTATTGATACCTATATTTTTCAAAAAATATTTCTGGATAAATCATATATTTTAATAGTTTAGATTATGAACTCTTTAATTCATTATTCAATGTATGCTATTGTTTATAAAAGTATATCTTTTCTAAAATTTAATCTAAATTATTTTAAATCTAATATTATTTATATTTTTTATATGACTCCATTACTAACTCTTAATCCTTCTTTTAATATTCATTTAATTACTCTATTTACATCTTTATCTTAATCTCTAACAACATCGTATCTTAAATGTCTTTCTCCTATAGTATTTATTTCTTCCCATCTTAAATTTGTTTTATTCTAATTTTCACTTTCTGTTATATTCCTTTGAGAAATTGCTAAGATTGAAGTACTTCAAGGAATTGATTGAAAATAGATTTTGTTTCCTTTTTTATCTTTGGTCTTTTCTTCATTCTATTCATATTCGTAATCATTTAGACTACTTTCTTCATTTTCTGAATACCTTCCTTAGGTTTCTTCCGATACATATCTAAACTAAATGATGCCCTGCCTTAAGTGTGTTTTTCCTTTGGAGAATTCTCTTGATTGTCCTCCTCTTTTATTATCATAAGATTATTATTGAAAATATTCTAGTTCCTAGCTTTACTCATAAGTGATGCTTTCAATTATTTATCATCAATGTCTAATAATTCAATAGTTTTTGTTCTCTACTTGAATAGAGTGGCCTTTTTCTTAATTGATGGTGGTTCTAAATTGACTTTGGAGGATTGATCTGTTACTTGTTAAACGGGAAGAACGAGACTTTGTGATTATTATAGTTATTATTATTATGCCTATAAGTTAGAATTACTTTATTCTAAGATTGGTACAACTTATTATTATTATTGAATTTCACTTTTCTTTAATTGATCTTCTTCTGGTTCTTCATAAAATTCTGCCCACTTCCAATTATTATTATTAAATGAATTTGCTTCTTATTCTATGACTTCTTAATCAAATCGAGCTGCAAAGTAACCTCTCTATCTAAAAGGATTTCGCTCGTATTTAGAATTTCTTTTTTGTGACTCACTGTAACAATATCTTTTTAAAATCAATTCTCTGTCAGGTATGTAATGTAATAAGGGACATTAAAGTACTCTATGATTCTTGGAATTGCAACTAAAACATTTCATTTGTAACACACTTATGTCCTCAAATTATAGACTATCATAAAGATTCCTAAATCTCTCATAATCTTCTGGGAAATCCTATATCACTTTTAAAAAGTCATCTCTTGATAGCAATAGCAATTTCGAAAACCCAACACTCCTGAATCTCTCCTAAGATTGCTTACCACTTATGAAACTGATAATACCCAAGCTAGAACCTTTGCCAACCTTAAAAACTTCAGCAATCTATGGATTATCAAGTACTTGATCAATTGAATCATTTTGAATAAAGATTTGAATGTCTCCAAATTCAACGAAACAAACAAACAATTAACCTGGTGGTAATTGAGGAAATAGTGAATCAAAGTTTATTATATTTTCTGGTTAAATTACTGTTTATTTTATTTTGTTTACTAACTTAGATTTCAATGCATCACTAAAATTATGTTAAAATAATGGACATTCATTCAAAATCAAAGAATTTGATTGATTCATCAATTTCTCTTTGAGATTCTCTGATAACTAATTAATGATTTCGTTGAGTTCATCATTCTCAACTTGATTTTATGATTCCCAATAATAGTTCAAGTATTCTCTTATCTGATACTGCAATTAATACTCAATCTTTCTATTTTGCATATAAGCATTTATCTTTCTCATTTTTCGCATCTTCTCCTGTCCATAAGCAGAGATGGTATCAATTATGGCACCAACAGTACTGACACTGTAACTTAGTTGAATACTGCATATCATCATATACAGAATGGCAATCACTCTTTCTAAATAACTGATGGGCACAACATCTCCATAACCTATTGTAAACATTGTAACAGTCGAGAAGTAAAATGAATACAAATATTACACTTACCAAGTTTCATGTTCTACGTGGTAGAATTCTAACCAGCTCCCTTTTTCTGAATACAAGTAACTGTAATAACCAACCTAAACAAATATTAAATGGAATAAATTACAAAATACCAAAGACATGAGTAGCAATGTAAAACAAAGAACAACACTAACAATAATTTAAATAATTCCAATAGAGAACTACTAGGCTTTGACAAATTTAGGGTTTCCTCGACTTGACTTATCAATTTAGGAATATTCCTACATTGTACATAAAACAATAGCATTAATAAATCCCACCATTCTGTTAACAGATTGAATTCTTATTCTTAAGAGGAATTAGAAATTATGGCGTAAATAATTAGAATTAATATTGATATCGCTTCCAATCCATAACTTTTACTTATTACATTCTTAGCGATTGTTGCTCTATTACTTACTATTTATCCAAATTAATAAAATGAACTATTGAAACTCAAAATGAAATCAAAAACCAATAGGAGGATCATCATAATTGTTGGAAGGTAAAGCTCTCCGTATATGATTTTATATTTATTCCATGCCAAATCTATTGGTATTGTAAATAGAAAATAGAGTCTACTTAACATTACTACACAATCCCACACTATTTTCAAACGAGATTCAGGTGTAATCAGTGGAATCTTTTCTATTTCCTATTCAATTTTTTTAATTAAATTATCCTTGCATGTCTTTAAATGTGTAATTTACTTTTTTATTTTTTTGGACAATTCCCTATTATTAATAGTAAGACAATTCATACTTTTTTTTGATAATCTACTGCAACCCATCAGAAGACTGACTGAATTAGCTGATCATAGGCTTCAAATTCAATGCACTATCACGAAAGAGTTTTAAATTAAAAGAAGACCCTAAATCTCGGATGATATTGTATTAATAAAGGTTGAATTATGAGTTGATTTTCTTTTTCCAACTTATTCTGTTAATGAATCGTTTGATAAAACAAAATTAGATTACACTGAATATTTATTGTTGTTGATGCTATAATTGTTGAGGATCGGAAGATTTTTAGCTTTTTCGATTCATCAAAAATTAGGTTGTTGGACTGTTAATAGAGGAGTCAAAGGTAACTCTTTTTGATTCATGGCCTTTGTGTTTAGAGCTTTAACTAGGTATGTTGTTATTGGTGTTGACTTTCGAACCTTGAATTGAGAAGCATCCATCGGATAATGAATAATTGAGAAAATCTTAGATTTCACCTATGGGTTCATCTGTTAACATCAACTGATTTAATTTTGAGATTGGCCCTTCGGTGTCTTACTAATTTTAATTCATATTTAAAATAATTATGTGAAATTCTAATTATCTATTTTGTACTCATAGCTAAGTTTTAATATATTCTTGTGATCCATTGAATGAATAAATGACTTCCTAAAAAGCAGAGAGTAAAGTATACTGGAAATCTAAATAAATTTATATTCAATAATTTTGTCATAGAGCTAATTAATAAATGTTCTATAAGCACTCTCATCATTCATCAAGATTTACTACACTAAATGAAGAATCATACAACCAAGAAACTTGTGATGCAAGGTCCCATAGACCTTCGAGAACACTAGCATCTACTAGTTTAAGCTTATATAATCGTCCTTACTTACACACAAAAAGCATCCCTAAATCACTCATAGAGCAAGGTAACATTTAAATTTGAAGTTGTATTTTAAGGGTACAGATCCAAAAGCATACTTTATCATATGTGTTTATTGTCGAATGATAAGAATGTAAGGATTAGACCAAGTAGAAGGGAGAGGGAAAAAACAGTTTTATTTACAGATAACATGGAATTATATCATCATAAAATCATTAAAAGAGTTAAAGAGATGTGCAGAAGAAAGAGTTGTAATTGTGGAGGATGCGGTATAAAAACCAAATTCGAAAGGAAACATGATGATTTTGAAGTTCGTACTCAACAAGCAATATCTTCAGACTTAAAGCTACTCTCATTTACTAGATAAGGATAAAAGAAGAAATAAACAATAATTAAGGAATTTAAAATAAAATAAATAAATGAAAAAAAAATTAAAGCCCAATACTCCTCTATTAATTCATAGTTGATGATTAATTTACCCTCGACTCAAAGAGACAGCTTTTAAGTTGATTAGTAAGACACTCAAAGATCTCTTCTCAAAAATACTCAACATTTCATTTAATCACTTCCCTCAATCAAAAATATTGTCCCTTTAACAATTTTAAAATAAATTTACATTGCTGGAAAACAACAAAAATAATGTGTCATTCGGAAACCATCTCATGACTATCTAATAATGAAAGCTTACAAACTGAAATGATATTCAGAGTTTACTTCTCTATTATATCTACAAATGCAAATATATCCTAGAATTTTATTCATTTTTAACTATAAAATATATATATATAAATGATTTTCAAATTATTTTGATCTTGAGCAAGACTCTTCCAATTTATATTTCTTAAACTTCCTTTAGTAATTGTAGTTTGCTTTGAATGATCCTCAGAGTACCAAATTTGCTCCCTTGATCTTATATGTACCAGAATTTTTCATATGAGATATTGGCATGATTTCTTGAGACTGATATATCTTGACATCTGATCTCACTATTGTGTCCTCTGCCTATCGAGACAGAACACGACCCAAAAGCATGCATAAATGTCAGACTTTTAGATAGACTTTCCTGTCTTGTGATCTACTCGAGTATGATGTAAGGACCATCTAATTTCTCCACTTAAATCATCTATAGAGGCTCAGGTTGATTCTCAATATAGACTCGAGCTGGAAGGGGGTCTTTACATACCTACCTGAATTTAAATATCATACATCACATTCCAAGACTTTATTCCAATGGTATTAAACTGTGTTCAAGGTTTATTTGCATGAAATTCGATTTTGAAAATTAACCCATGACTTCAAACATTCAAAATGAACATATGCCATTAATCCTTTGCAACTACACAAATCTTAGAGAAATGGATTTTTTGGGTCCTCAGTTTCCTCTTAATCATCCATTAAACAAAACCTACACTGTCTTGGATCCTTCTTCTTTTGTATTTTAATGTGTCTTTCTAAATTGTAATGGTCTTCGGCCATCTGTACTTTGTCTCCGTTGTTTAACTCTGAAACAAAATATTCCCTTAGCTTTAGAGTAACTTTTACATTCTTCCAAATTTGAAGAGGTCTCCTGCTTATAACTATTATTTTTATTTTGGGTCTAATTTCACATATGCATCTTAAAAGTCTGGATTGCTTTAAAAATCTACAAATGCATTATCAATTTACATATTGAATTGCCTTCAAAACTTATTGAGCCAATGCAATCACCACCAACATTATCAGATTATACAATGGTGTCAGAATTGTCTTCTGTTTTAATATCAATGGAATATCTTACCATTCAATATTAAGTTAGTTGTGTTTCTCACATTTATTTTAGAAGTCTTCAATTCTTTTGATTCATAATCAAATAATCCATGATTGTTGTGAGTCCATGTTGCAATCTCGATTGAAACCTACATGAGAATATAAAAATTATTTTTTATATATTTCAATAAGTGATGAATAGGAATACCAAAACAATTGTAATTTCCCAATTATAAGATCTTTAAGATCCTCCCATTTAAGAACATAACATATGGCTTTGTCTAAGGGGAATGGAAGACATAATCAAACAAAAGTCAACCTACTGGACTATTTGTGATAAAATTAAAGATGCCCTAGAATGATTTTAGTTAAATGATCATAAAGCAAGGTTAAGGAGTTTCAAAATTAATAATTATTAAATAAAGATAAATTAGAAAAATTATGGTCATATTGACACAAGTTTCACAAAAGTTTTAAGACAAAGAAATTATAAAAAAGAGCTAATTGCTTTAATATTGAAACTGTTTCTTCATTTCAACATTTACATGAATTATAAATAAAAATTTAAGAATCTTAATAAAAACAATTGGATTATAGAATTATTATAGGATTTGTAGAGAAATTAAAAATAGCTTTTATCAAATTTCAGTTTTTTAGGATGAATATATTCAAAAACATTAGTAAGTAATAAATCAAATCATTTTATTGATTTTAAGGAAATATTGGATTTTAGACGTAATTCTTATGATGATTTGCAATTTGGCTTCGGATATTTAGCAACATGATACAAATTCGAGGATTCTTTTGAAGGTGTTATACCTTTTACCACACTGTTGTTAAAACTATTTGGTGTTGGCTCTTTGCGCAATTTCTAAAATTGGTTTAAAGATTTTGAAATTGCTAAAATACCTCCATTAGAACTTCTTCTACTTGCATCAGTCTTTTGAGGAGATTTGCTAAATTATGAAGCTTCAATCTATTTTTTTTGTTCTTATAATTAAGTCAACATATTGTTGAGTTGTAATATTTCTTACTCCAACAATGCCTTATTAGGTTTATTTTTAGACAATAATTACTCTTAAGTGTTCTCAATCGCTAACTTTATTGAACCTAAGTATTTTTATAATTCTGTCTCCTAATTATTAAAATGATCTATTTTCTTCTTGAATTCTTATTCTAATTATTCAATTTCATATTCTATTTTATTTTAACGTTCAACGAAAGGTCTTTCGCTTCCACTAGCTTTTTCGAACTCTTTCTTTGCATTAATTATTGATTATGAAATATTCTTTAATTGTGGAATTATTTCTTAGTCTACAATTTGGATATTAGTCTTAATGGCTAAATCTTAAAGATAATATTATTAGAGTAGCTTATAAGTATTATTAAATTATTCCTAAAATATTAAAATGGATTTTACTTCTTCTTAATCCTGCATTAACTACTTCATCTCCTTCATAGTCTAATCAAGAATTGACTTATATTCTGAATTACCAAATTAAGTTAAAATATTATTAAGCTCTTCTTCATTCTAATCCTGATACTATTGAAAAGCAGCATCGCTTTATTAACTAATCCTGTCTTAAAATTAATCATATAATCTATTAATGAAAGACAGATATACATTTCTCTTCTATATAAGGTTGAAGACTTTTCATCTTCTAATTCTCTTATTTATTGTTTTTTCACTTCTACTTAATAATCAATAGTGCAAACTTCATTAGATAATAACAGCTCATCTCCAAATTGTTTCAAGCTATGTTTCAAATCCTATATAAGTAAATAATTATTACAGATAGCTAAAATTAAATTAATCTTTGTGATAAAGAAGCTAAAATGAATTGCTCCAATTAGAAAACAAATTCCTTCATACTTCCCCAGTTATTTCCTTAGTTCCCTTATTTAAATAGGTTATTTCGAAATTGCTGTATAAAAGTAGACAATTTGGATTAAAATTCTATAGACTCCAGTTAAATGGGTGAATTTCCATAATACAAAACAAATTCATTAAGAATAGAATCTGGATGCTGTAGATTCAGGCTTTTTTAGATAGGTACAATCTTATTTCTTAAAGATTTAACTTTTTGGGTTTATTGATGTACCTAAACTTCAAGTAAAGTGGTTTAATGAAATGAAGCTAGTTATTTCTTTTTCTCATCTTGTTAACAATATAATAATTAAATCTGATTTGTAATATTATTAATATTTTTAACAATATCTTTGGCTTTTTGATCACATTAATAAATTGATTCAACAATTTCAGTAAGTTAAGGATGCTCATTTTTGAGTTGTTCTACAAACTCTTCTAATTCCTCTTTCTAACCAACCAACTCTGCTCGTTGGAGGAGCTTCCCATTCAAATCTTCTTATAACATGGCTTTGGTTTCCAAGATTTAATTATAGGTTTGATGAACTTCACTTCTTTCTTTAATGAATTACTGATGTTCTTATGTAGCCACTTCATATTGTAATTTGAGTTTATTGAATTCAGTTTCGTAATAGTCATAAAGTACAGATTATTATTTATCAATATCACTTTGCATTTACTGATAACTAAATTATTTGTTTATAGTACTTTTGTTCTTCCATTCGTAAATCTTGTAGTTTGTTTTGATATATCTATTAGTCAATGGAACATGTTGATTCACCAAGTAGAGTTGTTATCTTCTACTTGATGTTACATTGGTATTGAATTATTTTACGATCTATTTACTCCAATTGATCCTGGAGATAATCAGATCCGATGTTTAAGACTTCATTGATAAGCTTATGAGATATATTGCTTTATCTGATAACAGAGCAGTATTTTGGAGAGTTCTCCTTATTGGAACGTTTATAAGATGGACTATCTGTTAGCATTCAATTTTAACGATAATTAATAAATTTTGCTCCTTTTTTCTAAAGAAATTATAAATTATTAATATTTAAAGGACATGGCTCAAATACCATTGATAGATCACTAGTCACACAGTACAGAACACTCAATTGATAATTAAAGCGATGCAAAATCGGAAGAGTCTTTTGAAGTGGTAGAAAAGAAAATTAAGAATAAAAAACAATTTTTGGAAGAAGAACCAAGGAAAAAAAAGAAGGAGCTATGTCGAAATTATCAAATTATGGGTATTTGTAAATATGGAGAACAAGTAATATTGTTTAAATTTTATATTTAGTGTTTTTTTGCTCACTCTCCTTCTTATTATTAATCAACTTTCTAGGACTAAGTCTTGAAGAAGACTAAACCTTGCAGAAGGTACTTTAGTGGTTCTTGCTACTTTGGTCAAAAATGTCAATTTTTACATTCTTAATGTATTGATGTAGTAGAGCAAAGAGAGTTTATCGAGAAGTAATACAAAGATTTAAAGTTGATGGTTCCTTTGAATCCAAGTATGAATTGACATTAATTGATAGCTAAATTGGATCAAACTTTGAGATTTGATTTACAAAGATTTCACCATCTTTATAAAATATTTGGCAGAAAATTGAACTTCAGAAGAGATGAACTAATCATTAATAGTTGTAGAAAGTATGAATCTCTTTAACATTTAGTCGATTGTCGATCTTCGTATCACTTTGTAAATAATCAGACAGGTTCGAATAGTTATTGTTGTCAAACAATACAAGCAGAAAAGAAAGTGAATAAAGCTGAACACATTTTTATTTTGTTAACTTTAATTAAATCATAATTTTAATGTCTTCATTAAAGGATATAAATTTAAACCTTGTTCTCTAGTTTCTTCCACCTGCTATTTTGCCCAATTCATAAAGGTATCTCTATCTTATTAAGCCCTCAATTCTATTTATTTGGATTATTTAAGTTCATTCATATATTATTCCCTCCTAGCTAATTTTTTTTGTTCCTTTTTTTTAATAATAACAATACTATTTATATTTTTTAATAATCCAATAATTCTTTATTGCGTTTTCTCAAAATTTCTTTTTATTATTCTTCAATCTCAGCCAATTATTACAAAGCATTAATTTTTACCACCTACTCTTTTTTCGCATCCACCTCTTCCTTCTCTTTGACAGTTTCCCTCAACTTCAACTATCTTTATCTAAATGTTTCTCCTTCTTTTATCATTTAAATCTTCTCCAACTCCTTTTGTCTAGCTACTTCTTCCTCATGTCTTTACAACTCTTCTGCATGCTTCTGCACTCTTTGCATATAATTATCTTCCTATTCTTTCAATTGCACTACTCTCATATCATATATTCTTTATTTAAGTTGCATTTAACGATCTAGTTTTTAAGCTTCCTAATAAATTAGATTAGATGTACTCTTTGTTTTCTCATCTCTAGAACTCTTTCCTTTTTACTATCAAAATGATCTCTATCCTTTGCTTCCTTGTCTAATTATTTCTATTCCTCGTCCTGTATAGATTATTTAACATCCATAAATTTCTATCTTTCTGCTAATAGTTTTTGCTTCTTCAACTTCTCCTCCTCCTTCTTCTTTCTAACAATATATTCATAGATACTCTTTTTCCTATTCTTCCTCTTCTGCTTGTCTTTTTATCAATTATCCCTCCTATTGCAATTTTGTATATTCCTTAAAATACTTCTCCTTCATCTCATTGTGTTATTTTGCTAAAACAGCATAGGTCTCTCTCTTTAATTGATCCTTTTATTGATTCTTCTCCAACTCTGCTTGCTCGTCCATTTATCTCTTCCCTTCTAGATCCTTTAGCCTTTCAGCTTCAAGGGTCATTTGCATTTCTTGTCTTTCCTTATTAAACCGAACAAGAGCATCATTAATTTTCTCATTCTCACTCATTAGCATTTTTGACTTCATATTGCGTACACTAAAAATCGTTTTTTGAATTACTCTCCCCTTTGACTAAATATCTTGTTATTTGCATCAACAACTTAATCCTACTTTAATTTCTCCTGATACTCAGTTTCAACCTTATCCATCTTCCTTCTCTCTTCCTCCTCTATCTAAAATTTATCGAACTTCTCCTTCTCCTTCTATGACCTCTATTTCTCGATTCTCTAAGCCCAAACTCTTTGATTGTTGTCAAGAGTCTAACCTAACATATTTAAGTTATACTTTCTTCGATTTTTGTTCACCAATACTAAGATGAGATTTAATTTATTCTAGTTCAGATGCTCCTAACACTGTATGGCTTGACTTAATTGATGGTAATTAAAGAGACTTTAATTTAGCTTCGCTTTCCTCTGATTAATATCTTAACATTATATGATTAATATAAATTATTGATTATAAGGTTAAGCAAAACAATTTGCTTTATCAAAAAATTGCAGAACTTATTCTACACTAGGGTTCACAACAATCTTAAAATCCTAAAAGTCTGACAGAAACGCTTTATTTACTTATTGCTTTATAAAAGAATAGAAATTGCACAATTAACTGAATAATTAAGAAACTCAATCCTCTAATTCACATATTACAGAGTATTTTTGAGAAAAAGGGAATGAATAAGTCTACACATGCTCAATTGCATACAGTTTTAAGAGAGATAAAGCGATATAAAGTGGGGGGAGGGTTTCAACAAATGATTACAATTATAGTATTAATTTTAATTAAGGAGTTCCTTTTTATTGTTTGATATTTATAATGAATTAACGGCGAAAAGCCATAAATATTTAGTCTACAGAAGCATGATTCTATGAAAATATAAATGAAATATTTGTTGAGATTGTGAATGATTTTTTTTTATTATTATTAATACTAGAATTTGGAGTTTCTTATATTCGATGAATCCTCAACATTCAAAGTTTGCTCTTCTTAAAAATTATGATTTTGAATTACCAAAAATGAAGACAATGACACTTCACAGTTTCCATTGTGGTAGATTAAAGACAACGTAATCACCAGAGCCCAAAATGCCAAAATTACAACAAATAACTTTTCAGTCAACCCTGATTGTCAGAAGATTGTAGCCTAAATGTAGATAAAGGAAGGTCCAAATGCGCACTATTTCCTTACACAAAATCAATAATTTGACATTAGAAAATAGAACAACCATTCCTTTAAATCAATCTATGGATATCAAAGGATGGTCGTAGAAAAGTGTGATGGAAATATTTGATATATGATACTACCTAATTCGAAGAATATAAATTGATTGAATACAATATAAAATCTTTATTAAATATAATAAACAGAAAGATTACCCTTCTTTTATTATTGGCTTGTGTAGTTTGCATGGCCACATTGATATTTTCCTTCTCAACCCAACGTTTTGATAATAAATACAAGTAGATAGAGAATTGAAAATGAAGAAAAGTCATTCTTTCTCATCTTCAAAAAATCATGAATGGATGGTTATTGGTCATCAGATACAGATTGTTAAGCTAAATATAAAAGTGCTGGAGTAATGAGTTGTGGTAATTACTAACAAAACTGCTGTGATGGTACTAAGTGCAGACAAAAAGAAAATTTCTACTCCTCATCTTTGAAATGTGATCAAAGAAATAAAGTACAAAGATGCACTACTCCAAAAGATATATAAATTTAATATTAAAAAGTTAATCTGTTCTTCTGATCTTATAGATTTATAATTAATTTGATCCACTTATCTTTACTATTTTGGAAAACACAGTATTAATGATTATTTTCTGAGATTTTTATATATTTAATATTTGTCAAACATGTAAAATTTAGTTTTCAGCAACTAATTGTATCTTCATATGACATTTGTAAACAGGTAAGTATAATTAATGATCATCTAATCATATTTGTAAACATTTAGATATAACAACATATATATAAACTGAAATCAACATTTGATATCGGGGTAATTTGGTGATAATTATTAAGACCAAACTACGATTTAATTTAATAATCGAATATATTTCGTGATTAGCATAAAGTTTTACAATGACAAAACATAAGCATTTAAATTATTAGGCATTTAGTAATTATATTTGATATGAATATATGATTACTCGATGTATATAAGCATCATTCATCTGTGCATCCAAAAATTTTAATTCTCTTATCACATATTTCAGTTATCCAACCAATATCACACTAATCAGGAACACAACAATTCTACCAATTCTTTCCACAATTCATTCCATTTGCCTATTGACATTTATTTCTGCATTCTTCATTATCACTTGAATATCCGATTTCTCTTTGATGATTATTTTTTAAATTGTGGATGTGCTTTTACTTTAAGTTAGTTTCTGAAGTCGTCTAATATGCTATAAGTAGGATAAATAAAGAGGCCACTACAAGTATTAAATATTTGTTCATTTTTATGATATTTTAATAATAAATATAATTAATTAAATTATGAATCCTGGATGAGGATATCTGTTGACTTGCTATCAATGCAATTCTTTCAGTTTGTAATAGACTTATGGTTGCAATTAACTATCAAGGAATTTATTGATGTAGGTTCCAATTCTTATCTTTTTACCATACCCAGCACTCAATGATGTTTCTATTGACGCAGAAGTAGAAGTTTCATTTGGTTCCCATACTTACCGTATAAAATCAAACTCATTCTTATTTCCAGAATCAATTATTTCCTAAATAATCTCATCATTAGTTTTCTTGGCTGCTGTTCTCAAATTAATAGCCTCTGAATTCATTATAATAATAAATAAAATAAAAAATCAGACTTTTTAGTTTTCATCACCCATATTCAAAAGCAAATCTTACAATTCATATTGAAATTCTTCATCTCTTTTAATTTCTGCTAATCAATCAAGATATAACTTATTCATCATTCAAAATTTGTTGATTTATATTTATATTTACTACAACTAAATTATATATGTCCAAAAGAGATTTTGCTATAAAAAATCGAATTAAATGAGCATATCCTAAATGATACGAAATTACTTGGGAAATGAAATATTTATCCCCTATTATTTATAAATTGATGATATTTATTTAACCATTTTAGTATTTTTTTTTTATTATGGGAACTTATAATTTTCAATAAAACAAAATAATAACCATTAAGTAAGAAATATATTCATCTGTAAAGTGAGGTTTGATGTTCTTTAATATAAAATAAAATATATCTTTATCTTCTCAATTTTATTTATATAATTTCAAACGAAAATTGTTCCATTTAATTGAGTAAATGATATAATAATAATAAACTTATTTCAAATTCTCTGATATCATCTGTAATTCTTAATAAAAACTCTTAAAATTTTTTATAATATTTCTGAGTTGATATTTCCTCTTAATTAAAGTCATAACATCTGATTTAATGGAATTGATTCCGCTATTATTCTTAATTCTATATTAACTTGATCTAAGAATTTAAAACTTATAATAATTCTTTTTTATCTATTTCTGACCAAACTATGCATTAAATGGTCTCAAATAAAAATTATGATTTTAAAATAATTTAAAAAAGAATTTTATTTTTCTTTTATGCTACAACAACTCAATAAAGAAGTAATATAAGAAGCTATCAATAGGTGTTATTAAAGAGAAGAGAAGCTTTAGAATAAGTAATAAAAAGAAGATTTATTTATTAACCTGCATTTTCACTATATGGAGGAGTAGCAGGATTATATGATTATGGACCTGTAGGATGTGCAATTAAAACAAATATTGAGCAATATTGGAGAGAGCACTTTATCATAGAGGAAGACTTATTTGAGATAGCTGCAACCATCCTAACACCAGAACCAGTATTGAAGGCATCTGGACACGTGGATAGATTTACAGATCTATTGGTTTGTGATAGTAAGACAGGAACAGGATACAGAGCTGATAAAATAGTAACTGAGGTATTCATACTTGAATAATTTGATTAGACATTGGAAAATAGAATTGCAAAGGAAGGAGACAAGTTGGCTGCTGATGTCAAAGCTAGATATTTGGCTGTTATAAAGGATGTGGATACATTTAAGGAAGATAAGATGAAAGAGGTCATTGCTGAATTATAGATAAAGGCACTTGAAACCGGAAATGATGTATATTAGATGTGAGATGATTTTAGCTAACAGATCCAACTCCATTCAACTTAATGTTACCTACTATTGTTGGACCATCAACAAAACTTCCTGCTTTTTTGAGACCTGAAACTGCTTAAGGAATGTTTCTTAATTTTGCTAGATTGTTGGAATAGAATGGAGGAAGAGTGCCATTTGGAGCAGCTCAAATCGGATTGGGATTCAGAAATGAAATAGCACCAAGAGGAGGACTGTTGAGATGTAGAGAATTTTAGATGGCTGAGATTGAATACTTTGTTGATCCAACTGAGAAGTCCACATTTAAGAAATTTAATAAATACATCAATTTAGAAATACCTTTATTGTCAAGATAATTATAAGCTGAAGCCAAATAACATCAACCTTTTAAGATGGGAGATGCTGTAAAAGAAGGAATTATCAATAATGAAACACTTGCTTATTTCATTTGCAGAACTTATCTTTATTTAGTTGAAATTGGAATCAATCCAGTTAACATCAGATTTAGATAACATCAAGCAGATGAAATGGCTCATTATTCATCTGATTGTTGGGATGCAGAAATTGAAATGTCAAGTGGATGGGTTGAATGTGTTGGATTAGCTGATAGATCTGCTTATGATCTCAATGCTCATTCAACAGCCACAGGATACAAGTTATAAGCAGCTCGTAAATTCAAAGTACCATAACCAAGACAAGTCTTATAAGTCATATTGGATAAATAGAAAATTGGAAAAGAATTGAAAAAGGACGGAATGGCATTGATTAAATATGTTGAGGCATTGCCTGATGATGAAAAATAGGAATTATCTGAATATTACTAAACTCATGAAGATAAAGTCTTCAATATTGATGGAAAAGACTTAACTCTCAACAGAGAGTTGGTTAAATTTGAATAGAAGACCATGAATGTTATGGAAGAGAAGTTTATTCCTCATGTAATCGAACCAGCATTTGGAATTGGAAGAATATTATAAGCTATTATTGAACATTCATTCAACTAGAGAGATGATCCTCAAAAGACCTTTTTCAAATTCTCCCCAAGAGTTGCTCCTGTCAAATGTTCAATCCTTTCTGTTGTCCAAAGTGAAGAATTTGATGTTGTCATTTAAGAATTAAGTAATCATTTATTAATATCCTTTAGCTTCATCTCTTAAGAAATTGGGAATCTCTTGTAAAACAGATAATGCTGGAGTTGCATTAGGAAAGAAATATGCCAGAACTGACGAGATAGGAATACCATTTGCTATTACAGTGGACAAAGAGACCCTCACTACCTAATCTGTAACATTAAGAGAAATTGAAACAACTAAATAAGTCAGAGTTCCTAGTGTTGAAGTACCTAGACTTATTCTTGAATTGAGTGCTGGACTAATTCTATGGACTGATGTTTTAGCCAAATATCCTGTTTTTGCTGCTAAAGAAGAAGATGCTTGAGTAGTATTAAAAAATAAATTAGTTTATGTTCTTTAAATTTCATCTCTCTCATTTTCTAAAGTTCAAACAATTTTTAATGAGAACTATTCATTGAAAAATTATTTATTTTTATTCATGAAATATTATTTAAAATAATTTTATTAAAAAGTAAATAGATGCATTAATAATTGAGTGCTTATGAATAGTATTTATTAATCTAAATTATAGATTAGAGTAATTATACTAAAGACCAGACATTAAAATTATTGAATACCCATCTCCTATTTCTAATTAGATTATGTTATTCAATTGCTCTTATTATGATCAAGAAAAGACTTTCTTATAAATTTAGACAGACCAAATTCAAACACATATAGGTATAATTTTGATCAATATTCAGCCACCGTTAATGTGCCTAATGCAAAAGTAATTTATCCAAAAGACTTATAAAATTAAGCAATAAGTCAAATTTTTTCAGAGCATCAAGACGTTACTTTGTACTCATTCATGCATTCATCTTCTACTGTTTCAGTTAGTTATCTTGAATATATGGAATAATTTGCTATTACATACGGTGGATACACAGTAATTTTAGAAAATGAATAACAAGTCAATAGATGGAACCCTCCTAATAGAGAAAGATACTTTTTGGTTGTATTCTCCTTCTTTGGGATCTTGAATAAGTTTAGTAATGATGCTCTCAAGAATTTCAAGACAGATTTATCTAATCGAAGTTTAATTGGAATGTGCTGTTATAAATCCATTTAATGGCTTGGTTTAGTAGAGCATTATGGTCAAGATAAACTGTTATCTCCACATATAGTCAAGAATTTTTTATAGAAATATGATCTGGAATTTGTATTCGTAAAATGCTATCAAAATCTTAGTCTCGATTCTCTGCCATCCATTTACGATGAAATTAGAAATTAATACATATTTGATTTTAATGACATGAATTAAGGTTCAACTATTTACTTTTGGAATTCTAAGCAATATTTAGGTTCCTATTTCATCCCACATAAGCATTATGAGATCTTGGAAACAGTGAAGAGAATATTCACAGACAGGAAAATTAAATCAAATCCTTTTATGTTCTTGAGCGAATATAATCTTAATATTCAAGACTTAGAGTTTTATAAGAATTACATCAATAGAATATTACAAGAATAGAATCAAGCTGAATTGACCTTTTCAACTCTTACTTCAATTATATTCAACAACATTTTACGTGGTCCAGAAAAACAGCAAAAACTAAACAATAGATACCCATTATCATATTGCATGAAACCTACTAATATTGTTATTATCCCCTTGGGCTTCAATCAATCTGGATTTGAGAGATTATTTTAATCATTAGAATAGATATTCTTTTTTGTGAAAAAAATTAGATCGCCAGACTAAATAAGCAACAAATATTAAATTTGTTATTTTGATAGATCTTTTAGTTGGGACTACTCTATAAAATTGATTGATCAAATTAAAAAAAGGAAAAACGTATTGACTATAGGACTTATGCATTAAAATAACCATTAATAATATAAATTGAATTCTGAAACATGTTTCCCTTTTTCCTATGAATACATATCATAAAGTCTAATAGAATCATCAAATGATTAGTAAGATTTTCATGAGAATATTGAAATTTTATTATCCTACCGTAACCAGGATCTAAGATAATTGCCAGTGCATGAATTATTATGTATTCCACTATAACCAGATGATCAATAATCAAAAAGGAATAGTAAATTGTGTTAAGAATAGGATATATAAGAAATAATATTTAACAAAGATCTTAATGTAGAGTAAATGAGAAGCATCTTCTTTAAATTGAGACAACAACAACTTCATTTGACAGATCATTATTTCTAAATATTAGCCTATGATTTAATTGCTGACATTGAATCCTAATTGAAGATGTTTTTTCTAAACCCAAAAATGTCAAAATCATACATAATTATCACAACCCAATGTTATAAGCCAACTGAATAAAAATAGAAACCTCTATAGTACATTATTACTGATGAAAGTTGGAAGGAAATAGAAGATTATGTACTTGATTCTCTGGAACTTGTAGGATAGAAGTTTAGACAGAATGAGAATATAGCTGAAATTATTTCATGTTTGACTGATTAATTTCTGAATTCTGGACAGAAAGTTTATCATAAAAACTTAGTTCCTTTTAATATCCATATTAAAGGTCAGAAGACACACTCAGTCAAAATGCAAATGGTTGTGATAGTATTAAATGCAATCATCATAATGATCCCTGAAAACACCAAAATGTTACAAGGAATAACTATATATACAAAATAGTTGGATGCCTCGCTTATGAATGAAATTTTACATATCTTGAAGGATAATCTATAAGTATTATAAAAGGAAAATGTGGAGGAGCGATCCGTTTTAAATTAGTAATTTAATTTAAAGAATCAATAATGGATTGCATACATTGTTAAGTTTTCATCAACAGAAATTAAATTTAAGAACGTAAATTAGGAATGATTCTAAATGTATATTTATATATATTAATATTATATTATAAGGTGATTATTTAATATAAGTAAAAATTTTAAAGTCTTTTTTAAAATCATTTTATAATTTAGTTTGGATATTCAAATCCTACAGTGCTTATAAATTTAATTTGATTTTAAAATAATGCCTAAACATGTTTAAGTCTACACAGAAAGAGTAAAAATTGTTATTGATTTTCTTAGTTTGATCAAGTCTTGGAAATGTTGGTTTCCAAAGTAGGAGAAGCAAAGTGGGCAGAAATCACAAGATAAATGAAGAATTTGTATGGTATTAATGTACCTCAGAAACCAATGGTTTAAGCCAGATGGAGAGCAATCGATCCTAAAATAAACAGGGAACCATTTACACCGGAAGAGATGGTTCAACATTGGCATCATTGTGTGAGATTTAAATGTCATTGGGATGCAATCAGAGATTAATACGAATTGATTGGTCAGCAGAGGGATAAGACTTATTTATCCTAAAGATTTTCGATCCACTTTACTTAAATAATTTCAGATTTGAATAGAGAAATAGGAAAGATAGCATCCTATAATTAATAAAAGATAGATACTATGAGAGAGACCACAAAAAAGAGAGTGATAGAATTTAATAGCAGAGATCCTTTGAGTGTTCAGGATCAATCTGCAAGAGAAATCATAGTTAGTTGTAAATCATTAGTCAAAGTAATGACCTATTTGGTTGATAACTCACATCTGTAGACTGAATTAATGTGGGCTGAAGTCAAGAAGATGATCTCCCCTGCCAAATTTTAGAAAGTTCTATTCAATATTTTCATTATGGATACTATTGTGCTGATTTCATGTAATGAATTAAAGGCTATTGATGATACATCCGATCTAATTGATGCTGACGATTTCAGAAAAGGCAAATATATCAAACCAACTAAAATAAGATTTTGGAATGATGCTCTTGAACAGGAATCCAGTCCAGAACATACAGAAGAAGATGAAATCCTAACAACATCAGTCAGATTGAGTAGAATGGGACCATAAACTCAATTCACCAAAAAGGATATTGAAGAAATTAAAGAAAGCTTCATTTACAAATACTGTAATACAGACCAAAACAAAGCCTTTTATAATTGGTACAATGAAGCTAAGACATAGAAGAATGCCTTTCCCTCAGACTTGACTGTGGATATAATGGAATTGGAAGGTGGTAAAAAATTACTCAATTATGATCCTGCTTAGCCTAAGAGAAAGTATGTTAAAAAATAAAAGCCTGAAACTAAAGTGTAGAAACAGATTGAAAAATTCAAGAGAAAGAAAAAGAAGATTCAAATTGAGGGCGAGGGAAAATAAAGAATAAAGACTAAAAAGGGAAGAATTAGACTTAATAAGGAGAGATTTCCAGGTCAAGATACCATTATATTTAATTAATAACTAGAAGAGGAGGAAGAATAGTCTAGCAATGACTATTAATTAATGGATGCAGAATAGATTTATAAGATCAATCAAAGAATGAACAGATAGAATGCAGGCAGTCAAAGTGAAAATGACAGTTAAAGCAGTAATTGATATTATATTATGATGCATTTATATCGTTATCATCATTTTGAAAATTCCTTTAAATATTATGGTTCTTTGAAAATAGTAATTTTTTTGTAAATAATAAAAATATTAAAATTTAATTGCTGAATCTACTAAGACTTATTTATTAAATCGAATATTATAAATAAATTAATTTGATTATTTAAACTAAATTATGTTCATTTTTAAGGAAAGTCCTTTTAAGACAAAACAATCAATAAATAAATTTTAACTTAGAGATTTGAAATTTTAAAATGTTTTTAATTAAATCATAGATTTGAAAAAAATAGAGATAATTACTAAAATGGAGTTGGTATTAAATGCAATTAAGTTTATAAAAAACAGGTTATTTATTTTAATATATCAGAATTGATTTTTTACATGAATTTGTTCAGCCATGATGAAATTAATTTATTGGAGGTATCCAAATAGAGGATTGCTAGGCCGCATAAGATGGAAAGTTAGAGTTCATAAACAATCAGCTAACATCATTGACATCTCGACATTTATAATAAGCTTGTAAGAAAACAGATTATTATGGCAGAAATGCATTGCATTATGTACATGAACTACTATAATAGGCTGCATATCGTGGACATTACAAAGTTGTCGAGTATTTTCTTGATTTATAATGTATAAATATTAACTCCTAAGATAACAAGGGTAAATTTTCATAAACTATTATTGAGGCAATACAGCTTTGATGCTTACCTGTGTTCGCGGGTACAACACAGATATCAACACTTTGAAAGAGGGCTAGAAATTCGCTATCTGTTCTTTACTGATTGAGAGAGGAGCATCAGTTGAACAATATAAGAAATTAGGAATAAATAATCCATTGCATTGGGCTTGTTTCTTCGGAGACTTAAAGACCGCTAAATTGTTAATGTACATAGAGCCAAGTTTAAGTAATCGTATTAATGAGTTTCTAGTGTTGTTTACGAACGACAGGGATTAGTTCCCGATTGATTTATCGCTGATGACAGGAAAAGAGTTGGATGATAGGGAAGAGGATGAAAGAGTGTTAGAATATATGATAATGAAGTTCTTGGCTCAATATCTTGATAATGAAGAGCACAGGAAAAAATTGGATGTTTTTGATGAAGAATATGAAGCATTTAAAAATTTACATAAACATAACCTAAATCTCAAGTCCACTAAATAATTAACTTAGGTGGGTCTTAGATATTTGTTTTGGGCAAGCACCTAAGGTAGACTAGATCTGGTAAGACCTCTATTGAAATGTAAGTATTCACCATTCGAACCATCTTATAGGGGTAGGAATGCTCTTCATGCTGCAGTCTATCACAATAGATTAGAATTAGTTCAATTTTACTTGGAATCTGATGAATCCAAAATATTTCGAAAAGAAAATGTAATCAATCTTATGACTAAAGATAAACCTCAGACTGCCTTGCATATTGCAGTTGAGAGAGGTCACATTGAAATTGCTAAGGTATTAATAAAAAAAGGAGCTGATCCCAATTATTATAACTTTCGAAATCACAGAGCCTTTGATTAATCTCGATTGAATGAAATAAAATAACTTAAGAGAGAACTTTTACATAGTGATGAAAAAAATTATCTAAGATCGGGTTACAATCACATATTGGTTGGTTGGCAAAAGAGTAAAAATTAGTTATTGGAATAACAATTTAATAATATATAATTAAAAAAGAATATTGAAAAAGGATAGTTCAAATACATCTCTTATGAATCTATTGATAAACAACATACTTATTATTGTTTAAAGGTTGATGAAAGGCTCAAGAACGTTGTTGCTGATTAGAATAAGATGATGATTTATAATTCAAGGGAAGGGTATCTTTCTCCATTTAATCTAAACACCTTAGAATAATTTGAAAACTTTCATCACATTCATAATTAATAGATTCTTCTGACTTTATTATATGATGAATTTGATATTGAATAATTTATAAGTGATGGATTACTTTTAGAATAATTCCCCTTGCATGACGAAGAAGAAAAAGAGCTAATCATTAAATTCTGGAAAAATGAAAGGATAAATATTTTATTTGAACCATTTCAGTTAAAAAAATCTACCAGTCGTACTTTCAGTGCCTTATCAACATATTTTGGACCAGAAGTTGGAATGTTTTTTGTTTTTTTATGTTTTTTTTCAACCTGGCTATTCTTACCAGCAATTCCAGGATTGATCTTAGGAATCATTTCATTTTTTGATGAAGAAGCTATCTAAGCAATTGCTCCAATTTATACTTTATGTATGGCAGTTTGGGCAACCATCTTTTTTGAATTTTGGAAGAGAAAATAAAGTGAAACTATGTATAATTTCGATATGCATGTGGCAAAGGAACAAAGAAGAACTATCCCCTAATATAAAGGGTCCTTCATTATAGAGGATGTAACACATACAATAGAAATCATGGACACAAGAAATGTATAATGGAAATACTTTAAATCTAATACTCCATTGGTACTTTTAGCCTTAGTATTTATTGCTGGCTAATAGACCGGGTATTATTATCTTAAGCAAGTTTATGAGGATGATGATTTTTATTAAACTCTATGGGCTTGTCTTTTGGCCTTAACTGTTTTAATCACTAATGAAATTTTCAATTTCTTCTCTAAACATACCCTAATTTATGAGAATCATCAATTCCAGGATGAAAGAGAGAATGTTTATATCTTAAAAGTGTTTGCCTTCACTTTTCTTAACTCTTTTGGTCGACTTTTTTATAGAAGTATAATAAAACCTGATGAAATTGAGTTAAAACTCTTCAGTATCTCCTTTACCATAACTTGGTCTCTTGTTCATCTTATTCGGTATACCATATATCCATGGATATCCTTTAGTTTCATTAAACTAAAATTCAATTGGGACTTCAATAAATAAAAATAATTAAATAATAATAAATAAATCAACACTCAATAAAAAATAGGAGATACTGAAACTAGTGGGATGAATAAATCATTTGATAAGGGAATATCCACTCAATATTTTCTTCAGTAAATTGAATTAAATAAAAGAATGATAGACCCACCTGATCATGTTGAATAATTCACTTATTTTGTAAATATATTATCAATAATTAGATGACATAATTTTGTATGGTTACTATGTTTAGTGCAGGGTCTCAAATTATACCAATTATTGCCCTGTTTTTTAATCTACTCAATATAGAAGGATTATTATATGGTTTTAGAAAATTTGTCAAAAGACCCTTAGCAGAACCAAAAAAAAACATTGGAGTTTGGAATGATATCTTATAACTAATTGGTTATATTGGTATTGTTTCAAATTGTTTATCCATATATCAAGCAAATTAATCAGAGTTAAATTAATTAGTTGGAGCCAATGAAAATACTAATCAAGATTAAACTAATGTATTATATTACTAATGTTAGCTTGGACTGAGGAACTTCTTACTATTAATTGTGGCTGAACATATAGTTATAGGAATCAAGTTTGTAATAGAAGGGGTAATTCCAGATGAACCAGAGTGGGTTGAATTAGTCTTGAAAAAAGAAGAGTATCTATCTGAACAAAATAAATCAAATATAAAAAAGAATGACTCTATTAAACCACTCGAAAACAAGGTAAAATAAGATTGATATTTATATATATTGTGTGCTTATTTATAAAATTTTAAGTTGAAACCTTTACCTACTGAAATTTATAAATATGTAAATATAGAATTAAAAAATCAATAATTTACTAGGGTATGAATTAATAATCCATTAAGAGTACAATAGTAATTAGTAAAAATTAACATTAATAAACTCTGCTTTTATTTGTCGATAAAATTTATAATACTGATATAAACTTAATTTAAATTTTAATTATAAATTTATGCTATTATTCTTAACTCTAAATAAATACATATAAATTTAATTGCTTGCAATTCTTAAAATTAGTTTTGCGACCAAAATTACTGCCTAATAGATTTGCTAAATACCTTTAATATGAATTTTTGAAATTTAATATTTTATATTTTATTTTTTATATCTTATATTTTATTTTAAATTTTATATTAATATTCAAAATTAAGAAATAATAATGCATTTATTATTAATACTGTTATTTATAATTAATTATAAAAATAAGATAACATTTATTTTTTAAGGACATAAATTGTATAGATATAAATGTGTAATTAAAAATAAGCTGTTAAGATAGTCATAGATTGAATTTATATCCTCACATTCTCATTAATTTATGCTATACATTAAGTTTGCTTAATAGTTATGAGTATAAGCTATTATTTTACATTTCGGGGATTTAAGTTATACTAGAAAAAATTTCTAGTTATTTGTTTCTTAAATATTTTAACGATTATTATTGACTGCATTTTAAGTTTAAATTGTTTTCTATGTTAAGAAACTCATTTGATAAGGTTTTCTATTAGTCTATAGTATTCATATCTAAAGTAAAATTGGAAACAGCCTATTCGTTTGGAAGCAAGCATAAAATTTAGCATTTCTTGTTTTAAAGCAATTCTTTAATCATTTTTTCTTTGGAATCTCCTACTTTCTTGTCTTACTCTTTAATAGCTTCGAACTTTTGAATTTCTTCACCTAATTGAACACAACTTTCTTTTCTTAAATTATAATCAATTATATACGTATCATCCACCACTAGTAACAATACTTAAGTGGTTATATATAAAATTTTATCTCTTTTTTCCTTTTTTTGGACTCTGCCTTCCTTTTTATACACAGAATAAATGGCTTTAATAGTAGAAATGTTGTGCCCTGTTATCAAAGAGACCTGAAAAAATTATTTTATTATACATGAGAGGTTGAATATTTGTATTCCTCAATATATTAGATTATAAGTGCTCTTTCATTAGAATTTACTCTATTATACTTTGATCTTTGATTTTTCTACTTTTTAATTTTCTTCATAATATTAAATCAAAAAATGTGACCTCAAAAACTTGGTTTTCAATGAAAGTTCAATAGTTATGAAATTTATAACGAATATTGTTTATAGTAATAAAATAAACCACTTTAGTTTTACGAAAGATTTAATATGTCTTCATCAAAAATATAATATCATTCTGTAAATAAATTTAATTAAATTAAAGCAATTATATTAATTTGATAATAAATTTCTTCTTAGTTAAATCAATGGATTGATATAAATAAATGACATTGTTTGCGAAATTATTATATAAATAAAGGATATTCTTTCTAACTTGCACCAAGTTCTCTAATTAAATCACATATTATTGAAATAGTAAACAGAGTGTTATTACTATCAATTTCTATATCTAAATGTATTACTTTAAATTTTCACTTCCAAGCTTAATATTAATATAAATTTCAACTCCAATTATAAGTCATCACAATCTTAAGTTATAATGATTTCCTATTTTTTTATATTATCAAACTTAAACTCCGGTAATTAAAATTAATAGAGCTTTTGATATCAATTTACATTGGTGTACATATGTGAATCTGTGGAGTAACATTAAAATGTTTTATTTTTAGCAATAATTTATTTCCTTGAGATACTTGCTTCTGTTCATATTTCTATATATACTTCAAATAGTATTAAGAGAACTTAGGTCAAATTGACAATTAAGGTATAACATCAAATATTTTGTAGCATGGTGTTAATACAACAAATTATTTATTATTTTAATTAATATAATTAGACTTAGAGCTAGGCAATCTTATTATTTTGAAGTTTCAAATTAATGTATTCTCTTTTACACAAGATTTTAATTATTGGGAAATTTGAAAAAATTTGAAGAATAACTTAATATACTTATCGAAATTAATTATTAGAAGATTTTACATTTCATGTTAAGCAATAATATAAATTAACATCAATTATGATTTTAATTATTCATTCCATTCCAAAAACTCCTTCAAGATCATTTAGAACAATAGACCTCAAATATTTTCTCATCATTTCCTCGCTAGTATATTTTGGAAGCTCAAGTCTATTGAAACATGTATGAGCTATTGGGAAAGAATTTGAATTCTTATAATCAATCGGAACTATCTAAAATTTTGAATACATCCCCCTATTGGACTCAAGTTTACTAAAACCACTATGAATTGCAATTATTTTATAAATACTTGACTGGGATTCTATAAGAACCTGTGCAATAATGTAAAAACTTCTTTAATTAATCCTGATCAAACTCAGATAATATTTTCCAAAACCACTGTATTTGTTGAGAAGTATCAGCATATGGAGTTTTGTATGTTGTATGCTATTTCCACTCAGCTAAATCTACAACAGATACACCATAAAGAATCATTTCAAATTCATCAGCTGTAAAAATATTTAAATAATCCTTTGGAATATATTTATATAAAGCTGTTTAAATTTATCCAAGTTATTTTGATATCATTTTTTCACTGTAGAATTGGATACTAATATTATTATTAATAGAATACCATAAATCAACAAATTCTTGTTTGTTTTGGTTATTTACTAAAATATCAGCTCCATTTTATTTTAATTCAATTATTTCATCATCCTTACAAATGATAAAATATTATTATAATTCATTTTCATCAAATTGATTTTCAAGTAAATATTTCCAACTCATAAAAAGACTTTTATCATAAAATTGCATGTCTTGAAATTCAATTTCTTACCCTAATAATTTTTTTACTAAGGGTCTATCAAATTCAACACAGATTGTCATTCTTTCAAAAAGTGCTTTTGCAATTGCTAAACCAACCAAATCAAAATATTAACTCTGTTTAGCAATTTTATATGTAACATCATTAGTTTCTGTCAATGTAAAGATATCTTTGCACATCTCTTTAAAAATTAAAGTTAACCATTCTCTTAATAAACCACCTGCATCTTACACTTTGTCGTTTTAAAATACAACCTTAACTTCTTTGTACAGATTCACATTTCTAGCTGAAATTAAAGATGATTATAATAAATCATTATAGTTGACATTCAATTTATCTGATCCCAGTTACCAAGGAATACGAAATTTTTCAAGTTAAAGATTGAACCACATTTATTTTTCAGGAAAGGATCTATTCTTTATATCTTGAACACTTAAATTCTTTAAAATTTATTACAAATGTTACCTGGATCTATCCACCATTAACTTATGATTATATTCTTTTCCATTGATTGTTTTATTTCACCCAAATATAATTATCTCCGAATTAAACTTATGGCTGAGGCATTTGAAACCCTAGATTATTTACCTGTTATTAATTTTATAGACATTGATCTATATGTGTATTAAGCAAGTTGTAAGTAGTAGAAGGTCCAAACTTACGATCGCAATTAGGGCATTTGGCTTCTGATCCTATTTTTTAATTCGAATTATTTGAACTTCTGTTCCCCATTTTTAGAACTAATAATAATCAATTTTAGGGGATAAAAACTCATAAACAATACGAAATAAATTATACTATAGATATTTTTGTTCTAATAACTCAAACAACAGTTTAAGTGATTTAGGAATCGCATAAATCAGCCTCTTCAACAGTTTAGTTTAGATTCTAAATTGGTCTTGGAGGGAAGCCAGAAATTAACTAGATTTATTTTTGAGGAGGCAAATTCATCATTCTTGACACTTTAAATATTTTAAATACCTTAAAAGATGTTATTGAATGGCTGACACTCTTGTTGTAGTATTAACAGTCAATGTAATTGTGTTACCAGTGGAGAGTCTAACCATAATGTCGGTTGTGGGTTGATTAGGATCAATTTGTATTTATCCTTATTTGCTCAAATCAACTTTAACTTGTTGTTATTATTATACAAATTATTATTAACCCAAACTGACTCCTGATCCACTAAATTCCACATATTTTGGAGGGGGAGGTGGTACATATTTCTCTGATTTTCTATCTTCCAATTTGACACTCAATCCTTTTGGATATTTAGATCGCAGGGATGTTGGCACTTAACTTTACGAATAGATACTTAGATTACTTTTATTTTAATTCAGCTAGAAATTTCTTGCTTTCTGGATCGTTGATATCTTTAAATTCACCATCATTAATTTAAAATCCATTACTCCATAAAGTAATTTTGCACCATTCTTTTGGATCCTCATCTTAATCAGGCCTTGTGCCTCCTTATTTTCTATATGGATTTAATTGATTATTACGCATTATTAATTATTTAATCCATATCATCAGGATTTTCAACAGAGAGACCACTAAGTTATTTAATCAACATTCTTACCTCTTTTCTCCTCCAGCATAAGAATTGCTCGTTTTCTTTTGTTTTTCATCTTTTTCACCTTTCTTTAAATCATCTAAAGTTCTAAACATTTCCAATTATTTATATATTAATAAAAATAATAATAATTCAATCGTAGCATAAAAGTAACTAATTTGCTAAATTTGATAGACTTTTATTTTAAGACATATGCAAATTTTCTACCTTATAATAAAATATATATTTTACCTTATTTTTGTATTTAGAAAATATATTTAAATACTTGTCATCATTCCTCGTATCCCAAAATTCTAGTACTCTTTTAATGTAATTTAAAATAGCAATTGAAGTATTTGGATCTTCATCATTTAAATTATGCAATTATGAACAATAATATTATTCATCTACAAGTTCAGGATAGTCAAATAAAAATTTATCATCTTGCATTAGATATTCTAATACATTTAATGATTTTTCAGTGTATTCTAAGTTTAATGAATATTTTATTATTAGGGTTAAGACTTCCTTCTGACAGATATAAAACTATATCTCCTCTGATTCGACTACATTATAAAATATAGTAAGTAGAGATTTAATACAATTTGAATTGTTTGTTGTTAAAAATAAATTACAGATAAAGTTATGTATTTCTTTTTGTTGCAGTATTTAATAGAGTAAATAAGAATCTGTTATTTCTTGTAAAATCCTTAAGATGATAGATGTGAGATTTTCATCATTGTTTAATAAATATCTGACGGCATGAAGGACCAGATGATGATTAGTAAATTCCATTCTTGAAGTAAGAATGTAAGAGCACTAGAATGCTATATATTAAGGCATCAATTAACACAATGTTTCAACTAAATAATTACTCAATAATGATTTAAATTCAACAATTTTAACACAAATATGCACTAATAATTTTTTATAGTTTTCTTCTGATATGATATTGACATTTTTATTCAGCATTTGAAGTAGTTCATCATCTCTCATCAAATATTCGAAAACATCGATGTCATCATCTGCTAATAAATTTTAAATGATTTCAAGAACAAATTCATTGTAAGCAGGATTCTTAATATCAGTGTAAAGTATTTTTAAAAAGTCGAAATTTGTATCGAATAGAAATCTGGCTCCAATATTATCTCCTAGAGTGAGATTGCAAAGAATCCAATAGATATTTATCCTATAATTTTATTGGCAATTCAATTCAAATTAGAGAAGCAATTCATTCATGAGATCTTAGTCTACTAAATAATCATAGTATTTAATCATGGCTTTTTTAAAATCGTTTTCAATATTTTCATGAATGGCTATCATCTATTTTTTAATAATTTTGAGTTTATCATTCAAATCATGATCTTCTTATTCAGGTATAATGATTCTCTTTTTCTTGAGTTATTATTCAATGAACTCTTTTCTGATCACGGTTCTAAATTTCTCTCTCTTAATACTCAGAATTGATGAAGATTAATCCATTATTTATATAATTGTGTTTTTTTGGTATTATTATATCAAATTTAGATGGCTTATTTTTGGAATACATTTTGAGCCTTTGTGACATCGCCAACTGTGAATAAATTTTAAAGGTTGCCAACATCAACAGACTACAATGATATTAAAAAAGATCATCATACTTATTATTATTCACTGAGAACTGAATCATCTACTACCAAACTATAATTGTCATAATATTGTAGAATCTTTTAGACCTTTGTTAATTTGTCTGCCCCTGTCAAAACAGTATTGTAACCTCTTTCCAATCCACCGACAACTATGATATTAGAAATCCTAGAACTTACCGATGCTGAAGTTGGTTACAGTTTATGGATCCCCAGAGACTATGACATGTTTAGATCCCTGCACTTTCTCACTCAATTTTGCTAAGTCCTAGTAAGTGTAGGTTTAGAGTTATCCATTTCTCAATTGAGCTGTGACTGGTCCTGTAACAGTTGGGAGAGATAGACGATTGAAGTTCCTGGAGGCGTAAACCAATGATTCCTAGTGGCTTCAATAGTTTAATACTCTGAATTTGTAAGTTCCTGGATATGAATAGAATCCAGTATGAATCAACCATTTCAAATTAGTAAATTTACTACTCTTCAGACTTTCTCCTGAGTGAGCTTGGGGGCAAATTAATTTTAATAGATACTCTAAGTCGTTTCAGGAACAAGGGTTTTGAGGATTTCGATGAACTTGGTTTCTCCAATGAGTTGATTGGGCGAAAACACAATTCCCTTTGGATTGATAATACTAATAGTCTTTTCAATTTCATTTGGATCATTGGATCTGAATGGTACTGTGATTACTCCAGCTTTAGCTGCTCCAGCAAATGCAGTGGCAGCTTCACTTGTGTTGGATCGACCAAGCAAGAGCAAAAGCTTGTCTCCTTGTTTCCAACCTTGTTCAATCAATCCATATGCGAATGCACTTGAATGTGTCTCTCAATAACAATTATTGAATACATCGAATTCGCCGAAAGTCCAGGTGAGATTTTAATTCTCAAATCTGAACCCATTCTTAAGTGGATTTTATTTTACTAAGGTTGAGAATCCTTGATAAATAAATCGTAGCATTTTTAATAAATAATTTAAATATATATAAATATAATGTTTCTTCTTAATTGGTTTGGAGGTAATAGCAATTAGAGTGGCAAGAACAAGAAAAAGAAGAAGAAGTAAAATGTTGTCTAAAATCTCAATAAAACTTTGATAAATCCAATGAAGGAAATCAAATTATTTGGACATTCAAAGATGGGATATGGTCCCAAAAAGACTGAATGTCAAGATTCTTATTGTACTATGGAAAGATTTACTGAAGATTGTTATTTTTTTGCAGGTTTAACTTCATTTTTATAATAAGTGTATGATGGTCATGGTTCCTCAGGCAAAGAAGCATCTTAGGCAGCCAATGATTATATTTAGACATTCTTAGAGAAAAACCCAAAGAGAATCAAGGCATTATAGAATGATAAACAAAGAGAGAGTTTTTTGAAGAGTGCTTTTAAAAATGCTGAAGCAAAACTTAGATCATCTGGTATAGATTACAGTAATTCTGGAACATGTGCAATATCAATATTTGTAGTTAAGAATATGTGCTACATTGCCAATCTGGGTGACTCCAGAGCAGTACTATTTAGATAAACTGCAAAAGAGAAACTGGCCATTGAATTATCATATGATCATAAACCAACAAGACCAGATGAGAAAGAGAGAATCATAAGAAGTGGAGGCAAAATCGAAAGACTGATACATGATGGTCAGCCAGTTGGTCCGTATCGTATTTGGGCAGATGATGAGGGGCCAGGAATTGCCATGACTAGAACGTATTGAAATTCAAATTATATGTATATAGATTGGGAGATTTGCAAGCTAAGAAGATAGGTTTGATTTCAGAACCAGAAGTCCAACATATTGAATTAACGAAATAGGATAAGTTTATGGTAATAGGATCGGATGGTGTTTGGGATGTGATGAGTAGTGCAGAAGTCTGTGGATTTGTCTTGAAACATGAGCCAAAAGAGAGTGTGGCTGAAGCTATTGTAAATATTGATATTTATATAGGTTACTGAATGCAGATCCAGATGGGATGAAATGAACAAGTAAAAGAAGACTAATTCAAAGATTGGAGATTTGCCATACTTGAAATTTGGTTGCGATGATATTACTGCTGTGATTGCTTATTTCACATTTATTGATGAATTGGAAGACAACTATTTCCAATAACAGAGATATTGAATCATAAATATAAGAAAATAATATTTTTGATTTATATTTTGATAAATTATTGATATCACTTCAAAACCAATCTGACTTACGGTATTCCCTTGATGATTTCTTAGCTCTCCTAATTTAATGTAAAATTGATAGTCAAATCAACATATTTCTAATAAAAAATAACAATATGTTATACTTGTATTTCTAATACTTTAATGATTGGTTGGTCCAAAAAGTGTTTTTTCTCTTCTGCCTTTTTCGCATACATTATTTCCATATACACAGGTTAAGCCTTCAAAAACACATCTCTTGGATGCAAATCATATTATTGATTCAACATTTCAAACAACTATCTGAAAGTAGTTTACTTTGTAATATCCTGTGTCCATATATCCCATAATGTAACAGTGACTTTTTCATTGATTTTCTTCTTGGGTACCAATCCTGGTTCAGTTAATTTCACAAATGGAATAGCTAAATTGACGAAGGCGTTTTTCATGTCTGAAATCTGTACATTCTTCAAAGTTTTAATTAATTCTATTGTCTATAGTCCAGCAACAACAGCCGTGGTTGTAGCCAAAGCAGGCACAATACGACCAGCTTTGATCTTCACAGTTAGCCAATCCATAGATTCCAATTTATAATTTGCAGCTCTTAGATTACCAAATGAATGAATGAAATCGATGTGTCCATTTTAATCATTATCCTTTTCAAATTCATCAGATGTTAAAGTGATTGGCAATAACGATTTAAATTATTTAAATAACAGTTATGTTTCTTCTTAAGTGCTTTGGGTTTGAGTAGACTCATTCTCTTCAGCTTCCTCTTTTTACCCTTGCTCCTTAACCTTGTCAGAAATAGACTAAAATTACTATTAAATTTATAAATACCTTCTTCTTTTCTTCACTTGGTTGCCATTCAGGGAAGGTGATCAAATTAGCTTGTTTGGCTATGGATTGTCTATAAGGTTTAGTTCTCCAATCTTTGTCTGTTTAAAGGCTGAACATTTTAGCTCTGAGAAAAGCAAAGGTAGATACAAATTATTGATGAATTTCATTTTCAGGATCAAATTAAATGGGCTTGGGAGGACGTTTAGGCATAGTCCAAAATAGATTGCCATCCTTAGTCTTAGCATCTTCTGGATATGTATACATCAGTTATTTGATGTCATTAACAAAGTACTTCTAAAATTTACCTCTTGCCCACTTAATGCAATCTTCAAAAGAATTTGGTTTGTTCTTAAACAATTTGATACCCTCTCTTAAAGGTTTATTATCTTCTAAACTGGGAATATAATCTTCAGCCATCATTTTAATCAGTTATTTTGGTCTTGCTGAAAAATGTTTACCAAATTTATCCCTTGCAAATTCGACACAATGGAAAGTCTCTTCAGGGAACATCTTAAGTGTGCAATAGGGAATTTCTCCTTCTTCTACAGGATCATTAGAGCTGCCATAGGATTCGGTTTAAAATGGAATGATGCATTGTACATGACCTTTTGGTCCAAGAGTACCAGATTCCAATAGTGGCTTACGTGAATTTACACATCGTTTGTCTACGTATCTTCTAGCAGCCACATTATCTAGAGCATTAGCAATGATATCTTAATCTTCAAAGAATTAATCTGTATATATATGTTCTGTTGAGTCATGAACCTTGTCTAGTCTTGCTATGATGTGATCTCTCAAATAGGGATTCATTTATATAACTGCAGCAGCTGCAGTCTAAGACTTAGGCTTTCTTAAGTGTTTTTCCCTGAATAAGAATTACCTATTTAGATTACTAACTTCAATATGATCTGGATCGGTTATTGTGATTGAACCTTTTATTCCTAAATTAAGCATGGCAAAATTCTTGAGCAATTCACAACCAATTGCACCACATCCAACCATGAAAACTTTAGACTTCTCTAATTTCCCTGCAACTTCAGTTCCCAAAAATCTACTTAATGATCTTTCACTGACTTTTACATCTTTGGATATCTCTTTTTATAATACTTCAGTGCAATCCACATAAAATAATTGTTAAACTGGAGTAAACTTATTAGTAATTCCCTTGATGGCCTCTTATGAGACGAATCCTCCAAGATACGCAGACAAAGGTGAGAACTCTCCCAAGATTGAATAATGTTTGAATAAAGATTCGAAATTTTCATCCTTGGTTTATTTATTATTATAAAGATTGTGTAGATGTTCAGTATTTTACAATTTGATGAAATCGTATTCTGACATATTTGGATCATAAATTGGTTTATCGATGAATTCTTGATTGTATGGTTAGAATGATAACTCAACAGGTACTTTAACCAATTTAATAGTTCCATTTCGAATGTATTTTGAGTATCCATTTAATTGTATCTCCAAGACAGATTTATTAATTACTTTAACCTTTTGAATAGTTTTGTTAATTGAATTTCCATTTGCGTCTACCATTCCTTCTATATTATCAATCATTACGACATCATTATCCTAAAATTCATGTTTACCTGTGATTTCAAAGTGCAACTTATTATCCCCTTTATCAGTGACAGATTTAACAATATAATCAACGGTTTGTTCTCCATTCTTATCTTCAACAATGAAAGACTATCCAAAATCATTGAATACTCTTCCGAAGACTCCATCAACTGAACTTATGATCAATTTCACCTTATGTTAACGACATAAAGCAGATAATTTGAATAAAACATCATTTGGATATGTAGCACAGACTACTACAATGTTGTATTTAGTGAGATCGATGTTAAGGAGTTCTGAAGTTTCATAATTTACTCTGACATATGAATTGAGCTATTGCAATTTCTCCCAACTTACTTCAGCTCTGTTCTTGCCAATATCTTTTTCTTCGATGAAGAACTGCCCATTAAGATCAAATTAAGTGCATTTCTCTTGATCATGAATTGTTAACATTTTGACTCCAGATAATACTATGTTTTTGGCTACTTCAATACCCAAAGCTCCAATACCAGATACCAAAACACAACTATTTGCCTATTTCTTGACTGCATCCATACCCATAGCACCAATGTACCTACTCCATCTATCTAAGACATTTTCATCATTTGCTTCGAATTCCTTCTATTGAATCTTTGTGTATGTAACATCTACTTCATCCAGATTGGCCATTCCTTCTTTTACATTTTTAACTTTAGGTTATTTCTTGACATGAGTCCTTAAAACTCTGGATCCTTCTAAATCAGCAGCAGATGGTGGTTAAATCTTATTCAATTCTTCCTCTAATTCTTTAACGGCTTCTGACAACTTCTTATGATATGCTTTCTTGCTCTTTTTGAATTCACTGCACCAACTGGAATTATGATCATTGAGTAATCCAGTATAAACAGCTTCTTTTGTATCTGCGAGTTCAACCCACTTATTGCATTCCTCCAAGATCTCCTGTTTTTTAAGATAGAAATGTCTCCTAATAATAGTTTCAAATCCTTTTGGTGGATCTCTAATTTAGTCTATCATAGCATATTTGATGTTGCAATATCTTACAATATTAGAATATCCCTCATTTTTCTTTTCACCTTCCTCTGTGTTTGCTTCCTATTCAAAGCCTGGTTCATTGAAATACACCTCTTCACTCATGATAATAGCTTGAGTGGATACTAAAACTTAAAGGAGAGTAGAGATTTTAGGATCCCAATTTTCAGAAGCATTTCCTCTCCATGTACCTAAGAGTGACAAACATACTTTTCCACAACTATACAAATTAGGATTGAATCTGACTTTTCCATTTCCTGTAGTAGATAAATTCATTTTAGGGGGAGCATTCGGATATGAATCATCAGCATAAATATCAAATAGAAATGCTCCATGTGCATAAGGAGTACCTTTTGCACCCATAACTAGTGCTTTCATTACATCTACACGTTCTTTATCAGCTCTGACAAATATGGCATTAGTGTGTTCAATTGGTAAGGATGTTGACATGTCTGCAAATTCTTAGGCTAATCTTACAATCTTATCTTGATTTATTTAGGTTGAAATGTTTCCTGAGTAATGATGTTTATACCTGCCACCAACTTTCATATCAATGTAACTGAATCTCAAATCTGACAATAATGTTCTGTATGCTTCCGGTAATTATTTGGACAGAATCTATGCGATCAATTCATTTGCTAATTCTTTCTATTTCTTGAGTTATTCAGTTTCATCCTCTTCATTGCTACTACTACCACTATCATTCATCTTATTTATGCAATTTTCCATCCTTTTATGAGTGTCTATAATCATTTTGGCAATCTCAAATGAGTGTTCTTCTTCTTCATTCTTCTTTCTATTATTTTATATGCAATTCATAAAAATTCTGGATGTGTCTGCCAAAGCACTTAACAATTCAAATAATGATTATGTTTAAGGAGGATAATATTATTCTGGTATCTTCAAGAAAACACTTGCCAATACTTTATGATGAGACATGGATTAAACTATCTTCAGATACTTAGAATACAAATCGAATTCCTTTGATATTTCCAAAAGTGAGCCACTTCTGAATGCACTCTCTAGCAAAGGCAATAATGCACTTTCAAATAATGTATTCTTTAATTTATGTAATAGTTCTTCACTTGGATGCCAATGTTAGAAATCAAAGAATGATTCCACTATACCCAACAATCCAATCAATTGTTATGATTTTAGTGTTTTCTTCTCCACATATTCGATGGTATTCCATTTCTAATTTTACCCAGTATTATCACTTGCATATCCCACTCCTCTCTTCTATTTTGTTGATTTCTGCAATGAATTATTTTTCTAAGGTGATTCTTATACCACATTTTCTTCAGGCACTTATCTAAATACTCTCTTTGTCTCCTTACTAACCAAAGCTATTCGATCTAAGATTTGTTTAATTAAATTCTATTCCAAAGCCTTTATTCTTACTTCTGGTCCACTACTAGCACTGAATACATTAACCAATGTAGTGTAGATGAATTTAACAGCATTTTATTCCTCCTCTTCTAATTTCTTATTGTTTGAGTCTGGGGGTCCGGCAATTAAATCAAACAACAGATTTACGCATAATTGATTCTTCATAAACAAATTGAAAAAATTGGGCAATTAACAAAATGATTGCAATTCATTCAAGAATTATAGCCAAGCATTTGCTCTCTATTAATTCTTCCATAATCCAATTCCTTCTCTAATTACTGATAACATAGCGTTTACACCATTCATTTCTTCAAACAAGGGGAATATGGTTAGTTGCTATGGATATGTGAATGATGATGTCTTGGGTTGGATGTTATCAATGAAGTCTCTAGCATTGACTTCTAATTCAATAATATTTAATTGATTTGTAGGTAACTCACTCAATTTGGTCTATTTTTCAAATATATTGCATTCTTATTTTAATCCATACTTGTTGAAAACAATCAACTATTTCAATTCACTTAGTTTTAGTTAGCTTGGCAATTAGTAAACTGGAACAGCACTATAATATTACAATGATTGATTAGTCTCATAATTAGGGAATATTAAACTGATAGTCTCTTGTGGGATATTAATTTATGGTAAGGCTTTCTTTTATTTTTAAGGTCTAACTCCAGAGACATAATATTCAATTTTTAAGTTGTCTATTGTTCCCTGATCTTTTAGATTTAATGATGTTAAATTGATCCTGGAGGATTCTCCTGCCACGTATTCTAATTCTAAGAACGCCTTATCATTATTTTAGAAGGTTAAGGTGCCTTACTCATCATATATTTCAATAAAGGCATTCAGGTCGATCTCCTCATTGACAATTAAGTTATTTTCATTGTAATAGAATACTTTCAATTTTCCTTGATTCCAAGTGTATGTTAAATCTAATTTGTCTGATTTTATGCATTTCACATTGTGATATAAAATAATAGTTTTGTCTGTATTATTGATTTTATAGTTGATAACCATTATTTACGGAGTAGAATTAAAGAATTTATCTTCTAAATGTGGTAAAATATCAGAATCTCCATCATTTTTCTAATAAGCCACTTTATTCCAATAAGTTTCAGTTAAATGTGGAAATAATTAATCTTTTTATTTTATTGTAAGTAATTGTGATTCAAATACTACTTCGTCTTATTTTTAGGTATTATCAGCCTATTTTTAAGCAATCAACTTTGGGTCCAAGATATACTTGCCTTGATGTTCAAATTGAATCTTCAAAAACACATAATCTTCACTATTCAAAATAGGAACCAACAAGGATCTCACAAACTTCATATCTTTATTTCCTTCCAATCTGCCTATATCTCGAATCAAAGCTTCAATGATGAACTTTGCATGATACTTCTATACCATATAACTAATGAATTTAGCTACTACTTCAATTGTTTTATCCTCCAATTATTTCAAGATTGTCTTGCTTGTCGGTTCTTCTATTAACAAATTATAAAGAGGGAGAAGATATTTAAGTAGATGATCAGCAATCATTTTATTCGTCGATAGAGTGTAAAAGAATGGGATAACATAGTTCAATTCAAATTTACCAAATATTGAATCCAATTGATTTACAATCCATTCAATACTTACTCTACTACCCAAAGACAAGGGTCCAAGAATTTCAAGGAAGTATGGTTAGGTTCTACTCTTATCCAAAGTGAACTACAGAATCTAATCAACTTCTTCAATCTATTAATACGGATGTGGGAGATAAGTGATTGTGACTATTAGTTTGATAAGCAAATGTCGAGCGTGTTTGTTATGCATCAATTAAAACAATTCAATTAAATGTATTATGTCATTTTTACTAATATTTAAAGATAATTCTCTTTATTTCAATTTGCTATTTTGTAATAAAAGAACATTGCAATAAGATTCAATGAAATGTTGAGCTAATTTTTCATACCACAATAGATCTTATTATTAATGATTGTTAATTTGGAGAGCCAAGAGTTTTTCAAATAGATGGTTGTGTAATTTCAGGAATCTTTCATGTACATGTTCTCCTTCCAATATAATTTAACTGAGTAATTTACTATGTGATTATTCAGGGTATTCCATCAACTTCAATACTAGCCAATCTCCAACCTGATGATTATATTTAGCAATTGCCAAAATCAAAGGACTTAATTAGAATGAATAAGAATTAAGAGCATCCATGAATTTCTCAATATTATTTTAGAGTTATTCGAGTACTATGGAATCGTTGGCTAACTATTGTAATGTTTTCTGATAATTGGGCTTACAGAATTTAGATAGAATCTCGATTGCAGTCTTCTCTTATAATGTATAAATGAAATCAACTTTTTAGCGATTTGCACTGTATCCAATAACAGAAATAAAACTGATGCCCAAACACAGCTTTTTCATAGTTCGAGTAGAGTCCAATTATTCCACATATTGTTATCTCATTCTGAAACTTATGAATTTAACAGATTGTCCAGAAGGTAATTGTTGCTTGTTCATAACCTGAGAATTATAGCAAAAGACTTTGACTTAATATTGTGAATAATGTTCGTCATTTACTAATTGCATTTCAGCAATTGGGTATAATTCTTCGAGTGATTTACCTACTTCTAGCAAGATACTGCTTGGAGTACCCAATTATTTATCTGTAAAATCTGCAGTAAATGTTTAAATGCCCAATCTAATATTTTTGATTTCAATTTCATTATCAAATTAGAATACCATTTGATATTCACTTCTCATTCCCTAGGGTAGTGTTATAAGAGCTAATCTACTCTTTGCTCCTTTCTTGTGCAATGGCCAATCTTAATTAGAGACATTTTGCCCTGGTAAATTGAAAACTTTCATTTTATTGCCAAATTCCTCTTCTTAAAATTAGACTTATGTAACTTATTTCTCCTTTATGATCTTATTTATTAGGTAATGATAGATGTCTGATTAGAATTGTTATGCAACATCATCTGAAATTAAATACTTATCAAATTGTTATTGAATCACTTCCAAAATCTGAGTTGTGTATGTGAATGCAGTATATGAAGTGATCTAATTATTTTCATACTGTTTAGTTATCACATCATCGATGTAGTACTGCTATTTGAATAGTTGTTTTAAGATGTATTATTTGCATGGCAACAATTCAAAAAGTGAATCTAATGATTCGCTCATCCACTCGAGCAATTAGCCAGCATAAGAATGTATCTATTTTCCAGAATAACAATTCAAACAAAACCATTCGAATAAATGATTCAAGTCTGGACTCTCATTTAGTTATGGTAAGGTTTATTCACTCTGCAGTAGTAATTAGATCATTGATTAGCAGAGCTCTAGTTATTGAATCGCTTGACTGTCGGCATTCATGATGCCATCCTTTCCTCCTAAATATGGTAGATACATGCCTATGTATTTGAGTAGAATGTTAACATTATTCAAGTAGATATGTTATACATCCTAGGAAAACACTATGAAAATATGATTTATTTCATTCAATCCCAGATGTGGCAATAAGGCATCAATAATTTGTGAACATGTCTGGTTTTATTGTACTTATTATTATGCCAAATTAAGAGTGAATTAGAGTAACTCATTCATCAATAGCTTCTATTTGCATCCTAAATATGATTGGATAACCCTGTGATAAATCTTTAATTCATTCTGCAATTGAGGTGTTATCATCAATATCACTTTTAATACCTTATTCCAAGCTAGGTAATTCTCTGATTTCTCCAATAATTGGATCAGTCTATTTATTGTGTCTGGATAACATATTAAAATGTGTTATCTTTGCAAAAAGTCTTCAAAATCTGTCAACTGTTTATTGGTTCCTCTAGTTTTCAATTTATTTACCTTCTTTACACTCTTCGTCAGAAAATCAAATAACAATAACAAATTATCAATGCTTAATTTTTCTACGTTTTCTTTTATGTAGATTTAACAGAAGTATATTATGTATTTGGATATATAGATCAAACTATCCTTCTCAATTTATAAAATCTTATTTATTTGATCACTAAACTATAGTGTAGCTGCCCAATCTGTGTATCTACTTTCCAATTGTCTTGGTTATAAGAGCATCTCCAACAGAAACTTGAATTTCTCTGGCTATGCTATTCCTCTTGAAAATATATTTGTTAAGATTTTTTCATTTAATGAATTCTTAATTTATAGAGCAGTACATTTTGGCAATGCATTTTACAATAACTTAAATCTAAATTTATTATCATTGATAAGAAATTCAAGTATCAAAGTTAAAATCTTTTCATTATCTGGATTTCCATCTTCAGTATATTTTTACTGTGGAATTCTCTATAGTTGTGTTACTAATGCATCATAAAGAACATCATCCTTTAATTCAATTAATTTCTACAGTGATTCCAATATTGGGATTGGCAATTAATGCAATAACTTTTTCTTTAGAGCATTTTGACTTGTAAATTATTCTATAATCAATTAGTTCCATTATTCCTCATGGATTTAGATTTTGACTTTCTTTTGAATGAATTATAAAGCCAAATCAGTGATTCCTTTAATATCACCAAGTGATATGATAAGCTGGATGAATTCTAATGCATCAGGTACTGTGCCAGAAATAGCAATAAGCATTCTCAATAGGAGTGATGAGAATACTGTTAAGAAATTGGAATTGTTTTCGTAATTTCTAGGGGGTGCTACTTTCAAAAATTCTAATTGAGTTTATTCAATGAGATTTTAAAGGTGATTTGTTTGCAAGTTGCATTTTTCTTTTAATTGCATTTCTGATTGCAATTTGTATATTGCTTGTTCTAAATAATCAGCATTTCTTCTCAATGATTTAGTTGACATCACAATGTAATGATCAGTCAAATCAGTCTTTTTATAAACATTGTATGAGTCCATGAGTATAGATTTTTCTGATTAATAGACATAGTAAAGAGATTCACCTAATGATAAGGTATTCTTATATCTGAAATCTTCAGTAATTTCTAATGGACTTAATTCAGCATTCAAAAGAGAACCATAGAATTCTGGAATGATGGTTAAGTAGTTCTATGGGATCTATAACTAAACTGATTATTTAGAGTAATAATTGTCACTTCCCAAAGTTAATTGCACTAATAACTTACGAGCCTTAACTCTATTGAGTCCAATGTGTAAACAATTGTAATTGTTATAATTAGCACTCTTATGAACGTAATCAGTGAATTACACAAAGGTCCATTCATCATAAACTTAATCCAATACTAAATTGTCAACCCAAACTTGTACTCTAAATTTGACTGAGTTGGATGTCTATTGGAATCTCAAGGACAATTTCTCAATTTCAAATTCTCCAAGAAGATTGACTTCAAATCTCCTAATCTATTACTTATTTGAGAGTTGCATAATTAGAATCTAAGACAGAGGGTCCTTTTAGCATATCAATGTTTTCTAATTGCCATTCTACTCGACCTAGTTTTCATCGATTTCTTAGATTTGGACTTATCCTTAAGGACCTCCATATTTGGTTGAAAATAAGAACATATCTTTGTGTTCAATTGTTTTCAACTTTTGTAAAGCAACTAATAATGATTTAATAGCCAGATCTGTGATTTCTTGTGTTTTAAACTTGGCTGTGTAAGTTAATAATCCTAAAAAGTATTCTAAACCAGTTTCTGTCAAAACTACTTTTTCAATCTTATTTAATATCTCTTGTGCCACTTATAATAAAATGTCATGGAATTCATCGTGTTATTATAGTTATCTGAAGAATTCTGTAACTTATTCAGTTACATTCTAAGACAATACATTTCCAAGGATGAATTTAGATAAATTAATAGTCTCTAATACTTTTTTGGATTCTTTTTTCATGAATAAATTAAGAACACTCAAAGCCCCTGGTTTGTTCTGATATACCTCTTCTATTAGGTTATCTAATTGATTTATATATAAACAATTATATTTCTTCCCTGTCACTGTCACCTTTAATAATTTATATTGTTAGTCTTCATATGGTTTAATAATAAATTCTCCTTAAAATACAGTGTCAAATTCAATAACGCCATTGCTTGGGCATCCATTCATTCCTTAATATTTACATTAAACAAGCAATTTATCAGGTAGATCAATTCGTTTTCTAAGTTAGGTTAATAATTAGCAATCTGAGATAGTGCCAAAAGTTGAATTGTCAATTTAACTCTTGGGAATTTCTATTCCATAAGCAGCAAAGCCTTTGATTTCAATGGAGTTGGTTTAAATATGTGCTGTATGATCATGTGGTGTTTTTCTAAAGTTAGTTGGTTTAAGCATAATATATTTGCATGGTCGTATAACTTCTAATTTGCATAGAGTCTCCTTTGAATCAGCTTCAAATTCAAAGTACCCTACTGGTTCATTTGCAAAGAGACTTTAATGAGTTGATTTCCATTTTTCATATTGTTGCTTATCAAAATAATCAAATTCTGAGGTGTCATTCAACTCATGTTCTTCTTTTGAACAAAAGATCAATCCAGCTCCAATAGGGAATCCTCTGAAAACATTGGTGATCTCACTTTTAATTCTGACATGATCCACAAGCATAACTTCATCAAATTAACTTCGGAATATAAATGAAGTATTTGGATAATTGCTAGAGAAGGGTTTATTACTATCAAAGAGCATTTAAGTAACAAATGTTTAATCATTAAAGGAGGCACCTTTAAATGAATGGACAGTCAAAGGTAATTTTTAAGGATCACTCACTGTTAATGGACTGTTCATTAATGGAATTTATTTGGGTTCTTCAATGGGTCCTTCAAAAACAGCTTTGACGTGGATGTGAGTGTAATTTTCATCAATTTAGAATTTCTAACTGTGAACATCATCAGTAACAGTTTAGAAGATCTACACTTCTTCACTTTTAATGACATTATTCTCTAAGATTTCAGAGTTGTCTTCAATTTATTTGTGTTGAGTGTTGCTTTCATAGCAAATGATATTATCTCTAATGTAAGCTTTTGAAATTGGTTCTTATATTTCAGAGACATTTAATTGAGAATTGATAATCAAATTTTTTTACTGACTATAAATTAGACATTTGGTTTTGGAAATGAGTAGATTGTAATCAGATCCGATGAAGATCTATTTCTAAAGTTCAATTTAAGAGTTTTAAGTGATTTCATAAATGCCTAATGCTTAGTCACCCATCAAAAAAACATAGAGTCTATTATTCCAAATAGCACTGTCAATAGCTTTAATCTCATATTCTAATTGAATTGCCTTATGATCAACTAGATTCATCTCTAATTTCTAAGAATGTTTGCTATACAAAGGAGCCAGAGTTTCAACAATTTATCTACTAGTTTCAGATTGTAATAATAATGAGTAATCCTTGTCTTTGCTCCAACAATTTGTTAATACACAATAATAACCATCCTCATTAATAAAAAATTGATCCAAATAATTTTATGAATATGATATGAATTTAATAGAGAATACATTTTTATTATGAACACTTGCTACTAAAATTGGAAATGTAGCATTATTACTATCCCAATGAATAACTGATACATAATTAACAGTACTTTCAGTAATTTTATCCTTAATATCCTAATGAATCTCTTCCTTCTAATCCACTTCCACTAAATCCTATTAAATTTGTTATGGTTATTTGATAATAAATTCTTCTTCCTATGACTCATCAGGTCTTGGACCATCGCAAGCCTCACAAATTTGATTGGTTTCTTTATTAACCAAAGTACAGAATTTACATTGCCATTCTCCAGTGGTTCTACTTACAATGTCAAGTGCTTTATCAAAATTGTTATTTGTTTGTATGAGTGCCTCTTTGCAATCTGATTCTTCAAAACCCATTCTAATCAACTTCTCAAGGATTGTTTAATCATATAATGGCAATTGTTCAGTTTCCCCAATAATATAGCTCTCCAATATTTTATAAATGTGACTGGGTGTTTCCTCTTATTGGCCTTCTATTTTCTTGATATTTTTTTGATATGGTCCCAATTGTCTCAAATCTACTTCAATGACTTTAAAAAGTTCTGCTTCTCCATTGTATATGGTTATTTTATCTTGGTTTCTCAATGAGAAATATCGATCACTTTTGCATGGGATTATTTAGCCTTGTGCAGCTATTTCACTTCGCAATATTAGTTTTGAATGCTTGGTTCCATTGTTGTTGATTTCATCATCACAATATGCATATTTGACTCCTGAACCTGGTTGTAAGTATTTTCCATATTCAACAACTTTAAATGGATTTTCTGTAGCAGGATGATCAGCAAATGTTTACAATCTCATCTTAGCAGATTCGATGCTTCGGACCTCTTCAAATTATTCTATCAATTAAACAATTATCCTATCAGCTATTCTGCATTGCTCTATTGAATATTTGTATTCAAATTCATCCTTTTTTTCTTCCTACACTATTTCCTCGTTATTCGGCAACATCTATGTGATCTCCTGCAACAATTAATCTTTTTCCTTCTCCTATGGTTTACTCTCAAATTTCTCCTTCAACTTTCTCACATGATGTTTTAAATATTGTCTTACCCTTTTAAGTTTTTGTGATGTTTCTTCATTCAAAATTAAATATACTATCTCGTTCTGGTCATGATAATTGCAGATCACCAACTTCATCTTTATTAGTACATCTAACTCTGCCCTAGGAATCTGTTATCCAACCAAAGGACAATTTCGAACTGACACTAATCGATCTTGCAATTGATGAATTTCATTTCTATCTATATCATATTAAGGATACTTATTAATCATGAAGAAGGGATTCGAATGCTACGTTTGCTAGGTCTCAAGGTAAACTTATTCGCAATGCTCTACGACACTGCGATCCTCATACTTCATTGTCAAATACACCGAATTGCCAAATTGCGATAATCTAACACAAGGGTACCAAGGACATGATATCAGACTGCCCTTTGGTATGCCTTTGTTAGTGCTCAGATTGCCATTCAAGTAGAATTACAGTGATTACTCGTTGAAATTGAGAAGCACACCCACCACTCTCTGTGTTGTCGTTTTAAATTCGAATAGGTGTCCCTCAAAGTTTTCGCTTGGAGATTACTATTTGGATATGCCAATCTGCAATTAGGACTACGCCTTACTTTCACTCCATCCGTATTAAAAGGGCATACGATTTCCCAATAATGAACGCCTTCGCTGAAGCATACATTCGCTATTGCTAAACCACTGGAGTCTTTTGCTGGATTGAGCTGCTAAATTCTTGTGCCTTAAAGCGATGCCACTGTATGTGGTGTTAAATGTGAAAAGAACATTAAATTAAATAATTACCTCTGATACATTCTGAACAGGTATTTAGATTAATGTACAAGAATGAAAAACACTTCTTTATCTAAATCATTTTATATTACGAACTCAAAACCACCCTCGATATACTTGATATCCTTCACTTTAAATACAATAGAATAGAAGAGATATAATGAAATACTCTTTTTGAGTTAGAGGAATTCTATTTATTAAATTATACCTTATGTATATAATTATAAAATGCTTCTATTTGAGTATTTTAATCTAACCATCATTCATTAAATTAAATAATTTAAAAAATATGTCATCAGATTCAGGATCGCATAAAAAAGAGGAGGCCAATCGAATTTATGTGACAGGATACTCTGCTAAAGAATCTGAAATGGAAATCAAGAACGCATTTGCTAGACATGGCGAAATTCAAGAATTTTCTTGGAAAGGGCGATTTTGTTTCATCGTAAGACATGGACCGTTTGGCATTTAGGGTACAGGCTTATGCCAAGCCTGAGGACGCATCTGATGCAGTTAGATTAATGAATATGCAAGACTTCAATGGAAGAAATCTAATTGTCGAGTTAGCACGAGCAAAGAAAAAAGATGGTGCATGTTACCAATGTGGTAAATAGGGGCATTTGTATTTATTCCCATCATTCTTTTTAGTGCCCGCAATTGTCGTTTGAATCGACGCTCCTACTCTGACTCCAGGTATAAGAAAATGTGACATTAGGCGCCATTCAAAAAAGAAAAAAAAACATCCAAAGCATCGATCTTCTAGCTCTTCCTCCAGTAGTGAAAAGAAAAAGTCGAAGAAAAAAAGGAGAAAGAGTTCCTCGAGTTCTCATTCACGATCAAGTGATTGATATTAAATATTCAAATAATAGTAAATTTATAATATATATCTCATTCCTAAAATCTTTAATTTGTGATGTGGGATAAAATTGTAGTCATCGTTCTATCCTCATTCCCCCCCCTTAACTCTTTCTTGAACGTTGGCATCTTCGAAAGAATTCTCTTAATATTTTGTTAACTCACTTCATTATCTCTAATAAATGACCTCTTATCCACTTGAACAATAAATATGAAATCTTACAATCAATCACTCCAAAGCATTTCTCATTATGCATCAATAAATTGCTCTAAATCATGAATGTCTCCAACACTTTGTGTCCAAAAGTAACAAATATTCTAACAGATTCCTCTGCACAATAATTATTGATCTTTTAAGCTATAACATCACTCTCTTATCTCACAAATGTCTTAATTTCTGTTTACATAACTCTTGTTTTTAAGAACATCTCATTCAAATTAACAGTCTTAAAACACGATGCTTTTGTGGCACTGCTAACTCCATTTTCCTTGCATTAAGGTGACAATGGCTCTTAACAAAGTAGAGTGCGTTTAGGTTTTTAATTATTAATGAAGAACTGAAAACAATTGTCAGGTAAAAATGGATCTAGGGATTGAACATGAACAGAGAAATTCCATAACATTGTCTACTAATTAATTCTATTTATCTCCAATTTTGACTTCATTACATTATGCTGTCTATTTTTAGAATCTATCTTGGTACCATCTTGCATAATATAATTAATTAAATACCTGGACAGACAAGTGAAAAGTCTAGTTAAAAGTTATTTTTATTTGGAACATATATCAATATATGATATTGATTAATAAGACTATAATAGTCTGGAATCATAGGAATATTCAGTAACTACCCTGTAGAATTAGCAAGCACATCAAAATCATAGGATACTTACAAGAACCCTTTTCTTTATGCATGCACTCTCACTTATTTAAACATCAATCCTGGACAACTATATAATCCTTATTCGTTGGTTGTGCCTACTATAGGTTCTTGATCTGCTTAATCAGATTAAAATATTTCTAGTCTGCAATTCTCAATATCTTTGTGCTACCCACTTCTTAACAGAATATTATAGGCTCTAAATTACAAGGTGGTTTCAACACAACTAACTAAATCAAATTCAATTTTCACATCAGCATTCCCTTATAAAAATACTGTTCTCTTTTAAGAAAAGCAATCCTTTTTACTTACATCAATGACATATTCTTATTTGTCTCTTCCATAGAATACAAAAGCTTATTCATTCATATCGTAAGTCAATGTCTCAGTAATATTCTTAGTCACATTAACAGTAGCATCTTCAGGAGCTTTAACAATGCATTTAATCACATCATTTCTTTCTACTCTAGTAGAAACATACACAATGTCTGTATTATCGTCAAGGAGTTCATCAACATTTAATTGAGTTTTTGTTGTTTAAATGCAATTTCCAGTAATTTCTATTTCATAAGCATTGACTTATTAAACTAAATCAATAAATTTGGCTTCATCAAAACAACTTATTGGAATTGTTTGACTGAACAATTTAACAGTAAATTTTTTCTCAGGTGATTAGGCTCTTTGCTTTTATCCTGATAAATCAATTTATGAGACATTAGTTTGAGTCATCCATGCTTAAGATTTAGTAGGTGAAAAATAAACTCTTACTGATTTCTCCATATCTCTTATATTTTCTGTACTCTTGTAAATATCTAATTTAGATCCACTTTTTTAAGCACTGCCTTATTAACAAAATGAAGTTCTTATGACTATTTATTTTGTTGGAGTTTATGCTGATTATAATGTTGGAGCCTCTCTCTAACGGACAGTCACTTAAAGTCCCTCTAAAATGTTTCTTTGCATTCCCTCTTCACAAACAGGAACAACATTCTTGATTGGACAATCAACATTGACTGTTAAATTAAATTTTCTTAGATGGAGCCATACTAAATCAGCTATTAATTTAGGAGTGATTTGCTCTTTTGAAAATTACCTAGAATACAATACAACTGAATGGACTTCAGGTTGATAGAGTTGGATTTATAGGTAGTGATCAGGATGACTTATTTGTTATCGATATACTTTTATGAACGGATACCTATTAAATATGCAATAAAATTTTACTTTCTATTGATAGTTTGTTTTATCTCATCCAATAAGTCTTAAAATGCCTCTTTTGTTTCATCTACACCTGTACTCTTAAATTTTGGATTATAACAACTCTATATGGAAACTGCTATCTGCTATGACTTAAGTTAATCAAACTCAGGAAAATTCACAAAGGAGGCCTTCTCTTGAATACATGAGATCAAATTTCTTAAAAATTCCTTGTATTGCAAAGTAATTTTTGTGGTCATTGCTGGCACCATAGTGTCATTGAAAAAACTAAATTTCTATTAATAAGGTACCTAACTTTGGACTTGAACTTAAATCGATTTGGAGACTGCTGAGAATTAATGCTGCTGGTTGTTTAGAACATAAATTTATAATTGATCGTTAAAAAATTAAAAGGAGAATTTGATCAGTCATCATTGTGATTAACTAGAACTCCATACTACATATACTACGTATTTCAATACAGAATTCTAACGAAATATTGAAAGAATCTCATTTCAATAGTAGTCTCAATAGATAAATTTATGTGCTTTAATTTATGAGATACAAACTTTGTTAATTTATACTTGAGAAGCAATCGAAAATATTAGAATTAATCTTAAATAATCTAAAATTAAATCAATAATAAATTTTGATACTTATATCAATCCTATTATATATTCTATTCTTCTGCTTCTTTTGGTCGTTTACCACTCTCCAATTAGTAACTCTGAACTTCCATACTCCAAGCTGAATCTTTTCCCCCTGAATTCTACTTCTCTTAGCTGTTAATTTCATCTGGAACTTGATTTTGAAGCTACTTTTATTAGATGCCCTCATATTAACTCTAAACCAAACGGAATAGACTGGAATTCTATTTGGCAAAGCTTAACAACTTCTAATTCAATGCTGAGTTCTAATTTAGATTCTCATTGATTCTCTGAAAGGTTCGAACCAATCCTTCTGCATTTGAAGCTCCTAATTAAGCTTTAAAAAATCTAGCTACTTTTGCTAAACGAACATTAATTGGTACTAACAATCGTATTTAATAAATATACTCTCTGAACTAGCAACAAAAGTCAAGTCTAATCTTTTATCTTTTTCAGATAATTATGAATTGGATAGCAGTTTCTTTGATTATTATTATTAATTTGTTAGAATATCGAATAAATCCTTTTAGTTAGCCATTCCATCTTGAAAAACTGGAGAACAGAATGTATTAAATAAAACTAATTAATCATCATCAAAAAAGAATAATTTCAAGCAGTCGATCTCATAGAGTTTCTTCAGAATATTTGTTAGATCTAAATCATATTGAATTTTTGATTTTGCTATCTAAGATATGATGATTTCTTTTTCAGTTTTAAAGAAATTATAACGTTATATAGATCTGAACCATTTTTAAATTAAGTATTTTATGTACTAGATAAAAGAATAGGATATTTCAAAATTTAATATCTAATTTATTATTACTCATACTTGTTATAATTATCCTGTTTTAATAGGAGTAGTGGAAGTTCTTTATTAAAATATAGTTCCAGATTAATCTGACTGATAAATAGAAGATTGTCTCTTTTTTTTGACACTTTCTAAATCAAATTTAAAAACAGAGTTCATAAGAACTGCAAAGGTTTTATGTTGATTATAACTATGATAAAAGATCTTGAGGAAACTCATTATGGCAACTGCTAAGGCTGTAGCTTCAGATAATGAAGAGCTAAAAATAGTAAAGAGATCCGATTAAGTAATAAAATAATATTAATTGTCAGGTGAGGATCTTATATAAAAAGAACACAATGTTGATCCTTCTGTAAATTCTATAGGTTCTAATCTTCTTTCCTATTTATGAAAAGTAGTAGTTTAAAATAGTGTTTCTTCCAATTTTATATTCATTAAGTCATAAAATATTGAATTGCTTTCTTATAATTGATATATACATTACTTAAATCCATGGAAAAAGGCATAATAAAAATATCTTCATTGTTTGACATTCCAAGCACTAATTTCCAAAAGACATTAGTAGGATATGCTTCTATAGGAGATGAAAGATTGAATTATTATCTAAGTCTTGATCCTTTTACAAACAAATCTACATTGACTCTACACCAATTAATCACTATAATACCCGTTTTTTACAAATGATTGGATTTCATCTTATGATTTGCAATTGATATCTGTGGTATTTTTGCAAGCTTTGACTTAAACCTTCAAATAAGAAAAGTAAGCATCAAAATATTATCCTGTTATTGTGTATTCTCCATCTGCACATTAAAGATTTTGTTTTTAAGAATTTGAGATTGTAATTACATCAAAATTAAATTTTTCAACTGTGGTAGTTTCACAATTTTTTAACTTTAGATTGGTTGAATTTCTTTCATATCCTATTTTAGACGCATCCCTCTTTTATTCTACATACTAAACATTTATTTGAATGTATCTAATATTAAACTATTTATACTATTGAATTTCAGATATATTTTCAAAAATATTTCCATTTTAATCTGAAACCTCAAATGCAAATATAGTGTTGTTACTGTTTATATATGATTAATTATTAATTGTACTCTGGGTACCAACATAAACAGTTTCTTAATCTGAAAGTGCTTTTTAAATGACTCCAATCATATAAATTATACTAAATATTCCAACGAATATTGTAAGCACTCCACCTCGTATAACAAATTGTACATACCAATAACTGTTAAGGATTTTTGTCTTTGATTGACATTGAACTCATAAGGAGTTACTAACAAATCAGCTCTCTTTAATAAATTTCTCATATAATAATTATTATTCCTGAAATACATTACTCTGCTTCTATGTAACTTATTATGAATTATTACTTTTTGAAAAATCATTAGATAATGACGAAAGATAAGTTACTATTCGGAATCAAAAAAGAACTAACTATAAATATAATATCTATTGCAAAAGATAAAATCAAAATTTAGAATAAATCAAGACACTGCAATAAATACAGAAGAATATTACAGACAAGATACCGCAATTTTGACACTCCATATTTAGTCCATCCAATTATTTCCATTAATATTTCTTAAGAATATTTGAAAAAAACATCTTATAGAAAAGTCTTTTAGCACTCGTATAAATGAATTTATAAATATTTGTACTAATATCAATTTACTAAATTCAGTACACCCAATTTACCATCTGAAGTTCCATAACTTAGTTTGTTGTAACTTGTATTATGATCGATTGTCATTACCCCACTTAATGAACAGCAATATGTATCAACACACCTATACTAGGTATCAAACTATCTTATTTCAGAAAATACACTTAAATAATATTATTGATTACCTTCCAGCATTTGCAGCATAAATATAATTGGTTCTCTTGTCAAACTTACAAGCATACAATTTACTAACATTATGTTTTGGTAGTAATCCTTAAACATTATTGCCATACTCAGCCCATTCAATAGTCTATAATTTATTTAAAGTTCTGGTGTCCCAAATTTCTAATTGTTTTTCGTCTCTATAGGATGCAGTAATCAATTAAAATCCTTTTGAATCCATAGAGTCTCCATAGACACAAGGGCCAAATATATAACCAGTTGATTTCTTTTGTCTCAAATCCCATTATATCACCATTTTATCCCATCCTCCTGTATAGAGTTAATTGTGATCACCCTAATTAAATTTCATACCAAATATTCGATTCTAATGAACAGCTGATTGCCCTTCCACAAAAGTTGTAGGAGCCTTACTCAATTTTCCGCAATCATAAAGTTTAACTTGACAATCAGAACCTCCTATTACAAATTTATCACCATCCAATGAGAACTCACAACAATTGATTTGATTATCTTTATCTTCTAAATTAAACAATGATTATTTAGATGTCGCATGCCAATATATAATACTTCCATTAGCATATGTTGACAATAATGTGTGTTTTAATTATTCTACAACTTAACCAGGTCTCCATTTTACGCATGTGGCTGGACCTGGTTTCTATTTGGGATCTGATAATGGAACTATTGTGTAATCTTTTCCCAAATAAGCAATATTTACGAGACCATCAGAGTTAGCTGAAGCTAAGAATTAAGTTGTATTATCGAAGGCGCATGAAAGTACTTTTGTTGGCTTTTAATATAATTACTGTTCATACTTCTCCTGTTAAAATGTCATTTTAGAATTAGTAATTTTTTAGTGATGAGAAGGATGATTAGGCGAAAATATCCTTATAGGCTGCTCTTATTCTTTCCAATAATGTAGAATCCTCAATAACTCCAATCTCATTTGTATCTGTTGATTACGAAACTTAAGTGGAAAAATTCCTTTGCGCTTCTTTCGAACTTTACATTAATTTATGATTCAATTGTATATTTAATATCATTTTTCTAGCCATTAACCAGAATATGAAGACATCTATTTTACATGAACTATATTATGTGAGTATTGATAATCAATTCCTATGGGAATTCTTAAATAAATTACTCATCCCTTTGTAAAATTAATATATTCTAATAAATCATTGTTGAATACACTAAATATACTTCTGAATAGATTTTTATATCTAATGTGAATTATTCTTTAACAAAAATAAATATCATTTATAAAATATCTTAAATATTTGAATTCGATTACATATATTAAATTTTGGCATCTAAACAAAATAAATGATTATTAATGAATTTGACAATCATAAAAAAATGATATTTTAAGAGTTGAATTTTGGATGGAACCCCTTAAAAGTAAGTATCATGCTTAGAAATGTTTAAGGAATGTGAATCTTAAGGAAAAGAATAAATTTGAGGTAATATATTTATATAAATCAAAATGCTTTAATACTTTAATATATAATTTCATAAATATTTTCCATATTTATTTTAAATATTCTTCATTAAAGTACTTTCTATTTCTTTGAGAGTTGACGAGTAACTTTTCTTAGGGATATACATTAATTTCATATCATCTTCTGCCACATAGCTAAATGATTCTATCGTGCCTGCTACTATACTTTGATCTCCAAAATACTCCCCCAATTTAATCAATTCAAACAATTTTTCTATGATATACAGAGAATTTTACAATTATCTTTATTCACACTCACTCTTCCTTATTCTAATATAAATATTTCTTAGCTTTTTTATCCTTATTACAGAATTACATCTCCCTTTTTATATTACTTTTCGAATAATGCATCACTCATTTTCAATTTATCATATGGATCTTTAATTTCTTTGAGCAAATCCCAATTTTCAAGAAAGCTTGATTTAAATATATTGTAATTACGTCTCGAATTATTATCTCTTTTTGATTGAAGCTTCCTTTACAATAAGATTGAATGTTTCTCTATCTAATTACCAAAGGATAGCTTTATCACTTTTTACAATAATGGATGCAGCCTAATGTATTGAATAGAAAAAGATACTCTTGGAGATTAAAATAATAATGCTAATTCACCAAAACTTTCCCCTGGATAGTATGTTTTAAGGAAGACATCTCCTTTCCCATAATTCTTAAAACAATCCAATTCACCTGTATCGACAACATAGAGTACATTTCCTTCTTCTCCTTATTTAATCACATATTCTGCTTTATGGAAGATCTTTTCTTCCATGGCACCAACAACAATTTCAATTTCCTTTTCATTTAATGCACTAAACATGAATCCTGCTTGCATTCTTTGCTTAATTCGTTCAGATTACTCCTTACTTTTAGGAATAAATTTGGCTTTAAAGTTCTCCTTTTTATTGAATTATCCATAAGCTTCAGCAGAGACTGAGAATCTCTAAGATTTTTAGGAATGATTACTTGTTTTTGGACATCTTTTTTGATAGCAACAATTTCATCAACCTCATCATCTGATGAATCAGAGTTTGAACTCAATGCGCAATCTACATGTTTTTTCTTATTAAGTTATTACATGAAATTGGGTCCATTTCTTACCTTTTAAGGATTCATAAAAATTAAATAAATAATTAAAATGAAAGAATAACTCCTTGGTAAAATAGCAAGATATAGAATATTTTTGTAATAAGGATTGTAGATTCCTGATGAAAATGGAGATGATTTGAGATGCATAGATTTTAATTTTGATAAATATATCGAATAGCAGTTATAGATTGAACAAGAATAAAAAGTTGAATAAGATGAATAAAAAATAGTATAAACCGATAAAAAAATACCAGAATTAGATTTAAAATTGAATGATTAAGATTTAGAAGGTTTGTTAAAGGATTTAGAAAATGTAAAATTTGATGGCGAAATTGATTTCACTAAATAAAATATTAGCGATCAAGTATTTTATTCATCAAATAACTTTTATTAGACTGTGATTAGATTATCAGTGTTGATTTAAAAACTTCCAATATCTTCATTGATATTAACTGACACTAAAATTTCTTATATTGGAGGCTTGGAATTAGGCAAAGCAATTCCCAATAGTAAATTAAAGAAATTAATTCTAACGAATTGTAATTTAGGTCATAGTTCTAAGTAAATTTACGACTATATCTATTAGTATTTTAATGGAACAATTGCATTTCTTGGAAGAAGTAGACTTTGGAGTTCTTGGCAATAAGGCTCTTAGATATTTGTCATAATAAAAACATGAATTATCACATATAGGATTTCAAGAGGATCCAAAAGAAGTTTGGGATGTGTAAACTAAAGAACTGTTTTTAAAATCAATACCTAATTCATTATTAAGTATTCAATTCTAAATAGATAATGCGGATCATAAGAAGTATAATTAGCAAATAATAAAGATTCATAGGAATAGCAGAAATTAAATGCTCAGAAAATAGAGATGCATATTTAAGGAAAAGAGCCATTGAATATAAGAGTAAAGATCTAGATCCTGATCATCCTGATTATTACGATTGGTATATATGAATCTCATATCTAGTGATGATTTTAAAGTCAATGCATTTAAATTCAGTGTGAAATCTTATCTATCTAATGTTTTCGAATCATTATTAGATGAATCTTTATATTATTTGGAGAAGGAAAGACAAAATGTGCTTAGAGATGAGGCTATTTACCATGTAACTAATGAACTCTTACCCTAATCTATAATGGAAGATATTTGCCAAGCAGATGGTTCATTAATTGTTTTAGCTAAATATCTTTTGACCAAAATTAAAAAATGACATCATTAATATAAATTCATCTTATAAATATCAAATGCAAATCAAGGTTATTAAAGTCTATTCTATAAACAATCTGGAGATTGGTGTATCTCTAGATCCTTTAAACTTTGACCTGATTCCTTGCTACCAACTACTTCAGAGTTCTTCCTGCCTTCTTCCAATTCATTTGGTACATCTAATCTAATTTGATCTTCTAAATATTTTTGCTCATCTTCATTTTACTATTGTAAATTCGTTGTATAATTTTATTAAACCAAATTAAATAAGCTTTTATTCTACATAGCAAATTGCATTAATTAATCATTAAGCTACCAATTTTTATTCTTATTTTCAGTGATCTTCTGAAAATTATCAACTAAATCTTAAGCATTTTCTGCTCCAAGTTACGCCTTAAAGAATCTTGTCAGTTTTGCTAATCGGACATTAATAGGTACTATAAATATTATCACACAATAATACTTGTTGAAGTGGCTGCATACTTGATGATGTTTTAATTATTATCTATATGAGCTTAATTTAGTTGTAATTGATTTATCGATTTATTCTACTTGCTTGCAGTCAAGATATCGAATAACTCTTTCTGATCAGTCATTTAATCTTAGAACACGGGCGAACAAAATGAATTGAATAGCATAAGCTGATCATCATCAAACAAAAATAACTTTAAGCAATCTATCTCATATAATTTTTTTAAAATATTAGTTAAATCTAAATCGAATTCAATCTTAGATTTTGCTATTTACGAAATCACCAATTCTTTTTCATCTTCCAAATTTTTTTTACAGCTTTTGAAGTATTTTCTTATGATGTAAAATATGTATTAAGAAAACGAGTAATTTATTGTATAATCAAAGATCTTGATAAATATGCAAAAATTACCTGTTATAATAGTTTTTTTGTATTCTTTACTGATGACTACATCTTCCCAGGTGTTTATGATTAATTTACATATGATTACTTTCTCTTTTAAACACTTTTTAAATCAAATTTAAAAACTGAATTCATAAGTATTTCAAAGGTCTTATGTTGATTATAAAATCTATAAAATATTTTGACTATCTGCATAACAGCCAAAAACAATGCCGTTGCTTCAGAGACTGCAGATAATATAATAGAGGGTAAATCCTATTGTATAACAAAGTAAAAGGAAGTATCAGATGAAGCTCTAAAATTTCATTAACGTAATACCTGAGATAAAATGTGCATAATCCTACCCCTGAATTTATCGATATAGGTTCTTGTCTCCTTTCTTACCGTTCAACTACTGACCCATTATATAATCTCTCAGAATTTTCAATGTTAAAAATATCGCTGAAAAATTATATTTTTTCTTAGATATTTAAATGTAATTTACTTAAATCCATTTATAATGGTTGCATATAAATATCTTCGTTGTCACCAATACCAGTTGTTAATCTCCAAAATATATTAGTAGAGAATATATCTGCTGGACTTGAACTGTTTAAGGATTGTTTAATTTTCGACCCTTTTATGAACATATCCACATTAACACTTATATTATTCAACATTCTTACCCTTTATTGATGAAACTTTCAATTTCTTTAGAAGTCTTGCATGTTTTGCTAGTTGAGTTGTTGCATACACTTACAGTTAATTTGATGTAAGCAAAATATGGTTCGTAGAATTGTCCTTGTAATGTGAAATCACCATCAAAACAAATTAAATTTTCTTTTTATTCTTCAGTCATTGATGCTGAATTAAAATTGAATTGTTGGACCTTTTCTGTAGAGCATTTGGATTAATTTAATGAACTGTAATTTCTTGTAAATCCTATTTTACCTTCGACTCTTTATTATTGAATATACTATGCAGTTAACGTAAAATAACTAGAATAATCATCTTTTAATTTACTCTTTAACATTTGTATTATTGTTCAAAATTTTTCCATCTAGAGTAGATAATTCAATGGAAAATATCGTATTTTCATTACTCAATACAAATTCAGTGTTTTTATCGCTTTCTGTACCAGCATATATAGTGTTCTGATTTTGAATGCTTCTCTGAAATACTCCAACGATATAAAAAGAAGTGAAAATTAAGAGGAGCATACTTATGAAACCTCCTAAAACTAAAATTATATATAACCTATCGGAGTTAAAGATTTCTCTTTTTATGAAATATTAAATTCATAGGGATCAACAAGCAGGTCGGCTTTCTTTATTAAATTTCTAATCATAATAATAATTTCAAAAATTATCAAAATAACATTAATGTGTTGATTCATACAATTTCTGATCAATTATAGATATATACATCAAATAATTTAGAAAAAGTAATAAATTAATAATACTTAAACAATAATTATTCATCTATCTTGATTTATTAATTATCCTATTAATATTTTTCTCTATTTTATCCTCATTAATCAATAATGTCAGTACTTTATTAATACTAGACTTTAGATACAATTTATAAAACTGTAAAATCTAGTCTAAAATTCTTTTATTATATTTTTATTCCCAATTATCATTAATAACTTAAGAAATTACTGATAATTTTTCATGATGACTTTTGACACTTACGTTTTAAAACAAATGAATCAACATTATAAGGTTAAGATTTAATCTATCTTATACTTAGGCTTCTTTCGAATAAAAGTTTAATTTTCTTTCTTTTATATAGCTTTCTAATACTTATCCCAAGTATCTAAAGGTTGTATAAGTTCTATTAAAATAGGGTCTTATAGCACTCCTTTTTATTTTCAAAAGCACAAATTAGGAGGATTTCATTTCATTATAATTTTAATTGTTGATTGCTCAATTGAGAACTAAGAATGCTGTTTTATAAATTCATAGCCTGATTGGCTAATTTGCAAATTATGTAAAGGATTATTTTTCAATAATTTTGTTTAATATAAATATTAATATAATATATTTAACTATCAAAAATCTGTTTTTATAAGAAATCATTTATACTTTATGAAGTTATCTGATCCTTCTGCAAGGTAAATATGAAGCTATCTATTCTTTTATAAGGTTTTAGGATGTTTTTAAGAATAATTAAATATCAAAAGAGAGCTTATAGATAGCCTTGATAAGTGTTAGAGATTTGAAATTTAGGACGCATAATAATGCTAAATGATTAAGTTAATATTAAGGCATTAAGAGAAATGAAGATAAATAAGTGAATTATTTCTAGAGTTGAATATAAAATATACTAAAACTAAAATTTCATTCTTAGATCGAATCTTTGTTTTAGATAAATAGATTTGGATTTTATGTTTGAACAGGTGTGTTAAATTACTAAATTTATGGATTGAAATCCTATCTATTATTTAATAAACTATTTGGAGCATAAAGGTGGTTCAAGACTTTATAATTTTTGGGCTATCTCTTTTCTGTTTTCGATCCACTATCAATATGGTCATTTAATAATACTTTTGTCTATTCTCTTCAACAGTTCCTGCACGAACACCAAAATTGATGTCTTGATATTATCTCACCACTTTCGCCAAATCATCAATGTGTTTTCTTCTATTCTGCTCATCATTTCTCTAATATGAAATAGTCCAGTAATATTACTTCATCATTTGCTACTTTGCCATCAAGCATTCTAATTGTTCTTGTAGAATAGTTTTTTAAATTAGTATCATGTGTAACCATTATGATTGTAATACCCTTTTCAATATTCAAATCAATGATAATCTTCATAATCAAATCTGAATTCTTTGTGTCAAGATCTCCAGTTGGCTCATCCAACAATAGGATGGATGGATTATTAGCTAATGCTCTTGCTATTGTAACTCTTTGTTATTCTAATACTAAATATTAATTGTACCTCCTCCTGACAATTGATTTGGGTAATGATTCAATCGAGTGCCCAAACCTACTTATTCTAATAACATCCGCGCATTATTTTTAATTTCATTTTTACTCAATGTCCCTTTGAGAATCATCGGCAATTCCACATTCTCTTATGCTGTCAATGATGATATAAGATTGAAAGTTTAGAAAACGAATCCCAAAGAAGATAATCTAAGTGATGCAAGGAATTTATCTTCTGTAGAGGCCCTAATTCTCTGACCACAAATTCTCACATCGCCCTATTTTAGATTAGGATAATGGATTTTACTTTTGTTGGTAAATCTATACTACCTAATAAATTAAGTAGAGTAGTCTTGCCGCACCCAGAAGTACCTAAGATAGTTATGAATTCTCTTTCCTGCACATTAAAAGATACACCTAAGAACTTATTGATAAGATTGAACCTCTTAATGCAGTAACACCCTCTAATCCCAATAAGTAGGTTTTATGAACATTTCTAACTTCTATTATATTTTGCTCTGGTTATAGAAGAGGGTATATTGGAATTTCACGCTTTTCATCAATTTCTTTATCTTCAATGTCGATTATCATTGTGTGAAATTTAATATATTATTAATATTAAAAAAACAATCCTGACCTCTCAGCTGTGAATCAATTATAGTTTAAATCCAAGATCCCAATGTAAAATAACATGAATTGTCATGCACTTGAATTCAAATATTTAATATGTATATGTTTGCATTTACAAAATAACTATTCTTATAAGAATAAGAAAATTCTCAGTAATAATTAATAAGAATTATTATTTCTTAATATAAGCATTTTAGAAAATAAATGTATTGATTTATAAATGTCAAAAATGTAGAGAATTATTCATTATACATATAGTTTCTTGTTGCTATGGATTAAGAAATATTGGTTGTTGACAAAGAGATTTTTCACTCCTTCTTCAATCACTATCACTTATAGTAATTCTCCATTTCCACTATTAGATATTAATAAATAAAGTACTAATTCTATTTAATAACTTAGCCATTAGAATTTCCACTTAATATAATGTTATTCCAGATGCATTATATGCATACTATTTTATTCTACTGAACACTACCATTCGTGTATTATTTTATTTATTTTCCATTCTCAGCATTCAGCAATATTAAAGTATCACCACCCACTAAGACATTCTAAGTTTCCCAGGGAACTTATTATATTTTAGTTATTTATTTCATTGCTTAAATAGTTCGAGTTTAATTTAATTAAAATTATTACCCCTATCTTTCTCTCTTCCATAATCTTAATCTTCCATCTACTTGAGTTGTCACCAGTTAATTCTTATTGTAAAGTATTATGTTGTTAATATATGATTTGTCAAATGTTTCCTACATATTTATATATAATTGTTACTTGATATTCAATTTTGTATTCATTAGAAATGCTAAGCATAATCAGCTTTTTATCTTCTGTGGAAATCAATAAGGAGGAGTCCATAATCTAAGCATCAATAATGTGTTTATCACTAATTTGCAATTCTTGATATTTAAAATATGTTTATTAGGATTCCTTCTTATACAATTACACCTTTCCATTTTGTAATCCAATTATTAGAGTATTGTTACATAGCTTAAGTAAAGAAATAGGAGTTTCTAAATAAAAGTTTTAAATCTTCTGAGTGGTGATCGTATTCAAAATTGAGAACCCCTCCTAAGTGGAGTAGATGAATAGATTGTCATCTTATATTGAAGAATGTTCAGTTTCAACCAATATTTCATATTAGAATTGCTATTCATCCTAAAACTGGTTTTCAATTGTATGAACTTTGTGTTCTTGGTTATTGTATGTAAGGAATCCAAACATCCATAAACCTTTGCTTCTCTTGATCTTGTAATCTCCTAAATCTGTAACACAATACTTCGATTGTAATAATATTTTAATTCCTTAAATATGTCCTTTCACTTGTAACCCAAATCTAACATTTTCATTTAATAAATCTACATACCATTTATCATTTTCCAATTTTAAGGTTGTTTCTTATCTATCTAAAATTCAATTACATAGTTACTTTTATAATAGCATTTTGGTACATAAGAATTCGTAGATCCAATGAGAATTAATCTTGAATGGTCAGTCTCTTATTGATATTATCTGTGTGTTGAAATATCATTATAATATAATACATGACTGTTTGTTAAAACTTGCAGACAAGTTTCTTGTGGATTCAAATATAAACTACCAAATTAAATATAAATACATGTATTTTTTGAATATCTATATTTAATTTTTGACATTATATTTTTTCTCTTCATCTTATTCGAGTAAATAAATGATCTAATTATCCCTGGCCAATATTTAATTTTTCTAAAGAACTATTTATTACAAAGGTTCCATTGAGAGTTTCAGATGATCTACTTCTTATAAACTGTAACTGTAAATAGATAATACTCCATCTTCTCTTCCAAAAAGTAAATTTTATTATTCTTAATCGTTTTAGCTTATTCTCACTAAGTTGTGGCTAATACATTATTTTTTTAATTAAAACAACACATTGATTGAGGTTATCTATAGTTAATATAATGTCAAATGAGATTATCCAACAGACACTAATTGATTAGTTTCAAAATCTTGACAATGATAACTGTCCAATTTTGCATATCCTTTTTATTTTAATGAAGAATCATAAATTGCCACAAATGCACAATGTTCATAATAAATAAATATATCTTTATGAATTATTTGTACTTTTGTGATTTAAGCATTATTATTTTTGAATGGCTATTGTTACATAACTTGTTAATTAGCCAATATTATATTACATTGTTGTTCCTATGAAAATGACCCTAATTATATTAAATTACATTCGATAATAGCATTTTGGAGTGTAAATATAATTGGCTGTTCATCACAATTGGGCAACACATCAACAATTTGTATTTTGCTAATATCAATAAGTTGATTCTTCCATATCAATTTTTGTTATGTTTGATAGCATTCTGATTAAAATACTTTTGTAATGTTTTAATTATGCTTCTCTAAATCGTCATAAAAGTTTCTAAATTCTAAATGAGATACAATTTCATTTATGACGTATAATTGACAATCTAATTTACCACATATTCCTAAAATCCAAAATTAAGGGAAGGTTAAGAGATCGATATCAGGCTATTTGATTGTAATTACTTCTTCTGATAAGAGTACCTTCAATAGTAGTTCTTAAAATTTCTAATTCTCTATGATTATATATAATAGTTAAGGGTGATCACTGGGAATTTCAAAAAAACATATGTTTGAATGATTTTATTGTTTTCGAATTCTTTAATTATTTTAATAAATTTCAATATTGTTGTCAGAGATGACTGACAAAACATTAGTTTTCTTTATTAATTTAAATGTGTTTCTAGAGCTTTTTAAATCAACCTCTTCATTGACTCCATAAGTCATATCAAGTGTATAAAATTCTTCATGTTCTACTTTTATAGTTCCTTTATTTAAGTAATTGAATAATAATTTAGCGTGCCCTTAGCTATTTGTTGTGCATGTGATTATTTTATTGGAAATAGAATCAGTAATAATAATTTTGGCCTTGCCAATAATTTACTCTGAAAAATAGTCGAATACGTACATTTAACCAACTTCAAGAAGCGATAGTATTTTTAAATTGACTTGTTATGGTGGTTTAATAGTCTTCTTTTTTTTAGATATGAAACTTGAGTTCATCAATGTTTGATTAGTATTCTAGTTTAGAAGAGTGGAGATTTCAGTGCATCTTGTTGTAATTTGAATTTTGACGGTATTGTTCCCGCCACTTAACTCTACAAATTGTTAAACAGATTCAAAGCCATATTTACTTACTACAAGTGTGTATCTGCCTGGATCAAGAAATCCTTCATAAATTCCTGAGCTATCAGAGACTTCCTTAAGTAACATCCTCTCCTAATTCTAAAGGACATGCACTTGAGTGTCTGTAAAAGGAACCATAACATCTGTTTATTGTTGTGGTCCAACTACTTCTACTCTTAATAATGCTAATTTAGGTTTTGACAGTTTTATTTGATGATATGCTCCATCTGTTCTTACTAGCTCTTATAAGGTGACTACTTCATTGAATAGTAGATTATTAGAGGATTCTTGAATAGAGATTTCATATCTGTCGATTGGAAGATTCAAGAATAAGACTCTGCCTTAGGAATCAGATTTCTCATTATATCTTACTATGTTGCTTTGTTGGGATAAGGCTCTTTGTCTATGAAGTGAAGTTGATTTGCATGATCTATTTTCTGAGAGTCTGCTTTGAGGACGCAAATGTTAACTTGATGCAAGTTGTTTATTTTGGAGTGATTGCATAGTCACATTGATCCCTTTTAAATTTGTATCGCCATCATTATAGACTAATTAAATTAGTAGATTTGTTTTTTTGAATTGCTAATGAATGGCTTTAAGAATATCATTGACATTGGGCCAAGATTTGGTTTGTAACTTGCTAAATAATTAGGATTGTTATCCATTAGCTTAAAATTAGACTTCAAATGCTCCGATGCGTCTCTGAAGGAATAGGGAGGTGATAGTTTTGTCATTATCAAAAACTAAAGGTTTCAGATACACTTTAATATCTGGATAGTTGAGCAGGATTGACTGTTTAATGAGTAATGCATAGGATAAGTATTGTTCTTCATTATGTCGAGTTGATCTTTAATGCTCTTTGCAATTGGTGCTATTGAAATATAAGATTATAGTTACCAATATTCTATCGTAACAACCATTTCATCTGATTTATCTTAAAATTCAATAAAAGGTCTCCAGTTAGCTTATTTGGTTATCATTTCCTTTACCGAAATATTGCGTTGTTCTAGATCTTAGAAATTTTTGAGCTTTGTGCAATTAGTTCTAACCTCACTCAATCCAATGTCACTATATACAATCTATTTCGAATCGCTAGTTAGTAAATATTTCATACTTTAATCCACAAGGTAGAAATGGCGTAGAATGTAATTTGGAGTCGTAATGATTATCTATATACCTAGAATTACTCCATGTCCGTTTGCTTCTTGATCGAATACTGTAAGTTGATAAATTCATTATTATTAAATAATATATATAGTATCAATCACTCATGTAGTCATCCTATTATTATTATTAATATTAATATTCTGAGATGGTCTTAGTATTTTAAGTAGAGTTCACTTATGTGTGATCCTTCTATTCCAATATAGTATCTACTCCAATATATATATAACAGTTTATAATTTTTTGGACAACTAATGTGATACTCTCTTTGAAAAAACACAACAATTAGTAAATTTCAATGAACCAGATCTAGGTTATTAGCAATTTTTGATTGTGTATTTATAAGAACCATGACTGTAACCAAACATATTGTTAGTTTGTTGAACATTCTAAAAATCTAATTATCTCCATATAATTTTGAGCACAATGTTCAAACTACTTGCATATTATATAAATAATACCTTTATATTTCATCTTTCTTTCTGTATCTCTTCAATTTTTGTTGTTCCACTTTTAGAGACTACAAATTAACAACTCTCTCTTAAAATTACTCAGCCTGTCATATGCAAAATTTGAACATGAAATTCTAATATATGATCTTATGAATCCCTTTGTTAAGAGTTAATTACTAAAAACTAATAGGTGAATTATTGGTAATTTATTATTTCATATAAAAATTAATAACCACACAATTATTATCATTTATTTGGTACACGATATTCCTCACCCAAATGTTCTGGTGGTTGCAAAGGTATGTTCAAACTATAAAATAGACAAAGTTTTCATACACATTAGATTAATCCAATTTCTATCCCTTTTCCAAGAAGTACTCTCTAGTATATTTATAAACTGCTGGCTCTGTCTTGCATTGATAATTCTTAGAATAGTCAGCATAGAACTCCGGTTAGCCATACTTTTTCAAGACTCTTTCTTCAAAAGACGGTAATTTAGAGCAACGTTCAATCTAATATATTAGGTTGAGGATTATTACTTCTTATTGAATCCATTCTTTAAACTTCCTGAAGTCCCCATATCTAGTACAATTCACTCGAAATGGGGCTTTCTCTTCTTAAGTCCAGAATTCTTCATATGTAGGCCATCTCTTCTTTCTGTAGATGGGTTTCAAATACTACTATTTATTATAAAATTATTCTGATCTGTTGGGTCCCCAATACTTTGTGGTTTATTTTGCATCATACCTTGAAATATTAATTTAGGAATCAATACAAGCAAAACTTATCTAGATTGGAATCTTCAAAATCAAATTCTTTGGTAGCTAATCTGTTTCTCCATGGGTCCATTCCCATACCAAAGGCATGAATCAATCCTTTTGGCGATAAATATATTTTGCACACCACAATTTCTGAATATTCGTCTGGTTTATAATATGGATCATGAAATGTAGTCCAAACATAATAATCAGTCAATGATAAATCAAATCTATATTTAATTAGCATTCTTTTTACTTGGGACGATCATAAATAGCAACACGCTTTTATTTAGGCTAGATCACTTAGACTTCTTTCTCCTTCTCTGCCTTTACTAACTTGGTGTATTTTAAATAAGTTTCAAAATTGTAATTTGTAGTATGAGTAAACCTTTCCTATTTCAGATTTTCATCTAATAACCCACTCTATTCAAGTTGTTATTATTTTTCTTTGATTGCCAATTAGAGTGCCCTCTTCTTTTGATTCACATTCTTTGGAGGTACAGGTTTCACAAATCTGCTGAAGATTTGACTCATGCAAAATCGAGGCAGATATAATTACATATTTTAATATTTTAATTTTTAATTCTCATCAAAACTCTAATTTATCAACAACATCACTCTAATAAGGAATTTTGACTTTAACTAGTGGTTCCATTTCCATCTCTCTCTTGATATTGAATTATTCATTCTGATTCCCAATGCATAATGTTTTTTATAATGTGATTAAGTAGAATAATTAGGAATCATCATACCATTACTCAAAAAAATTCTTGGAGCATCAGGATAACTAGGAAACAATCCTATGGTTGAACATTTTATTGTTAAAGTGATACTAAGCCCTATTTTAAAATACACTCTCATTATACTTAACAATACAGATCTTAAGTATATAACCATAAGTTATTAATTGATGTGGTAACTATGCTACTTCATGATTGAGATTATTCATAATCATATGCATGATAACTTATGCTTATATACACTTGCAAGGATATCTAAGTATTACCTAGATTCATACTTATGATATGGATATACTTTGATCTCATAATCTGGAATTAATCTATACATATAGATGTGTCCATATGTTTGCAATTCTTACAAAAACTCAGGTGCTAACCTCTTATGAAGATCTGGGTTAAAGTATTTCAAGGCATTTTTCAATGCCAATCTTTATTCCTACTCTCTCACAGAGGATTTACTTATTTATTTAAACAGAGATTCTTGAAGGGAGCATGAGAGATTGTTTAATCTCTGAGATAGACATTCTTGTTAAGATCAACTTAAATCCTTTATTTAAATTTTCCAAAAATGCTTAATCGATTTACATCTTTAATAATATTATGATTTATTCTTATTTTATATTCACTCCTTAATCATGCTTCCACCATATGAAAAATCGTAATAAATTCTACCCTCTGAACTTGCAGTATCAAATGAAGCTATGGTACATTCTGTGAATTCCTATTTTATAGAATTTCTTAATTAATTACTGAATCAAAATGAGAAGTGTCCTCCTCACTAGTTAACTTTGGTTTAAATGGTGCTTCCACTCTCTTTTGCAATATGTAATCCCAGTTCACCTTTTCAAACCAAGGATGTGATTTTATTTCTCCTGCTCCACTGTACCCCAATCGTTCTAAATATTTCTACTATTTTTATACTTTCTGGTTGCTTCTAGAACAAACCCTCTAGTAAATTTTTTAGAATTGGACTCAAATTTTATGGGTATTTTGGAAATTAATATTTTATCTATTCGAACAACTCTCCTCTCTAATTTGAATAATAAGGGGGCATTCCTGTTATCATTTCGAAGATAATGCAACCCAATGTCCACCAGTCTACTGGCTTGCCATGTCCTTACTTCATCAATATCTCAGGAGCCAAGTATTCAGGGGTTCCACATACTGAGAAAGCATCCTTGTCTTATTTAACATTCTTTTTAGACAATCCGAAATCTGTAATCCTTATATAGCCATCTGAATCCAATATCACATTCTCTGGCTTTAGACTACAGTTTAAAATTTCATCACTTACTCTCGATATATAATATTATTCTCATGCAAGTATTCGATAGCCAAAATCATTTAACAGACGTAGAATCGGCATCTTTAAATAATATTAATGTTCTTACTAGTCTTCAGTCAATTTCTTCTTCTTCTATAATAAATTGAATAACTCTCCACCTGGACAATATTCTAACACAAAGTACAGTTTTCTCTCATTTTAAAATGAAAATGCCAATTTAATAATAAATTGATGATTTGCCGAAACCAGAACATTTCGCTCCACCATTATGTGTTCCTATATAATTAATCTAATCTCATACCTCCTGTCTCTTCTATTGGATGTACTTCTTCTTTAAAGCTTTGATTGCATACAGCTTTCCTGTGTCATTCTTTCTCACCAAAAGTACTTTTGCATAAGAGCCTTTTCCTATTACTTTTATCAATTAAAAATGATTTATTGTTAAATGACTTGATTATTCCTACTACATTGCCTAATTTAATATTATTTAATACTTTTCAATATTTTATAAGCAATAAAATTAAGATTTAAAATTTTTCTTTATTTTTTATCAACTCCTCAAAAAGTGCATAATATTAAATTAATAATGTTCAAATTACACAATTGTCTTAAATATCTATCTCTCAAGACCGCAACTTCGCTTTTACAATTACTCATTATCAGTGTAGTTATGGGACTTTGCTCAATTGTTCTTGTCGTAAATCGCATAATGATGGATGCATTAATCTCTGAAATTTCTGATAAATTGCTGTTTAAATAAAACTTTTAATAGTATGAGCTCCAAACAGAAATGTTAAAATATTAAGTAAATTTGCCCATGATTCAAAGATTTTAAATGATGAATAGCTTCAGCAAAATATACGAAAATTTTATGCCCTAGGTACAAATTTAAAACTTTAATTATCCTATGGAATGTCCTTTATATGAAGGTCAACCACACGAATAATATAGAACACTATTTTCTCTGCCTGAATTTTGCATTTCATATCACAATTAAACCAAAAATATCGATAATGGACAAATTAATCCTTTCCTAAACATTCTCAATTAACTTGTTATCCCTTTTACATTTGCTCCTATCACAGACCTCTACATGACAAATACGAATGAAAATTATTATTTTGCTTCCACTCCCCCCATATTTAATTATCCATCTTACAACCCTTAAATTAGACCTTGGTACTTAAATCATTTGGAATAATCTTAAACGTCAAATAGTTAAGGTTTCGTGTCTTATGTCTATAAATCTTACGCCAATGAAGAATACAGTTTCACAATAACATATTCGTTGTTCGAAAATAATCCCTCAAAAAATAATAAGAGAGGAAATTTATAGGCAATTATGGGCTAGGATTTGAGTTTCAAGGAATATTCAGACCATCTTTATTTTAAGTAATTTACATTTTTAATAACAAATCTACTTGGCTAAATTATATGTACAAATTCCATTGAAGATATAAGACTTGATTAAGGAATAATCTATGTATATCAGCAAAACCTAACTGGTTTCACAACATAGGATTGGTAATAAATTTAATTGTATGCCTCATAATAACCCTACACCAATAATTGTACATTATAAATTAAACATTTGTGTAGATTTAATACAAAATACAAAGAAGATATTATATTACATGTATTGAATCTAAAATCCGATTTTTATCTGATCATGTATTAACCTTATATTTATATAGATTTTAAAATGTAACCATTCAGAGGGAAAATATTGAAATGGCTGAAAGCACAAAATTAGAAGTCATTAAAGCATTTGCAAGAAATATCTCTTATTTGCTGGGGGCATCTTTATCCCTTCTCTTATGCAGTTGGATAGGATTGTACTTGTTTTTTAGACCAATTAAATAAATGAGAGAAAAGATGGAAATTTTAATTCGCAATAAATTCTCCAGTCATAACTGGATGTAAAAAATATAAAACGAGTTTGATGATAAGAATACTAATTATCTTAAATAAGCTTTAAAGAATTTGAAAACCAAAATTACTAACATTAAAAGGAAGAAATGTTTAAACTGTTATTTAATTGAGAATTTTAAATACCCTAGAAAGATGTTAACTGTTGATTTTTACGACATCAAAAATCAAATAAAAAAACTCCCGTAAGATTAGGTAGTAGTTGAAGATTAGGTATGCTAAACTGAAATTAAAATTGAGCATATCAATTCTCCAGAACATAAAAATATCATCCCTTAAATTATTACAAACAAGTTGTATGCTTAAACTTTAAATAGCGAAATAGACGAAAATGTTTAATTACTCAATAGTATGGATAGAGTATTCTGAAACATAGTTATAAAGAACAGTTTTTGATTATTTTATTTATTTATTATCATTCTGCATTTTGAATTACATTGAGAATAATAATAAAAATAATGAAATATAAGATTTCAACCTTAATTCTAAGTTACTCTCATCATCATGGATTTGAACTCCTCAAATGTTAACTATAGAATATAGTAGAATATTACTTTCCCGTCAGAATTCTAATCAACTTCCTAGATCATTTACTTCCAAACCTCCTCACTGATACCAGAATTTTGACCAAATGCTAATTTAATTTCATCCTTTGTGATAGCTCCACTCTTATCCTTGTCTATTATTTTAAATGCTTAGAGTAATCTTTCTGTAGCTAATAGCTTTTCTCTATTAATAGTGGCATAAACAAACTCTATGGACATAAATTAATTATTTATACCTGAATAATCAATTGAACCACTTCCATCCGCATCTATTTTTTTCATAATTTCATCTACCTGAGTTTCCGCATCTATATCACTCATAACCTTTTTGTATCCATTGACTAATTCTTCTCTACTTAATCTTCCATCATTATTTGTATCCAAAGCCTAGAATTACTTTAATAAGTCCTTTTTCTCCTCTTTTGTAGCTATAAAATTAACCATAAACATAAGTGCTGCTTCTTACAGCTTTTTTTCAACCTAGATTATAATCAATATGTATTTACTCTGAATGCTTTAATTCTTTACAAAGCTTCAGTTAGAGATGGCAGATCATCTTCTTTCTTTTAACAATAAGTTTGGATCCAAGGATGATTCATGGCATCCTTTGCTGAAATTCTCTTTTTTGTATCTTTCTCTATCATTTTCATGACAAGATCCTTAGCCTCATTTGATATTTTCTTCCATTCCTACTCCTTAAATTTAAAGACTCCTTTTCTCACAGCCTCCATAATCTAATAATCATCATCGCCATTAAATGGAGGAGCTTTCATAAAAATATTATATTACCTCCACACAACATAATATAGAGAATAACACCACATGACCAAATATCACATTTTTCATTGTATTTCCTATCTAATACTTCTGGTGCTATATAATAAGGGGTTCCAACTCTTTGATCCATTTTCTTATCTGGATTGAACTTTTAACTAGTTCCAAAGTCAGCTATTTTTATAAGGGAATCTGCATTATTGCTTTCATAAAGGATGTTTTCAGGCTTCAAATCTCTATGTACGATATTTTTTTCATGGCAATATGTCACAGCACTTAACACCTATTTCATAACTTCTGCAGCTTTTTTTTCTGAAAAGTTTTTCTCTTAAACAATTCGATCAAATAATTCACCTCCTTAACATAATTCTGTTACTATATAGAAATATTCAGAGTCTTAATAAAACTCATAAATTGAAATGATATTCAAATGATCCTAATATTATCAATATATTTCATACCAATTATTTTAAAATGTCAACTTCTCTTGTTAACATTAAACAATCTTCCTCAGTCATCAGTTTCTTCCTTATCAATTTTATTGCTCTAACTTAATTTGTAACCTTGTGTACTCCTCTATAAACTTCACCAAATGCACCTTGGATTTAATTATTCAATAAGAATACCTTTTCCAAGGCATGGTTAAATTAAATTATAGTCTGCAGTGATTTTCCCTTTTTTCTCAGTAACGAATCCTTGATATGCAAATTTGGTGTCCTCTATCTTAGTAACTTAATTATAGATGATTATTGTCCTTACCTTTGTTTGAAGGTTCTTAAATACCATTAGATGATCCACAGCCCATTAGTATAAGAAAATAAGTTATCTAAATTAAATATTAAATAAAATAGATATTTATTTTTTTGTATATATTTTAAATCTATATCATTCAATCTATATTAAAATTTTACATAAATTCAATATTATTAATAATATTAATTAACTATCTGCACTTTAAGTTTTACTTAATAGTGAGGATTTTTTAATTTATAAGAATAATGTTTGTTTCGTAAAATCATATTCAAAATTCTAATTATAACATGTAAAAATAATGAATGATTGAATTTATCTTATATTTTGGTATAAAACCTCATTAAAATATTTCAATGAGTTTTGTAATATTTTTTGCTTTGAACAACAAAAATATTACAATTACCCAGCAAATTGTTAATAATAGATTAATAAATAATTCTAAAAAATAAAACATAAACACCATTAATAACTAAAGCTCATATTGTATTCCTATTCTTTTCTATATTTTCAGGCCTAACAGAAAGTTAAACTAACATTTCTATGCAAGCATTTTAAGAAAAAGTTAAATTAGTTTGAAAATCTATCGTTTTTTTTAAAAGAAATTATGTATAAAAAAACTCTTTCAGTTTAAATGTTATTGGGCAAAGATAATTTAAACATTCATTTACGATGATAAAAATTTCAAATATTATCAATTGCTCTATGGAATCTGGTTCTTGTTTCAATTTCCTTATTAATGCTAACCAAAATATAAGTACTTTTTTACGAATAATAGAAAATATTTATCTCATATTAGTAAAAATAACCCTTCGTAAGTCTAGATAATTAAATATCAAGTTTTTAATTATGATTATGATAGATAGTCAAAAATGATTAAAACACTTATTTAGGTTAGAATTATATAAAAAATAATAAGGAATTTTAAAGATTTTGGTAGTAATGGTGAGATGATAAATAGAAAGGTTGCTCACATTCGAATGATAGATATATATTAATGAATAAATTTAGTATTGAATAATCGAATATAATTTAATAAATGAATTAAACTCAAAAGTCATTTGATGTTTCTAAAGGCGGTGAAAAACTGTCAGATATTGAGTCGCTAAAAAGAAGAACATATAAAAAGATCTTAATGTATTGCTTATGATAATTATTAGGATGTCTTCAATGAACAAAAACATCATGAAATACATCTAGAAAGCATTTCAATTGGGTCCAAAATATTTGACTATTGAATGCCTAGTTGAAGATGTTAAGACTACTCCACTCACTGAGTTAGACCGTTATGGTGCTACTATACTAGACAAAGATAGATTAAAAGAGCTTTAAGAATTGTTAGGGAAAATAAAATAGATGGTAGATTAAGATGTAAAATAACTGAGCAGTGATCAATTAGTGGTATTAAATAGTTGTTAAGAATAGTAATTAATCAAATATTTTGTTTTATCTCCAGTTGAGAAGACATATATTCAAAAAATAGAAGCTGAGTTAGCAGAAACTGTAAATATTAGAAATAATATTATATAGAAAAATTTGGATGAATAAATCAAAGCAGCTTAAACTAGATAAAAAGAACAATAGGATTTAAAAATTGAGGAATATCGTTAAGAAAAAAATGGATAATAGATAATTAAATAAAACTTGTAATCATAACAGCATCAGATTTCTGTTCATGAAAATAAGTTAGAGAAAGCTAATCAAAAGTTGAATGAGATTGTTGCTCATAATAAATAATTGAGAGAGAAAATCAATTAATTGAGAAAAGAAAAAAATATGGTTGAGGAGTAAAAATATATGATATTATTTATAGAATATCAAAAAATTTAGAAAAAGAATTAGAAGATAAGAAGAAGAATGTAGAGGAAACCATTAAATCTGCAGGATAAGCATATTATTATAGAAATAAAGCAGAAGAAGAATTAACTAAATTACAAAAGAAAGCAGAAGCATAAAAAAAAGAATTTGAACAAGAATGTGAATCCTTAAATGAGAAAATATAGCATGATAAGAAATTTAAAGCATTTATCTAAAGCAAAAAGAAGGAATAAGAATATTTAGATAAGCTTGAGAAACAAATTGCAGAAAATTAAGAAATTATTAGATAAAAGTCAGCATCAAACGCTTAAATTGATAAAGAGTATATGTTGAGTGCGTCTAAAGAATAAGAGATAAAGGATGCATTTGAAAGGATTAAATAGGAAACAGGCATTCATGATAAAAAAAAGGAAAGGGAAAGTAAATAATTATTGACAGTCTTCATTGAATTGTATTAAAATAATCAAATTATGTCATAATTTGTAAAAGAATTATAAGAAACTGTTGAAGAGCTGGAAAGATAAATTGAAGAAAAAAAAGAAGAAATATAGATGTATTCAACAAAAGGAGCTACCAATGATAATTAAAGAAGAGAATAAAAAATGGCACTATCAAATAAAATTTAGTAAGAAGAGAAAAAGAAGGTTATACTAAAAGCACAATATGAAAAATCTATTGAAACAATAAATTTAATTAAGAAATATTTAGAAGAAGTTTTCTAAGCCATCGATGTTGATGATGAAACAATAAAAAAACTAAGTAATATTCTTCATTTATATTAGAATCTGCGGCCATTACAGAGGAAAATATGGTACATTTCTTAGGAATATTAGAATAAAAAGGATTAGATGCAATATAAGAATATGCACGATTGATTGCAGAACAGTTGAAATTAGAAAAAGGAGAAGTCCACGGATTATCCTCTTAAGTTGATGATCTCAACAATATCATTGCTTATGAAAACGCTAATATTATGAATTATTATTCACAAGCTTCATAATTTAGATAAGAATGTCCAGATGATGTGCTTTCATTTAATGAAGAAGAAAATGATATGAAGTAAAGATGGTTTTAAGAAGAAGAATTTAAAAAGTAAGCAATGGAGGTATAATATTAATGTTAACAAGTCAATCTCCAAAAGATCTGGACCAAAAAAGCCAATTAAACCCAAGTTTAAAGAAAGAGAATAAAAATAATGAGGTTAATAAAATACTCAAAATATATTATTGTATAAAAAAAAATAATGAATTGGGACTAATCGCATTCACTAAAACAATATATTTGAATTATCTTCTTGTAGAATTGTATTGTATCAATTCTTTTAAAATTCCTATTTATTAAAACTCCAACCATAAAAAAAATATATTAATTAATATGATCTAATAACATAAATACAAAGTAATTGTTAAACCTTAAGATGTAACACTCGAATTAGAGATGGTTGTAAGTACAACAATAAGGGAACTTTACCAAGTTCTCTAATATTAGGCTAAGTAATGATAAATTAAATATGAAAGTATTTAAGGAGTAATTGACTAATGGACTTGCCTTTCCCTTTAAAGAAAAAAGTATCTAAATATTGATGAAGAGGTTGGAGATGTTAAGAATGAAACTTTTGAAATTAATACTTAACCTTAGCAATCATAGTCACCTCAAGCAATAACAACTATTAATATAAAAATTGCAATCAAAGATGGAGTTATAGAAAGAATGTTGGATATTGTCTTAAAAACCAGTGATACTTTAGAAGATGTAGCTAATGCTGTTTCATAGTATTGTGTAGTCGAAAAAAATGGGTAAAACTTTGATTATTAATCTAGGAAGACAACAGCTGTTGATTTATTTATATTTGGATAACCCTTTAACGATAAAATTAAAAGAGGAAAGTCGATATCAGATTTATAACTTAAAGACAACTTAACTATAGAAGCAAAAATTAGATGGATAGGAGGTTGAATGTTATAAGTATCTATTATAATAGAAAAAAATTACCTAAAATCTTTTAATATTGTAAATTTCTTTCTTATTCTAATAATTATTTAGATTTCAGAATCTCAAACAACAATCAAGTCTGTTGATGTCATTCAAAATTTTTTTTTAAATTATCTTCTATTTGACAAATAAATTAAGAATATTGGACTAGAAAAATAATTTGGAAAGTTGGAATCGAGTTTAAGAACAATTATTCTATTATTTGTATTCCGAAAGATCATTATTTGTTAGAAATTTATATTTCTAATGGTATAATTTAAGCTAATAATAATCTACTTCAAATAATTTATATATTTAATCTGATTTTATGTTATTTATAATTTAGGAGTGATATTAATATACATACTAGTTAAGTGAATTTCAAATTAATTCGATTTTAATAACATATAATAATATTGATAAAATTGAGGATTTCACAAGATGAATAAGTACTACTAGCTATCTCAACATATTTAACAAATGATGAATGAAATTCAATTAAGAAATTTAAGAATCTTTAATCTTTTTTTTTGTTTTTGAAAGTAATTAAAACTGTGAAATTATTAAGAGATATTTTTAAAATAATGAATTGGCGCATTTTTTTGTATTTAAATAGAGAATTTGTTTGCGGGAAATCATAAAATTTTAATCATGTTCACAAATCTTAGATCTACAGACAACACAATTAGATAATAAGCAGAATAAGAATTGTACGCTTAGGTTGCTGCCAATCCAATCGCCATTCTTGAATAATTTTTAATAGCAATGTAAAACAAAGATGACACAGAATTTGTTTCCATATTGTTATCTAAAACAATTTTTGAAAATGAAGAGAATATTAGTAAGTTGGAATGGAGTCATGTCTAATTTGTATTAAAGTTCTGTGTTAGCGAGTTAAAATAAGATAATAAGTTGTCTCATCTTAAGAGAATGTGTGATTTGGCGGTAAAAGGATTATTAAAGTTTACAAAATATGATGAAATGATTATGTTACTGTTTGAGATAGGAGGAAGTGCATAAACTTTAAATTAGAAGTTAGCAACAATGTATTATATAGAAATCATGTGTGAATTTGCATTATGTGATGAATAATTAATTAAACACAGTTAATAATTGAACGAAATATTTACAGCATATTTGAATGACTAATGCCCTTAAGTAAGAGCAGCAACTTGTTAGGGAATCAGTAGTTTCTTAGTTTCAATTGAGGAAGAATCATTATTGAATAGATTCAGTAATAATGCAGTAGTTTTATTATAATAATTTGCATAAGTGATGTAAGTCGATCAAGAAGCATCAGTTCAAGCCTTACAATCAATAAATGAATTATTAGAAAATCATCCTAAATTCATGAAAAATGTATATGGAGATTTATTAAACATCTATACTTAATTGATGTAATCACAAACTACTATATCATTGAAAAAGTCAGCACTTCATGGTCTTTAAACCTTATGTTAAATTGCCCCAGCCTTTATTAGAAAGAGTGATTAATTTAAGACCTCCTCTATTCTAATGATAATGAAAATGTTAACAGAGGTAGATAGAAAAGATTGGGAAAATACCTTTGATGATAATTGTTTATAATTGAATGATTTATCAAGTGTTGCTGAGGATTGTCTAGGTAAAATGGTAAGAGATTTGGGAGTTAAATATTTATTACCTATATTTGTTCCACTCATAATGTAAGCATTAAGATCACCAGTTATCAATGAATAACATGCTGGTTTGATTGCTATGGCAACATTATCAGATAAGGCAGCAGAACATTTCTAGAATGAATTGCCTAGCATAATGGATTTGATATTGCCATTATCTCAATCATAAAACAAATTGATTATTTATGATTTATTGACATGTTTAGCAGCTCTCTGTTAAGAATTCACACCAAAGATCTAAATTAATTATGGATCATAGATTTTATAATTGATAGTGACATGTATGTAATAAAAGATCTCATAAAAAATCCAATATATTTCTATAGCTTGTTTAGTTGATTTTACAAGAGAATTAGTAGAAGATAAGGAGGCAGCCAAGAATGTATTGACTCCAGTATCAACCTTTTTGATTGAATAATTATACTCAGTCATTTAAACTAATTTGACAGGTTCAATAGATTAATAGTAATAATAAATATTAGAATAAGCACTCTCTGCATTCAGTGCTTTGGCTACAAGTTTATAAGAACATTTCACTTAATATTATGATTAGATGATGCCATACATGATGTAAATGATGTAGACAGTCACAGTAAATGAAGTTAAATCATTATTGTTAGAATGCATTGGTTGTTTCTTAGTTTCAATTAGTACAACAAGAAAGGAATAATGTAAGACTGATTCTAATTAACTGGTCACACACTTCATCTAATTGCAGAACAAAATGGAATCAGATGATCCTGCTCATACATCCATTTTCTTCTTCTACACTTAAGTAGCCACGGCATTAAGATGTGAATTTGGATAATACTTAGAAGCTATCTTCCCATTGGTTGAAAGAGCAATGAGATTGGATGTTGGATTCTCAGTCAATTCATAGGCTGAAGGCAAGAACATTACTAAAGTCAAGTTGGATCTTAAATTCTTGGGAGTTAAAAGCTTATCCCTTAATACTAGTGCTCTAGAATAAAAAGTAGAAGGAGCTCACACTCTTGTTAACTTAGCTGAGTAATGTGGCAAATCCTTCTATCCATACATCACTAAAACAATAGTATTAATGAAAGAATTCATTAATTATAAACATAGCTCATAAATCTAAAAGTCAATGGCTAAATGTGCTGAATATCTATTAGCTGCATGCACACTTGAAACAGATATGGCATAAGTACTTATTTAAGTTACTCCTATGCTCATTACTGAATTCACTGTATTCCTTAACAGCAAAACTTATGATAGAGCTGCTGAAATTGCAGAAGTATTGGCTAATTGTTTGAATTAAGTTAAAGCACCTATTTTGGATTCTAATACTGTTGATTCAATGTATTAAACATCTAACAAGGCTCTTGCAGCGATAGTAAAGACTAAAGAGTCAATTACTTATGAAGATGAGGAGTAATTTGAAGCTGATTGTGAAGAAATTGATTCATTACTTGATCACATTACTAATATTGTAACTGAATTGATTTCTAATCATAAATGCGAATCTGTATAAACTATGATGCCAACCTATTACTCATTTTTAAATACTAAATCAACCAAATCATAGACCATTAACTCTATTGCATTTTTCAATATTGTTTTACCTCTTTGCAATGAATCAGTATTCTAATAAGCACAAAATGAAATATTAAAATGCTATTCTTCTTTTGCCAAAACAGCTGATCTAGAAATGAAACAAAATCTATTATTTGGTTATGGTAATATTGCAAAAAGACTTCCAACTCTTGATACAACTCAAGTTATCGAATTAGCTTCAACTATCATTGAATAACCTGATTGCAAACATGTTGATAAAGTAGCGTCATATGAAACTGCCTTGACAACCTTAGGTAAGGTGGCTATGTATTGCAATGTTGCTTAAAAAGAATAACTCTTGAATAAATTCTTAGATTCACTTCCACATGAATACCAAGATAATCAAGAAACTCATTTAATGTTTATTAAAGAAGTAATTTTATATACTAAGATTAATAGGTTTAAAATAACAATCCAACTTTGGTGTAATTCAAAGATTTAGTGATCCAAGCTCTGAATAGAATTAAGACTTAAGATTGCAACAATCCTGAGAATGAATTGTTGTGTGACGAAGGAAGAAAATTGATTTCATAATTATTATGTTGAATTTTATAAGTTATAGATTTAGTGTTTAAATTAGTTTTTTAAATAAAATTTTATTATTACATAAATAATTAGTCAATTAAATTTTTATTTTTTATTTTTGGTTACTAATTTTTAAAATGATTTTATATCTAAAGAACTCTAAAATTATTAGGCATTGAATTAATTCTTTTTTTAAAACAATGCCAAGATGTAATCCCCTATTCACAGAAAGAGTATTCATTATGATATATTTAGTTTGATTAAATTTTAGCTTCAATGGTAGAGGCAGTAGGAGAGGCTCGTTGGGCAGATATCGCTAGACAAATGAAATAGATTTACGAATTCGATATTCCCTAATAAACTATGATCTATGCCAGATGGAAAGCTATAGATCCAAAGATTAATAGAGATCCTTTCAATCAAGAAGAAATGGCTTAACATTGGAGAATGTGTGTCAAATATAGTTGCAATTGGGAAGAAATAAGGAAGGCATACGAAAAGTAGGGATAACTAAGAGACAAAGGATATTTGGCTTCAAAATATTATTAATTATTCTGGTTTAAATTAAGTGATCTAAATAGAGGCATAGCTAATTTGTCAGATTATAATTAACCAAAAATTGATTAGATTAGAGATATAACCAAAAAAAGGATCATGGAATTAAATGGCAGGGATATCAAACTTGTCAAAAATAAGTCTGCCATAGCCTTAATAAAAGGTTGTAAAACAATAATTAAGGTAATGTCTTTCATGGTTGACAATTACAAATTGGATTAAAATTTATTGAATCAAGAAGTATTACGAATTATAACGGTTGAAAGATTTCAAGAAGCACTATTTCATATTTTTACAATAGATACAATGATACTTATTTCACTTAATGAGATCAGACCTAACGATGATTTTACTGATCTATTTGAAATTAATGAGGAAATTAAATAAAAGTATAAGAAACCTACTAAAGTAAAATCCTGGAATACTGCTTTGGTAGAAGCTTCAAGTGATGAACACACTGAAGATGAAGATGTATTATTAGTAGAAGTTAAAGTTAATAAGTTCTTACCCAAGAATTAATTTGCTAAAGATGACATCAATCAGATTAAAGATAGTGAAATTTATAAATTATGCAGCACTGATTAAAACCATAAATTTTATAGTTGGTACAATCAAGCCAAAGATGATTAAGCAGATCTGATTGTAAATGTTAAAGAATTTAATGATACTCAAGAAAAAGTTAAATAATAAGAGCTACAAAAACCAGAAAATCGTTGGCAATTGAAAAAGAAAACTCCTTATGTTGCAAAAAAATAAATGAAGGCTATTGAAAAAAAGAAAAAGATGATCTTAGCTTAAGATTAAAAAGAGAAGGACAAGATTAAAACTGTACGAGGTAGAATCAAATTAGATAAGGAATTGTTCCATTGTCAATACACTAAATTCTTTGACAAAGAACCTAGCGAAAGTGAGGTTGAAGAAGATGATTATCATTATTCCCTAGTTGATGCAGATTAGATTTATAAATTGATGATGAACAATTAACATATCTAATGAAAATATAATTATTAAAAATAAAGTATATAAGTTAATTCTATTGACGATAAAATTATAATAAAATCAATTTCTTTTCAATAGAATGCCTATACTACTAGAATATTATTCACTATTGATGCGGGTCTTATCTAAATTAGAAGGAAATCCAGATATAGAGAATGATTGACAAAATTTTCTAATTTGTCATCTAATTCCAACTAATTTAATTAATTATTCGAAAATCGTAGTTAAGATTGTTAAATCTTGATAATAATCTATATATTTACAATATCAATCGACCCTAATTATTCAATTACATTCTTAATTGTACAAGTAGGCTGCATATGTATTGATTTTACAAAGAAGGAAATATAAATGTGCTATTTTTTATTACCCCTCAATAATTATATTGTTATGATGCAATAATATTATAAATCAAGCATAACAAAATAAAACTTAACAACTAAATATTTAATCAATGTATAATAAGGAAGGGATTTAGATTGAAGAGAAATGAGATAAGAGAATGCATTTTGGATTAATATAAGATTTATAAGTAATATTAATATTATATTAAAAATTGTCTAAAGATTCATAAAAAATAGAAAATAAATAATTCATAAATATCAAAAATGAGAATAAACTATAAAATTAGTTTATTAATCAAGGAATTTTTATGATAATTAAGTATTAATCATAAATCAAAGTAAGCGCTAAGATTGCTAACACTTAATTTTTCATCAAATTGGTTTTCATCATTCTAAAATGAAGTACATTAATTAATCGAATCCTTCATATTATTAGAATCTATTTCTTAATTCTTATTACAGCAAAGTTGAATTGGTTAGTATTGAAAGAAATACTTGATAAAGAAATCATCATCATAAGCATATTAAGTTTACTTTGCTGCATTCAAAAAGTTTTTATCAAAAAATTGTTCTTTAATATTACAATAATATACTAAAATATGGATTACTAATGCTTTTATAGAATCTTACACAAAAATGTTACATATTTTGCCTACGAAATTCACTTCTAATTTATGATTGTAGATATTTCTATTGAAATTAAATTTAAATGTTACAATTGTGTTTTATTATGTATTCTTCATAATTTTTTCTTATAATTTTTTGATTTCTTCAATTTATTTATGCAAATTTAATTAATTTAACCTTAATTCTTCTAACTAATTAAACGAAGAAGCAAAGTCATTAACTTCTGAATTTTATTTTATAATTTTTTTAATCTATGTTTCTGAATGAATATTGAATTATTTATTAACGTACTCAACACTATTTTTCTCTTTATTTAAACATTTAAATCCGTAATAATTCAGTTACCTAGAATTATTAGAAAATTATCATAACCTTCTAAAACTCTGATAATTTATATGTTTAAAATATTCTGGTAAGGCTTGATCAATAAATTTTTGGAGATTCAGGATTATGAATCCATCATTAGATTCGAGAATGTATATTATTTCCTTAAACTTTTAATCCTTCGTAAATAAAATTTATATACTAGAAGCATCTTCTTTAACTTAGAAATAAACCCTTATTTCTTTTCCAATTTGCGTTAAGTTGGATCATCATCTTAATTGTGGATCTAAACTTATTGCATTAATTAAGTTAATTAAAATAAATGATTATAATAATATAAAGATATTAATCATTAGATCTATGATTATTATTGGCTATGCTATTCATCTTCTAAAATTTAATGTCCGTATATGCTTAGAAATCTCTACTTCCATTCTTTGGCAATCATGTTCTACACTTTAGGATCAACAATTCCAACCAAAACCTTATAAGGAACATCTGGAATGATATTAAATGTTGGAGTTAATTCATGTACAATTTTATCAACAAAAACATCAGCTCTCTTTTTAATATAAATATCTTCTTTAATGTCCTCCTCTGTCTTTTCAAGATCACTCATGTCATATGACTGATATAATTATTTCAAGTTCTCTGGTATTTCAACCTTTCCACTTTTTGTGACTTCCTTTAATCCTATTTTCTAAGTATACAGTTAATCATAAAATGATGGATGTTCATCTGCTGGAATTATCTACAATTATAACATTTCATACTTTACAGCTATTCTATTAACAATAATGCATTGCATAGATATTCTCTAATCCTGCATAGAAATCAAGCTCTTTCATCTTCGTCACTTCACCAGGATTTGTTTTTAAATGGTAATCTACCTTCTTCATTATTTCCTACAGGTGTGGATTCCTAAGAATAGGTCTATATTCATCTTCCAATTGTTTTTCTGATATTTATAATGCAATTAATTTAGGTTTAGCAACATCCAGCACTTCCTTCAATAATGCTAAATCTTCTCCTGTCTTCTTATATCCCTGCAAATAGAAGAATGTCATTGTACTATATAGTACTCTCATATTATCCTTATTTAGTATTGCATTCCTTCGTTAAACTAAACTTTCAGTATTTGATGATCCCTGACTTATTCTTGGCTTCACAATTGAATAAATAGCCAAAAGAGCAGTGGACCCTAATCCAAAAATTATCGCTGCTTTTTCTGCCTTTGTCATTTTGAAATATTAAAATTTAATTATGTCAATTATTTAACTTTTTTGTGTTTCTTTATAATATACAGAAATTCATCTATAAATAATGAAAAAAATCATCTATATTTATTACAAGCTTCTTATAAACTCTTAAACCAATCAATAGGTCCGCTAGCACTGGCTCTATTAACAATCATTTTTGGAATATATCCTTTAATATCATTGTTAGAACAAATCGAGATTTTTACATTGTTTTATTCATAATCCTCAAATATCATGGATGATATTTCTGTGTATGCTCTAATTCTGTTTCTATTTACTGGATGCTGAGGATAATCAATAGAATAGAATATTAAAGTGATCTACCCTTTTTCTGGAAAATCGTATCTCAAAATTCTTCTCTAAACCCATTCTCTAGGAGTGACTAGACGTATTGGAGGTTGCACATAATATGCCAATATATCAATATCTTCAGATTCCGTTTTTATAATTTAGAAATCCCTTAGTAATTTATCCCTATTTAATTAATTATTTTAATTACCACTCTCTCCTTAATTTAATATCGTAAACTACTCTCAAGGCTAATTCTAAGGAGGTCTATCAAATTTAAATAATATAGTATTTACATTTTTTATTATACCAAAACCTTTAATAAACACATTGTCAGAGCCTTCCTTTAAAGTTTTGTAAATTTAAGCATCTTTATTGTTAATTGCCAAATCCCATTTATCAGTAGGTTCATGTATCAATTATAAGAATAAATCAAATTTTTCAATGGATAATTAACAATAGTGTTAAGGGTATCTGGAGAATAATTTTTCCTTTTCTGAGTTATTAATGATATCCTCATAAGATTGATAAGGTGTTGAATTTATGTAGTATTTAGGATCAATTTTGGAGAAATTGATTTTATTTGGATGAGAATGTAATCTCAATTAAATATCTTTAGGTTTTTACTCTACAATTTGTTCTAGTCGTATTTACGATTCATTATTTTAAACGATGACATCACACTATTATTCTTCATTTTCAACTTATTCTATATTTATTTTTATTTCATCTTCCTATACTATTTTCTATTTTTTATTCTATTTCTGTATAATGCATTAAATATCTTAACCAACATTCTCTAGATTTCTGAAGTTTTATTATTAGACATATAATTTGAGATTTGTTGTATTTACACTTAAATTTAATTATGAACTCAGCATCTTTATGTAATAGATACTCATTTATGGATCAGGGAATTACTTAGACAATTGAACAATCTCATTTGAATAAATGAACTCCCTTGCCTTTTTAATTATCAATGGTAATTTGTTATCAGGTAGTTAATTTGAAAATAATGACACTACTGGTTTAATAACATTGTCTATTTCTTTCAACACAGAGATTTCCAGTTGATTTCTATAATTATTTTATTGATTAAGCAATTTCATTTGCTCTTCGTTTAGACATACATTTTAATCCTACAAACTAAAATACCTTAAAATCTTTAATTACTCTTCCAACAATAATAAACTTAATTCTATGGAACACAAATACAAATCTTGATTAAGGAATAAAAAGGTCTTTTTCAATAGATTCTAAAGTTGAGTTTAGTTGATAGTTGAAAAATACTTAAAATGAAGAGCTATCTTAATTTCTGTTAAGATTTTTTCAATTACGAATCTTTGGAGATTAATATTATAACAGTATTTCTTTTTCTGTAGTTATGCCCATTTTAAAATAGTTCTTAATTTTATATCATAAATATCTATTTCCTTTATATCCTATTTATTTTATAAAGTCTTCTTAATTCTCTTTCCTACTTAATGACCTCCTACAACTCCTAAAACACCTCCTCCGATTCCACCTACTAAAGCAAATCCAAAAACAAAAAAACCTATTGCTCCTAGCACAATCATTCCTAAAATTGTCCTATAAGTTTAGATGCTTAAAATATACCCTAAATTCCTTTAATCAAATTCATCACTCTTCGAAAGCATCTCATCAAATTCTTTTGTTTAAGTTGGAGTTAGATAATTTTAGGAAAAATAAAAGTGTTTTGACAATAACAGTTAGATAAGTCTGTATGGTGTTGTGGCAAGTGCACTAAATTCAATTCCTAACTGAATATTTAAAGTGGGATGAAGTATTCCAAATTCATAAAACTAACAACAATAATTCCACATCCTTTGAAATTTTTGTATTTTTAGCATTTATTGAACTTGCTCTAAGTAATTTTACATAATATATTCTTATTAAATAAATATAGGATATGGTTTAATAATATTATGAATAAATAAAATAAAATACTAAATTCGATAATAATATTTATTAATATGTAAAAAATATAAATAAATACTTATTCATTTTACATATTAATTATAATACATAAAATTTAATGTTGTATATTACATTTAATTATAGATGATCGCTTTTATTAGAAGGTAAAAGTATCAAAATCTAGTAAAATGGAATGATTATGAATATGATATTGTTATTCATTGTAATCACATATCTAGATAGATTGCATTTAAAGTGTTATCACTTTGAATATGAGTCTTTTTAAAATATAATTAAAATTATGATTATTCCTACATAAGACTTACCTTTTAATTCCTTACAATAAGTAAGAATTATAGTATAATAGGAAGGTGGGACAAAGAGATGTAAATCAAGACATATTTGATTTAATATATTGGGTTCAATAAGAAATACTAAGTCCTGAATTGTTGCCATATTTTGATGTTTCGAAAATACAGGACACTTTAAAAGGGTAGTTGGAATCAATCCAAGATCTAAAGAAAGAATTGTCAAAGCATAATAAATAACGTGATACTCAATATTTGACACTGCATGTAATTGAATTGGAGAGAATCTAATATTTTTATCAATAATATTTACGAACAAGAATGTAAAAGTTGATCCCGAATGTGTTCTATTATTATAACAATATTGGAGAATATCAAATGAGTTTGAAGGAGAAAGAATTCTTAAAAACATTGGTTGAAAAACAAGCAGACTATTTATTAACAAATTGTTTAAAATATTATCAGAAAACTTAGAGAAACTTTGGAGTGAGATTGGATAATCAAAATTAATCACAATAAAGTTAGTAGGATGATAAAATCAGTAATAACAAGTTCGATGTTATATAGATGTGTAAAAACCGGAGTTAAATTAATATGTAGTAATTCATGTAAATACAACAAGAACTATACATGTTGGGTCTATGTAATTGATTAATAATATTTAAAAGAGCATTGAGTGAAAATGACAGTGCCTTAGTTTCATATGACGACATAAAGTAGTTATCATACGTTATTCTTAGATTCATGGTACCAATTAAGAGTGTGACATTGATTTGAAATAATAATATTATTTTTTCATCAAATCTTTATGAATATTATCAACCAGTTATTGGCAGGAGCTAATTGTATGACAATTCATAACCAGTTTAGTGTTTAGACTCAATTTCCAGATGTGCAACAATAAGAATGCCATTCCCTAACCAAAAGAAAAGGAAGAATAACTTAATTTGCTTTAAAATACTATTTTCTCTAATCTAGTACATATTCTTTTTAATTAAGTAGCTCATGGCATCCTAGATGAAAACTGTCCAGTAATCACAAACTTAATAAGTCTAAGTAGTACAAAAGTCAAAAAAGATGTATCTATTTCTAAATATCGTTTTAGAAGTAAGCGTAATAATAATTGTGGACACCCTGAAAAAGAACATTATGCTAAGGGTATGTGCAATAATTGTTATCATAAATATGGTAGAACTAAGAAACCTTGGATCTGTGGACACGATAAATTATACGCTTGTAATAATTATTTATTAATAACTATTAGAAGGATTATGTTAGAATTGCTATATCAACAAATACAATCAAAAGAGGAGAGAATAAGGTGATAATGAAGTTCTCAAACAAGAAGATCCAAACCAACAATAATTAGAACAATAATAATAGTCATGAATATTTATTTCTAATTATATTAATATTATTTTTTTCCTTTCTTATTTATACACATTTTCTTATAATGATAACAATAACAAATGATCATTTCTTATTTGCCTCTTGTAACAACTCATTTATAAGACTTCTCATCTTTGGTTGGACAATATAACCTTTCACATCAAGATATTCAGCACTGTCAATTTTACGCTCAACTAACTAGAATTATTAATCTATTATCTATTTACTAAGGCTTTATGTGGCATACTATAAATTCTTAAAACAACAAATCTCTAATATAATTCTTATGATGCTCCAAATCCAAAAGTCTTTCTGGTTTTCTTGTCCTGACAATTATTTAATATTATTACATCATAGAGTATAAAAATATCTCCTTCTTTGACTTTCTCAAACCATTAATAGATGTATGTAGATACATAATAACTAATACACGTGTATAATCAAATTTACAATATGATGCAAGCTATCAATATATAGTAATCTTGAGGATATGGGATGTAGTGATAATGTGAATAGATTACATTTACAATCATAAACAAACCAAAAATTACTTTGTAATTCTGAAATTAAAAGTTTTCTTTCAATCCATCTTTGGCAATTAACTCATCTGAAATAAATTTACAAAATGCATCCTTTGTCATATAAGTATCAAATTTATTTTCAGTCCTGTATATTTCTATGTTTATTTGTTATTTTACTTGGTTTTTATTCTTTTACCATTTTATTAAATAATAATTTATTAGATCAACCTTCCTCCTCTTTATCATAAAAAATAAATGAAGGGTAAAAAATGAATGAGATTAAAATCTATCAATTATTAAACTCATGTTTTTAGTCTATTATTTATGAGTATAATTCTGAACAAATATTTTTATAATAGAATTTGCTTATTTATGTTTATACAAAAGAATGTGCTCCTAATTCCTTATTATCGTCCCTTTAATCTGTAGATGAAAGAAGATTTAACTGTGGATGAAATGCTAAACTTTATTAAATAAGACAAGGAGTAATTTATAATGTTAATTTAGAATAATAGGAGGTACAAATATGTGGAGTTGCTATTCATACAATAGGAATATCAAATTGGGGGGCAATGATTTAATTGGAAACATGGTGGATGAGTTATTTATTATTGTTTGTTAGAAGCAAATTGTGAAACAAAAATAAATAGCAGTCACCATTCAACCTTAGAATATTCACTTTTTATTGAATGTAACTTCTTAATTTTAGATCATTGATTTATTCAACCACATTCGTCATAAATATTCGTAAAATTGGCAATTATCATTAGACTCACTGAAAATTATTCGAATTGGAGATGTTATTCTTTACACTAAGGTCAAAACCTGAAGTCAACCGAAATGCTTGTAGATTTGAAAATCGATAATTTCTATGTTGTCACAAATGAAATTTATTTTCAAAAACGAATATTGACAGGATTAAATATAAGTTTGAATATGGAAGTGGAATCAAATTCCAAAATTATTGATATAGTGCAATTTATTAAAGAACATTTAAAGTAAACTTAAAATCATATAATCAGATTGTAAGGAGATGTATACTAATGGACTTGTCATTCTTTATAATTAAATAAAAATCTGGATTTTAATTCTACAGTTAATTAAATAAATGGTGAAGAATTGCTTATCACAACATAAAATGGCATCTTTAATACTTAAAATCTATTTTCGACTACATTTGATAGTTTACATTATGATTAACCTGTTAATTAAACCAATTCAATATTCCAATAATATGATCATGTATGTTATTTAGCTAAGAATAGTAATAATAAATTAATTAACAATTCATATAATTAAAACTTGAGACATTTGAAGGAGTCAATAAAAGATCCTATGTTGATTATTTTAGTCCTAATACTCAAATCGAAAAGTTGGCTAAATTAATTTTAAATTTTTTATCACTTGACATGTAGCAAATAAATAAAATACTATCTTTAGGTCTTAAGTTACAATTGATCTTTTTATAAATGGGCATTAATACAATAATTAAAAAGATAGAGTCTAAACTTTGTATTAATGTGGTATAAAAAGCAACTCCTTGGTTTAAGCTAAAGTAAGATGGTTAGATACAAAAGCATGTCTAAATTGATAATATTGATATGATTTATACTATTTTTTTGATAGAATTATGGAATTATATAAATTCTTATTTCTTACTCTACCAGAACATATTATATCGTAATTTACAAATGAAACATACATCATTAATCTTCGATATTTTCTCTTTTAACAGGGAAACGTTCTCTCTTTTTTTTAAGTTCTTTTTTGGCAATTGGTAATTGGAATAACCATTCAGGCACTTAACAACCTGATACCTTTAACACATTGGCCAATGATCGTAACATAGATTTATCGTCGTCTGTAAATAGTGTAATGGCCTTCCCTTATTTACCTGCTCTTCCTGTTCTGCCCACTCTATGTACATAAGTAATCATTGATTATGGAAAATCATAATTAATAACTAATTACACATCTTTAAAATCTATTCCTCTAGCCATCATATCAGTACAAATAAGCATCCAAATTGTACCCTTATGAAATTACTCAACAATTTCTTGTCTTGTCTTACTCTCCATATCTCCATGAATACAATTCACTCTTATTACTTTCAACTGTTCTATTTCATACATCAAGGCTTCAGCTCTTGTTTTGGATTGAACGAACACTAAAACAGGTGGAGTCATTTAGCCTTCATTAATCAAATTCCTTATTTCTTATATTTTTCCATATTCATTTGATACATATCTCAATTGTTAATCTATTCTGCTTAGAACATGATTTCTTCCTCCTATCATAATTTTGATTGGGTCTATTAGCAATTCTCTATAAATATCTTCAACTGGTTCTGGTAATGTAGCACTGAAGAACATGTAAGTGATTTATAACGATTCCAATATCCTTAACAATTGTTTTACTTATGCTAGCAATCCTAATTCGAAATATTTATCAGCTTCATCCATAATTACATATTCTACAGTACTTAAGTCTACTACTTTATGCAATTTTAGAAACTTGAGTGGAGAACTAATAAGGATATCAATATGATTCCATGCTTATTTAAAAGCTTATTTTTCTCTGTTCATTTCTTGAATTTGTTTAATCTTTAATTCCTTATTAAACTTATTAAATTCTTTGTATAATTAATCAGCTAATTCTTAAGCAGGGGCAAATACTAAACATCTTGGACCTCCTTCTTTGTGATTTTCTAAATTTTACAAAGTAGGCAAGGCAAATGCACAAGTCTTTCCAGATCCCGTAGGAGCTATAGCAATCAGATTCTTCTTTTGAAGAATGATTGGAATAGCAACCATTTAGATTGGAGTTGGTTTTTAATAACCAGATTTAGTTAGTTGATTCATTAAATCTTAATTGAGATAATTCTTCATCTTTGCAAAATTGGTTAGAATAGGGGCATTTATATTATCCCCACTTATTTTAATTCTCAACTTCTTGAGTAGAGTGTTTCTATGCTAAATCTCCTATGTTCTCCTTTTGGTCATTTCTTCTTCTATTTGATCTAAGCTTTCTTTCCTTCTTGCTCTTTTTAAATCATGTTCAACCACTTTTGGTTATTCTTCAGATTCTTATTCTGACTCTGGTGCTTCTATCTTTTATTCTACAACTACTTTTTTCTTTTTTTGTGTACAAATTCCATTCTTTAAGACTTAAAATATACTCAACATAATTAAATTTATTAATGGATAAATAGAGTACAAATATATTATTTATCAATATATTTATGTTCTTCATTCACACTTAAAAGCTGATAATTAAGACTGAATACAAACATTATTATGATTCAAATACACTAACCAAATTTATATATTTAGCTTAAGACAATGATATATATTTGCTGATCTGATGAAAATAATTATAGATAGCAATTAAGATTAAGTTTTATATTATATTTATTAAGAATGTAAACGAAGTCTAATGATTTCCGAGTAAAAACATCAAGACAAATATCTAAACGACCTTAGTAGTAGACATTTTTGTAAGGTGTTCAAGGAGTTTCGTAACCAAGTAGATTTTATATTGAAAATTAGCATTGAAAAAGAAACTATCTCCAATCAGATTAAATAAGTATAATGTATTTATGGATTGTTTAAATGACTTGACATAACAAAAGTTTGAGAAATGTCAATCCAGAATATTATTTTAGCAAATTGAAGAGAAAGTTAGGAAAAATCAATTACTTTGCATTTTATTCATTCAGAATGTTAGTGTGTATAATAAATACGATTTACCAAACAATAAAGTATTTATATGAGTAATCCAGATTCCACCTAAATTTTCTTGGGAAGCCATCTATCGAGGAAAGACATTAATTTTGACCACTCCACATTAATATACAAAAACCTGTCATGGATTAGTTGATTTTATGTTTAAATCAAATGCCAAATACCCATTAAAACTAAAATTATTGAAGGTAAAGAATTATGAAGAACAATACATTGGAGAGATAGATTTGTCAGTTTCAGATTTTGTCGATTTTGAAGTTGTATAAGAATATTAAGGAAAAATGATAAAGGAAACATTTGTTTAGAAAGAAATGTTTAAAGTATACAATGATTAATCAGCATCAATTGGATAGGTTAGTTTGAAAATCATACAATTTTGTTCTTCCAGTGTTCCATCAAGTATTAAATTAATTAATTGCAGATAAATCATCGAATATTCCAGGATCACCAAAAACAATAGAATAAAGAAAGAAACATCAACAAATAGAGGAAGGAAAGGCAAAAGGATTTGATTGGGGAAGTAGTAAGGACGAAGAAATAATTATCTAATTGATTCTAGAATGCCAAAAAGAAATGACATCTAAGGTTAAACAAAATCTTGAAGAAGTCTAAGAGATAATCAGATGTAATTATTGGTATAATAAATACTAGAGATGGAGAATACTCTCTGTGGATTATTAAAAGAAAGTTGTTTTGCTCCCGACATTATGGGAAGAAGAAATGCTTTGACTAGAATAAAGAGAATAAGAGAAGTATTGGATAACCAGATATCTGGTCTAATGAAGCAATCTGATCCTGCTTATTTGGAAATGCTTGTTTAATTAAGATTGACGACAAAATAGGGAAGAATTAAGAAAACAGACATTGAATCTGCACTCTTCCATTTTGGTTGTGAGGCAGCTAAACTATTAATATTGACAGTTGATGATTTTGGAATGTGTTTAGTAGATTATATGTTGGATTCTGACTCATTGCCAGAAATACTATATTTCTTTAATTAATTAGGTTTAAATGAAGATGTCCAATTAGAAATATTTGCATAATCATTATTTCAAAATATTAAAGAAAGACTTAGAAAGAATCATTACTTAAAAGCTCTAGCTTATTTTATTAATGCTTTGAATATGTATCCAAATATTGGGTTGATCATTGCTTAATATGCTATAAATCCTGAAAATTCATAAGTTTTGTCTCCTTTTCTATTGGAATTCAATATACAGGATTATTAACATGTGATAGTGTTATCTAAATTAAGAAAATTATGCAAGAAATTCTTAAATCCAGAATTACCATTTATGTAATCTATGGAAGAACAGTATCGTAAAGCAAAATAAGAAACCTATTTCAAAATACCAATTCTGCCAAAGAAAGTAGAAACATAAGAGAAATTTGATTTATTATAATTACCAGAATTGTAATAGAATATATTCCATGAAATTGTAAGGAGAAAGAGGTGGAATTTATTTGCAAGATCTTGGAAGCAATTTGAACAATTTGTTTATTAACAAGATCATTAAGGAATTTCTCCTATGATGATGTTTTTAGAGAATGCACCCTTAGATTAGATACTTACTTTAGATTCTCTTTAAAATCAAACTTCCTTAAGTGGTTAAACATCTTTGCACTTTTTGATTATGAATCCTGATTTATCAGTTAATTCTTTACAAGCTTGTATTAATAAGTTTAATATGTTAAATGACAAGGTTTGGCTTGGATTTACACCTCTTGCCTTATTTTTGGATAGATTAGTATATAAATAGAAGAAGCATAAAAGTAGGATTATTAAAGAATTGAAGGCTGCTCAAGAGACCAATACGAATAAAGGCGTTTAAGTATTAGAGATCTTAAGTCAATCTGTAATTAATATTATTAAGCATTTCAATTTCAGTAAGTATTTATTGTATTGTTAAAACATCAAAAAGGATAACTTTTATGAAGATTTCAAAAAAGTGAAGCTCAAAAAACCATTTTAATTGTAATAATAGAAAAATAAGTAAATTATAGAATGGGATCATTTTTATTATTAACACACAGTTCCAGCTATGATTCTGTGTAAATTAGATGAATCAATTCAAGAATTAATATGGTAGTAATTTGATTGGATAAATTGGTTATGTAGTAAATAAAATTATCCCTATGAAACATATTACAATTAAACATTAATGGTTTCAATAGCTAAAACGACTTAAACTCAATATATTTATTAATATCTAACAAAAGATGTCTAAATTACTTATAAAGATAACGATAATTTTAGTGGAGATAAAAACAACACTTTTGATTTTTTGCCACTCTTCTAATCTATTTATTAAATAGCAGAAATAACCACAAAACTAAAAGATGATATCCAAAAGAAATATAAGGGAATATAAGATATTAATAAAAAGAAAGAAGATGAGGATGATAATCCTAAGAAAAAAATAAAATTGATGTATCAAAATCTTACCTAATAAAAATACTAATAAGTATTGGATTAATTAATGTAAGAATAACAATCTACAGAGGGAATGCTATAAAACAACTTTAAATATTAAGGTGTAGTTAATGATTTGATGGTTGCCAAGAGTCTAAACTTTGGAAAACTCTTTAGAAAAGCTTACGATTCTAAATTCCATGATATGTTGAATTTCGTAGATATTTTATTAAAGGCATTGAGTCACAATAATATGCCAGCTGCTCATATGGCCTTATTCTTTGCTTAATTAAGAATGAACAAGAGCCAAAGAGTAGCTCAATTAAAGACCAATCAATAAATATATTTACAATCATTAAATACACATTGGTGTATTGAATTAGATTTTCCATAATTCTAGGCTATGATTAATGATATTAAAGACATCTGTTAATAAAATGAAGTCAACTTTGTGATTTTGATTTTAGCAATGAATGGGAGATTCAATAAATTAAAATTGATCCAAGATAGAATGACCAATCAAAATTATATTATTTAAGCCCTACCTATAGCGGCTCATCAGATCAACACAGTTAGAAATGCACTATATTATGAAAACTTAAATAAGCTATTATAGGAATGTGATGTAAAGAGACTTTACCCTGAAGACAATCTTGATTTCTTTAAACCCCCAAAGGAAAAGGAAAAACCAAAACCAGATCCGAAAAAACCTTTTGATAAAGCAAAGCCAGTTTTTCAAAAGTGGATAATCGTTTAAGGAGCATTAGTATATATAATAATTATTACCAAAGACTACCCAATTATAATAGATATATAAATATGCAGCCAATAGCTTCTAGAGAGTTAAATCGGAATTCTCCATTCTAGCCAAATAATATTAATAATTATGGTTCTAGGAATACTCCTATAAATTAAGAAGATTATTCCCTAGATAAAATTTTAGATCTGTCTTTTATTCTTCAAAGTAGAAGGAATCTGACTTTGTAAAAACTATAGAATTACTAATTGAAAAAGTGCTCTAATTAAAATTGACACCTTCAGACGATTTCTTCAATTATGTTCATGTTCATGATAAGTTTAGTGAATTGCTATCCTAATCTCCCAATTAGAACATTTGTATTGTTTAGGCATTTAAATCAATGATCAATCTTTTCAAATATGAGTAGTCAAGTGAAGTCTTATCAAGATGTATCAATTTCTTAAAGAAATACTTAAATTCCAAAATATTTAAAGATTTGAATGAGCCTGACACATTTAATAGAGAAAGTCAATTATTAACAAATTACTTATCAAAAAGTGATCCATTATCCACTCAATGTAAATTCGCATGCGAGGTTTTAATTCTGATGGATTAAAATTTTACTACTTAAGAATTCGAGACCCTAAATATCATCTAATAACCATAATAATTAGCAAGTCTATTATTGAAGTACAAAACTTTAGAAAAAAGAACCTTAGGTTTTATCTAAAAATACTTAAATTCTAGTAATAACTAAGCTAAGTAAGCCTTGTCTTTCAATGAATCAAACATGAGATATATTGTAGATTTGGCAAAGTAAGGAATAAACTTGATAAATGAGAATGCTTTGGAGTTCTTTATTACAAAAGGGTTGTTCAATTATTTAAAAGATTACTTCTTAAGTTCATTGAAACCTAAGGGAATGCTAAATGATGACTAAAAGTAGTTTTATTTGGGATTTGCATTTTCAAGTGGTTCTTAGGAGACGATTCAATTATGTTTAGAAGATCTGTGTAGCCTAAAGAATAGTGAATTGAAGTAATTTATGCTAGAAGGCAATTTATTGGGTCGAGCAATTGCAAAAGGATCTCAGGAGACCTTATTATATATTACCAGAAAGATAATGAAATAATTGACTTTCAGTGGTAAAGAGATTATGAAGTTATTACTAATTTAAGATAACTTTGCTGAGCCATTTTAATCAGACAAATATAAGAGATCATTATTCACAACAATATTCTTATTGAATTATGATATTTTTTATAAAGAATTTTTTGTGGATTATCTATAGAAGATTCTACCTTAAGATTACAAAAATATTATGATAAAGATATTAAATGCTACAGTGTGTAAATTGGATGAAAATAATAGTTGGACTGTATTTTAATTAGCTATCAATTGTGGATTCTTTGATGTAATATAAACAGTGCTATAATTGAATATCAATATAGATCAAGAAGATTTAAAAGATATTTCAATAAGCAATTTGCCTTAGAAATGGCTTTTTTAGACTCCACAACAATTGGAGAATTTATTGAAATAGGAACACTATAAATAATTATATAAATAATCAGCATTAAGATTGTACAGGATTTGCAAATACCATTTGTGTCGACAAGAGAAATTAAGAGAGTTGGAAATCTGCTTAAATTTAGCTCCTTTGTATAATAAGATTGGTCTTTCATTATAGAGTCAGGATCCAATCATTAATATTATCATGAATCAACAGATAGACCCAGCAAAGTAACCTTTGATTTATCTATTAAAATTACATTTGGATTAAGTAGATAAAACCAATTCATTTATTTTGGTGGAAAGTTTTTGCGATAAGCATCCTTAGATAACTCATGATAAGATATACACACAATTGATTAAAAACAGAGAGGCTTATGAATTATTAAGAATCTATTACCCAGAGTAAAATGAACCTGGAAATGCTAACTTTGATTTTGATCTTCCTTATAGTGACAATATTGTGAAGGAATACTTGTTATTATAAGATCCTCATCAATTTTTGAGATTTATCACAACCAATTAATAATTAGTATTTTCACTAAGAGTATTATATGATAAAAACGACGATTTGGATAAATTCTACAATGCTTTAACAGAACCTCAACATCTAATAGTTTGTGGTTTATTATTATTGATTTTGAATCCAAACAAACATACAGAAGTTGTTCATAGTAAATTTAAATAGGCTTTTGAACTTAGAGATGATCCATCTGCCTCTCAAGTTACAAATATCTTCAGAGGAATATTGAGATACTTTGAAACAATAGAATAAACATTTGTCTTCTTCTTTTCCTTAATCCAATCATTAATGAATAATCAAATATATTAACAACTTATCTAAATTAAACCTATAGGAGATATGAATAGTTAAATAAGTTCTGAAAAATAGTTTTTGGAAGACATTAAAGATGCATTGATCTATAACACATTTACACTTTAGGATAATGTTTGGGGTTAAATCTTGGGATAAAGTACAAAGGTATCACATGCACTTCAGTCTGACAAATGGTTCCATGGAGTAATATTATTAATTCTATCCTAGTTATGTTTAATAAAATCATTATTACATGTATGTTATTAAGCAGAAACCATTATTCATGAAATATATACACTGAGCAAATTAGATGATTTCATATCAACTGATTTTTGGGGAATTCAAACTGCAAACATAGAAATAAGAGCAGAATTACATCCAGCTGAATAGGTTGCTTAACATAAAGTTATTGTATTTAAGCAATCCGAAAATAATACTTGGAAAATCAAATATCCTTTGGGAATGGTTAAAGGTAATATTGTTAATTGCATATTAGATACACAGTTTATATATCCTTCCATATTATCCTCATAGAAAGGAACTGAACATGCAAAAAATCAACTCATTTAATAAGTCTATGAATAAACTAAATATGATATTCTACCTAGAATTGATAATTTCACCATTGAAGGCTATTCTCATGAAAATATTCAACAATTAATCAGAGAAACTCATGATAATATTACTATAACAGTAAATCCCTACACATTTCAAGGCGATTCAATTTAGTATAATGGAAAATAACTAACATCTAATTATTTAACAAAGCGAAAGAATAAGAAAGAACTTATTATGATACCAATAACCAATCAAATTACTATTCAAGTTGTTTCTAAAGATGAATTTATAAGAAGAGAAAAGTATTCCTTTTTATTCAACTAAATCATTGAAGACTCATCAACTAAATATTGGACATATTAAATAGATAAGGAAAGCGTTTCATCAATTAAAGATGATTAAATTATTATGGAATTATATGAAATGACTAAGGATAGATTAGGATATCATATTTAATTCTAATCCTTTGTTGAATGCTACTTCAACAAATTAGCTAATGGACTTGAAAAAGCAACAAAAAAATGTAATTTTTAATTAATATTTAAGCTATATCTCCTAAAATGTGTATTGACATAGGCTTATAATGGGATATGCTAACCAAAGTGACCAAACATATTGCTTCATATATTAAATTTACAGAGAATATTTGCTTTGAAATGGCTGAAATAGATCAAAGAAAAGTAATAAATACAGTATTTATTATTAGTCAATTAATATTAAATTGGAAGGTTTTGATTCTATCTTTAGATTTGGTTAAGCTGAACTATCAGTAGCTAATAATATCATAGTCATCAAACTAAATATTGCAATGATGACCAATGGGAACTATTAACAATTATTGCAAACACAAAATAGATCCAAATTAAACAACAGTGAAATCAAAGAGTCTGTAGATATTTAGGTATTATTATTATATATCTAAATTAGTAATATTTACTGTCTATTTTTAATGAATAATAATTGTCACAATTATGATTTCATATTATATATCTATATTAATATTATCACACAAATTGTATAATCATCCAATTAGAGATAATTTCTTAAGGATTGCTTTTATTCTCTTTTATTCATTCAATATATTATTTGGGAAATATCTTTTATAATAACCTCTTGCTTTTTAATAATCTATCCTCAATTGTTATTCGTAGTACAGTTCCAAAGTAGTCAAATATATCAAAAAGGAAAAAACATAGAAACAAACTCTATTTATAAATTAAATATTTACATTAATTGTGTTTCTGTGGTTACATAGTAAGAAAAAATCTCTTCAAACTTATTGATCCAAATTGTCCACATATCTTTTCGACTGGCAAATATATAAGGTTATAACTAATAATTATTTATAAATACCAAATTTAAATTATAGATTGAATCAAAGGATACTTCTGTAAACTTCGTCTTGTTTTCATCAAGTTGACTCTCAAAAAGAGTTGCTATCTAATAATAAGTTTGTTGCAATCCTCTTTTTAATATTCCATCCACAATATTTTAACAATCTTTTGAATTCTAAAAATTAAGTAAGATGCAAATATCTGAATAATAGTAATCGTCAATTAATGATTATTTTGATTCAAGCCTGTTAGAATTTGTATCTAACGCATCTACAACAAACTATTCTAGGTATTCTTGATATTCATTTGATATTATTTTATGAATATCATAAAATGATTCGATGTATAATTCTTTAGAAAAAGTAAAAGCCCATGGACTAGTATTTTCAAAAAGAAAAGGGTTCTAAGATATTTCAATTTTCAGATCATAGGCATATTTTTGCATATAAATATTGTAAGTTAGAGCCATCACAATCAAAAGGAACATAAATATAAAGTATAATAGCATCAATCTTAACTTTAATTTAAACCAATAATCTGAGACAATAAATTTAGTGGTTTTTAAAGCCATTGTCATTTTATAATCTGCTTCAGCCTTTATAAACCCTTCTGATTAAAATGAAATATAATCTATAATTAGTAATTAAAATATATACTATTGGTTTAATATGTGTGAATATCATTAAAGTAATTAAAATATTATCTAAGTTTTTAATAGTATTTTATTACACTTTCGATTGTAGGCTAATCAAAATACTGTATTTGACTATACATAGTTTGATAATAATCTATTATTTTAAACACGTTAAAAAAATTAATTGCCATTAATGTCCCTAAAAACATAAAGCCAGATATCATATCAACCAAAAAAAACACTGATCTAAAATCAAATTCCTTATAAATTTCATCAAGTAGGTCGATCTGAATTTAACTTAAACTTTCGAATAATCCTGGCATCAAATCCTCTTGCAAAATCTCATAATATTCAAAGTCAAAAGTTATTTATGATAGGTTTGAAATCAGGAACTATTCTAATAACACTTAAAAATTTTTTATATCCTCTAATAAATTCTATTAATGGACTTCATTATCATGCCTAATTATAATAGTTGAGTAGATGGTTTATATATTCTATTTATCTCTATAAAATTAGTTGAAACTCTAATTAACATTCTGCAAATCTAAGAAAACTTTCTATTCCAATAGTTCTTATTTATCATTTATATTTGTATATTAAATTATATTAGAGCATAATGTGGCATTTTAATTACAAAGAGCCATATCAATTAACTGATTATAAAGGATTGAAACGTCTTAAGCTACAAGTACCGAAGAGTAACTCGAATTAGCCTAATAATAATTTAAAAAATACTCTTAAGAGGAATAAATTGGTGTAACTAACATTAGGTCCATATGAAAATGATAGCATTGTAAGAAAGATCATCCCAACCATAAAATATCTATTTGTCCATTTGAAATAATTAATCTTGTTAAGATGCTTTTTGATTTTGTTATGATCCTCCTTTATAAATATATTTTAATCAGGTTTTATTGAAATTTCTTAGGCTATAGAATCGTTAAAATCATTTTTCATTTGGGTTTCATTGATTAAACATCTGCATGAATTATTTAATACATTCTCACTTGAAGGATTTTTAATATCTTTAAGAGATGGCAAATTTGTAAATTGTTATGAAATTTATTTTTAGAATTATTATTATTTTGGTTCTAATTTTATTCTTAGTGTTTTTCTATTGACGTCACCTTTAAGTAACATTGATTGTCTTTTAGATTTAATATTATTGAAAGTCTCAAATCTATTGATTTTTATTATTTAAATTTTATCAATTAATTAATTTTATTCAACTTTAATTTTTGCATCTATTCTAATGACTTTTTTTAATTGGTCTGCTTTACAGAAATATTTCCGATAAAGATATCCTTTATAAATAAAATTATATACTATACACTTCTAATTAAGAAACTAAACGTATTTTTTTTAAAAAGTTGATTTTCTCAACTAAAACTTTAAAATTAAAAGCAATTTTTTTTCTTCCATTTCTTATAATAATACTTTGTTTTTTCATAATAGAATCTTCTGGATAATCATAAAAATTCTCTTTCTCAGCATTAATTATTAAATTAAAGTATTCTGCTTGCATCCGCTAATACAACATTGGAATTCTAATCAAAATTTAAAAGTATTGCTCATTTTGATTTTGAAGATTCGAATTCAATAGTCGTTATCTTTCATCCAAATCGTCTTCGTGTTCTTTTATAAATTGTTCAGTAAATTATTTATCTTAATCTACTTCATCAAATACATTATCATTAAGCATACTTTTTTATCCTAATGATATCAAAAATGATACTTTATAAATCACTCTGAGTAGTTTGCTATTTGGAAAAACCATAATGTTTATTGGTTGAAATTTGAAAAAGCTAATAATCATCTTTTTCAAGGAGATTTTGAAATTGAGAATATAGTAATAGTTTAGGACAACTTAATAAAAGATTGAATTATTATTCAAAGATATTCTTTAACTATCTGGTTGCCTAAACTATTTCCCAATCCTCATTAATAACTAAATAATTGCCTGATGATTCATGTTGAATTGGCCTTATCATTACAATAAATTCTAATAACATGAATTAGTTAATGGATATTTTTAAGTATTTATTTGCAGGAATAAGATATGAATTATGGTGTTATATAAGTACTTTTTTTCTTGCATACAAAGAACTTGTCTTCCCTTTCTCAACAAATTCTTTTACTCTTAACATATGATTTCGAATCATTGAATTAGGAATGATTTAATTTATGTTAATTAGTCCTTGTATTCCAAAGATCTATTTTGAATATTCATTAAATTTAACAATGTTTCCATTTTCTTTGGCAAAGATAATGGATGTCATCGAATGGAAAACCTTCTTAGGATCAAAAGCCTGCAAAAAATGATTTTCATAATCAGAATCTGAATCCTCATCACAATAATTCTATTAAAAATTGCTTGTTGGGTGATAATCAACAACTTAACCTTTCATTTTTTAATTTAGAATGTATCTCTTATACCATAAATATAGCAACTCCCATTATGGTTTTTTACTTAGATATTTTATTTCATTTTATTAAACATCAAATTCCTTATTATAATGATTAATTTTGGACCATAGCTTTTCGCATTCATAGATTCCAATTTATATCTTATTGTCTAATTTAAGTAAATCTGATTCTTCTACTTTTTCTAAATTGACTATATTCCAATATTTCAAATAGTTCTAAATTAAATCAACTATCTTGATTTTTATTTTCTTGATAATCATCTCTACTTCAATCACATATTCGAAATCTAGATAATTACGATAACTATTCGTATTCTAAATCTTAATTTTATTTTCCATCATCATTAGCATCAATTGAAAATCTAATTTCTCAAAAAATGATAATTTATTGAACTTTTATTTTAAAATAGACATCTGCAATAAAGCTTATGATTTATTTTGAATTGAAAAAAATAAGTGTCTTGCATATAATAATCTCATCTAGTGATTATTTTTGTTTTAAATTAAACAATGTTCATACAAAGATTTAATTTCAAATCGGAAGAATGATTTATAATGTTATTATACCTTTGATTTTTAACTATTTACAAATACTCCTCTTCTAGCATCGTAAAATTAATGTTATTAGCAAAAACAATATCCTATTGAATTGTTATCAATTAGAGGATCACCTTATTAATCAAAATTTTATTATTTCCTTTCCAACTTTGAATTACATCCTTTTTTAAGATGCTTCTCAATCAATCCTATTATTATATAATTATTATCTCCTGACGATGAAGCATTTAATTAATATAAATAATAAATTTTATTCAATATTAATTAACTTGATATTCTCTCTTACATTAAATAAAACAGTAATATTTTATTTTAAAAAATGTTTCCCAAAGTATTTAAAAATACAAATATTATTATTATGCATAAGAAATCATTAACCTCATGATTTAAATATAAAACCAAAAGTTCTATGAGGAATGTTAACAAAACACCTAATAAACTAAACATGAGATGCTAATAAAATTAATTTATCCTATAATAATAAAATGATGGCTTCTAATTACCAAAAAATTAGTTTTCCAATAATTTCAAAACCACCAATATCAAAATAATCAAATATGATACCTAATATTTCTAATTTACATTACATAATGAGGAATAGATTTAATATGAATGCTATTTAATATGGCTATTGTTGTTTTCAATATACAAACATTTAACATGATCTACCTATTACTGCAACTTAATAAATCTATTCTAAATTGAACATTTTGATAAAAAAAAAGCAATATCGATAGAACCATTATTATATTTAAGAACAACCCAATTATAGATATTGCAAACAACAAAGCAACATTATTATAGTTTTCCTTTAACAGTTCATTCCAATCCAAAATTTAATTATTTAGTAACAACACTTCAAGTTAAGCTTAAATAAAGGGCTAGAATAAGCACCAGTAATAAATATCGATAAATAAAGTATAAAGCTAAATGCAAAAATTATATTTACTTTCAAACAAGTTGGTTGATTTTTCTCATTTTTCTCTTTCTAGCTGCTCATCACTCCCAAAATAAAGTATGCAAATGGAAAACAAAACCCAATAAATAATATTATTGTTAATATTATAGAGCTCTCTTTACACAATCTCTCAACATCTAAGAAAGTAGGTATTTATAAATATTCATCCACTTTGCCTTATCTTTAATTCTAAACTACTTATTCCCTATATTCCATTTCTCTTAAAATAATCTCATATTTTACAAAGTAAAAACACCGCAGAAAATTTATAGCAATCCTATGCCAACCAAACAAAATGCTTTTGTTTTTGAATTTTTTTTCATATTCTAAACTTTAAACAAATAACCACAGAATTTTTTCATAAAATTACTTGTAAGTCAAACTCTACTTTGTTTAAAGTATATTATATTAATTATGCATAATAAATCCAAATATTTGAAAACAGAATTATATATAAAGCTGTTGGGTTTTTAGGATGATCAATAGAAATTATTTTATGAGTATTCTATTTTCTCATATGCTTTTTAAGGAAACAAATTGTTTTTGAAATATGTTAATAAATTATTTTTTGGTACTGTAATCTCAGCAATCAGTTAATTTTTCTATATTTTATTAATATACATTATTAGAATTACCAGACTAATCTGTATTCTAACATTAGTAAACAACTATTTTGTATTTGAAAAATTCAAGATGGATCTTGGACTAAATAAAAAGATTTTATTTATTTTACCAATTATACTTTTGAAAATTTAGATATTATTATTCAACAACATTTTTGTGATGATGAACATTAATTAATTAATTAAATTTGTTTCTATCATACAAGTTAATATCCAAAAACACTATATTCAAGCAACTTATTTGAATGGAAATAGATTAAGTTGATCCATTTAATTTGCTAATTTACAGATGATTACAAAATTAAAACATACTCCATACAGGTAGAACAACTGAAGTTGAAAATGTTAGTAAAGAAATATTTAGGCTATCAGATAGTATTTAACAATACAGCAGCAAATATTGCTATAAGGATTCAAGGAAAATTAAAATTAATGAAATTCGGATAATGCTTATAATAGTCACAAGAAATTTAATTTTTTAAGAATCTGCTAAAGTTCATTCTCTTTTTTTCTCTTAATTTGCTTTTTAATGTTATCTTTCCAAAATAAAAAAATAAATAAAATATGTTTAAGAAGGTCCGATGCTTTTCTATTTATAAAAATTATATATAAGTGACTAAATCTGTATTTTGATTAGGCTTATTAAATTATTTGTTGTCATTTACTTTACACCTATTCTTTTAGAATAATTTATATATTAAATAATAATATTATTTTCCTTGGATTATGTAACACCCAAAAAAGACAAATAAATTTTAAATTCAAAGATAATAACCTCAGATTCATTTTTAAAATGTTATATACCCAGAAACAAATAGCAAACCTCTTTGTAAACTTTTTGAAATTAACAAAAATCAATTCACTATCTCAAGAGAACTAATTAATAAGAATTAATCTATGATTGCTAGTAAAAAATAATTATAATTATTGAATCTAATATTATAATAACAATCGCAAAGATAACTGGATAAAGGCAACGTTAATCAACCTACCATTTATAAAAGTTTAATAATTAGAAGGTCATTGCCAGCTGTAAAACCAATTAATTAATAAAATGTTTTGAGCAGAGAGAAGAAATCATATTCGGTATAATAATCAAGAAGATAATCAAACTCTTAAAATAAAATTAATTTATCAATGCGAGAAACTAAAATTGGACCTTGGGGAGAATGATACGAATCATTAATAATATTTTTATAACCTTGTTTTAATCCAAATTATTATCAAAATTTGTGTTCTTAAGGTCCTTTGACACTTCTCTAAGCTAATTTCGTTACTCTGTAAACAAAAATTTCAATCAAAGCAACCAAAATAAATATTACTGCGATGAATCATAAATTATTTGATAGGCCGCACTATATTATAATAGGTTTTAGATCTTATCCTTTCTTTTACATGCAAGTCAAGTTCATCAAAAACAGATTTTCAAACACCTACCCTATTTTTCTAAAGTTGTCAAAAAAATATTATTAAACTCTATCTTTGAAATTTATAATCTTGACATTTCCTTACTCCCTAGCATTCAAAATTAATGGTTTGACTTATACACATTTTCATAGAAAGTTTCTTAATGAGAAGCCTATAACTTTGAAATAAATTACTGTTTAATTTATATATAAGAGAAAGATTTTAAAGAATTTTTAGGATAGGAAATTAAGTATAGATGAAAATGTAGATACCTGCTCTAAAGTTATTAGGCTAAATCACTATTGCTAATTTCCTACAATAGAAAATTAATGAATTATTATCTATAATTTTCTTTTCTTTGAGTTATTCTTACATTAGCAAGTCAATTTCCATTTATAATTTTTTACTTATGTATAATAATTTCAAAGATTTCCAAATAAATAAATAAATTTAATCTTATAACACCTAATCACTAAAGAAGGCTCAAAAATAAATGCATTGCTCCGTTAACATATAATAATATTAGTTAAAGAAATGTTTCATGATGGTCTTTTATAAACACTTAATTTACATTCCTTGTTTTACTTCAGAAGGATCTTGTTTAATTAACAAAATTAATAGTTCATCTGAGTCTACCATAAAACTTTGTATTTTCTAAATTAGTATGGCTTGAAAGTAAATAATTGTGTTGAAATATACTGTTTTAGAGATACCGTTATTTAGATTAGTTTAATAAGGTTTTTGCTAGATTTTGTTTAAGCAAGCAATTATGGGTATTTTTTAGAAATGCCGTCAAACGAGTTATAGGCCTAATGAAAGGAAAAAATCACTTAAAAATACAAAAGGATTTAACATGCATTCATATACTGAAAAGCGAAATCTGATGAAGGGTTTTATGAGAATAAAAATAAGAATTATGCTTAAAATATATATGTTGAGATAGGAATAAAAGTGATTAGTGTTGGAAAAATGGCAATATTCACTCAGCTAAGAGTAGCGAACGTTTCTTCATAAGAGTACTGCTATTTGTGTTCGATAATGAGATCATTTTTGAAAACTACAGATATTTAAGATATACATTACTAATTATTTTTTCAATGAGAGGTTGTACATTTCCTATTTGAGAGTAGGATTTGTAAAAGATTGAATGTTTAAATCGTTTAAGTATTGACAGATTCTTTCCTCAAGTTCATTGACTTCTTCAGCTGCATCATAGCTTGAAGTTCTACTTAGACTATCTTCAGTAGTCCAAGATTATCTTAAGCTATCTCCATCTGAATTCTCACTCTAAAATCCGCCTTTTAGCAAGTCCATCCTTATAACAAAAGATTTAATTAACTATATAAATAATACAAATTCCAGAGATTATTAGATGTATTTAATTCTGTATTCTTAATCTCGCATATTATACCAACTTTTCAAATATCTGCCAATATTAAATAGGCTAGTTAAGTGATTTTAAATACTGTAAATATATGAGGATTAGAAATAATTATCAAATAATTTGTTAATAAGTAGTAGGAATTATCTATTATTTTGATATACATACAAGTTATTAAAGTAAATTATAGATGATCAAAAGTCATAATGCAGTCTATAAATTTTATGTTGTTTAATAATTATATAATTAAAAGAAAGTTGGTATTAATATAAAGTATGACGACATATTTCTGCAGATCTTGAAACATATAAAATTATGTTTGAGATATTAATATTAAATGATAAGATTAAATTAGTTGGCAGGCTAAGTTAAAGAAAAGAAGGCTTAAATTGACCCAATGGAATATTTATCATTGTACGATTTATTGACTCCTGAAGAATTGGATGTTCGAAAGGCGGTTGAAGCATTTGTCTAGAAAGAGGTTAACAATATTTTAATAATGTAGGTTGCTCCTAAAATCAATGATTATGTAGAAGCTGCCTAATTCCCCACAGAAATAGTCAATGCTGTCAAACCATTAAAATTATTCCATCATTTTTTAAATAAGCCATATGGTCATGGAACTTCTTATACTAAATAAGGAGTAATTTTGATGGAAGCAGCAAGAGCAGATGCAGGTTTTGCCACATTTATTGCAGTTTAGTAAGATTGAATTTAATATTAGAAATTTGCTATTAAATTATACATTAGAGAAGTTTGGTAGTGAAGCTTAGAAGCAAAAGTATTTAACAAAAACGAGAGATATTGAGTATATCGGCGGATGGGGTTTGACAGAAAGAGGTTATGGTTCTGATGCTTCAAGTCTAACTGCAAATGTAAAAAAGGTTTAAGGAGGTTATATTTTAAATGGAGATAAAAGGTGGATTGGAAATGGAAATAAGGATGTATTGATTGTTTGGGCTAGAAATTTAGACACAAATAAAGTTGAAGGATTCATTGTTGAAACAAAGTGGCCTGGATATCATGCAGAAGTAATCCAAGGCAAATTAGCATTAAGAATAGTTTAAAATTGCTAAATCACATTTACAAATATATTTATACCAGATGAAAATAAATTAGAATCTGTTACTGACTTTTAAAATGGACCTAATTAAGTGCTTATGCATTCAAGAGTTATTGTTCCATGGATTGCCCTAGGAGTTATGAGAGGCGTTTATGAACATTCATTAAAATGGACAACCACAAGAAAATAATTTGGAAAATATATAGCTTCATTTTAATTATAATAGGAAAGATTAGTAAGGATATTATCCACCTTTTAAGCATCATTTTTGATGGTTGTGAGATTATCAAGATTGGCTGCTGAAGGTAAAGCTACTATTGGGATGATCTCAAGTGTTAAGGCTTGGGTAACAGATAAAACAAGAGAAGTAGCACGACTTGGAAGAGAAATGTTAGGTGGTGATGGCATCATATCGGATAATTATGTGATTAAAGCATTAACTGATGCAGAAGTTCTTTATACATATGAAGTGAATTTTTATTATATTTTAGGGGACTTATGATATCAATAGTTTAGTTGCTGGGAGAGAAATTACAGGGATTGGAGCATTTAAATGAATTATTAATTTAAAAAATACCAAATTTCATTATTCATAATAGAAAATACATTAATTTTTAATTAGTCTTTTCTATTTTAGAAATCCCATAGGGGATTAAAGTTTAATTTAAGAAAACTTTCAGATCCGCTTCTGCTTAAAATTAACAGACCAAATCTTCCGATATTTTAAAAAATTTCAATAATATTTGCAATAGAATTGCTATATTAAATAATAATTGTCTTACATTCTCCTTCAAAAAGGAAAACATCGAATAATTTAGTAAAGTCATCCTTTTTGAATTGTTTCTAAAAAAAAAATAACAACGGAACTTCAATTAACTCACTTATTTTAACGCCGAGTTATTCAATTACACATTTTATGGAAGGCATAAGGGTGTTTTAAAATTTTTCGGTTTCTATAAAACTAATATTTTATTTTAATATCCTTCTGTAATTCAAATGGAATAGAATATGTATAGCCATCCAAAATACCATTTGTTCATAAAAATCACACATTCTATTTAATTAATTGAAAGAGTAATCCAAATTGATATATTATTCTGGATCCAATTATTACACTAAATATTCAACAATTTGATCAATTCCTTTAATAAATCCAATCTCAACATCATAGTTTGCATATGCTCTTAAAATATCAAAAACTAAATCATTGTACTTAAATAAGTAAGAAATATACTTTCTTATCCAATTGTTTAATACATTTAAAAATTTGTGAATCATATTGAGACTCGCAAGACTTCAACTTTTAATAAATATTTGATGTATGCTTTTTCATTTAGGTGTTTTTTATATCTGTCATCCAAAACCAAGTTGCTGGTCTTAGGTTATTAAGAATTCCGAATCTTACATTTCTTTTTAATTCATCTCTCAAATTAGTGACTCAAATTTACAATTCAATTTGATTTAAATTCTTGGTTTGTATAATCATTTGCCATTGAATACCTGACCATGGTTTCTTTTCATACTGATTATTATCATAATCAATTATAATCATATTGCTTTTATCTATAGACTCATCAAAAGAATCCTCAATTTTAAATGACAAAATACCTCATCATTAGATTTGCAATTCTGCAATATGAATCTTTCCACCATTTCTTTTTTTGAATTCTTTTTTTCCATCTCATTATTGTCCCGTTTTTTCCTGCCTAAACAACAAAACATTATTAATAAAAATTTTAATAATAAAATGAAACGATAAAATTCTGCAAATGACACAACAAGCCCAAGTAAATACTTCTCAAATGCCTCAAATCAATTTTCAGAAATACTTAGATAAATTACTCAAAATTGCAATAATAAACCAATTAGAAATGCTTGCAGTCCCAACTCAAATAAAAAAATGCAACAAAGAGTAAAAACTTAAATTAGTATATCTCGAAATCCTAATTCAAATATTTATAATAACAAAATTAGTGTGAGTGTTCCTAAAAATAAATTAGAATATTATTAAGTATTGGAATAAATCGGATCAGGGAAATTCGGTAAAGTTTATAAATGTTTGCTTAATTAAACGAAAAAATTATATGCCATCAAGATGATAGATAAATTGAAACTAAAAAAGAATTAAATGATACATTAATTACAAAGAGAAGTTGCCATTTAATAAATGTTAAAGCACCAAAATTTTCTTCAGTTAGTCGAATTTTTTGAAACAAATACCAATTATTGTCTAGTATTAGAGTATGCAACTGGTGGCACTCTTTTTCAATCATTGATGAAACAAAATAATAGAAGATATTCCGAACCGGCAGCATCAAATATTATTAAATAGGTTGCTTGTGCTATCTAGTTGATGCAAAAATTATCCATCATTCACAGAGATTTAAAACCTGAAAATATCCTATGGTGTGATGGCTAAATTAAGATAAGTGATTTTGGTTGGTCAGTATAGGACAAAAAAGAAAGAGATACATTATGTGGTACCATCGATTACCTTCCACCTGAAATGGTTTATGGATAACAATATGATAATTCAATTGATTTATGGTCACTCGGAGTTCTGACCTTTGAATTAACCACAGGAAGAACTCCTTTTTAAGTCCAAGAAGGCTTTAATTTATAATTTCCTGATTATTTATCAGGGGATGTTAAAGATCTGATGAAGGGACTATTAGCAGATAAAAAAAACAGAAAATCTATTGAATGGGTGTTAAATCACGTCTGGTTATGTTGACGCATATATATACATATATATGATACTTTCATTTATTTCTCCTCTCTGTATTTTCATTCCCTAATTATTTAGTTCCAAAATAACTTATTTCTCAAACTATCGATCCAATCACTATAATGTATCTCTTCATTGAAAATTACTAGATTTAATTAAAATTTCCAATCTATTCCATATTATGACTTCTTGATTTCGAATATCATGTCTTTCCTAAATTCCTGGATTTCCTAGCCATCAACATTTATAAATCCATTGGATCTACATAAATTTGATAATTCTTTAGTTATATTTATACATGGAGGCACACTATTTATTTAATAATTGCAAGTTTGCAATACCTCCTGCAGATAAAAAGTCAGCAGTAGATCCTGTAGGAGTCGAAATTATAATCCCATCCCCAATAGCATCTTGCTAATATATATTTCTAGAAATACAATTTGTATTCAATCCTCGAAATATAACAAACTCATTAAAAGCATGATATTTAAATTTTACATTTAAAACCCCTTCCATTCTTATTCTCCTTTAAGTATAAAACTATTGACTAATTCGATAATAATTAATTTAATCCTATTATTATTCTATCCATAATATCTTTATCAAATTAACAAATAAAAGAATTAGTTCGAACTTTAAATGTAGAAGTGGTGGAATTGGTGAATTTTATAGTTATTGTATAGTTTGTAGAATAGTCCCATCACTCCTAATATAATAATAAAAGAAATAAAATTGAAGCTAGATAGATTTTAGAGAAAATTAAGATTTGTAAAGGAAATGTTAATTTTAGTAAAATAATTGATCTTCTAAGAAAATGTTACACTTTTCTTGCTTAACATTATTACAAGCTTAATAAAAACTATTGGCACTTATCATTATTCTTCGAGTAAACCAAGTTATTAATAACGTCTTCATCCTATTATCTATAACTAAAATCATATTCCAAAATAATACTTAGAATATCGTTTTAAATAAACAGCATCATCAAAAACTAATACACTCTTCTTATCTGTAGTTTACTAATCTTTTTCGATAAGGGTCTAAACTAATTTCTTTTAAAAATAAATTACGTNCATCGATTACCTTCCACCTGAAATGGTTTATGGATAACAATATGATAATTCAATTGATTTATGGTCACTCGGAGTTCTGACCTTTGAATTAACCACAGGAAGAACTCCTTTTTAAGTCCAAGAAGGCTTTAATTTATAATTTCCTGATTATTTATCAGGGGATGTTAAAGATCTGATGAAGGGACTATTAGCAGATAAAAAAAACAGAAAATCTATTGAATGGGTGTTAAATCACGTCTGGTTATGTTGACGCATATATATACATATATATGATACTTTCATTTATTTCTCCTCTCTGTATTTTCATTCCCTAATTATTTAGTTCCAAAATAACTTATTTCTCAAACTATCGATCCAATCACTATAATGTATCTCTTCATTGAAAATTACTAGATTTAATTAAAATTTCCAATCTATTCCATATTATGACTTCTTGATTTCGAATATCATGTCTTTCCTAAATTCCTGGATTTCCTAGCCATCAACATTTATAAATCCATTGGATCTACATAAATTTGATAATTCTTTAGTTATATTTATACATGGAGGCACACTATTTATTTAATAATTGCAAGTTTGCAATACCTCCTGCAGATAAAAAGTCAGCAGTAGATCCTGTAGGAGTCGAAATTATAATCCCATCCCCAATAGCATCTTGCTAATATATATTTCTAGAAATACAATTTGTATTCAATCCTCGAAATATAACAAACTCATTAAAAGCATGATATTTAAATTTTACATTTAAAACCCCTTCCATTCTTATTCTCCTTTAAGTATAAAACTATTGACTAATTCGATAATAATTAATTTAATCCTATTATTATTCTATCCATAATATCTTTATCAAATTAACAAATAAAAGAATTAGTTCGAACTTTAAATGTAGAAGTGGTGGAATTGGTGAATTTTATAGTTATTGTATAGTTTGTAGAATAGTCCCATCACTCCTAATATAATAATAAAAGAAATAAAATTGAAGCTAGATAGATTTTAGAGAAAATTAAGATTTGTAAAGGAAATGTTAATTTTAGTAAAATAATTGATCTTCTAAGAAAATGTTACACTTTTCTTGCTTAACATTATTACAAGCTTAATAAAAACTATTGGCACTTATCATTATTCTTCGAGTAAACCAAGTTATTAATAACGTCTTCATCCTATTATCTATAACTAAAATCATATTCCAAAATAATACTTAGAATATCGTTTTAAATAAACAGCATCATCAAAAACTAATACACTCTTCTTATCTGTAGTTTACTAATCTTTTTCGATAAGGGTCTAAACTAATTTCTTTTAAAAATAAATTACGTTGTTTTTGATCTATTAGCAAATCTTTGCAAGCATTCTAAAAAATATTAGGAAACCTGAAATGAGAAATCGCGATTTGATTCTTTTATTAGTTTAATAGCTCTGACATTGGGTAGTATTTGAATTTTTTGTTCTTAATTATATTATCAAATTGATTAACAAACCAATTGAAAGAGCTTACTATATTGAACTTTTAAGTCAATACACTAGATATTCAAATGTGGCAAATAAGTATGGGTAGTAAGGAGACTAGATTAAAATTTTTTTGCCTATTAAAAATTAGATCTTGTGGTGGCAATTACCTTTTGTGACTATTATTATTGTCCCTCTTAAAGAAATTAATCTAAAATATTATCATATTTGCTTATTCAAATAAATAATTTTAATATAGAATATAATTCTTCATACTTAGGGTCTCTAAAACATTATAACTAAAATTTGGAATACTTGGAGAGGAAATATAGTTTTGTTCATAATAAGAATCTATGAGAGTGTAATATATTATATATATATTCATTTTATAAAGAATTATGTTGTGTTCAGACCTAAAGAAGAAAATGCTCTCCTTCAACCCTATTTAATGTCTAAAAGGACTTTATTTTCATTAATAATTTCATAAGGAGCATTAATTAACTAATTGCACTCTATTCAGTTTATTCCCAAACAATATTATCGTAATCTATAAGGGCTGCTTTGAATTGATCAGCAATCATTTTTATCCTATAAATCAAATCTAAAACCAAAGTTTTGTTCGGAAAAGATAGATTTCATGATATTTCTCTAGTTTTGCACTCCTCAATGGATCTCTTTCACCAAAAAAAAATACTTAAATTTACAATTCTAATTAAATTCAAATTTACTATCTTTTCTTAGTATCAAACTTTTTTTTACATTTCAAGCTTTGCCTAAGTAAAATTTACAAAATCAATCCCTGTAAGTTCATAATTGTATACATTGAAAATATTTTTATTCTTTTCTTAATAACTCAATATAATCAGAAACATTTTGTAATTAGTGTTAATGATAATATTTAATGAAGTCAACTATGGAAAGGCAATAAACTGTCTTATTGCGAAAAGATAGATTCAAAATCATTCTAAATTTTGACTATTTTTAGTCCTTCTAATGAAAAATTAAGTTCAAAACCTTAATAAATTTATATTTGAAGACTTTGTGGTAATTTAGGACTTAATTATGTTGAAAATTATTTTCTAACATGAAAATTATCAGATTTGGAGATGATGGGAATATTATTGAATTTTATATAAACTGCAATTTCCCTTTAAGAAAAAATTTCAATATTTCTATTTTTGATTTAATCCTATTCTAATCTATTTAATTTGGAGGTCTTCAAATTTCTTCTCTTTAATCACCAGATGGATGCAAACTTTTTTATTAATGGCTATTAGTCTTTGGTATCTCGATAAATTGAATTTTTCAATAATTTAAAATTTACTTCTGATTTACATTGTTTTTTTTAATATACAAACTAATTTTGGATTTTGAGTCTTATGATTTACATTAATTATTAATTATATAAATCTCAATAGATTTTTTTTATCTTCTAAGGAGGAAATTTTAGACTTATTCTTGCTTTCTTCTCATTACATCCTATTGCTGGTAATTGGCATGGAAGTACAAATACTCTTTTTTTTTTATGAGGAGTAAGTATCTAATATAAATCAATATTTTACAAACTAAGCTCTCTTTGAAAGATTTCTAAAAGAATGTATTCTTAAAGTTATCGAACCATTCTAAATATTCTTACCTATCCTACAAACATTATTAAAATCATCTGAAAAAGGTTTTACTTTAGTTTCAAAACTGCTTCTTTTAATTTAGTATTGTATCGTATGACATAATTTTGAATTTTATCCTTCTTTAACAAAACCTTGCATATGATATTTATGTTATAATAAACATTAAATTTTTAATATAAATTAATATTTTTATATCAAATCAATCATGAAAGAACCAATCCTTATTACTTTAATCGTTTAAGTGGAGGAAGAAAACGATTTAATTGTTAAATTTCCTGTAAAGAAGGTCAACTCTATGTGTTATATTGAGAGAGAAAGGTTATTACGATTTCTTATCAAATAACATAAAATTCAACTATAAGATAAAAATAAGTTGATTCTTGGTAAAGTTTATTAATTTAACTAGAATTTTATGATTTTCAAAATGACACATTTGTATCGGAGAAGTAAATTACATTAAATAACAATACATTTTAATTTGCCGAAAAATTTTTAGGTTCAACAGAATAGCTTGTTTTAAAAGTCGCAATTTACTACAATTTCAGTTATTAAAAACTAATCGAAATAGATGAAGCGATTGAAATGTTCGAAATGAACAAAAGATTTTTTTAAGAGCAAAATAAATAGTAATAAACCTAAATTCAGGAATATGCCTTATAGTTTTAAGAAATGAAAAATACTTTAGATATTATCTAAACTTAGCTATCATAAAAATAATAAAAATAAATAGAGCATGCTGATATTGTTATTTTGTATAGTAATCCAATTATAAGAGTTAATAATGGAATAAAAGCATCATTATTTTTAGACTATTAAAAAGAAATTGATAAAATTGTGGAAACTATTAAATATTCTAATAAACCAATTAGATATCAAATTATGAATGCTACAAAAAACAACTTAGAATTGGCAATAAAGTTGCATCCAGTCATTATACATGTGATCTCCCATGGAGATTATGATGAAAAATCAGCATGCTTGTATTTAGAATTTCAAGATGATGGTATATCTACAAAATTTTAAACTCATGAAATTTAAAATATGATTCAAAATCATAAAGCTATGACAAGAATAAAACTTATTTGCATAAGTTCTGTTGTTGCAAAAAATATTGCTGATTACATACCTAAATCAATTCCATCGGTTGTATTCCAAAAATTTTACAATTAAGAAGATGAGGAAGGTCCTACCTTTTGGGGGACATTTTATGAAAGAATATTTTCTGATTTTACAATATAAAAAGCCTTTAATGAAGCTAAATCAAAGCTTGAGAGTAAATTTTGGGAAAATAAGAATAGAAGATTGATTTGTTGTTGTTTCCACAAACACAATGAAAAATGTCCTTATGATCCAGCTTCTATTGGATACGAAGTCTCACATAATTAGCATCTTCCATGTGCTCAACAAAAGTGGCTCCATATTTTAGAAACACATGAGGCAACTCATAAAAAATAATGCAGATTAAATTGTTTAGGAATGATGACACACAAATGTAAGCAATCAGAATTTGAAAATTGGGGATGTCTAGATTATTTTAAGCGAATTGATAATATAGCTAAGAAATTGTAAATTCCTCTTCAAGATGATTTTCGCTAAAATCTATTATTTGGAAATGATCTTATTTGTTGTTGTTGTGATTAGCTAAATGGAATATAATAAATTGCCGATTCCAGCAATTTCTTTTAGGAGAACCTGCAGCATACAATTGAATAAAAAATTCAATTACATCTTTATGATCAAAATGAAAATAATCTAAATTTTACTGAAAAAATCGAAAATAATTAAGATCAATTTACAGAAATAAATTATATCAAAATTGATAAATAGATTATCGTAGTTCATTCTTTTGATTAGTAAAATAGTGATTTGTAACAATAATCCATAAATGCCATAACTTCATACTTTGAGGTATTATTAGATTAATTTTTAGATTTATTTAAAATAAATTTCGAATAAGAAATAGATTAAAAGAATTTTAATCAATTTGAAGGATTATTAAATACATAATTGGATAGAATATGTAGCAAGTCAATTAAATTTTCAATATTCCAGTCCCGAAGACTTTTTTATCAAATTTAAGGAATACTTCATCAATCTTTAGAATTCCCCTCAATACCTTTACATATTCCTTTTTGAAAATATTGTCAATATATATGATACTGATTAATTTAAGAAGTTTTATGAAGAAATTTAAAATGCAATAGAAACTCATTTCATTCTTATTTTTACGGTTAATAACATCCAAAAGGATAATTTAAAATTGCTTACATAGGATAAACTAGTTTAACTGATCGATTTAAAACAGATCAATAGTTTACTTGTTGCAGAAACAGCATAAGAATGAGTATTATTTTAAATAATTTTATAACTTATATTGATAATTTTACTGGGCATAAAACTATACGTAATATAATAAATATAAAAGAATGTTTGATGAAAATATTAACATTATAACAGGCTTTTATTAAATTTTCATTATGTTTACACTTAAATGCAATTATAGCTCCATAATTTAAGTTATTTACCATGAAATCAATATCTGTTTCTAATGAAAATATTAATTGTGAAACAATTTTTTAAAGTATTTAGGAGCTATATAATATAAAAACAATTAAAAAGGCTAAAAATAGAATTTTATAAAGTAAATAAGAAAAATATTATAATATTTATGAATCTTTAATATTCAAAAATCAAGTTTATAGTATTATTCTCAATTTAACATTAATTGAGGTGTAATAAAAATATGGTTACCAATAATTACACACTTCGTACAATTTTAATTCAGTTTATCATTTAATATTTTTAATTATGAACCTTCTTTTAATTAAATATTACTATTTGATGGTATTAATTTTTGCTTTAATAGTATTAAAATATTTGTTACATTCTTGATTTTAATTTTTGAATTAAATTAGGAACAAATTGTATATATTTTAGGGCTTAGATATTTATAATCTAATTATTAATAATCTAAAATAATGCTTATACAACAAAAATTGCAAAGTATTAGTATTAATAACATATATGATGATTAATAGTCATGAAACTCAACCTGAAGTTCAAAGTTGTTTTAAAGACTCTGGAGTTAATTTTGTTTGCTTACTACTAAACTCCAACTTAATAAACTTGTTTCAGTTTAGCTTTTTTTAAAAAAATCCCCAATCATATTTGGTTATTTTTCGTACCTCCTCTCATTATGTCATAGGTTTCCAATTACTCTTTACATTCTTCTTTTTAAGTTCTTTCATTAAAACCTATTTGAATAATCTTAGTCATATATTGAAGTATTCAAATCCCTTAATTTTTTTGGTATATAAAGATAATCTATATCTTAAATTGAAAAACCCCTCAGCCTGTAAAATTTGTTTATTTCAAAAAATTAATGATTTGGTGAAACCAAAATAATATAATCACTAACTAATCTTAATTTTGCAGCTTTTCGGATATGAAACCTAACTAAATTTCGAATTCAACCGATTAAAATAACTTTCAATTTAAATCAATTTTTGTTTCTTATTTTATCAAATATGCAATCTTAATATCATATGATTTGCAGTGTTTAGTGCTCCTCCCAGTCGATATTCACTATTTACATGATGACTAGAATTTTGGGAGGTCTTATTTGAATTACACTCTGAAATTAGTTTTCAGGACAAATTTTAATGAAGTAGACTTTTGATATTGTATATAATTACATCATCCATATCAAATTTATGCTTATATATATAAAATAACTCTTAAAATCAAATTATCTAAAATATATATATTTCAGTAATTGCTTTCATATGATTTTGCTTATTGATGCTGTTCTTCTTTATGCTGCTTAATCATTTGTTTATTATTATGGTTAAAAACTTTAAGAGATGAATGCTAAAGTTGATTCGAAACCTCACTGATATAAATGCTTTTAAGGAATAATATCATGAAATATTGTATTTTTAGGCTTGCTTTAATTTAATTGTTATTAATTCATTCTTTCAACTTGAATTGTTCTTTTTGTATCATCACATAGTTTAGAGTCTTCTCAATGATTGAGTTTTTGTAGACTTTGGTTTAAGAAAAAATGTATTTCTGAAATGCTGTCATGTTTATATTCCTCTTTTTAAAAATAAACAATAATATATTCGAAATTTATAATTGTTTGTTCACAAAAAAGAAACATATACTCAAGGGATTAAGAGGCTGAAAAATAAATCTTGAAATTCAGAAAAATCAAATTATAATCTTCTTTAGATTAAAGTTTTGATCAAAGTATCACCAATCTAAATCATTTTAAATCCCATTTATTAAGTGAAAAAAGTTAAATCTATGAAATCTTTTTTGTGATGATATTACTTAAATAATTTAATATTTTTACTCAAAATTATTAGGAATTTATTTTATGCAAATTATTTATAAACACCATGTTGGTGCAATCATTATTGACACTAATAGCATTAGTCGGAGAGTTTACTAATTTGAAAAATCACAAAACAATATTTTTGAAGCTAAGCTTGTATTAATTATTCTTTGATTTTGATGTATAAATTCAATTATAATTAAATTAAATAATGGATGATTTTTTTGAGGACATCTAAACTCACGATGTACCAAATGGATAATAAAGTGGGTTTTAAGAACAATAGGTTTGAAATTAATGTAATCTTAGTATACCGCTTTTGATGCTTTTGAAAATGAGACTCCAACTTAAGGAAATATATTTAATGCATACGTGGTACAATTTAAGTTAAGCATAGAGTACAGAATAAAAATTACGAAAGGATAAATTGAGACTAATAGATGATGAAAGATTAGCTTAAATTAGAGAGAAAGATTAATAAGAAAGATTATTGAAATCATAAAAAAAATCAAAGGCTTAGGAATATTTGTCGGAGTTTAAAAAGTAATTATCGATGACCTATCTAAAGACAATAAGAAGCAGATATCGTATAAAAAAGAAGTCAAAATAAGCAGAAATAAGATATCTGGCTTGAGAATATAAAAATTCATACCCAAAATGTATTTTGTTTTTCTAATTAAAGAAAAACTCTTGGGAATAAATAGCATCAAATATTGCTCTAAAAGATGGGGAATATCCAGGATAAAAGGATGTAACTAAGATGAGATAAGCAATCCTTAATAAAAGAAGCGATCTGACTAAGTGATTGCCATTAATTATAATATTAGCATTTAATTCAAAGTTTTATGCACATCATAAATTTCTAATTCAATCACTATCCTTTATGATAATATATCGAACTAAAAAAATATTAAATATTATAATATCATAAATTCTAATCCTTTAAAATCGCCACTCTAGCTTTCCTCTCAAAAGCATTGTCTAAAAACAAGATTTCTCTTGGTATTAAATGTATAAATTTAACAGCATATCTTAGCTTTAATTTTAAATTAGTTTCTAATGCGCTCAATATAATAGCTACTAAAACTAAACTAAAGGAAATTGATGAAATAAGTATTGTCTATTTATATCAAATTATACTTCTAGAATGGATTTTTATTGTAAAACTTATTCAGAAAAGTCTTACATTGCCATATCAGATGCTCGTTATAAGTATTCGACAAACAGATATGCTCCTTCCACTTCTAATGTATTTATAGGCTCACGTTGAGAGAATTCTTAACCAATTAATTCTTATGTAACTATTTTAGAAACATGGTTCAAAACAGCTGAAATTCCTAATAGAAAGGATCCTTCAAATGAGTTTAGACAAATTTTTTGGATTTATTAATCATTATTCTATGATATGATAATTTAATACTGTATTTATTAGTGGACACAAATCTTTGGTTTCTTATTTTAGAAAGTAAGATACAAAGTCAGAATTAAAGAGTAAATTCTGTAGATCTACTTTCAATAATTCTTATTAATATTATTTTATTTATAAAGATGATTAATTCAGCTAATAAACCATTGTCTAAAAATCGGAGTTTTTTAAATATGAAAAGAAAACTTGATTGTTCAGTTATTCTTTTTAAGAATAAATTAATGCGATATTCAAACATAAATCTGAGGTGTTTTTATGCATTGTAGCTGTTGGTTTATATTTTTTTATAAATTCAGATAATATAAGAGTGTTAGTTAAATTTACAGTCAAAAAGCCAATAAACATTGTATAGATGAAAATTAAGAATTTAGTTGTGTCTACTCGAGCCTTTTTGTGGATCTATTTTTATTAACTCTAATAATGGGTTTTTGACTTTTAATTTAATGCTTTAATTTCAATTTCTTTGTATTTTTCATTAAATGTGTAAAATTAAGTAATGTTATGATTTTCGATTTGGTTCATTAAAAAATCCAAATTTAATAATTCAGATTCTAATGCACCTTTTTCAAGATTGAACATCATACTTCCAAAGATTTACCTTTAATTTGCAAATTTTCTATAATAGTAATTCGACATTAATAAACAAATAAAATTCACACTTAAAAAACATGCGATTACAATTATTTAGTCATTGATTTGTTTAGAGTTTCTAGTTATTGTATTATTATAAACTTGATCGCTTAAATATGAGCAAATATCAAACAATAATTATTAATTCAGCATCTAAAAAGTGACTGGAGTAGTAATTTTAGGAAGTTCATTATTAGAATATATTGCAAAGATGAATTACTGATAATCAAAATATTTTATAAAAAAGGTTCTAGCACTAAAATTTTCATATTTGTATGAGGAGTCATCCGATAAATATATCACATTATAATAATGATCATAAAGCAAATCTTATAATAACTTGGACTCAAATAATTCCTAAATATGAGAATGAAAATGATCAAATTCCTTATTTAAATACTATTTTGCAAAATCAATTTCATTCAGGTATTCTTCTTAGGTTATTAAATTCTAATGTAAGAGATTAGTTTTGTCATATATGATAAATCTCAAAATAAAGAAACTTAACATAGGTTGTAATATGTCATTTTTTATTGACAATTATTCCACATCCGTAATATAGTTGTTAAAATTATTTTATATTAAGAATGTTTGAAGCAATAAGGATACTATTCCTAATAATGAGGAGACAACTAAAAAAAAGATAGCCAATTTAACAAATATGTTTTTAATTTTTTTCTATCCCATTTTATCTATAAACTCTACCTTATCCTAAAAATTAGAATCATATTTTTCTTTTTTCTTTGATGGAGTGCATACATCCTAAACAGAGTTTTTGCGCTTGTGATTATCCGAATAAAACTAAGGCATACTGACTTATTTAGAAAAGTTCTTCTTCATTATTGAAACATCATCACTCCCACCAGATAAATCATTATACCGATTATAAAATTTTTGTTAAAATAATAATTCGTATGTTGATGATTTTTCTTGAGGAGAATTAATCTATTAATATGTTATTTCTTGTTGTATATCTAGATTTTTGGAATCATCAAAATCATAAGGAGAATCTATCTTTATCCCTTCTAAAAGTCTTTATTATAGATCAATCTTTTGATTGGATTTTGTCGAACATTCTACAAAATTTGATAATAATGAAGTGATATTCTGCTTCTTCAAGTAATCAAAGGATATTATCATATATGATAATTAACCATTGTGATATTTAGATTATATTTCAATCTAAGATTCAAATCTATCTAAAAGATTCATATTTGTAAACCTGTCTGTCATTGTATGCTTTGTCAAATCAAAAATATAACACTACTTTATAAAATAAAACTCAATCAAAGACACTGTTTTATTCTCTTCCATCAATATTGAAAATTGAGGAATTAAGAATCTGATATCCAGCCCATATATCATTTCGTCAGGCTAAAAGTAATCAATTTGTTGTTTTGAAAAATTTAATAGGTCTAAAAATTGTTTATTTATCCCAACCACTTGGGTTTAGTTATTAAGTATCATATATCCCTTGATATCTTTGAGTTCTAAAATTATATTAATAAATCGTAATTCAGATAAACTATTGTAAGAATCTAAATATGATTCAGCTATCTGAATGTAGTTATTTTGAAGAATGAATAATCTAGCATTTTGCTTATATCTAGGGGATGAACCAGTTTAAAAAAAATCATGTAGATTCTGCCCATGATAATCTCTTATGCCTTAAGGAATTAAGGGCTCTATATATTAAGGTAATTCATTTTGAAAAAATGATATGGCATTGCTTGATGCTCTTTCTATTTTAATATTATATGAACAATCTCCTAATTTTGTAATCAAAAATGCTACTTTATTTTATTTTGCTAAAAGTACAATACTAGTTTATTTATATTATGATTCCAATTCATAGATAATTGAATGCTCCCTGCTGGCTTGTGCATAATTTCTTAAGATTTCTGCTTGATAAAATACTTTTAAATTTAAAATACTTATGGCTAACTTAAAAATTATTATTTCTTACATGGATTTTTTTAATATATTTGATTAATGTTTTTCTCAATTTAACAAAGTTGAAGTGAAATCTTACAACATCTATCAAAAATTTCATTTTACAAAACTTATTCGTTGATCAATTGATTGTATAAAGCACATTTATCTTCTAACAACTTGATCATTTACAGATTCAATATTCGAATGATATATTCTGTTTTGTAAAACTCTTCGAAAATTAAAGTAGTTTAATCATATTATTTGCAAAAATTCTTTCTTAATCTTGCTTTTAAAAATTATTTACTTTCCTCTCTTAAATATGAATAGATATTTTTATATAAAATATACATTGGTTTTTAAAGATGATCGACATAATTTATAGGCTGGATGGCTGACTTAGAAGAGTTTTTCATAATAAATTTATAAGAGTAATGGTTGTTATAGTGGAGGTTCATTTAATCTTAAAACTCTAGGATAGAACTACAAATTGAATAAGCTTAAATGTAGTTTTTTGTATAGATGTGTATTAAGATCATTTGAATAATTAAATGATTAGTCAATTTTGATTATGAATAAATGCTCGTTGATAATTTTAGATAAATGTCATAGTTTTTTTATTTTTATGAGCAATTACAATTAACACAAAGTTGTTTATGTCTTTATTCTATATAGACATAAAATGCTGTCTTTTATGAATTATAATTCGATTCCAAATGTTAAAACAAAATTTAAAAATCAATACTTGGATTATTGAAATTATTAAAAATTTTGAGAACTGATGCTCTACTTTTTATTTTTTTAAATATGTTGACAACTAATGGTAGAGCAATCAATTAAAAAATTCCAAATTCATTTTGAGTTACACTAAAAAGAATAGTAAAATATTCTGTTATTGATAAAATAATCGCTAAACTTTAGGATATGATTATTAAATTATATGCATTAAAATGTAAGAAATGGAAGTTTTTCATCAGATTTATCAACATCAATATTGATATTAGAAATGCAATTGTTATCTAATAGATTCCATCTGGTGTATAAAAACAAAATAGGAGAATTTAAATAATATTTAAGCTGTGAAGCATCATATCTAAAAATGTTGTATAAAACGATGATTGTATCGTGATTTTATAAGACAATTTATATTGATTTACCAGTAATTTAGTAATGTCAAATATCGTAAATAATAAAAGTGTAATCATTATTAGAATAGTATTAATATTAGATTGATCTTATATTGAAGTTAAAGAAATCTCAAAAATTAAGTTGATAAAAATTATATGATAAAATTCATAAATAAAGGCTGTAATTAGGTTTATTCCTCGAGTTAGTTTGTTTTGCTTCAATAAATAATTTTTCAAAGTAATTTTTTGTTTAAATTAATCTTCTTTATAATTGAAATAATTAATAAGCTAATAAATTAAGGTAAATAATATGATTATCGCTATCATAAAGGGTATAATGAATAAATATTTTCCATTTAATATTATGGAAGGTCTTGAACACCAGGAAATAAGCTAGTAAATTTAATTGTATTATGATTGATTACTATAATGTCTATAAATTATGTAAGAGGAATTCTTAAATTATCCCATTGAAAATATTATATATGAGATTAGTTTGTTTGTAAATGGAAATTGATTATTCATTATGATAAAAAATTTGATTAGGTCTGATAATCCTTGCTTCAGAATCTCAATAAATTTCATAGTTGAATAAAGTTTATATAAATTTAAAAAATTATTATTTAGAATGGAATTAAACCAATTACAAATTATTATTTTACAAAGTTGAGATTTTGTAAACCGTTCTAAACCACTCTTTTAATGAGGAACCATTTATGTTAGATGAATTCTGAATTATATTATGAAGAATAGGAATCTAAGATAGATTGGAGAGAAAATTCATTAATTTTCATTATCGTATTAATATAGCATAATGTTATTTAATTTTTCTACTTAAAATAGTTGATAAACAATCTTGAAGAGTAGTAATTATATTATAAAATAATTCTAATGAATATTTTGTGTTGCATTGTATAAAACTATTAAATTTACTCAATTTTTCCCCAACACACACGATCTCTTATAATTATTCAAATATTTTTGAGAAAGTTTCATTGTAATCCATTTGAAAATGCTTTTGTAGTAAAATTAGAACTGTAATTAATGGATAATAAGTAGGATTTCGTTTAAAGAATTGCTCAAAATTTAATAAATTAACCAAACTAATTTGATAGTAAAAATGGTGAGATTCTAAATATGGGATAAAACAAAATTTAAAATTAAATTTCGATCAAAAATACTATTTATTATTACAGCTGAAAGAAATTGAAAGAAATCGAGAATTTGACGAAATTATGAAATAAAAATATTAGAGAAGTATTAACAAATAAAAAGTACAATTAAAAAGGACATAATTTTACAAAGATGTATTAAAATAAGAGTAATAGAGAATTTCTTTATCATAAATGGAAAGAGGTTAATTCTAATTAAAAGCGGCTTTGTATGAAATTAAATCTAATTTGCCTTTGGCTGACGCTCATAAACTTTTCAACTAATCAATAATTCAATGTTCGACTTTAAATATTAAACTTTAATCAAATAAAGTGCTAAAATTGGAGTTGAAAATGTGAAACACATTGCAATTATTGAATATGAGAATTTGTAATTTTTAAAATATCACATTGATGTTAACAATATTTTGACAATAATTATTCTCCTATTATTTTTTTTTCTAGAATATCTATTTTATTAATTAAATCAATTATATGATTCAGATGATTATATAATTATAAGTATGAATTGATTGCACAAGGGATTGATTTTAGTTGGATTTTAATTAAATTAACAACAAAAATAATCAATATTGATTAAATTATTAGGCTTATATAATATCAAATGGCTCCATCGACTCTGGTCATTACGGCACAAGAATTTCCTGGTTTCAACCAAATGTGACCCTATTCTCCCCAACCTTCTCCCCATGAGTTTCTTATCTTCCAGTTTCCTGCATCGTCAAATCCAACAGCCACAACAGCATGATTATGGAAATCATCTCTACATGCTCCATCATATACTCCTTTACTATAGAATTTCCAAAAAGTGGCGTCAACACTCACAGATAATGGATAATTTTAGATTCCCTTTTTGATAGCATCTTCATTTGGACCATAGTTTTATCTTCCCGATATTCTAACCTTTCCCTATTTAACCTTACAAACTCCATCTTTCGCAGTCTATAATATATTTTATATGATTTACATATTCATAATCTCTTTCATAAACAGAACCAACTTCAGCAATGTAATCTAATGCCAAGTCTGAATTTCCTCCGTTGCATCCTTCTCCTGCATCAATAGCACAATCCACCAATTATTATTCAGACAATACTCCTTTGAAGCCTTTTCTTATAGCCAAGAAACCTTCAACTGCGCCAATAGCAGAGAAAGTCCAACATGATCCACAATTACCTTAATTTTTGATTGGATTCATTTTGCTAGACCAATCAGCTTCTCCTAAGTTATTTCCAGCGCTTAATTCAATATTATCAATTTTGACAAAAGTTGGTTTTCCCAAATACATAGATTAGAATTCTTCATCAGTTAAATCAACAAATTAATTGATTCCCATGGTATAACTTTTGTTGGGATTTGAGTTATGTTCATTGATTAATTCAACATTTTGATTGAATATTATCTATCTATATGCTTCTTCACTTGAAGAATAGAACTTGTTATATTTCTTCTACCAAGTTTTAAAGGAGTGAGGTTCCTCATTTTACGAGTAAAAGGTCAAGCCACTCAATAACAATGCTGTTGTAAGCAAAGATAAGATTTTCTACATTGAATTAATACTAATAATGATTTTATAGTCATTATAAACTGAGAGTGATGACATCATTGAATACCAAATTATTAAATCGATTAATGAACTAAAAATTTAAAGTAATTAAATTTTGATTATAATAAAAAGGCTAAAAGAAATAATAATTTTTAATTGTAAATTTATTAAATTTAAATGTTTTTAAGAGTAATTTGTTTCATTTTCAAATTAAAAAAAGGTGAATAAACAAAAATGATCTTTAGGGAGGAAATAGAAAAAATAAATTAGAAATGATAATTTGATTAATATTAATTAAATTAGAATACCGCAAGCTAACATATTAAGGTTGCAACTACAGATTAGTTTATATAAAGGATTTGAATCAGATTTAATTTGGATTGCTATCAGAAGATTGGAGGTTTGAATTTCTATAAACAAAATTCAGTTTATTCTATATTTTTTTAAAGGAGGTGTTTGAATCGATAAATAAATATTTAGGAATTTAAATAATTCCTCAAAAGGAAAAATGTGTTAAAAATAAATAGCTAATGTAAGATTTTGGAAAAATTATGGTGAAATAATATTGTGTATAATTTGATAAGAAATACTGTGTTTACTATTCATTCAAACAATCATTACTTTTGTCTAATCCTATTCTGTTTTAGAGATAATTTGAGTGAGAGAATATATCATATTTGGGGGACCACATATATAAACTTTCTTATTATAGTCTCCTAAATGCTATCTAACAAGTTCTTCATTAAATCTGCCTCTAAATGCAGGTATCACTGTGTCTAGTGTAGAATCAGAGTATCTTATTTACATATTAAACAACTTTAAATCATTGGTTTTATTGATTAAATAAAGTTTCCTAATCCAGTCTTTACCAATAAATTCTTCTTCACTTTGGAATGAAGCTAATAATGTAAATTCAAATGATTCTTCTAATTGATCATATTAGGGAAAGAATTGTTAAATTTATTATTACTTTTATTTATTTGTTAGGTAAATAGATTTCATCAGTAAATGATCTAACAAATCCAAAAAAGGCAATATGCCAGTACCCCCAACAAAAGCGATACATTTAGATTTCGATTCGAGTTCTAATCCTCTTCCGAAAGGACCTTAAACCCAAAAATTACCTTGATGTTCAAAGATTTATGCAGATAAGGCCTTAGGAAAGTTATATTTTTTAATAATCAAGGGGACTGTGTTAATTTTATCAAATTACAACAACGGTGGCTGAGTGGTTTTTCCTTCGTTATATTTAATAACTTATTCTCTAAAGGTTTGATATGGATTTGACATGCATAATACTTTTGTATACATTCTTATCTTTCCACCAACTTCTTATAGAGTGACACTAAAGTGCTAACCAAAATCTAGAACATTTTGACGCAAGTTGATTTGAAAATTTGGATTAGTGAAATTAAACAAGGAGATGTTTTTTGACAAATCTACTTTTTCAATTAAATCCCAAAAAGAGCCTGGATTTTAATTATTGTAATTAACATTTTAAATAGTACCTATGTATCTTTTTTATAAGGTTTGATATGCAAATTAGCTATGGGTGTATGGTTCCATTGTAGTGGATTCAAGTTAAAAGGCACCATAGAAATAACGACTGATTTCTTGACCATTAACATTTGAAATAATGAAGTTGCCTCCTGGATGTTAGTAATCAGTTACATCATATACGTCTTAATTTAATAATACCCATTTAATTTATGGTAATTCTTTTATGATACTAGCTGATGGATGGTTTCCTTGTAATAACTTTAGTAATTTTGTCTACTGTTCACTCAATGGCTATTATTGTTATGGGGCAATTTTAGTTCTAATTGATGAATTAAAAGATTTATAAATTTCTAATCCAATTCTAACAAGAATTAGAAGTAATGTCCATATGATTCCCAAAACCAATAATAATTTCTCTTCGTTCTTGACAAATCCTAAAATAATGTCAACTTTGGCTGCAAGATACATTACTGTTCCTAAAACTACATGAATCATTCTAATAGTAAATAAAGCCTATCTATTTTCTTTTTCTGTGGATTCAAGGAAATGTTTAACAACAACTCCTAAGATATGTTGCACTATGACGGCTAAACCAAGAACAATTGAAATTATTTTGTGTGCTTCTAATGCACCATCTTCTTCCGTATTTCCTCGAGAACCACCAACAAAGAGCATCAATACTACTAACACAAGTGTTGAGAGATCAACAAATATGAAACAAATAGCATGAATCCATAAATAACTATTGATTGATTTGAAAAATCTTCCTATAATTATTCCAAAATCTGCCACAATTCCCCATCCTATGAATAGAACAACTGCATGGACATAATATAGAATGCTCTCACCATTTGAAAGTGTGGCTTATCCAACTATTCCATTATCAAAAGTAATATCAAAGTTATACCAAGCACTATGCATTTCCATTTGATCTGCTCCTGACCATGCTACACAAAAAGTATATTTATCTCCTTTCGCTAACACTTAATCTGATGTGTCTCCTGTGTCCAATTTTCTATTGAATCTAACTTTATAGCCTGTAGAATTGACTGCATATGATACTATGTTAATATCATTTGATTTGTCAGTTCTTGGAGTTGAATGACCATAAGAAAAGGTATCCAACACAATAACTGTTTGTTGGGAGACGTACAATACTATCATATCACAATCAGACATCTAATCATAAGTTATAAATGCTTACAGTAGGGCAAAATCCAAAACCTATCCAGTTTAATTGATTATAATCAATAGCCATGTCGAATGAACCATTCGTATATATTTCCCATTTCATATATAATTCGTAAGTTCCTAATTGCAATGAACTTGATAAGTCGCTATCTGTGTAAGCAACAGTTTAAGCTGCTAACGACTTGTTGAGATATTCCTCTAGATCTAAAATCCGAAAATGAACATTTGAACTGTGTGATTCAATTTCGTGATTATCCTAAATTTAGGTTTTATTTTCCTTCTTTAGTATGGTATCCCCATTAACATACGGTAATTTAGAAAAATGGAAATAATATTCGCCATTATTTTCGAAACAATAAAAATTGCTAAATTTAGGACTTTAGCATCCACAACTATCAAGGTTTGAGCAATGTAGGATTTCGAAAGAATGTGTCTAAAAATATTTATGTTATTACTTAGTTGTTGTAATAAGTAAGTTAGAAGTCAAATTAGGATGACAAAATTATTTATATGTTTAATAGTTTTTCATTTCCATACATTTTAACAGTTTAAGAGATTTATTGAGCCGAGCAGTTGATAATAATCCATAGTAGTAAAACTATTATAGTAAAATTCATTGATATATTTATCAAATAAAATGAGAATGGGATTGCTTTAAAACAATTAATTTTATAGACCATTATGCAAAATTATTAAATATATGGAATAATTTAACTAAAGAAATCATCAGTTTTAATCTCAGATCATTTTGATAAATATTGAATTTCATAAGTTACTTAGAAAATAAAAAGAATTCTGACTTTCTTAATTAATTTTATTTTATAAATTTTTTTGCTATCCATAGATTTAGTCCATCTGCTTTTTAGATTTTTCATAATGGAAACATCGTAGCTTTTAATTTTTATTATGTATTTTGAATTAGACTCATTTCTTTAAACAAAATTTTAGTCAAAATTTTTAATTGCTATTATTAAACTATGAATACATTAAAAAAATTGATCAAAAAAATATTTATTTTTATTCAAACTCTTTGAAATATAATGTCTTAGAATTTGTAACTAATATTGATTGTTTCTACATCTGTTACAATGTAAGAACATACTTAAATCCAAAAATTATCATTAGTACTCAAAAATATATTGTTATATTTATTATCCTTAAGATAGTATTTTCTCCAGTTCTTCTAGATCATCAAATTCATGTTTTATTGGTAGTTTATCTAACCAACCATCTTGATATCTAGATGATAGAGTTTCTAATTTATTGTTTGTATTAGTTAAATTATTGAACTCTAAAATTGATTGACCATCATTATCATCAAAAATAATAATTGATTCTTCTATGAATTTTTACCTTTTTTGGGTTAATCTAATTGATCCAAAAATAGTTCCAATTCATCTATAAAATCTTGATCTTTAACCATAGTTTTTTAATTGCAGGTCCTGGATTAAACTCATTCATCAAGTCAAATAAATTAATTTAATTGATGCTCTCATTAATCCTACTTTAATTAACTACGGAGTGCAATAGAAAATTGTTCTGGGTCGCATCTGAATCCCCCATAATAAAATATTAAAATAATTATCGAAGTTAAACCTGTAAAATCTATTCCATCCATTAAAGAATATTATTTAATTACATTATATAAATCTTATAGAGATATAATACCTGTTTGTGAAAGAATTTTTCAATGCTTAAATCTTGTTTAAATATTTCAAAATTAACATTCCGAAATCTATTTTATTTTTCAATGGATCAACCATAAGTTCCATAAACTGGAGAGCAAAGCATAAGCAAATCCCAAATGAAATATCTTAAAAAGTAAGAGGAGAAGGAAAAGAAGAAAGCTGAGAAAGATGCATAAAAAGAGTAATAACCAGAGAAGGAGAAAAAGCCAAGTATTACCAAATGTTATGAATTTTAGAAAAAGTTGAATAATAAGCAGAAGAAGAAGTTGATCCCCGTCTCTTCCATGAAAATAGATCAAAATAAGTGTTAGGGCTTAAACAGACTAAGGACCCGTATTTAATTTTATTTAAAATAGAAACCCATACCCTCATAAATTCCAAGTGGATTTAACTATAGCTCAATTCAGAGAAAAGTATGGTCCTATTTGCACAGAAAAAGGCAAAATACATGAGGATTTTGTATCAGTAGCAGGAAGAGTGGTCACCATTAGATCTATGGGAGCAAAGCTAATGTTTTATGATTTATAAGGAGAAGGAACCAAAATTTAAGTTATGGCTAATGAAGCCAATCACAAAGACCAAGAGTTGAATTTTGATAAAATTCATAGTTTAATTAAAAGAGGCGATATTATCGGAGTGAAGGGAAATCCTTGCTTAACCAAGGCTGGAGAATTAAGTATTGCACCAGGCATCATTCAATTATTATCACCAACGTTACATATGTTACCTACAGCTCATTTTGGATTCAAAGATCATGAGTAAAGATATAGAATGAGATATTTGGATTTAATTATGAACAAAAAAGTCAGAGACATATTCCTCACAAGATCATCAGTGATCAAATAATTGAGAGAATATTTTGATGGTAAAGGATTTATTGAAGTTGAGACTCCCTCCTTAAATGTTATTCAAGGAGGCGCCACTGCTAAACCATTTAAAACATTCCATAATTCATTACATAGAGATTTATTCATGAGAGTTGCTCCAGAATTATATCTTAAGATGTTAATAGTTGGTGGATTAGAGAGAGTCTATGAAATAGGTAAAAACTTCAGAAATGAGGGAATTGATTAAACTCATAATCCTGAATTCACTGCCATGGAATTCTATTGGGCTTATTGTGATTATAATGATCTCATGACTGTCACTGAAGAAGTCTTGTCATAAATTGTGTTAAAGTTGAAGGGAAGCTATAAATTCAAAATTCATAAGGGTGACAATCCTACCATCACACTTACTGAACATGACATAAAATCTGGCCATTTTAAGGAGAACGAAGAAGATTTCATAGAACTTGATTTCACACCACCTTGGCCAAGAGTTTCGATGATGGCTGAACTGGAAAAACAATTAGGTGAAAAATTACCTGAAGTTTTGGAAAGTGAAGAAGCTAATGCTTTCTTTAATGAATAAGCTAAAAAGCATAAGGTTGAATGTTCTAATCCAAGGACTACTGCTAGATTAATTGATAAATTAGTCGGTCATTTCTTGGAAGTCAATTTCAAGAATCCAACCTTCTTAATTGATCACCCTTAATTAATGAGTCCATTGAGCAAAGTTCACAGACAATATCCAGGCTTAACTGAAAGGTATTAATTAAAACAAATATAGATTCGAACTTTTTGTTAATTATCATGAATTGTGCAACGCTTATACAGAATTGAATGATCCATTTGTTTAAAAAGCACTATTCTAAAAATAAGTTGAAGATGCTGCCAAAGGAGATGACGAAGCTATGGGATATGATGAAGGATTTATTAAATCATTAGAACATGCCCTCCCACCGTAATTATTATTTTTTATTTAAATTTAGAACTGCTGGCTGGGGTCTCGGTATTGACAGATTTGTAATGTTATTAACAGATACACAAAACATCTAAGAGGTTCTTCTATTTCCAGCCATGAAACCTGAAATGACCATTGAGGAGATGTAAAAAATCTAAAAAGAAAAGGAAGAACAAAAATAAAAATAATAATAATAATAGTAATAATAATGAAGATATTAAATAAATAAAATATATTCACACATTCTTAATTGCTATTTTACTAAGTTTTTTATTTCCTTGAGTTGTGATATCGTCACTTTTCATAAGTGTGTCACTTGATTTACCTTTATTATTGCTAGCAAAACTTAAAGGAGTTCTTTCAAGGGGAGTTTCATCAGTAGCTACAAAAATGGGTCTCATTATTTGTTATTTTCGAATCAATTTATCTATCTATTGATTGTTGTTTTCAATTTCCTTTAACAAAAACTTGCAAAACTAAGCATTAGGTCTTTCATTTGGATCATTTTCAAGCATATGAGCTAACAAAACAAATAATTAATCCATCTTATTTGAACTGCATTCTGGATGTTAAGGGTTCTTTTTTAATTCAAAAAAGCCTTCCTTATTTTCTTAAAATATATTTTTTTATTTATGGAATAGATTTTCACCCGACAACCTAAATTGTTTATTATTTATACATTTTATATAACATGCATCCTAAACTAAAAATATCTGCTTTCTCATCATAAGGCTTTTCTTATTTATAGTTAATTATTTCAGGAGCCATATAGCCTGGTGTCCCTGCAGTAGGAAATATTAATTAATTTTTAATCTTCCTAGCTAACCCAAAATCAATCAATTTTATATTTTCTGAAATCATTATATTGTGTGGATTTATATCTCTATGCATAATTCCTTTTGAATGGATATATATGAGAGCACTTAAAATTTAAAACATGACTTTTAATGTCTGAGTGATACTTAAGCCTGCTGGTCTTGACAATAATTCAGTATGCAATGTTCTTCCATCAACAAATTCAGTAACTATGTAATAAAATTATTGATCAGAATAGACTTCTTTAAGTTTTAAAATATTTATATGTGAAAGTTGTTGTAGGAGCTATAATTCTTAGATCAATTAAGGCTAAAATCAACAGAAATTTCTTACAATTCCTCCTTAAAGTGATGCCAATTTCTATTTGTCACACTTTTTAATGGCAACATAATCTCCATTTTAAGATACGGCTCTATAGACCTAACTTTCTTAACAATTTGTACTTCTCCAATCATTCCATAACCAACTTTCATTTAAATTTCATAGAAGTTTTAGATTCCAGAATAAAATACTCGCCCAGCAATCATCTCTCTTAACAATTATAACTTATTTGGAGAAGCATTAAATGCCTTCATTTTATTATTGTAAGATATTTCAAAAGCTTATATTTTCTTATCACTCACTATCCAATTTAAAGTAGTTGTCATATTCAATTTGATCTCATATTTTGCTTTTTTTGCCTAGTTCTATATATAAAATATTTCTTTATTACATCAGTCATAATGAATTCATCATTAAACAAGTATAGCTAATACACTTTATCAGAGAAAAAGTGCTTTCTAGTGACAGGAAAAGTAAATAGTGCATTATCAAATCTATACATTTTTAATTAATATTGATATAACATCAAATCATTTAATAGGATTGTTCGCAATTTGAGACAGTTTTTTGGACTTTAACAAACAACATTTTTCTGTAAAGGCTAAGCAATAGTCAAAATTTCACTTAAAAAATTTCGTTATTGATATATGTTTTTTACACTAACATAATTCAAACTTAAAACTTTTTATTTCAAAATGAGATTATTTCGTTAAATTTATTGATTTTTATCTCAATTTGTTAAGAACTAATGTGTATATAATGAATTTATGCATATTGAAAAGGTAGTAGTTAATTATCTATCTTATAAGGGTTATAAAAGACAAGAATTATCAAAATTAAAAAATATAATATTATTTTTATACAATTAATGAATATAAATATATATATTAATTATAAAATATGAAAAGAAGACATATGCATGTTGAATTTAATTCACCAAAGCATGAAGAGCCAAGTTCACCATCAATTTAACAATCAGAAAATGATGAGGATTCCACTTTTCCTCTTACAAAGACTATCAAGAATATGCTATATGTTTATGGCGATTAAAGAAAATCTGAGGTGCATAATCTCGCCCATCTATAAATTCAGGAATTGATATCAGACATATTTTCGCCACTAATTCTACATGCTCTCTACTCGCCTGCTCCTAAGCCTTGGGAGCAAATGGGATCGGATATCAAATTCGAATTTCCTCAACCATTAACTAAAAACAAGAGAATACTCTAAAATTATTTAAATTGTGTTTTCAAAGAGTTTGTTAGTTTATTTTAGAAATTATCAAGAATTTCAAAGAGACTAAAGAAACATGCATCAGAAGTTAATTAAGACAATAATGTAGACTATGAGACAACATTAAGAAATAAAGCTTAAAAGGAAAAGATTCTAATCTATGAGGAATAGTACTCTTAGCAAGAGGATTCAGTTTCAAATTCTTCAATAATATCGGAATCTCCACACGAGATTTGGGAGGGTTACATGAAGGCAAGAGTTGAGAAGATGCCTTCTTAGGAATTTGTAAAGTTTATGGAATTGAGATCTCAAACATTCATACATCATAAGAAATTTAAGTAATTTATTGATCCACATCAATATGGGCAAAATTTTATCGAATGTATAAATTTGAAATTCTTAAATTATTGTTTATGTCGAGTCATCAAACGCATAATACAGAAAGTAATGTAATCGGAATAACCACAATCATAAGTGTTCCAGTTGTCTGAAGATCATCTAAAGAAGTATGGTTATCAAATAATAGAGACTTATAAAATAAGGGCTAAGAAATATGCATTGTAAGATTAGAAGTTGAACTAGATGGCATATAAGTTATTTCTGTAAGAGTTCTGCACTCAAGGTTATGATGCTTATTTCCAATCGAAATGGGTTTTAAAGAAAAGTGGGTAGTTGTCTAGCAATTAGGAAGTGAGGGCTTAGGAAGAATGGGAGAAGATGGGAAGCATTAAGCAGAAATGGATTGACAGAGTAAAAGCAGAAAAGCAGGTTAGACAGAAGTTAGTAAAATAGAAGGAAGTCATTCCAAATACTCCTTATTCTAGAATCCTTCTACAAAGAGTGGGAAATAAATCATATGAATAAGCTAAAAGTGAATTTTCAACGATTTTCAAAGAATGGTTCATACACTTAGAGACAATAACGGAAATTGATAGCATATATGATTGATTATTTTGCTCCTATTATTTATCATATTCATGCTTGATTTGGATATTCTTTTTGAACAACAGCTTTAAATTCATCCCAACTTAATGAGCCATCCTTATCTTTATCTGCATATTCAACCATTTCTCTTAATTCTTAATCTGTGTATCTCTCAGATACTAAATCATTGATTCTTTTGAAATCCTCGTAAGTAACTTTACTTTATCCAGAGGAATCAAATTCTTAATATAATTTCTCAAGCACTTATTCATCTTCGATTGTGCTAAATGTTTATATTAATTATCAATACCCTGAAAATCCAAAAATGTTTAGAAATTCTTCAAAATCAATCAAACTTGATCCATCTTAATCAAGATCTTAAATCATATTAACAATCTCTTCAGCTGATTATTCCATTCCTAAAGCAATTATGGCATTCTTCATTTCATTTGGACTTTTATAATTATTTTCTCTTACGATATTGAGCCACTCTTATCGTCATCGAAGATGTCAAAACATTCCTTAATCTTTAAAACTTCTTCCTTGCTAAGTCCTGGTTTCACATACTTCGAAGGATCGAAACCACTAGCAGCTGGCTATACAGGTTATTAAGATGCTGCTGTAGCAGGAGACTTTCCTCTTGTTGCTGCTGGAGCTTGCACTTAACTTTTATTAGGTTATTGAGTTGTTTAAGCTGCTGGTTATTGCTTTTATTGATTTCTGCTCATTTATTTTAAATAATATTAAGGATACACAAATTCATTACTAATATATTATCAATTTTATTCACTCTTTTATTCCTATTCTTATGATATTACCATGCTCTTATTTTCCTTGTTTTCTTAATTCTCACTCTTCTCTTCGACCTTTAGTTATTAACCTAAATCCTATTATTTCTAATCAATTATAATAACTGAGTCATAAACCTGTTACTATTCAATTTGAGATATTAAACGAGACTCCAGAATGTTCTGCCAATATTCTCCTATTATACCAACTTATTCCATTTCCAATTATCCTATGAGTTTTATTAATTTAAAAAGATTTTGCTCCTTTTCCTTTATGAAATCAGGAATTTCAAATAGACAAACCTGTCCCATTGTTATATTTATTAATCCCTTTAATTCCTATATTGTTTTAGAATACTAAAAATAAAAATATTTCAAGATTTACTTGTTCAATCTAATTCTACAATCTTAATATTTCTTTGTCCTTAGATCCAAAAAATAGCTTAGCTACTGCATTTCTCTAATTGTTTATCGTTTATTATAAATCTAATTGACATTATCTTATTTTGTCTTCATATTTTAGTATCTTATCTTCCCACTTTCGTATCTATTCAAATTAAATCAAATGAGACTAATGTTTATCTATTATTTAATACTTCAATATCACTCTCCAATATAGATAAATCAATCAAAATTTGATCACTCTAAAACTTACGAACCTAATCATATCTTTAATTCTTCATCAAATCTAAAGGCTTTATTTTTTCGAAAAACTTTTTATCACTCTTAAACAATAAATTCTTCTCGAACTCTGGAAGTACATAATTCACAAAAATGAGTTTTTCCGTATTGAAATTCGTCTTAGCAGTCACATAATTGTTACACATCTTTTTAAAATTTTCTATCATTGGCTTGACTTTAACTACGAATGACTAAAAATCATAGAATTAGCATTTCATATCTAATGTAATTTCTAACTTCAATTAATTAAGTTGTTTACATTTGAGCAATCAGGAAGATTAGCTTGATATTTTTCTTCTAAAGATGTACTTTCATTATTAATTGGTATCCATGTTAAGTTCTACTCATTGAAAAATTATTTTGTTTCTGGCGAATTCCATAAGATCTTCCTTTTGAATATTGAAATCAGAAAATATTGAAGCATTCTTCTTCTGACTCTAAGGAAATCTTCTCCAAGATTACCCTATGATCCTAAATACACTGTTACCATAGCTTGTTTTTCAGGGAGTCTTGGCACAAATACTCCAGGGTAATTAGCACGTAATGCCTCATAAAAGTGAACAAAATCAGTGAACCTTCTACAAACTATATTTTGATCGACTTGAATTTTGTAAGAAGCATAACGCCCAAGCATTTCCGTGCTGATGGCTATTAAAATTATTTTTGGAGGTGATTATTATTACATAATATTTATATTGACATTTGTTTATAATATTTAGTATTGTATAATAAATGAAACTATTAGATACAAACTACTTTTGTAAATTGAGTTATGAAATATTGTTAATTGATTGACGATTGAATTCTTATAAAAGATGTTCTTTTAATTTTTCATTTCGAGNGTCATAAACCTGTTACTATTCAATTTGAGATATTAAACGAGACTCCAGAATGTTCTGCCAATATTCTCCTATTATACCAACTTATTCCATTTCCAATTATCCTATGAGTTTTATTAATTTAAAAAGATTTTGCTCCTTTTCCTTTATGAAATCAGGAATTTCAAATAGACAAACCTGTCCCATTGTTATATTTATTAATCCCTTTAATTCCTATATTGTTTTAGAATACTAAAAATAAAAATATTTCAAGATTTACTTGTTCAATCTAATTCTACAATCTTAATATTTCTTTGTCCTTAGATCCAAAAAATAGCTTAGCTACTGCATTTCTCTAATTGTTTATCGTTTATTATAAATCTAATTGACATTATCTTATTTTGTCTTCATATTTTAGTATCTTATCTTCCCACTTTCGTATCTATTCAAATTAAATCAAATGAGACTAATGTTTATCTATTATTTAATACTTCAATATCACTCTCCAATATAGATAAATCAATCAAAATTTGATCACTCTAAAACTTACGAACCTAATCATATCTTTAATTCTTCATCAAATCTAAAGGCTTTATTTTTTCGAAAAACTTTTTATCACTCTTAAACAATAAATTCTTCTCGAACTCTGGAAGTACATAATTCACAAAAATGAGTTTTTCCGTATTGAAATTCGTCTTAGCAGTCACATAATTGTTACACATCTTTTTAAAATTTTCTATCATTGGCTTGACTTTAACTACGAATGACTAAAAATCATAGAATTAGCATTTCATATCTAATGTAATTTCTAACTTCAATTAATTAAGTTGTTTACATTTGAGCAATCAGGAAGATTAGCTTGATATTTTTCTTCTAAAGATGTACTTTCATTATTAATTGGTATCCATGTTAAGTTCTACTCATTGAAAAATTATTTTGTTTCTGGCGAATTCCATAAGATCTTCCTTTTGAATATTGAAATCAGAAAATATTGAAGCATTCTTCTTCTGACTCTAAGGAAATCTTCTCCAAGATTACCCTATGATCCTAAATACACTGTTACCATAGCTTGTTTTTCAGGGAGTCTTGGCACAAATACTCCAGGGTAATTAGCACGTAATGCCTCATAAAAGTGAACAAAATCAGTGAACCTTCTACAAACTATATTTTGATCGACTTGAATTTTGTAAGAAGCATAACGCCCAAGCATTTCCGTGCTGATGGCTATTAAAATTATTTTTGGAGGTGATTATTATTACATAATATTTATATTGACATTTGTTTATAATATTTAGTATTGTATAATAAATGAAACTATTAGATACAAACTACTTTTGTAAATTGAGTTATGAAATATTGTTAATTGATTGACGATTGAATTCTTATAAAAGATGTTCTTTTAATTTTTCATTTCGAGTTTATCTTTATCAAATTAAAATATGAAACGCATTTTTTCATTTATTGCATTCGAAAAGGGGGATCTTATTCATTGTTAAATAATCATTTGCATAATTAGTTCTTTTCATAATTTTTTGAATATGGAGAAAAGCTGAGAGATTCTAATTAGCTATATATTATAATTTGTACCTGAATTCTTTATTAGAACTTTAAGCAAATTAATAGTTCTGACTAAATGCTCTATTCGTATTATTTAATTTACTTTATGAAAGATTTCCTCTAAAATATTGAGATTATGTTACTTTTTAGAACAGGAGAATCATCAGCGATATGGTTAACATCAAATATAAGTTTTTTAATGGCATCTGTCTTTTTTACATTATGATACTAGTATTTTGTTTCTCTTGAATGAAGTATACTAATACAAAATTGTCAGCTTCATATCCACTTATGTGGGCTGTCTGATAATAATATGTTCATAACCATTTAAATGTTAGTTCTCCTTTCTAACTGGTTCTTACCGAATTTTCATTGCGATTACTTTAATACTTTTTGCGTCCTATTTAGCCATTCGACATTGTATTATTAATTATCAAGTAGAAGAATTACTTGTGATTTAATTAATATAAAAATTAGAAATGAATTTAAAAATGCTTGATTTACTTTAATCTTTTAGAATATAAATCTTATTATTGGTAGATGGAAGATAATCAGGAAAGTGAAGAAAACTTTAAGAATTAGATTTACAACAATTTTTTAATTAATTATTTAATAGAATATATGATTTGTATTTTTCATGACTTATGTTTATATCTTTTTGGAATGTCTTCTGATGATGATTAATCTGAACTTGAACTTTCACTATTTGAATCATTTATTTAATGCTTGATCTGTTTTTTTGGCTAAAAATTTGGAGGATTTTTGATACCTATTATTGCTTCTATTCTTCATCGTCAATGATTAAAAAATGCTAACTGATCAATTCTTTAAGGGCACTTTTTGTTATTCTCACTTTCTCTTCTTTTTTCTTTTAAGGTTTCTCAACAACTTAAACAGCTGAGCTATCCGATTCTTATTAATTCACAATTCTCTTTTTTTATTTCAAAGGTTTCTTCTATTTAATACCTTATTTTTAGATAGAAGTTTTCAATAGATTGGTTGTAACACAAGCTAAAACACCGTCAGTCGACATTACTCTTTTTCTTTTACCATCAATTATATTATTTTCAGAAATTTTTGACATTTTTATTTAATTAATTATTAATCATAATACAATTAATTTTATATTATAAATTCTAGAGATCTTTGCTTATAAACAAAATGAAATACATTTTAATATAACAAAATTTATTGTTATATTTTATCTCAATATTATAAATCAAATTATAAATGATCGAGGATAGACATTATCATTAAGATCAAGCAAATAAATATTAAAATCAATTAGATAGAAGAAGAAGCAGTGTATAATTTTAAGATGCTTCAACTGTGATAAATCCAAGTAGTACTCATCTCTCTAGAAATGCATCCTATTCGATGCCACACGAAAGTCAAATAAATCCATAGAGTAAACTTTAATTCTAGAATAATAGTTCTTGCTAAAATAGCTGCTATGGTACCTTACAATTCAGATAATAAGAAGAAATTTCTTAGGGTAGATCATGTTCTCAAACCAAAAAAGAAACCAGATCCTCTTGAGGAAGAACAAGAAAATGAAATAAGAAAGAATTTGTAATTGTCACCAACAATAGTGAAAGAAGATTTATTAAACAAACCTTTAGTTGGACCTTAGGCAGTCTAGTTATATTATCAACATTACAAAAAAGTGAATAAGGTTCGTTAATAAAATGATTTCTTCAAAATTTCAGGTAAGTTATAAATTGATAAATAGATAGTGTGTAAACTGCAATGCTTAAGTAGGCAGAATAAATTGATGTATTACCTTGTAAGATTGGAGTTGTCAAAACAAAAGGGAGTGAATAATCTCTTTAAATAAGTCATTAGAAGTATGGAGATAGATATGCATCCATGTTAAGTGAAGGTCTGAAAGTCAATCCAAATATCAAGGATTTTTATATGGCAAATAACAGAATTCAAAGTTCAGGAGCAACTTAAATTTTGAATTAAATTGGAAAAGTGGCCAAAATTCTAGATCTTTAATAAAATAATATTGGAAAAATAGGAACAGATTCAATTTGTTAGCAAATATAATCAAGGGAAAATAAGTAATAAAATATAATAAAAATTTTAGATTAGAAGTTTTAAATTTAGAAGACAATAAATTAGGAGACAGAAATGTAACTCGTATTATGAAGGCATTGTTGAATAGCAATAATAAGTTGAAATCATTAAATATTAGCAAAAATTACTTGACTAATGATATTGCAGAGATTATTAAGGAAAGCATCATTCAATTAGATAATATGGAATAATTATATATACATTGGAATTAAATAAAAGGATGGGGAGGGTAGAAGATATTTGAAGCTTTAATAGAGAATAAGACTTTATTGGTGTTTGATGCTGGTTGGAATAGCTTTGGAATCTAAGAGAGAAAAGATGTGTAATGTATATAGAAGATATGTGATTTTTTGCTTACTAATAAGACTGTGTTGCATTTTGATTTATCCTCCAATCAATTTAATCTAAATGATTGTAAATTAATAGCAAATGCATTAAAACAGAACAGAACAATATATGGATTTCATTTTGTGAATAATTGGGGAGTTGTTGATGCAAGGGGATTCTTATAGATACAGGAGAATGAATTGTAGAGAGTCTTAGGAGAAACACCTAGAATCAAGGGATTATAGTAGACTACAACAATCAGATAGGAGAATGTGTGTTGGATATGTGAAGGTTGGTAAGAATAGAAGTTTACTTGGACACCTGATGTTTCAGGAGAAGGTGAAGCAGATCCTTTATTTATTCATTTGGATTTCGAGGCTTATAAATAAGTTTATATTCCTAAGACTTACGATTAAATAACTTTAACTTTAATGATCCCCACCAATACTACATAGTATATTTACACAATGAATGATGCGCAAGTAATTGCTAATGATTAACCAAATGTTCCTTTTGGACACTAATTAAAAATTAATTACAATAATAACTATATAAGTGTGTTGATGGATAATGTGAATTAGGTAAAGAAGTTTAAACATTTTCTAATTTTTGATTAAGTTGAATTCAAACCATTAATTAGTGTGTTACCTAGAACACCAGATCCAATTTATATACCTCCAAAATTGAAAAAACAAAAGAGAATATGGACATTTCCCATTTCTATTTGGGCTAAAGATTTTAAATTTGAAAATGAGGATTTGTTAAAGAAATGCTTTGAGAAAGATTTTTCTTGTAGTAAAATATCTAAAATTGTTAAGAATCCCGATGAATTATTAGAAATTAAGAATGTTTTGTGGGCACATTATAAATTGATTAAGGAAACTTATAAATAATATAGTTCTAACAGTCCAACAGGGGATATTTGGTCAATATCTTCAAACGTTATTACAGAATTCGCTTAATAGACAGAACTTATAGATGGAAAAACATTAAAATTATCAGATTTAGATTTGAAATTCATTGCAACGTGTGCAGCCTCAATTGAATACAAAGGAAATTTTAGAAATCCAGAACGAGCTCTTTGTAGATTCTAATTTATGGAGTTTCTTGTAAGGGTTTCAGAGGATAAGTATCTAAAAACTAAAGTTGCTAATAATATGTTAGAGGCAACAAAAATGATATTAGAACAATGTAAAACATATATGTCCACATTTGATGCATAAAAGTGGAGGGATGAGAGATATTTTAATGAGCAATGTGATGATTGTTTGAAATTCTTTAGACCATTACTCAATCACATTTATAATAAATATAGTGTGAAGAAGGTGAAACCAGGTTAGAAGAAGTTTATGTGTTTGGATGAAATACACGAAATTTGTTCATAAGCCAGTTTATATGATGAAAGATTTGTTGAAAGAGATGCAGATAATGTACATAATAAATTTAATTTAGGCTTTTAATTTATCAATGATGCTTTAAGTAGATGAATTAGAAAGTGATAGGATATTTTAGATGACTTTTATTGAATTCTTAGAAGCAATTGCTAGAATAGCTGATAAAGTCTCAATGCCAGGAATAGATGCTGTTGATTTAACTTGGGATTAAAGAGTTGTTTAACAACTTCATTTGAAATTGGAGAAGATGATAATCCATTTAGCTAATACTTGCGCCTCTGAAGAATTTAAATTACAGTATGGAAATATTAACAAATCAATGTTTGCTGTTGTGGAAGAAGATGATTGAAATTCAATTAATATATCCTTTTTGATACTGTTACATATTTATATTATCATATTGGATGGCCAATCTTTTCTAAATATCTGAAGTAATAAACAAAGATCATAATTGGTTATCCAATAAAACAAAAAGTCATCCAAAACATTAAATTTCCTAATTAGGAGTCTTATAATTTTAGTAACTTATGATATTTTCATATATTTACTTTCTCTAATTTCTTTTACATTAACATAAATGGTGCCTATGCAAACATCCCCACAAATGCCCAAGCCTCTATCACACCAATTGAAGCACTGACTATGTATTCATGACCTAAAGCTGATACTAAAAACACTATCATATTCGAAACAGTTCTGCTCATCCCTGATTTTAGACATGGAAAATATATGTGTCCTATTATATAATATTAATTATATATTATACTAACTAACCAATGATGAACAGGTAAATTCCACAATCTCCAATATTCTTCAAGATTCTTACAATTCCACCAATCTTTGTAAAACTCTCTATCTGCAAATCTCAAGAGTTCTGCTGTGATATTTAAAAAGCATTAGAATTACCCATAAAATAAGGCAATCCACATATAAGTATTGGGTATTGCCAACTTTAACAATCGATCAACAAGCACCATCAAAGTCGGAGCTTTTGATAGCATTTTGTATGTGTTCTCCACAAGGGGTTCTGTGTATTGGAACCAAATAATCAATAAAAAAAGAATGACAAAAATATATTCGATAATTCTCTTGACCAACCAAACTTTCCTTATAGAATTGGTTCTTAGATATGACAATTGAAAGCACAATGTAGGAGCAGCTAGAAAATATAAGTAATGTTGAAAGTCCAAAATCTTTGATTAATTTTGAGCATATTTTTCCAATATCTTAAGGTTCTCACCATTGACTTCATATTCAGCAAAGAAATTATCAAGTGATACCTTCTTATTTTACACTTATTTTATTCTTTAAATATAGAAGTATGTATTCCTCAAAAAGTGTGCATAGCTTATCAACTTCATAAAGACTATAAATTGAACACCTAGAAAAATCAAATTCAATCCTGGATGAGATCCTTAGATTAAATAACATGGGATTATTATAGTTAATGCAATGTTAGCTATATTAAATATTCTAATAAATCTAGGATTAAAATCTCTTTTAAATTATAAATATTGAATTCCAAATCCAGACAACAAATTAATAATTAATGCCAATAAAGCTTACATGATAGGATTACCATTTATTTACACCATCTCAAACTTCCAGAATACATTTGTTATAAGCAAACCATACTTTTAAAAATTCTCGAATATCAATCTAATATGATTAGCTATCAATATCAAAATTGCCAGATTTAATATTCCTCTGAAATTTTATTCAGGGGATTCTGTACTCAATAATGAAGTCCTTTCTTTTCTCACTGGTTGATATGCTAAAGGACCCATATACTTTGTATATGTTTTTCTTGAATTAATCTAGATACCGTGAAATATATATACATAATGTTGTAGATAAGACATCCCTTTCTTGTCCGCAAACTTAATTGCTATTATTTTAGATTCATCCTTTTAACTCACAAGCGTAATCGTTCTTATTTATAATTCATGTATACAATTAGGCTTCATCAATTATAGGCGAACATTTATCAAAAAGCACAGAAAATAGTATCAAGTTCTCATTTTCCAACACGCAGAGCTTGTGTTATTCACACCTCAAAATAAATGGCTTAAAATCATCTCTAACTAGTTATGTTAATTTATCCTATGCATCAGAAATAAGTAATTCTGGATTATAGACTTTTATCATTATTATTATTATTGATTCAATTATTGTATTAATTTCAAAGGTATATTCCTATCAATATATATACACATGCAAAGACAACTTGTACTTAATATGCCTTCAGCATTTTTTATCATCATTATATTTAAATAAGAGTCTCACATATATATAAATACTAATTGATTATAATTAATGAATCCAAATTGATGTAAAATTCAGTTCAGATTACTTTGAAGATCAAATAAGTGATTTCTTAATCTTAATAATTTATACAATTCATAACAATTTATATCTAAATTATGTATATTTAATTCTATACCCAAAGAGGATTAACTGATTTTGATAAATAAATGATAATAAAAATAGATTATTACAAATACACTTTAATACATTAAATCAATGTCAAAACGAAATGATAAATTAAGTTAAAAGCAGACTTAAAGTAAATGGATTGATAAAGTTGTCTGTAAAAACTATCGAATTCTCAGTCCATTAAATTAAGGTTAAGAATCTTCTGATTTTATTAGGCACTTTCGGTCATATCTATTTGGCAATTCATCAAATAAAACAAGAATATTACGCCGTCAAGATATTATAAACAGGCAAAAATCCTAATCTTGCTCAATCTGTTAAGAATGAAGTAGATGTACTGTATAAGTTAAATGGGAATATTGGATTTCCTCGCTTATATTATTTTATTTAAAATGGAACTGAAAGTTTCATAGTCTAAACGCTATTAGGACAGAATTTATACTAGTTATTAATGCAGACTCCAAAAAAAGTATTTTCATTAAAAACAGTTCTGATGTTTTTAGATTAGGCAGTACAACGATTATAATATTTACATATGAATGATTATATACATAGAGATATAAAACCAGAGAATTTTATGACAGGTTTAAAGGAAGATGAAATTTATCTTATTGACTTTGGATTTGCATTGAAATATAGGGACTAAGGATAACATATAGAGAGACAGAAAAATGAGAATGTGATTGGAACTCCCAGGTACTTAAATGATTAACTTTGCTAAGCCTAGATTTTGCCCAATCTGCTCTCATTTGAGTTTATCTTAAAATAGAGCTAGTGATCTAGAGAGTTTAGGGTATTTGGCCGTTTACTTTTTGAAAGGTTCACTTCCATGGATGCACATTCATGCAGAAACACCAGAAGAAAAAATAAAGATGATTGGATAGAAAAAGATGAATACATCTATTGAAGAATTATGGTACATTCTAACATAAATATCAATAGTTCTGGTTTACCTAAAACATTCGAAGATTATTTTAAATACATTTAAAATATATCATTTGATGGAGATCCAAATTATGAATATATATAGAAATCTTTTCAGAAATTATATCAAACATTAGGATATCCTTTTGATTAAAAATTTGATTGGACAAAGGAGGAAATCAGAAATTCTCAAGATAACGAAAAGAATAATAATAAATAATAGTAATTTTTAGATGTTGGGAGGAAATCATTTACAGCTGACGTTAATATTGAAGAATTACCATCACAAATTCAAAAAAAGTAAGTCTATTTTTGATACAATTATTAGATAAATAGAAAGGATTCATCATCTAAAAATCTAAGAAGATTTATTTTTGATAACTGATTTGCAGCTGGATGAGATTTAAGAATTTGAGCCAGGTCTTACACTGTTTGAGAGAATGCAATAGATAAATAAATAATAGTTAAAGAAATAAAAATGAATAAAATAATATTTTTCGTAAATACATAATAATCATTTATATTATTATATTACATTTAAAGCATAATCAAATAATAATTTTTGTGTGCGAATAAATTAAATAGTAAATTAAAGGTAAAGAAAAGTTTAGCATTAAAAACGATTCAAATTCACATACACTAAAAAATTAATAATAATAATTCGATAGTTCTTGAAGATTGTATATAAGCTTAGACTCATAAAAAAGAATGTATATCCAAAAAGTAATAATATTATGAAGATATAAATTGTTTCATTTTTGATAATTCAATTAGATGTTTGAGATTTTTTAATAAATAATCTTAAGTTTAATATAAATATAATCAATTTATGAGTTTATAAGTTTTCTAACTTTAATAGTTAAATAATGATTCAAAATTTTTAGTTATATAATTGAGCAAATTTAGCCTATTATATTCTGTGATTTCGAAATCTTTCTTAAATTACATAGAATTCTAGATATAATTTTTGGATTTCAAAAACTGTCACCCACTATTTATAAGTGAATAAAACTTGCAATAGTTTTTTTGATCCCTTAACCATATTGTAAATAATAACAGTGTGAAAAATGCCAAAATGAAACATTTAAAATATTAGAAGATAACAAGGGAATTCATTTCGCCATTTAACTAAAAAGAAAAAAAGCGTATAAGTTTCCAGAACTATTACAACTATAAAGAGGATAGCCCATTCTGTTGTGTAAATTGGGATCAGAAATCTTAAATCTTACACTTCAAAGCATTCTTTATAGGTAATACTATTAACGACTGTTGTAAGTAGGAGTAAGGGTTGCATTAATTACCAGTTGATAACGATTAAATTCCTAATTAATGATATCATGAGAGTGTTTCTTGTCTTGTAAGCCCAATATTCTGAAATAGATAAGATGAAGTCTACAAACAAAGGCAAAAAGCTTGTAATAATGTGGAAGTAGAAGACAAAGAGAGATAAATAAGCAAATAATTCAGTGTTAATGGAATTTAATATTGTGATTCGATTGTCAACTTCTGACTTTGCATTTTGATCACTAACACCTAAACCCATATAAGTTAATTCAAAATTTTAACTTAGTACACATCCTTCTGAATTAGTTTAATAAATTGTTATTCCATTATCTGATGATACTTTATAAATTGGTTTATTGAAAAATTCACAGTAGTTTGAATATTAGGATGCTGCAATAAATAGATCAAGAATCATGCATGTAATTAGCAAACTATATCCAATAGGTTTTTTAGTAATGAATGATGAGTACATCAATTTAATTAATTAAATTATTTATTATTTGAAAATGAGAACTTGATAAAATCCTAAGCATAAATTTACTCCAGACATCAAAGTGTAAAAGATGGTAACTGGATTTATTGTGATGATTATAAAAATTTATTATATTATAAAATAAACATTTGGAATGCAAAGTAATAACATTATTAAGATGGATAGATTATAAACTAATAACTAAGAAGGGAGAAGGCACCTTTTCAGAAGTTATAAAGGCTTAGTCTATAAAAACAAGCCAATTGGTTGCTATTAAATGCATGAAACAAATTTTTTAAACTATTGACCAAGTATTGAATTATTACTAATTTTGGTTAACAAACTGAAGGAAATTCAAGCACTGAGAAAGTTGCAAAATCATGATCATATAATAAAATTAATAGAAGTGCTCTAGTAATATTAATTAATAATATATTTAGTGATGAACCCACTGGGAGATTAGCTCTAGTATTCGAATTAATGGAGCAAAACCTTTATGAACATATCAAGGGTATCAATCTTGTCTTATTAAATAGGTCGAAAAGTACCATTAAAATAAGACAAAATTAGAAGTTATATGTATTAATTGCTCAAAGCAATAGATTTCATGCACACAAATAACATCTTTCATAGAGATATTAAGCCGTAAGTATATTCTCAAATATTTAGTGAAAATATTTTACTTTTAGGTGATCATCTAAAATTAGCCGACTTGGGATCATGCAAAGGCATTTATTCTAAGCACCCATACACAGAATATATTTCCACTAGATGGTACAGATCCCCTGAATGTTTAATGACAGATGGGTATTATGACTGTAAGATGGACATTTGGGGTGTTGGATGTGTGCTATTTGAAATTACTGCATTATTCCCTTTGTTTCCTGGAAGTAACGAGTTAGACTAAGTTCATCGGATTCATAACATATTAGGCACTCCAAACCCAAAGGTACTTGATCGCTTCAGAAAACATGCATCTCATATGGAAATTAATTTCCCTTCAAAAGCAGGAACTGGTTTAGAAAATCTCATTCCACATGCTCCCAAAGATGTAGTTGACTTAATTAAACAAATGCTTATCTATGATCCTGATGAGAGAATCAATGCAAAATAGGCTTTAAGACATCCATATTTTAAGGAATTAAGAGATTAAGAATAACAAAAACTGTTAGAAACCAGTCTATAATCAATTAAATTGTTGAAGAAATAGTATATATTAAATTAAATTCAAAAGAGATGATTCCCTTATTGAAGAAGACCAAAATACATCTCACATTATGCATAAAAAGACTCTACTCAATCAAACTAATAAAATATTACAGAACTCCTTCAAAACTAGAAATTAATAATTCTTAGACTCAGTTAAATTGCCTACACTTACAAAAAAATAAGCAGACTTGAAAAAAGCGTATGGGCCTGTCCATTTTTAGAGTATTACTAATTCTATTCATTAGATAAAGAAACAAAAAAGAAGTCTGTATAATATGAATATGTTTTATATGGTAAAAAAGCAAACTTAGGTAATTTTTTAAATACTATAAGACAAAAATGAATAATATATTATTAATTTTATATTATTTTTTAAATTATTTAATATTCAATGAGAAAAGTAACAGCTAAGGTATTGGTGGTCGGTAGCTCTGCAGTTGGGAAATCTGCTCTTATCTAATTGTATACTACAGGAGAAGTCAATTTTCTAAAGGATTATCAATTAGTATTAACTTAATTCAATTATCATAGACTCAAATAGCTGAAATATCAACTAAGTTGATTCCCTTTGAATAAGAGGAAAAAGATGTCGAATTATATCTATTTGATATAGCAGGATCCGAAATATATGAATAAGCGATTTTAAAATCTAACATAGTTAAATTTACATAATATTATTCAAGTTGAAAGATGCCAACTTTGTTTTTTTATGTTACGATATGACCAAAGAGACAACCTACGAGGCAGCCAAAGAATGGTTTGAGAGAGTAACAAAGGCTAACGGAAAGAAATTGCCAGGTGTTTTAGTTGCCATGAAATCAGACTTACAAGCAATTAGAAAGATAGAAAATAAATAAGGGATGCAATTAGCAAGTTAATTAGGATTGTCATTCTTTTCAGTGTCAACAGTACATTATTAGGCTAATTAAAATAGGCACGTAATCAGGACATTGATCACCCTTTTTAACATATAGCGTAATAGTTAATTAAATGATATTAATTATTTTAATAAATGGTTAACATATTGGACATATTTAACAAATCGATCAAATAAAAAACACAAGAGCAGAAAGGAAAATTAATTGAGTTTGATCTTGACAATGTTAAGATTGTAAAATTAGACAAAAAGGTCGCTGAGCTTCTTGAATCTCAAACTCAACTTGAATCTTTAAGTCTTGTTGAGTGTTCCTTAAAGACACTTGAGGGATTTCCTAAATTACCAAATTTGCAGAATTTGGTGTTAGAAATCAATTAATTAGATGGATAGGCCATTAATTTTATTGCCAATACTTATCCAAAGTTATTGTGTTTAAGTTTAGCAGAAAATTCAATTAAAACATTTGCAGTATCATATTAGATATATCATTAGGAATTGGAGCCCATCAAGCAATTGAAAAAATTACAACAACTAGATTTTTCTGCTAATCCTATTGCTCAATTGCCAGGATACTTCTAAAAGGTCTTTGATTTAGTTCCTGGACTGTAAATCTTAGATAACAAAGATAAAAATGGAAATGATATTTCATATAGTGATTATGAAGAAGGTATAAGACTAGATTCAGACGAATCAGATGATGATTTAGATGAGGACGATGGTGACTTAGACGAAGATGATGATTATGAATCAAGTCCTTAACTAACTAAAAAAACAAAAAAATGAGAAATTTATAAGATTTTTTGGTTCATTATTTTTATTTCATTTAAACATACATAATACTCAATCACCTTTTCGCTTTTGATAATATATTTTTTAAATTATTTATTTTATTATCAAGTTCAGTTACATTCCCTGACTTCCAATCATATTGGTTTACCTACTTGATAGGCTACTTATAATGATTAGCAGATTAATTTGCCCTTTATTTAGTCTACTATTATTAAGGAACCCTTTGCTGTTAATTGTTTTATCCTGGAGGAGAAGCCTATTTAAACATATTGTTTCTGCCAGGAGATGGCTTCTTTTAAGTTATTGGAGATGTCCTATTAAGATTAGGCTTGATCTATTGTTGTGTTCTAGCTGGAGAGGGTTTCTTCTAAAATTGCTATTTGTTCATTGGAGAAGTGTTATAAAATTGAGGTTTCTGATGTGAAGACTAAAATACTATCTATACTAACTGAATATTAAACAGAAGAACGTGAATTTTTGCTCAAATTTGGAGAAGTCTACCTCACATTTGGAGATGCATTTCCAGGAGAATTATTTGAATTCGCTCTATTCGGAACTGAGTGATTCGATTTCCTGCTAGCATTAGAGTAGTTACTGTATGGAGAATAAAGTCTGTCAGTAACTCCTTTGTAACTATACCTTTTCATTGACTAAGATAGCTCTGTTTCCAACTAATTTATTCTTCTCTTTTTTACTGCATCTTATTTCTTTAATGAATCTATTTATCTATGGTTTTATTAATTATATACTAATTAAGGGATTCTAGTTCTTTTTCGTATTTTTGAATAGTTTTCTATGCTTTAACCAATTTACTTTCCTCATCCTCATTCATAAGCTTGATATGCTTTTTGATTTGATTATCCGTCTCTACTTAACCAATCAAACTTGATAACTCCTTTTTAAATACATTTATCTAATCTTTATTATATTATAAGCACTTGATTTATTTACATAACAATTTCTGTACTTTTTAAATCTATCTATTGTTCTAACTTCTAGATCTTCTCTTCATATAACAATTTGGATGTATTTAACAAATTTTATAGGTCCTCATTATCTCTTATCAATTAATCAACTTCAACTGCCCCTTTTTTTTGGGTCAAAGTCTCTTCCAATTTCTTAACCTTAGGTTTCAATAATTCATTTTAATTCACTAAGGAATCGAATGTTTAAATATCCCTCTTACTTATGGAAAATGAACTAGAAACTAAAATTTCAGAGTCATTCTATTTTTATGATTTATGGTCTAATAATTCTGTTTTTAGATTCTAGATTTTAGTCATTAATCTTGAGTTTTCTATATGTTCTTCATAATTTAAGGCTAACGGATAATGAACTTTTTCAAAATCAGTTTTATATGATAAAATGAGATATCTTTTATTGATTTTTGAATTTGTTGATGATGTTCTAGAAACATGACTTTAATTCTATTATTCTATTATTTTAGATTCTCGAGATCTTGGTAAGTCAAAATTTCAAAAAATATCTATATAAAATATATTTAATACATTTTCATTGGTTTTTTGTATCGCAGTTTATAACATGGAAAGAAATATATTGAACTTTTTCTGATTTCCTGTTTTGCGAGTAAGTTCTTCAATATAATGGATAGTGTAAGTATTTTTCCAGATATCGGGTTCATATTTAGATTCTAATTCTATATAATTAATGTATAAAATATATATACAGCAAATGATCATTAGCTTGAACGTTGATCAAGTATTCAATTCCTATTAGTGTTAGTTCAGTTTTTAGTTATATTTTTGGATAATCAAGCATTATGATTCAAAATAATAATAATACAAACAAAATTTCAAAATTAGAGTTCCTGATATTTTTTAATTGTGAAAGATGGAAATATATTTTACTATTTTGATTGTTTTTTTTGTAATAATTATGTAAATTAAATGCCTTAATTTTCACCTTTCAAAAAGTCTATTAATTTTTGTTTTCTCGATTTTTACTATATATTTTTAGTATTTGTATTATATTTTGTTGGCCTATTTTTATTTGATTAAAGTGTTTATAATTCTTCATTTGTTGAATTCAGATTATCATTAGAGTTTTGACCAATACTAAGATTCTTTAATTATCTGAAATGTTTTTTGATTTGTTTAGTATTTTTCTTATTGTTATACTCCTATTAAAAAGGATCAATTGTTATTGTAGATGTTTAATTAGGTTCAATAACAAGTGATTTTCGATTACTATTGGTAGGTAACAAAGAATGTTGGTTGAGGATTATATTTTTGCGAAGAGAATTACTGATATTATGATATGATGCAAATCTTGAACTTTCAATTGAATTCTTTAAACTATTAGTGGGATCTTTTGATGAACATGGCACAACAATAGTATTCAAAATTGCTTTAATTTGAAAACTGGTTAGATAACCGGCTTTGTTCTTGAATTTGCTAACATCAATTTATTTAATATTATTATAAATTACATAGAAATAGAGAATCTATTTTAAGCTAAGTTTCAATTAATCCATTTAATCATTTTAAAAATCAAAAAATATCAAATTTTGCAACAATATGTGACATGAAAAAGTTTATCAAATTTTATAAATTATTATATATAAAATTTTAAAGATCAACAGGCTGAAATGACAGGATCTTCAATTTTAAGGATCAATCTAACACACTTTGTAGCCAACTCAAAGCACTCCTTGTTACTAAAATAGGTTAAACTACTTATTCAGTTGTAATATCATCTACAATGCTATTCTAAATGATTATATTAAATAATAATTACTTTCTTTATTCCTATTCCTGCGAACTTTTTGATTTAAGATGTCTATTTCTTAACTCAGTAAATAATTTGATTGGATTCAATCCTTCAGTTTGAATATAAATTACCTACTTTTCTGCAAAAGTAAAAGAATTCACTTCAATTGCTTCGGCGAAGGCTCTAACACACATAGACCTGGCACCTGTTAATTTATTAGCCTTTTAAGTCAATTTTAATGATAAGTGGATTTCAGGTGCTCCTCCTCCTGGAATCAAACCTTTGCTTTTAACAAGACTTTTAATAACATATAAGGGATCGGGAATGCTTCTGTCAGCCTCATCTAAAACTAATGTGTTTGACTCTCGAACTAAGATTGTAGAAGCTTTAGATTAAGAAGGCACTCCCAGTAATTCTCAACACTTGCTTTCATTATTCAAGAAAACATTTCATTTTCAGGAGTCAATTAATCTATTTGTGCTAATTATTATCAATACATAAGTATACCTTGGATACAAATGCTACACCCTCTCTTTTGATATCTTTCACAACCATAATTCCTTGTTTTGCTAAAAAAAAACAATGAAAGATAATTGACAGCATCTCTTAAAATACTTTTTTGAATCAATAATATATTTGCCCCATTTTTAAACGAGATCAATAATGTATTTTCTTTCTTCTTTCAATATTTTGTTCATTTCTGTATAATCATAAATGGCAATAGAATTCTCAACATCTTTTTTAGGCGCAGGTAAACAAAATTACAACAGTACCACTTTAAAATTTCCTATTTTTTAAGGTCCCTCAGCTTTTAACGTGCTTTTAATAAGAGAATACAATTCCTTCAACTAATTCAGTATGAGGCTTCCTAAATTTTAACTATTTTGATTTCTTTAAATAAACATCATTGGGCTTAAGAGGGTCAATAATTCTCAAAACTGCATCTAAAGCAAGTAAGCCAATTATGCACTATTGGATGAAACCACTTTTGATGACAATGGTTTTTATACACATTCAAACAACTATTATTTTATTGTCTAGTTCAGCTGGTTTTTAATTCATCCAAAGCTTCTAAACGCATTTTCTAAAGCATATTGAAATCCCTCTGAAATAGTTGTCGGCTGTATTCCCTTCTCTAAGAATATTTTACTTGACATCAATTAGGTTCCAGGGAATACTACAATTGAAGTGGTACCATCTTCAGCCTCAACATCTTAAGCATGAGAAATTTCAACTAGGTTTGTAATATTGAATGGATTACCATTGTTGTACCATATCCAACTATTTGAGTATGGTGGCTCCATCATTTGTAATGAGTACTTAATGTTTGGCATTTAGATCATTTTATCCATTCCAATCAGTCCAAAATTGGTTCTTGTTGCATCCGATACAACTTGACATAGAGATTAGGATATTTCCTTTGGCAGCTTGAATATTAGTCTGTCTCATTTCTTTGGTTTTTTCTGATTTGTTGAAGTATTGGCTTTTTGCTGTGATGCCTAAGATGGTTGACTCATATTTAAAAAATAAATTTGGTTTATTTAATTTCTGGAAATAAATGTACATATTAATATAATGGATCAAGCCCTATTTGGATAGAGGAATACTCTCAAAGTAGATCCGATGGCTCTTGGTGGAAGATTTCTATTGAAACGAGCAATCACAACTCCGTTTGATCCATGTGATCTGCTGATTCTACCCCAGATAGTCTAAAAACATCATAATTGTGAAGTACTCTGAATTTAGTGTTGTTCTTGAGAGAGTGAGCCTTGTAGATATAAGCTACTCTTTTGCCCCAATAGAATCTGCTTGATGAAACATCATCGACATGTTAAATCTTTAACAATGCCTAATTCTCGTTTTATTAAACTTTAGATCTTCTGAAACCAGTGAAAGCAGCCTTTACCCATAATCTTTTTTCAAATATTCAATGTACCTAACTGGTGCTTTCTTATTAACCTTCACTTTCTTAACTGTTTTGGTTGCCCCCTTTTGTTATTGTTCTGCCTTCATTGATTAAAATCTTTGTTATTTTAATTTAAATAATTAAAATACTCTAATTAATCAAAAAAAACTCAGAATGCATTACCAAAAATCTCTGTTCACAATCAAAATCAACTATCCAATCCTTAAACACACCATATTTATAAATAATTATGGCTTACATAACTATCTAATTCAATATTCCAATTAAATTCATCTCTTTATTTGATTTTAAAGTTATATTGGTCTGTGCCTTTCATATTTTCCCAGAACAAAATGTAGTTAGTGATAGACGAGTGGAATAAAATATAGAGATTCTACTTCTAAAATACTATTTAATTATTAAATCAGATCTGACAGTATTAGCATTATAGGGAGATGAAATATTAAAATTTAACTAATAAAATACACTATCCACAGAGTTATTTATTAGTTAACTTTCGTCATCGTTTCATCTCAATTAAATTTTCTATAATTTGATACAAAGATGATATTGATCAGTCCAAACTAGAATCAATTATAACAAATGAAATAATTCTTATTTCTCAAAATTCTAGATCAGATATCTATTGTAAATATAAATTATTTTAGTTATAAATATAAACAACATTCAAATATCATTCCAAGCTATACTTATTAACCACTCTTGAAATTCAATTTATTTTCGAGTTTGATGGATTGTTTGGAAGAGATGTCAAATATATTTATTGTCCTATTTTCCTTATATTTACAAATATTTAGAGATATACGTTAAAAATGTAATTATATGATATACTATGTGACAGTAAATCACTACCCAATATTCTTTTTCAATATTTAGTATTTTTCAGATCAATTATAAAATTAATTATTATGATTCAGGCTTTAACTAAAATGGACCCCATTTAATAATACTACGTCAACGATGACTATCTAAAATCTATTTCATAAAGAGAAATCAAAACTAATACTTCCTATTCTCCAAAGGCATTAATAAAGGGTTATTGGAAGAAGAATTATTCACCCTTTGTAGCTTTAAATTCATCAAATCAGGAGAAAAGAATCACTTTACCCCAAATTAATGCGAAATCCTACATATCTAATGATTCTAGGAATGAAGAAAACCAAAATGATGTAACTAGTAGTTTCATTCATAATATCCATTAAGAACCTAATTTATCAAAATATTAAATTAAACCAGCTTGTGCTAATTACTATTAAATGAGAAAAGAAAAATATAGTGTCAAAATACCTGGAAAAATAATTAAAGGGAGCTTTTCACATAATAAAAATATCAAGTTTCGCTCTCCAAAATAAAATACTAATGATGGTTTAACAATTGAGCAAATGGGAATTAAATAAATGACTTAAGCCAAAGCTAAAAGAAAATCATCTATTTCAAGCAATTCTTCTTTTGAAAACAGTTTTCCTTATAATCAACCTGTTTATGAACTTAACAAAAGTCCTAAAGCATAGTTTATTAGACCTATTACTTCACTACCGAAACAAACACCTGAAATTCAAATCAAAAAACCATTCATTAATACAGTATTACTTCAGCTCGAATAATTAAAAATCACAAACTCGTAAATTAATAATGTGGCTCTAATCGTCTTTGATGAACTCTTAGGATTTTGTGAGTCTAGCTTTTATGGATTCTAATAAGATTTTCTATAGTCTCAACTTTATATAGATTATCAACATACTAAGGATCATTATTTTAGTAAATTGGTCCATAATTCTACAATTTACACATTAACTAATTTAAAAGATATGATTTTTTTGTTATCTAAGAATTTCTAATTAATCTTTCTTACTAAAAATTTACAAAATCAATTAATAGAGTATGTCAATATTAACCGATTACCAATTGCAGCTATCTATTAAATGAAGGATATGAAACAATCTTCTCTAAATTTAAAAGCACTTAATTGTATGGAAATCCTTAATGATCTTTAACTCAATAGGCCAAGCAATATTATTATTGTTTAGACTTATGAAAATGTAGATTACAACTCCAATTCAAATATCAACATTTAAGAATAATCAATCATTTATCCTTATGGGGTTGAGAATAGTATAAGTCATTTGTATACTCTCATATTACCAAATCTAACCATGCAGTGTCTATTAAAAAATTATCAAAGACAATCCCATCGACCTTTCCATTCGCTCTATTATATTGAATAATTTTGCTAATCTCTTTTAGTTAATAGTTTATTCGATCGTAAAAACCAAAACTTCACAAAGTTTATGAATTCCGTATATATAGAACAACTTTTAGAAAAAATAGAATTTAAACTGAATTAAATTGATAATCTTTAATCTTCTCAAAATTTACAATCTTAGAAGTATTCAAAAAAAGAAATGATTATTAGAATTGCAGAAAAATTTGAAAATCCTTTAAAATACCAAGAATTGTCGTCAGATCTTGTATTTAGAAATAAGAAAATAATAAAAAGAATAGGCAGATATAAATAGGAATCAATAAACTTACTTTTAAATGTTAAAGAACAACTATCACAAGAATTTGAATTACTAAATTATTGTTAAACTCTACTTGAAAATTGTTATTATATATTTTTATGATATATTTATACTACAAACTAATACTCAATTCTAAAATAACATGTTAATTTAAAATAAATCTCTAAATTATAAATCAATTTTATTAATAAGTGGAATCAAACCTAATGAGTAAACATGCAAGAATTCTTTGATTTATTAATTCTGAATTAATAAGAATTTAATAATTTATTTATCATTAGTTGAATGAACGGATTGTCAAAATTGCTTAATGATATTATTAAAACTAGCATAGTGTTTTAATAGTTTACAACGAAACTACCGACTTTAATTTAATTAATATTCGGTCTTCTTGCTTAGCTTCAGATGGTAAGTTATTTAGAATAGCCTGCTTACGAACCTGATAAATCTTTTACCATTATTTTATATTTAACCAGACCTCACATATATATTTTTACTCAAGGAAACTACGAAATTACTTTTGTCATTTTATTTCTTTTAATTCAAATAATTATCATCGTTTGGATATTTTATTGCATTGCCTTTAATAAAAAAAAACAGAACAATATAATAAATGAAATATAATTTAGCCAAATGAACTCAACTAAATTATAGACAATTATATCAATCATCTCCTTATTTTTGTTTATTAATAAAGTGTATTTAGGTCATAACATCATAGAATTTTGTATGTTAAATCTTGCAGCTAAAGATTAGAGTTCAATTATTATTGTTATAATAAGTATTGTTCTGATTCTTTAGATAAGCATCATCTTGTTTATTTAATGGTAATTCTTAAATAGAAGCATTAGATTTATTCCTTAATTATAGTATTTAACAATAAACCAATCTGATACAAACATAATTAATTTATACTTAAAATTACTCCAGATAATAAATTATGCATTTTTACAAAATTAAGAAGCTGCCAAAGTTGCTTAGGCAGTATTGATTATCTTAAATTTTATTCATAAATTTTGGTAGGTTAGATTTAATCATATCCATATGAGAAATCCATATTTATTAATAATAATTATGACAGGTAGTATTGGATTTCTAATGGCAATTTTACAACTATTAGAAAGTATTTTTAACTGTTTTACATTAAGATTGTGGATTCCACTAGCTCCTTTAAATCTTTTCATCATAAAAATATTATTAGATAGAAACATACATCAAATTCTGATAAACAAGCCTTTTGACGAGATAACAATAACTGAATTAAAATATGTTTCTTGTATAATAGAATAAGGTATAGATACAAAGAAACTGGAGAATTAGATTTTTCTTTTTTAATATGTTTAACTTTTTTGTTCAAAAAATGAAATATTGTTTTAATATGAGTAATTGCTATCTCAATAAATGATTGATAAGATTAGATAGCATATGTTATAATAGATATTGAGATAATTAGAGAATTTAGCAGAGAAAATCAGAAATCCTTTCTATTTGGGATAGATCTATATTAATTACGTTTAAACATTAATTATTCTAGATAAATATGTTGAAGCCTAATAAATAATAGAGTAATTGTTTAGATTTAAAAGTAATAATCCTTCAATTATGAATTCGAGAACTTATAGATTAACAATAAGAGTTGAGTTGAGCAATTCGTAATAAACCTTTTTAAAAATATTAGAATGTAAAATAATTGCAAGGATGTAGAGTAAAATGGTTTAGTAAACCACAAAATCTAAGTCGAATCACTAAACAATATCATTGGCAATGAAATAATTATCTATAATTAATTCAAATACTATCGATGTTTAAACTATGTTTCTAAATGTTGTAATTTCAAAAATAGAATTCTTCAATATTATCTTAAATGATAAAACTCAGCAAAATTAATTTAATCGTAAAGTCTAAAAAATCTTATTTGAAATGGAATAATTTCTATAAAAATTGAAGAAAAATTATGAATTATTTCCAAGTATGTTATTTTTAAATAAATTTATAGCAATTTCAAATTAGAGTGTTTTGATGTTCTATTAAGTAGAAGTGCTAAATAATGTTTTAGATGCATATAACTTTAGTTAAATTGTAGCACTTGATGAAGATATAATACTTAAACACAATTAATCTGAATTATTTAACTTTTTTAATTAAAGTTTTAATTTCGCCTTATTCAAGATTATAGATGTATAAAATATCCATATTGAATACCATTAAATAACATAGGGCCATCATTTAAACATTAAAGAAGGGGAGTAACTTTAAACTTTAATACCATAATCACTTAGATAATAACATTAATTTTTGGTTGAAAAATTTCTTGAAACAGGTTAAAACAAATATTTTTAATCTATTGGTGAAACATTCATTAAAATCCGATAAGGTATTATATAACCAATAGATATTTGTATGGATTTGAATTAAAAAAATTCGTAAAATATTGAAATCATAACAGTCTATAGGTTGCCATAGAGTGAAAAACATATAATATTTGTAGATTCTAATTTTCGACTTTAAGAAATAAGTCATAACTTATTTTTTGGTGGTTTAAATCTGTCTGAAGCGTATTTGGATCATATAATTGGAATTAATATTACTAAAATAATCCCTTAATTTAAAAGATATATTGATGAGAAGACTTTTGATATCAAAATTTGTCCTATCAATTTTATAACTGGTAGTGAAGAAGATGAATAAAAGGGAAAAACAAGAACTTTTAATTGTCTCAGTGACATTGAAAATATAACATTATATTCATGTCATTTATCAATTACGCAAAGATATTTTTAAGAAAATCAATTTATATATGTATTGAGATTAGATAACCTTAAATTAGATAAGGTTAATTCTATTACATAATTTAGATGTTAATAAAATTCTGAGAATCCATTTGAAATTGATGAATAAATTGAAATCAACTTTCCAGATCCTGAAGAGGAATATTAAAAGTAATAAATGATATTGAACACAGAACGCCAAGAAATGCAAATAGAATTATTATAGGATAATAATGATTTTCAATTAATAAAAGAAAAAAAATAAACTGAAACCTCTTTTCCTCGTTTCAGTAATAAAATCAACAAAAGGATAGAAAATTTCACAAATTTATCAAGTATTGCCAAAGTAAAGAGATCTCCCTACTATCAAGCATTTAAACAATCCTCGATTATTCTCAATTCTCAAAAATAATCCAAGAATTGGGTTGCATTTATTATCATTTATTTAATTTACATTCTTATAGCATTAATTTTTTCGATAATTATTTTTGATGAGACCTATGTATTCAAAAATTTGATATCTCATTTAGAACTACTTTCAATAAAAAATGAAGTTTACTAACCAATTGACTCCTTTTTAGTCACTAGATATACTATTGTAACTTATAATTAATTACTCGGTCTGAAAAATATTGATGACATTGAGTATGCACAATTGGTTTAATTTCCAAGATCAAATTTATTATCAGGGTATGATATATTAAAAAAAAGCATTACAAAAGTATTATACATCCCTTAATTTTAACCATTTTTGGAGGAGAATTATTTAATTCTGTCCTTATATGTGTCGAATAATACAGGAGTGAATTATAATATTAGTTTTAGAGAGTCAATTCATTTGTTACTTAATTACTAATATGAATATAAGTTGGCTTATACTGTGAAACCATTATTGACAGATGGTCCTTATTTTTATTACTCATATAAGAACAGTCTAATACTATATTAAAAGTTTGTTGATCTGGAATACTTTACTTTAGAACATACACTTATATATACTAACGAGAAAATGAACATCATCAGATTATACACAACAGTATTTGGAGTAATATCTTTCATTTTGATTATTCTAAAAATCTATCATTTGAAACAGATTCGTAATGCCAAAAATAAAATATTGTCCATATTAAAAAATCAAGATCTACATTAAGTTGAGTTGGAAATCATAAGATTGAAATAGATAACTTTGAAAATCTAAAATAACAGATAAATGATTTATGGGTATTCTATGGATCTGGATAATATTGATAAGTCTTTGAAAAAAAAATAATCAAATTTTAAATATAGATCAATTAACAATAAAAAATTAGTCTCTCTAAATATCTTTAGAAAGACATTAGCAATACTATTTCATTATCTATTATATTTCTTAGTAAGTCTAAGTTTCTATTTGATATCTCATAATTAGATAAATTATTATTAAAATGTGGCCTAATTTTATTAGAAAATATCAGATGCCAGTGTGAATGTTTTGATTGTATATGCTTGGAAAGAAGCATTGTATTTTAAAGCTACATTTACTTTCTTCACCTCTTCAGAGATTTCAGATATATATTTACATGTGGAACAGAGTTTAGATTCATTAAAATAATTCAACTAGGATTTACTTTAATTGGATTAAATTAATTAAATTTTTGGACCAACTAATCAAATCATTGAAAAAATTACTTAAATTTCAGTCTGTGACAATTTAAGTGAAGTATCAATAACAATTTATATTTTTAGGAATATCAGAAAAAAGCTAGTGGGATCTGTGATAAAGTTATGTAGGGAGCCCTAAAAGGAGGACTGATAAATGCATTAAGTTATGTTATAAATAGCATTTCAAACGAGTATTAAGCTACTCATTTTGATACTAGAGAATCATTAGAAAAATTGGAATTAGAAGGCTCAACACTATTATCAGATGTTTTGTCAAAATTTTCGGGATTCATAAAGGAATAATTTTAATTGTAAATTACTGATTTGTAATATACCGTCTATGTAAAATTTTATCTAACTGTAGATTGTAGTATCAATTTACTTATCATTTGAAATTGCTAGTATTTACTTTTTAAGGCTAATATCAAATTCTGAATTAAGTAAAATGATTCTTCTACAAAAATTTATTTACTTAATTCCATAGGGAACTTTGTTCTTTGACGAATAGTTCTAGAGAGAGATTAAAAGATTAATTTTAATTGGTTAGATGGTGTGAAATATTTTATATATTTATGATCTTATGATATTATAAATCACAATAACATTTTGAAAATCTCTTGATTTGGTTATAAAATTCTATGAGTAATTTTTAATTCTTCCATTTTATTTTTAATTGCCTCAAAATCTTGAGGCTTTTTAACTTTAACTCCAACTAATGCAGGTCCCTTTTCTCTATTATTTTTTCTCGTGTATTCTAAATTGGTGATTTCATCAGTAGGTCCTATTTAAAATATTGAATATTAGATATACCTAAACATTATATAATAAATTGCTTTAATGCTCCAGGTTTTTAAAAGAAATTTACAAACATATAATATTAGAGACCCTATTGAATTTCTGAAAGCATTCTAATGTCAGTCATTCTTCCTAAGTCATTGTTACTGCCAGAAATCAAACATACAACAGTTTTACCTCTGATCTCATCCTTGAATCTATCCAAAGCTGCTATTGCTAAAGCCCCAGCAGGTTCAACCAAAATTCCTTCTTCATTAAATAATTTCATCATAGTAGTGCAAACATGTCCTTCTGGAATTAAAATAATATCTTTTAAAACAGAATTCAGAATTTCAAATGGTATAGCTCCTGACTTTTTAATAGCAGCTCCATCTACAAATGTATTAATAGTCTCTAATTCTACAACTTTTTATTATTTGATTGCTTCATACATTGAAGGTGAACTAAAAAATCAGTTTGATATTATACCCTTCTGGTTCGACACCTATCAAAATTGTTTCAGGATGAACTTATTTGAAATAAGATGAAATTCCTGCTCCACAACCTCCACCTCCGACTGGAAAGAATACAAAGTCAATTTAATCCTCAGGGATATCTTCCAAAATTTCAACAGCAATAGTTCCTTAACCTTCTACAATCTTCTCATCATCAAAAGCATGAACATATATTCCATTCTCATTATTACATCTTTCTTTGCTTGCTTTAAAACTCTCATCGAAAGTATCTCCAACTAATTCAATCTAAACATATTGTTTGCCCCATGATCTTAAAATGAATTTATAGATTACTTAACTGCATTAAACTTAATGCTAGGTGTATTTGTTGGCATATAAATAACACAGTTGATTTTCAATAGATTACATACATAAGCAACACCCTAAGCATGATTTCCAGCACTAGAACAAAATACTGTACGATGTCTTTCACTTTCTGGTATAGATATTATCTTATTGTAGGCTCCTCTTAACTTATAGCTTCTAACAATTTGCAAGTCTTCCTAAATTTATATATTTTATTTACTCTTTTTATATATACATTGGCTCCGAAGTATTCCGACAATTTCATGGATTTTTGAGTTGGTGTTCTTGTTATAACATTCTTAACTCTCTTATATGCTCCAAAAATATGCGAAACAGGAATCAATTTCTGAAGGTTTGGAGGATGATTATAAGTTGACACATCTACCACCATTGGCTCTTTTATTGCACTTTCTTCTTGTTTATTTGATTTAATAGCATGATGATTCGTGGGTTTCTTATCTGGAGTTTCCAATAAGTCATTGTTGACAAGATTTAAAGTTGAATGCGCTTTTTTAGAAATTGACATCTAATTTATTTTTAATTATGACGCATTTATTAAATTAAGCAAATTATTAAAATTATTAGAAATTTTTATGTATTAAGATCATTAGACTTAAGTAATCAGTAATGATTAAGAAAAAGTATTTGTTTTGTTCTTAGTTTTTCAGTTATGTTTTGATTTGCTAAAATACTTATAAATCATATTTGTATTCATGTTATAAAATACTTTTTACTAAATTATAATGTTTAGTTGGATATGTTGTCTGAAATCCTAAAAGGATAACGAGTTTCTTTGCAAATTATTTATAGATTCAGAATTTTAAGTTTTTGTGAGATGTATAGGGTCAATGACTTTGATTATTTATCTCATTAAACTAGTAGAAACAATAGAATTTTTAGTTAGTATTTTAAATTACTATTTTTAAATATTATTATTTAAACTGAGCAATATCTTTCTATGTTAAGACGAAAAAAAATAATGATTTTTGGCAATTGAGTTTAAGAACCTAAGATTTCTCTTAATAATTAAAACACATTATGTATTTTCGAATATAGAATTGAATTCAATTCATTTTCTTGTATTTACTAATTAATATAAATTAATTTAATAAGTTAATTATCGATAATCCATTATCCATATTTTATTTTCACTCCATAGCGAATAAACTAATTCTAAACGTGAAGTTCTCTTTATTCAATTCAATAGCATGAAAGGCATTTCTCAACAAGAGTAATTTCATTATAAAGCAATATTTTAGTGTTATTAATTATGATACGATTAAATTCTTTCTAACATCATTTATTGAATATTCTATTCTGCTTGCATTAGATTTTAGATATTAGTTATTAACAAATATGTTATTCTGCAATTGAAAAAAAGTTACAGTCGATATAAAATTTATAAATTAAAATGTCGCTTATCACATTGCAATAAAGGAATTAATTTTTTTTTCTAGATTTATTTTGGATTTAGAGCAATATAATGTTAATAAAGCATAATAATAAATTTATTCAAGATGTAAAATGGTTTTATTGACTAAGAAAGCATTTTATTTTTTTCTTTATAAAATTATTAATATGCAATAAAGCAAGTTCAGAACTGTTTCACCTGTCCAATTTTAATACATATCAACTCCTTCAAATTGTTCTGTTGGGGGGGCCTTAAAAAGAAGCAAGAACTTGAAAACTCAATCACCATATTCTTCATAAAACAAAGAAGGTCTTAACAATCTAGCTTAAGGAGATAATGATAAAAACAAAAATAGATGTAAGGAGATCGGGATTGAAGTAGCAAAATTTTTATAATAAATCAATAAAAATGAGAGCAACTTTACTTCTATGTATTCTTCTATAGTAGGAATTGATAATAAAAATCATGAAGACAGTTAGGGAGAATAATAATACAAATTATAATAACAAAATCAATCTCTAATTAAATAAAGTGAAATATAACAATAAGAGATTGAACAATGGAAATTAAAATACGAATAAGCTGCTAGGTAATTAAATGAAATGAGAAGCAAATATGATGAGGATATAAAAATATTAAGCTAGGAAATTCAAGCAGTTAATGAACGAATTACGTCATGTGAGCAATAAAGAAACTATAGTTTTTTTGAGTAGAAACCAACAGGCGATAATTTGACTAATATGAGTATGTAGACATTCTAAAGATCATTAAATGAGAATGATAATTAAATCGAATATAACAAACTGTTAGATGAAATTGCAGAAAAGAATTCAATCATTAAAAATTTGACTTTTGCGTTAGAGAAATAAAAGATCGAGGTCTCTGAAGTATAATTGAGATCTAATGGAGAAATAGAGTAACTCAACAATAGAATAAGTTAGATACAGGTGGAACATTAGAATCAAATCCAATAGTAAAAAATGAAGATGGAGTTCTATCAAGATTCTCAAGTTTAGAATATGAAAATAGCTTATAATAATTAGATAGAAATATTAAAGGAGGAAATTAATTAATTGAAATGTTTGATTGATATTAAAAATTAGGAGATACAAACTATAAATAACTAAAATTAAAGATTAAAATATTAAATTGATTTAGAGAACAATGTATTAAAATAAGAGAATGAAGTATTGAAGTTTTAAATAATGAAAAAAGATTAATAATATTTGGAAGACATTAATCAAATCAAGAATGATTATTTTTAAATGTAAAAGAATGAGATTGATTCGATTAAACAAAGTTCCCAGAAACAAGTCTCTGTTTTAGAAAGCGAAATCAAAAATTTAAAGGAATTCCTATCTGCTAATAATTCAGAATAATAATAATTAATGATTGAAAGATTGCGACAGAGAGAGTATTATGAAGTAGAAAATCAAAAATTGAGTAGTATAATAGAAGATCAAAATAAAAGGTTATTATCTTAGAGATTATAGTCAGAAAGTATAAATGATGAATCAGTCAAGAAAATGTAAGATATCCAATTGTAATGCCAGTTATTACTTGAGGAGACAAATTAGAAAATGGAATAAATAAATAGAGAGAATGTATTTTTAAAAAATTAGATTATACATAAAGATAATGAAATCAATAATTTTGAAAATATTTACAAAAAGCTAAATAATTATGAAGAGAACCTTTTAAAGCTGGAGGAAGAAAATTTAAATATTTTGCATCACTATGAATAACAGGATAGACAGAAACAAAAAGAAAAAGAATAATACATATATTAATTATAAAGAAACTTTGAAAATCAATTAAAGTAATATGACTTTTAATTACAAAATCTAATTAATGAGAAAATAGAATATATGCAAATGTTAGAAATTAAAAACTAAGAATGCATAGATTTAAGTTTAGAAGTGAAGAATTTATAATTAAAATAATAGAATATTAGAATTGATAATGAATTGTTATACAGTAAATTAATATCTTTGAGTAACACTTAGGAGTCTAATAGAGTATTAAACGATCCATTCAATAATACAATATAATTTAAAAGGATGTCGGAGTAGATATCCCTTTTATAAAATGAATTAATGATAAAGAACAAAGAACTTACGTAGATGATAGATAAATACTAATAATTAGAGCAGATAGCCTGTCAAAATCAGATAAAGTAGGTTGATTAAAGTTTGAATGACTTAATGAAGAAATAAATAAGAAAAAGCAGTCAAGTGTTAAACTAATGACTAAATACTATGATAAAAATAAATTTTTGTTATTATTTATCTTATATATTTAATATGAATAAGATTCATTGGTGAAATATGAATTGATATCATTCAATTAAATTGATTTCTATTAATTCCTTTTGAGAACCATAAACTTGAAAACCTGAATAACTAAATATGATACTTTAATTATGTTGTAATGGTTGCTGATAAATCTTTTGAACTTCACTAGTATTTTTAAGATGTCCTTATTCTACTCTATCCGAATTAATAACAGGCTATCCTCCTCGACGTAGAGCTGGTCTCAATCCAACTACTTCGAAGACAATGGCTAGGTTCTATTATTCTAAAAGTTTTAGCTTGCTATCATTAATATAACGCAATGATCGATTTTCTAATTTAGGAAAATATAAATACATGTGGATTGAAGAATGAGGACAAAATCTCTAACTATGGTGTAGAAATAATATTCAATAAGATTCCATATGATTGCAGTTATAATGAGAGCAACAAATATGTCAAGTACACAGTACTGTGATCTTGCTTCTTTTTAATCCTAAATATTAGGGTTATTACATCTTTAAAGATGAGGGTGCAGTTGATGATGGGAACGATCAATCGATCAAGTATATTGAAGCATATACTTAAGACTTTCAACTTTCTATAGATGAAAATAGGTTTTTTGTTTTGCTGTTTTAATGCTCTCATATTAATGTATAAAGCAACGGAGGACTGGAATACAATAATGATAATGTCCATGATGGATATGATAAGAGAAAGGGATGAGTCTTTTTAAAACATGAAGGCACATGCCACAGTTCCTAGAAAAATAATGGTTGTAAGCGAAACCCCAAATGATTCTGCTAATGTCTAGATAGACAATCATTAGAAATGCTTTTTGAGTGGGTAAACAACAACACTTTTGTTGCATATGAGGGAACAAGGTTTGGTTTTACAAATAAATTATTATAATAATAATTTCTATGCTTTGATATATTTTATATTTGGAAATAGATCATGCTCCCTTGAGTTATGATTTGACATAGTCTTGGAATCTTGGTTGGTTGAGCAACTCTAAAGCTTAATTGGCAGCATTGATTTCCTTGTTGTATTCAGCAACGGTGGCATTATAGACATCAGTGGCAAAGGCATAGTCATCATTTTCAGCTTGTAATTATCCGTTAAGGGTGGCCAAATCTTCATCAAGTTCGTCAATTAAGTCAAGAGTTTATTCTTATTTGGCTATGAGTAGTTAGATTGGAATGAATACTTGTGTTGGCTTCGATTTCAGCATTCTTAACAACAACAGCTCTTTAGAATTCAGCATGTTCTTAGTTCAATTAAATGACTTAGGCGTTATATTCGGCAACTTAGTCAGCTTCATCAGCAGTGATTTAATTGAGGGAGTCAACTAATTCAACTCTCAAGTTATTGAAGGCAACAACAATCTAGAGGATATATCAAGTAGACATTACATCTCTAAGAGCTCCTTAGTCAGCAAAGTTGGAATCGACTGTGATTTCCAATAAGACTTTAACAAAGATTTGGAATTAGTTGTGCTTTTTCAATGAGTTTTAGATTTTAGCCAAATTCTTTTAGACTTTCTTGACTTAAACAAGAGATGGGGCTTCCAATTGGCTCAACAATTATAAGCATTCATCAATAGCAGCGATAGCGTCATTGTGCTCAACAACTTCACTTTCAAATGTTTCGTGATCGTTTGCTCTTTTGACTGTAGCTTATTCAAGGGTTCTTCTGTTTGAAACGATGTTTTCTTATAATTATTCAAGTTAGGCAGCAAATCTTTCTCCTTATGGGACGAGGACGTTGTCATAGAAATCGTGGGCATTGAACAATTCTAAGGAAATAGTAAAACTGATAAAATACCTCTTTCCTTGTCTTAGATTTCTTATTCGAGTCTGGAGACTTCTCTGTTGTGGACATCTGTTCTTCTTTGGAATTCATGATGAACTTCAGCCAATTCTTCTTCCAATTCATCAACCTATAAAAATATTAACTCGATATATGTACGAGTTTCTCAATCTCGGAGTTGAGCTCAGAGAGGATACCTCCTGTTGTTAAATGGAGTTCAGCATAGTTCAAGATGAATTTACCCCAACCAGATTAGTGAATCTAAGCGAAAGCTTTTTGGTCTTTGCTTGTCCAAATTGAGGATTAGACATTAATGGCTGTTGAGGCAAGTACTAACAATGCACACACGGCAACTTTGAACATTTATTGTAATTAATAATGAATTCATTCTAAGGATTATTTTGCTAAAAAAAGGCAAAAACGAATTTTTCTTTTTAATATTAATTAATATGCATTTCTTATACTTTTTTTTATTTTCTTATATTCTAACAGCTTACAACCTTTGCAAAAATACACAATGTTATATTTAATCATGTGCAATCAATCAAAAAAATCCTAAATATCGTATTTTCTCTATAAATCGTTCAGATCCACTATTATGAATACATTAAATTCTCTGAATTCTATCCTTATTGCTGATTTCCTCAAACTATAACCTCATTATCAATTCAAACATACGTATCCACTCAAACTATTTCCATTTCCGCTAACATAAATCCCACTCCCATTTATTATACCACTACGAAATTCCCCTTCATAATAACTCGAATCATTCCAAACCAATATACCCTTTCCATCTAACTTATTCTTACTAATCTCTCCTTCGTACCTAAAATTATATCTCATTCTTCACTTGCATCCATCTTTAAAATATATAATCCCTTTTCCATTTTTTTATCCATCCTTAAATTGTCCAAAGTACTTCGATCCGTCACTTCTTATCTCTTGCCCTTCTCCATTAAGTACATTATTTGACCACAGCCCTTATCGTGATTAAATAATTTACCTTTCACAACTTTGCTCTTAGTTGAGAACACTCCAAATCCATTAGCCTTCCCATATTTGAATTCACATTCGAAACTATTCAATTAATTACCACTTTACATGTCTCCATTTGAGTAAATCATTCTACAAAATCCGTTTAACTCATTATTCACCCAAATTCTATTTTATAAATTATAAACTTTACCCATCTAGTATATTTCCTACCACTGACCATACCAATATTCCTGTGCCATTTTTTTGGTCATTCTCCACTTACCCAAAATAACAGCTGTCATCATCGAAATTTCGAATCTCATAGTTTTCATCAATATCATAAACAGGACCTAGTTCCTGATACAATTATCTAATTTTTTTGGATTACAGTTTCTTTAATACTACTTATAAATTTGTGTTCACAGATGGACTATTTGCTAATGATTGGGAAATTTCATCATTAGCTAAATAAATATTCTAAGATGTGAATTACTGTCATTCTAATAGACTTAAGACAACTTGCCTGCATAAGTAGACATTTCGTGATTTTTCATTCTGCTAGATTCAGCAAATTTTGAATAATTAAATATTGAAATTTGATCTAATAAGAAATATTGAAAGATTAGAATATTCAGTTTCCATTATTTTAATATCGACAAGAAATGTCTAACATAAATAAGTCACTCATTTTCTTAACTTATTTAGTAAATGAATAACTGAGTTAATTTTCTAAAAATGATAAATTAATAAATTTGAACTAAATTAAATAATAATATTATATCATTTCCTTTTCCAAATATGTGGAAACCAGTTGTTATTTTCTTTCATCTCTTGTAAAATACTGTTAACACCATTGAGCTTCAAATTCATTTTATCCATCTCTTATTTGCACTCATTTACGATCGTCCACATAACAGCGTCCTTTTCTATTTTTTACTTTAGAAACTACCTTTCTGTTTCTAATTGTTTTGTTCTGCCAGTTATTTCAGTTAATGAAATTTCGTTTCAACAAAATCCCTACTTTATGTTTCAACACCTAATCTAATAATATTATGCATTACTTAACCAAATTTAATCAAGCATTTTTTTTTCAATGGATTTAACATCGGATTCAAATTAATTTTTTCTCAAATTCTCTTTTAAATCCTTCCTTTAATTTTATAATAAATAATAATTACTATTAATCCAACAGCATATTGATCAATGAATCGTGATATTGTGTCTTCTTATTCACATCCTCCTTTAGATTTTTGATTTTGCTTTTCAGATTTTTAATTTATTCATCATAGAGAAATTATTCATTAAAATCAGTAAAGGAACTATTTTTTGATAAAACCATAGTCTATTTTATTGCACTCTCCTAACTTCCTATAGTGCATTGCTTATTCTTCAATTAATACAGTTCATTCTAAATATGGAGAAGTTGATTTTGAAACTAGGAATATATATATAAAATTCACATCAAACATGTGTCTTTGAATTAAATTATCAACAATCAACTAAATTTGTTTTAACAATTCTTCCAGTAAAGTGGCCTTTTACAGTTCTTTTTCTGCAATCTCTTATGTTAAATCTCTCTATTCTTCATTCATAGAAATAGATGATCTCTATCTATGAAATGACTTTGCCTTTTTCAAATACTAAGTCTTAATATTGATATTTACATTATCTACCAATTTTTCTACTTTATTTTGCAATTCCTATTCATTAGTACTCATGAATATTTAAGGAACTTTTAGATAAACTTAATTTATATAAAATTTGATAATTTAATCAGTTGGATGGCTCGCTATGCTAAAAAACCTATTAACAAATATACTCAGCCAACAGATGCCAATAGAAGAGTGTAAACTGAAGCAGCCGATATAGATGACATTGATCTTTAACAAGCAATATTAAAATTCAAAAATTTATAAGAGAAACAAAAAACTCCATTAAAAAATTAAAGAACAAAAAGCAAATCCCCAGCTCCACCATAAGCCAATTAACCTATTGATTATTCATAATTTACATTCACTAGCTTAAAAGTGATTGGACAAGGATCTTTTGGAATTGTTTACAAAGCAAAAGTGAATGAAACTGGAGAAATAGTTGCCGTAAAGAAAGTTATATAGGATAAGAGATATAAAAATAGGGAAATACAAATTCTATAAGAATTGGATCATCCAAATATTGTTGAAACTAAACATGCATATTTTACCTATGGGGATTCACCGGATGAACAATACTTGAATGTTATTATGGATTATCAACCTGAAACCCTACATTCATTTAATGCATAATTTTTGAAATAACAATAGTTATTACCTGAAATATAGGCCAAATTATACTCTTATTAGTTATTACGTGGCATAGCCTTTGTTCATACTAAAGGTGTTTGTCATCGAGATATTAAACCACATAATGTTTTGATTAATCCAGATACGAATGTACTGAAAATCTGTGATTTTGGAAGTGCTAAAAAGTTATCACCATTAGAACCTAATATTGCCTACATTTGTTCAAGGTGTTACAGAGCACCAGAGTTATTGTTTGGAGCTACTAACTATACTACTTAGGTGGATATGTGGTCAGTTGGTTGTATCATTGGAGAAATGTTTAATGGGCTGCCACTATTTTTGGGAGCATCAGCAGTAGATTAATTAGTAGAAATAATCAAAATACTTGGATCTCCAAGTAAAGAGGAGGTGATGTCAATGAATGAATTATATGATATCAAACAATACAAAATAGTTTAAATAAGAAAAAAGGATTGGAGAAAAGTATTTTAAACTGTAGTTGATCCTTCAGCTATTGATTTAATTAGTAAAATACTCACCTACTGTCCAAGAACTCGATTGACTGCACTTCAAGCACTAACTCATTCGTATTTTGATGATCTTAGGGATGAAACTACCTTCAGGATGTATCAATCCAAAATACAAATTCCTGATTTATTTGATTTCACAAAAGAGGAACTTTCAAATAATCAATCCCTAGCAAGTAAATTAATTCCTAAATGGTATTAAAAAAGAAACAAATGTTGATTAATTTAAAAATTATATAAAATTACAATTCTTCTTACACAATTTGATTAAATAGAGATAAATTAAAATTACATAATATCAAATTTGAGAAATATTTTTCATTTTTGGTAGATGTGTAGTTTCTGAATTACCTCTTCTTTCCCTAGTTCTTTTTACGACTATTCCAACAGTAGACAAAATATCTCTATTGTACATAATGAAATCTTTACTTAGCACTAGCTTTATTGCCTTTCAGTTTTGTAGTATTACTCTAAGTGGATGGAACTTCTTTGCCCCAAGCCGTATTTTTATAGAGCGAAATGTTATACTGATCAGTTGGAGATCTCATCATTCTCATATCTTTAGTATTATTATTATTTGGTTTAGCAAAAGATATAGGAAATTGTTCTTTTTCATCAAAAATAACTTGAGCCACTTATTCGTAAATTTACATCGAGTTAATCCTATGGAATAGTTTAACTATCCTTACTTTATATTCCCATCACTTGTTATACTAGGCTAACTTAATCTACGGATTCTATTGAGAATTTATTTTTAATCATGATCATTTGTGAAATCTTTAATTTAAGCATCTTCAGCTTTGACTAGTTATGCAGATGATTAATTATGAGAAGCATTAATTTATTAAGTCAGAGACAAATATTCATTTCTGACCATTCTTAAAGCAGGATCACTCATTTTTTCTAGACTGATCGGCTAGTCCTTTGGCCCTTCTCTAACTCTACCTTCTTGAATCATAAGAACTCCTTATTATAAATGCATATTTTCATTAACAAGGGGAGCTAGAGATTAAAATTTAATTTGTTCTTTGGTATCTTTGTCTTTTTCATCCTCTTGCTTTTTTCTGATTTGGGAACCTGAATTTTAGAAAAAGGTTTTCCTCTTATTGAACATGCTTAATTTAGTTTGGCCATCTTCGAACTTGGATCTCTCAATTTTTAATTAAAATACCCTAATGTTGCAGCTGTAGGTGGAAATTTATGGCCTTTCAATGTCACTACAGAAATCAATTTTCCATCATAATCATAAGTGTATAATTTGGATTTTTTATCTTTAGATATGAGATCATATTTTAGCTGTTATTCTTCCAATTCTTTTTGTTTTCTCTTTCTTTCTTGTTCTTTTAAGTCTTATTTAATTTTATAATCTCTTTCTTTTTATGCTCTTAATAATTCTTCAGTTGCACTTATATCTAGGGGATCGTTTAGATCAACTATTCCAGGTAATTTTTCTTTATCTTTTACATTTTTTTAATTATTCAATTAAGCCTAATCCTAAAATTTAGAAATAAGTTTCAAATACTTAAATTTAGACTCTTGATCTCATAAATGTTTAAGCAGTTAAAGATTGACGATTGGAATTTGTGCTTTGTTATTCTGCTTCCAATATCTTGGCAGGTATTGAATTTATTTTTTATACCAACCATTATTCCTGTTGAAACCTAACCTATCAATTAGAAAGTTTGAATACAGGTTCTTCATCTTCTTGTAATCCACCAGTCAAATAATCAAAAGTAGGATCTTCATGTTGTCTAAAGTATTATTGAATCGGATGTGACATTCTATCTATTGAAGATTAATAGCCTATGATTGGTAGCATTTTGATTTGCTCATTTTCAGTGATTTTTTTTGAGACTATGGCTATTAACTTTTTAATGAAATCTCTAATATAAAGCTCTCCTTCCACTTAGGTTTATTATAATTGAATTGGATCAGAGGCTAAGTAATATGAATGAAAATTTAGTTTGTCCATGTCTACTTCAACCAATTCACTATCAGACTGAGTATTCAATTTCTCAGTGGGGTAANTTAATTTACTTAATATTTCCATCACTTGTAATGCTTGGTTGACTTAACCTGCGAATTCTATTCAGAATTTATTTTTTATCTTAGTCATTTGAAAATTCTTTAACTTAAGCTTCTTCTGCTTTAACTAATTATGCAGATGATTAATTATGGGATGCATTGATTTACTAAGTCAAAGACAAGTATTCATTTCTGACCATCCTTAAAGCAGGATCACTCATTTTATCAAGATTAATTGGTTGATCTCTTGGGCCTTCTCTAATTCTGCCTTCTTGTATGATGAGAACTCCAGATTATAAATGCATATTTTCATTGACAAGAGGTGCAATAGACTAAAATTTAATTTATTCCTTAGTATCCTTTTCCTTCTCATCATCCTATTTCCTTTTGATTTAGGAACCTTGACTCTAAAAAAAGGTTTTTCTCTTATTGAACATGTTAATCTTAGTTTGGCCATCTTCAAACTTGGATCTCTTAATTTTTAATTTAAATACCCTAATGTTGCAGCAGTAGGTGGAAATTTATGACCTTTCAAAGTAGTGACAGAAATCAATTTTCCATCATAATCATAAGTGTATGATTTAGATTTTTTATCTTTAGATATAAGTTCATATTTCAATTATTACTCCTCTAGCTCTTTTTGTTTTCTTCTTCTTTCTTGTTCTTTTAGATCTTACATAATTTTATAATCTCTCTCCTTCTATGCTCTCAGTAATTCTTCAGTTAGACTGATATCTAAGGGATCATTGAGATCAACTATTCCAGGTAATTTTTCTTTTTCTTTTACATTTTTTTAATTATTCATTTAAGCTTAATCCTAAAGTTTAAAAAGATGTTTCAATACTTATATTAAGACTCTTGATCTCTTAAAGGTTTGAGCAGTTAGGGATTATCGATTAGAATTAGTGCTTTATTATTCTACTTCCAATATCTTGGCAGGTATTGATAAAACCTTTTGAACCAACCATTATTCTTGTTGGAATCTAACCTATCAATTGAAAAGTTTAATTTACAGGTTCTTCATCTTCTTGTAATCCACCAGTCAAATAATCAAGTGTAGGATCTTCGTGTTGTCTAAAGTATTATTGAATCGGATGTGACATTCTATCAATGGATGATTAATAACCAATGAGTGGCAGCATTTTGATTTGTTCATTCTCAGTGATTTTTTTTGAGACTTTGGCAATTACTCTTTTAATAAAATCTCTAATGAATAGCTCTCCTTCCACTTAATTGGATTATGATTGAATAGGATCTGAGGGCTAGTAAAATGAATGAAAATTGAGTTTATCCATGTCAACTTCAACCAATTCACTGTCAGACTGAGTGTTCAATTTCTCTGTTGGATATGAACGAATGGATGATAATTCTCCATATGAACTTCTTTATAATTAACTTTTCATATAAATATTTTAACAGATTAATTGATTGAATACGTTTTTAGTTTGAGATGTAAGTGTAAAATTTATGTCTGTTTTGAATGATGAGTGTGCATAAATGTATGTTAATTAAATAATAATTAGTGATATTTGCAATTTTAAAACGAGGAATTTTGATTCCGTTTTTGGCATTAATAAATTAATTATGAGAACTCTTGTTGCCCTTTGCTTAGTGGCTGCCGTCTTCGCTATTGACACAAACAAATTTGCTGTGCTCCTCCAAACTGGTACTAGAGGAAATGATGCTGTTGAATCAGTTTACAACCTCTTGAGAGATTTGAAGACAGAAAATGTTAATGTCTAAGCTGCTGCCGACAAAAAGAATAACACTGATGAGGGTATAATATAAATTAAACAATAGAAATCTTTTCTTAGGTCATTGGTGACTTGACAAATGTTGCCTCCCTCAACAAATAACAATGGGAAGCATTAGGTGCTGTTCGTACTGATGTTGAAGCCCAAGTCAGAGTATGCTATTTCCCCTTAAATTTAGGATGGATATTCATGGTTGGCATGGGCTGAAGCAAGACTTGCTGAAATCGAAAGAAGAAATGCTTAACTTTAAGACTAAAGATGTTGGGCCAATGGACTCTTTGTCAGATCATTGGCTGATCACGCTGATGCAATTGCAGTCGTCTAACTCTTACAACAAGATGTTGCTGGATGGCTCACAAATAATGCTGGTGTTCAATTAGTTGAAAAGGCTGAAACCATCGCCGATAAATTGTCAGCATACAGTCACCTCTTCTAATAAGATGCCCTCTAGAAATTCTAATCCCTTGCTGAAGTCAAGAGAGATGGCACAACTGGAGAACAAGTCCTTTCCATCTTATCAGACTTACAAACTGAATTAGAGGCAACTCTTGCTACACTTTAAGAATAAGAAATCCATGCTGCTTTCGCTCTTGCCAAATACGTTTCAGATACTAATGCCGAAGTTGCTTGGTTGAACTCAGAACACGAAAGAAGAACAGGCTTAGTTGAAAAATTAGAAACTGTATGCATACATCAAATAATTCGATTAGCAACTCCCAGCAGTTCTTGCTTAATAAGCCAAAGCACTCAAATTATGGAAAGACTCCTTGAATGCAGTTGCTGGTGCCACCGCTGATTTGGAAGAAAAAAGAGAATTCTATGCTTCAGAAACAGCAAGAAGATAAGGTATCTATCCTAATCTAATCTATTCTAGAGGAAAACGCCATCATCGATGTTGTCATCTAATTATTCAAGGATCAAGTTAGAGCCTTAGCCTCATAAACATCCCTTGGTAGAAAATGATCAGATTATAAAATATTCAATTTAAAAATATCCACCAAGTTAAAACTACATCATCATTAATTTTATTTTTATTCTTTCTTTCTATAATTCATCCACACTTATGGATGACTAATCAATACCTCTGAAATCATATTCAACAAAATATGGATTTGAAAATTCATTAAAAAATGTGTTGTATTTGAAAAAGAAACACAAGATTATTTTATAAACACCTTTAATAGAATTTATTGAAGAAATTCAGCATGATGGTACAATAATCAATTTATTTGGAAATAGTTTATAAAAATTAAATATATTATTGTTAAAGAATAATGATTATAAAATATAAATAGAGAAAAGTTTGCAATTATTTTGCGCATTATTGTTTAATATTTAAGATCAGTATTTAAAATTTATTAAGCAATAAATAAAAATTATGTTAAATTCAAGCATCTACAGTGCTGATAGCAACTCAGCCATAAAGACAAAAGGCAATTAAGCTCATTTACTATCAACTGCAATAAGTAAATTGGGAGATTCAAGTTTTAAATCAAGAAACTAAGAATCCAAAAACTTATCTCCAGTGAGATTAAGATTGTTTAGAGACTCTCCAAAAATTTATAAAGGCCTAGAAGGTTGTGTAGTAGGATAATATCAGTAAGAATATGCATAAATTCTAGTCCTCTTGCTCCAACTCATGTAGTATTTTCGAATGATAAAACACCATCTCCTCATAGATCAGCAAGAACATTTAGAGATTCTCCAGAGAGAGCTAAGGTCAAGTTGAATCAATTTCAAGATTGGAACTCTAAATTAGACATTCAATTACAATTATAAAATAATTAGATTGCAAAATTGAACAATCAACTCATTCAATAAAGTTATTAACCTTACTCACATAAGAGCTCCAAATCTGATTTATTTTCAGCCAGAACTCCAACCAACTTCTAAAAGTTTGGTAGATAAAGTGATATTTCATCACTTTCCTCAAAATTGAATTAGATTCCAATTTCATAGATAGGCACATATTAATTAGGGTAATAGTATGAGATTTATTATAGACATCAAAGCGAATTGAATGCATTATAGTCATCATTGAGTAGGATTATGAAAACAAGTAGAATATGACGATAAGTGATAATATAAATAATAATTAAATTGAATAAATACATTTTTGAGAATTCTTTTTAAAATGAAATGGATTTTGTTAAGCACATAATTCTAAAAAATAGTTCAATACTATTATTATTTAAAATTTAAGAATGTTTGTATCAATTTCTTATAAATGGAGATTAATTAAATTCTAGCATTGTATAATTGATTAACCTTATTTGATAAGTGAATATAGAAGTAGTGGTTATAAATGTTTTACAAATATAATGACCCATCCCCAGTATTAGTTTAGATAGATATAAATTTGATGAGTTGTGGAGATATAATAAGAAATTTGAAGGTGTTTACAATAATATCGACAGGTGTTAATGTTCTTTATGTTTAATAAATCATTTTCTGGCAGCCAAAGCAACTTAAGTTGCAATTCTGTTTAAGTCTTATTATCCTTCCTTGGTAACAATTCTTGATCCCTTCTTTAAGAGGGACTTGTTGTCTTTCTTCAAGACTTTGATTTATTCTAATTATTAGAATAGATATCTAATGACTTTTCCTGATCCGGATTCGTGCTTACCATTATCGTTGACTGATCCGAACATATGAGTCAGATTTCCAACACCCTTAAATGTAATATAAATTGAATACCCAATGACCTCTCACATATATTTTACGAGCAAGTGCAGCAGCTCTAACATACATCCAATCCTAATCAATTGGTGAAATTTCTTTTCCAAGTCCAGTTTTAACAATGGATGCCCATTCTGGAATTTTAATTTTATTGTTTTTCTTCAAATACTCAGCATATGCACGAATGAAATCTTAAGCAGGTACGTCCTTCGTTTAATGAGTGATATTACTTTGACGGTGTAGAATGGAGCTGACATGCAATAATAAAAATTAAAAAATATTTTTGAATATTTACAAAGATATTATTTATTATTAATGGCTCTTCTTTCATACTTAATGAGTACAGAAAGCAAGTGCATATTTTTTATAGTCAATTGATTTAGCAATCGTTGAAATTATGAATAAAAATGAATATAATCACTAATTTTCTTAGATTATTTTATATCTGTTATTTTAATACCCCCCGAGGTAAGGAGAAATTAAGGACTAAGGTGATATTGATTTAATTTGGATTTAATAAATTTATAGAATTGGAATTCTTAAAATGGGTTAAAAAGTGATTAAAATAATTATTGAAAAAGAATTTGATATATTGAATAGGATTGTAAAGCAGGATGAGAATCGGATGTGAGAATTTGAATTTTGATAAGGTTAGAGGATTAGTATGAAATAGTGGATATGTAATAGTGAGATTTAGAGAAGGCGGGAATCAAAAATGCAAGGAAGAGAAAGGAGACAAATAAAGAAATATTGAGTGAAGTAGTAATGGTGTGTGATAGATATTTATATATTTAGATCGTAATTAATAATAATTAAATGTACATTATAAGCATTTGATCGATCCGTTTTTAAAACATTAATTAAAATATATGCAAAAACTAGCCATCTTGACATTAGTTGTTGCTCTTGCAGCTTCCAAATTTGTTGATACCCATACAACCTTGGCTTAAATTGATGCCAATCCATTTGGAAATGTTGTATTGTCAGCCATCAAAGCCCACTTGTAAGCCTAAACACCAGCCAACGAAGTTAATATGTTATTGAACGGTGTCGCTGCTGGATTATAATAAGATCAAAATGACCACGATCACGCTTTCGAACTTGACACCACAACCAACAACAGAGTAAGAATATGTATTAAGAATATCTTAGATTGTCGAAGATTTGGAAAAGGAAATCTTGTATCACTAAAATCAAATCTCATCTAACACTTAATTGAGAGATGACACAATTGAAGCTTTGGCTGTTTCTGAAGAAGACATCAGAGTCACAATTCAAGACATCGCAACAAATGAATAAACATATGCCAGAGAAGAAGCCACAAGAAACTAATAACACGAAACCTTTGTTGCTAAGATCGCCGCTATTGATGACGTTATTGATGCCATTGATGAAGCTGCCAAATTAATTCAACACTTGAGCTTAGGTGCTTCATTCGTCTAAGTCAAATCAAAATACGACACCATTCACAAGAGACTCACAGACAACACCTCCCACTCCCAACTCTTACAAGTATTCAGCTTCTCTTATATCTTTATTTTAGCCAGTCGTTGCTGCTCTTACAGAATTAGCCACTCACGGAGTCAACTAAAAGGCTTTAACCAAGATTGCTTAACTCTTGAGCGAAATCAGATAATAATTAGTCTCAGAAAAGGCTGCTAAAACTGTAATCATTCAATCCAATAATTAAGGACGTCGAAGAAAGATAAGCCGCTCACTGGGCTGAATTCAGCGCTCACTTGAGTAACGAACACACCAGATT